CTGGGCTGGGGCCTGGGAAGGGATCAGGAGGCATAATGAGCATGAGGAGGAGGAGGAGGAGGAGGATCCCAGCAGCCGTGGCAGCAGCAGCTGCCAGGGTGGCATTTGCTTCAGCATATCGAACTACAGCACCAGAGAAGTGGGGCGGTAAATATCACTATAGAGGTGTGTGAAACATGATTGGCTTCCGGTTCTTTGCCTCCTTCTTGGAGGGAGACCCTTCTCTTCCACTCTTCAAGGTCTGCCCCATAACTGAGACCCTCTTCAACATTAAAATGAAAGCCAACCTCCCTTACAAAGGTGTTGCAAGCTGGACAGCATGGTAATGTATGTAAAGTGCTTTCTGAAAAAGCATCGTCAAAAGCAAAACTGTCTCATGCTGATGAGACTGATATTTTTTTCCGTGTGAACAGCAGTCCTGTTCTCTGCAGGCGGATTGTGACCTTGATCACGTGGGCAGGTAATCCATCGTCCTCCAGAGTGTGTGACATCAAGGTTAATGCTGAAGCGGCCCCCTGTTGCAGAGAGATGTTCAAATGTGTGGAGCCTGCAGAAATGTCTTTTGCCAAGTTGCGCTCATTGTTTGGCATACAACCTTCAAACTCTGATCCGTCTGTGGCTGAAACTGTCTGTGGAGATTGTGATAAATTTGAAGACCAAACAAATGTTAAAGACTTTGGTGCTTTGCCACAGAAGCACTTTCGTTTGACTGTGGAGGGCTGCATCATACTTTTGCTCAAATAGTTTTCCCTTGCACTTGCCAGTGTTGTGAGAATCCTTTACACTGACGTGCATGTGCATTTACGCCAATCAGCATTGTGGAAATTGCTGGAAACCCTGTCGCAATAGTGGTGACTCAAGAGCTGTTCCCAGGAAGAGGCTGCTGTTGCCTCTGTGGTCAAAAGGCTTTCGATGGCCAAGTGAGCCGAAGTGCACACCTGTTTCTCCCGGTTTCTTGCTGGAGCACTGTGAATGCAGTGAATGGTGTGTGACTCTATGATGTTTTGTGCAAAGGATGAGAGACGTTGTCTACCTTGCAGGCTTGCTTTCTTTCACCTGACTAGACAGGCAGGGAGGAAGGGTGGTTACAGGTTACAGTGGACTTAGACCAGGGCTCTAGTCCGCTTTTGGCCATAAAGCCCACTGAGTGTCACCAGGCTTGTTCTGCTCTGGTTGACCTCGCAGGGCTGGGGTGAGGATCCAGTGGGCAGGAAGAAAACCAGGTAAGCTGCCTTGGGCCTCTTTGGGAAACAAACAGGGTGCAGAAGTCTCAAAACAAGGTCATGTACGCAAATACAACATCGTGATCCTTGCAAATGGCATGTCCAGGTGGGACAGAAAGAGACCTGTAATCCATGCACCCTTTGACTGAACACAGTGCCACACACAGTGGTGTTTATCGCACAATTGTTGTAGTGCATCCTGTGGGAAACAATTGCCTGTATACTACAGTATAGGCAAAATATTTATGGAACGTTTCCCACTGCAAGTTAACTTTCTTTTCACAATAAAAATATGACTAGTTCTTACAAAGGTGATCTGAAGCGCTGATTATTTCTGCAGCTGACGCACTTTGATGAGTATCTGCTTATTTTGGCCTCTTGAGGGAATGCTTTGGAACACAAAACCCCACAAGGGATTTGTGTTATCCAGACCAGGAGGCCATTCTGGGAATCTGCATTGTTGTTCCTCATCACGATCCGATGGATGGCTTTTCTGTTGCCGGCGACTGGGGTGCCACCAGATGTGGCGACCTGTCTCATGGGCAGGAATTTGGTTTGGGGACGATGCCTCAGAACTTGCCATCCTCCGCTCAGGAAACGTCCGGTTTTCCTACTGCTTTTTATATCCCTTTTCTTATAGCAGAAACATTTTTAAGGAGAAAGCAACCCCACAATATCAGTGTTGCCTGAAAGCACCCGGGATGGCCACTTCCCAGCCAGCCTGAGCGGCACTCACTCTGGTGGCCATTGCTGAAGAACCGTTTCTGCCTGGAACGTGTGCCTCAGCGCTCACTTGGCCGGCTCCGCAGTGCCCCGTCCTGGCCAGATATTTGCTCCTGTGAGCAAATATCACTCTGTGCTGTGGTCTCAACTTCCTCGGTTGCGATATTTGGCGAGCTGAAGGCTTCTCCTATCTGTCCTGTTTGCCTGTGACCTTGTGGAGGGCAACTTGTGGCCCCACTGGGTATTTGACCCACGACTCCCTTTATCCTGCATCAGTGGCTGTGCTGGCCAGGACTGATGGGAATTGCAGAGCAAAGCATCTGGAGGGCCAGCCCCTGAACGGTGGGGTTCCCACCTGCAGGCCTTCTTGACCTGTGGTGGTCTGTTCGGCTCTGGCGGCCAGTGATCCAATATTTGGCCTCCCAGCAACACTGCCAAAGATGGTGAAACAGCACCCTCCCTGGGCTGATCTTCTGGGGGGGGGGGGGCGTCTTCCCTCCCCAGGCCCTTGACGCAGACAGTGAGCCCCAAGCCTCACTTCTCTCCAATGAAATGGAGACAGTCCCTCTGCTTCAAAAAGGAAAAGAGACGCTACAGAATACCACAACATCCTCAGATCATTTTGGAGTTGTTGTTTTGCTCTGAGCTTGTATTTAAACAAAATATTGGTCTTCCTCACTTGAAAAGCCCCCGTGGCTTGCCTCAGCAGGATCTAGCTCACTTTTGTTACACAACATTTTGAGAGGGGAAAGAAAAAAGGGAAATAACGACCTCTGGCCGCTGGAACAGGACGGGGGCTTTTGCGAGGGTGGGTGGGGAAGCTGCTGCGCGAGTACGATCAGCCAGCGGTTTTACTTTGCCCAGGTTCCTCTGGCAAACACCAGATGACACCCTTTGGGGATTAAGCTGCGAGTGGCAGGGCAGCAGCTTCACTGGGGGCCAGTCACAGCCCCGCGGCCCCCACAACAGCCGGTCCTGAAAGCTGAACCCCAGCCCAAGTCCTCCTGCGTGGGTGTGGAAACGCCTCCCCACGCTCCTGCCCGCTTCCCTAACTGCTGTGTGAATCTTGGCCCTGCCGGGTTTGGGCTCCCTCCAGCCTTGCGGTTGATTCTGCAGCCCCCCAGAATGGGACCCGCCCAAGGAGCTGGCAAGGATCGTGGCCACACTGAGGGTGCCATTTGGGTGCTATGCCTTTGCCACAGCAATAGCCCGGGTGCTGTGCCCCGGGGCCGAGACCAGGCCCTCGCATGCATGCAGTTGGGCAGGAGTGAGCAGTGGTCACACCCATCTGACACTGCGGCGTTGCCCAGACAGTTGCACAGCCCAGCAGGAATTTGTTCCAGCGTGATCTGGTAGCTGAAAGTGTTTTTCAGTGGCACCAAACCAGGAAGAGCGTCTGTGGCTGCCAGCTGGCATGTGCCGGCTGCAACGGGGGCTGGAGAAGAGGCGCAGGACAAGAAGCAGAGGAGCCCCGCTTATTATGTGCAGAGCAGCATGTGGAACTGAGCTTGGCCAGGGGCGGCCGGCACCCAAGACACACATGGCAATGGTCCGCTGTGGAACAGCCCTCATTTTGCATGTTCACTGTGTGACCCGCTTTACTCTCTGACAAAATAATCTTTGTGGGTCGTGGATGGCTTCCTGCGAAACGGGCCTGGTGGAGTGTCTGTATCGCAAAGCGGCGCTCGTTCTCTTCATAGCATGAGGGGGGAAACTTCATGTGGCTGAGAAACTAAAGGACCGGGAAAGGGACGCAGAGCGCCGAGTGTTATTGGCTGCTCCCTCTCCAGCTGGGAAGTGCGGGGTCAGCTGAGCAGCACTTCAGGAAGTGCCCTGCCGCAGGGACCGTGCCTGCTGGAGTGAAGCGAGGCGCTGTTATCAGCTGACCCCTTGGTCCGATTTCATGTCTGGGAATGATAATATTGTTCAGAGCAGTAGGGGAGAACGCGCTGCTGAGTTGTGGGTGGATTCACGCGGCTGGGATCACCGCTGGGCCTGGGATGGGGCTGCAGGGCTTCTTGGGGGCCCTGGGCGAGGCATCCTTTCTCAAAGACCCCTCAGGCCTTTTGCAGAGCAAGGTGCGCCCCCGTTTCTCCTCCTCGCCTGAGGCTCCCCTGGGCTCAGGTTGGCAGGGAGCCTCTGACACGCGCACAGGCGGTGTTTAACCTAAATCTGCCTGTCTGCGTTTTTCATCTTTGGCTTGGCGCCAGCCACCTGTGCGTGTGCCGCGCCTGTTTTGCTATCACCACCTCTGCCTTTCTGGTCCTGGGCGTGCCGGTTCCCAGCCCGTTGTTAAAGTGTTCAGGCTACTATTTAAAGCCAAAGTGGCACAAGGATCTTGTTTTAAGAGGGCAAACACATTTATTATTGCACAAGCTTCTTGCACCTTGCCTTCGCACACTCCCCTCTAGTTTGATCTGAATAAAACGCCACGAGACTGAGACTGTGAAGGTTCTTGCTCTCCCCCATCTCCTGTTTAGACTGTACGGTGTCCTAAAAACCTTTAGAGCTCAGGGTCTTAACTTTTAAACCGAACAGTGGTGTTCCTCCTGAACCTTGTAGGCTCCTTTTTTGGGTGCTTTTGCCTAAAAGTCGTTTCAGATGAATTATGCACTGTTTTTAGCTCCTGAGCAATAACTGGTTGTGGGGGTTCCTAGAGGCAGCCGCTTCCTGTTCTATTTTATGTTCCCTTGTTTAGTCTCGCCCATGCAAAGACGTGCTTCCTAAGCTCGCCTCCGTCCAGGACACATCCTTTTTTGGACAGATTATTCTGATTTGAATTCTGGCTCGCGATTAACGTTTGCTAGGAAATCACCACCGCTTGCAGAATAACATCTCTGGTTCTTAGTTCTTGAACACAGGTGGAGTGCCGTGGCGGGGGGGGCGGGGGCGTTTCCCAAAGAAGACAAAGGCTTAACACGATCGTTACTTCTTAGTGTTTGCGTTTCCTAATGCAGACAACGGCCTGGGCATGCGTGGGAAGGGAAGGCTGGGTCAGATCTCGCCCCAGCCCAGCATGGCAGGCCCTGCTCATGGATTGTCGGTCCTCTGCAGGGGAGCAAGGGGCACTGCCGCTATCACTGGCAGAGCCACAACGTGAAGCAGAGTGGCGTGGATGACATGGTGCTTCTCTCCAAGATCTCCGAAGACGCCATCGTGGAGAACCTCAAGAAACGCTACATGGATGACTATATCTTTGTATCCTTGACATGGTCCGTTGTACTCTGTTGGCCTTCGCTCGCGCCGGCCAGCCCTTCCTCAGAGCTGCTCTGAGCGCCTCATCTCACTGCGCAGGCCTGAAGGGGTCCAGGGCACAGGAGCCCTCCGAGCTGGTTCCTGGGACTCTCTGCGGCTGCCGTCAAGCAGAGGGTCAGCTAGTGCAGCTCTTCCCTGGCCATAACCCTTAACTGTCAGCTGGTTTAGTTCCTCCATGCGTGAGCCTCCCGAGCACACGACACAGCACACCAAAGCAAACCGCCAAGAGCTGTATGCTAAAAACACCCGATCCACCCTTCACCCCGACAGAGTCCAGGGCAGTGTCCTGTCATCAAATCCCACTGCAATAGAAACACTGCAGGACTGTGCCCCTGCATTGAAACAGGAAGCTAAACATACCGAAGCCAGTATGGCGCAATGGCTGGCACCCTGGACTGGGACGCAGGAGACCTGAGCTGCCGTCCCCTCATGAAGCTCCGTGGGGGACTTTGAGCCGGTCATGGACATGCTAACCTACCTTGCAGGGCTGGGGTGGGGATGAAATGAAGTGGGGTTGTTATGTAAGCTGCTCTGGGCTCCTTGCAAGTGGGGAGAAGGCAGGTTATAAATGTAGTTACATGCATGAAAATGCCAAGCAGTCATAAAGGTAAAGGAGATGGGAGGAAATGGCCACCCCAACCGATCCGAACAGGGTCGATTTGTATGGCAGCAACCTCTCCTGGATTGAAAAAGAGCTCCAAGCAAACAGGTGTGTGCATTTGTGCTGGGGGAAGCTGCACCTGTTGGCTTTTGTTCCATCATGCCGTGCCTGGGGGCAGGCGGGAAGGGCCGCACCCACTGTTGCTGCGCCCGGCCGGCTGGCAGGGCTTGGCTTGCAAATGTGAGGTTTGCAGTGCTCTTCGAAGGGCCTTGCTGAAGATGAAAGGAGCAAGCTCAAAGCAGAGGGCCTGAGCACCCCGGAAAAGCGCCCCCACCCCGGCCCTGGTGCCAAACCTGCGCCTTTCCTGCTAGAAATATTATCACCTCATGAAAGAGCCCCATTGAAGTGAGACACAAGGGGCTCAGTATTTTGCCCTGAGCTTTCGCGCTCTCTGGCGTAATCTCTACAGTAATAAAATCTGTTTTTGAGCTACTCAGCAGAATTTAGCCTTTGGATACATGAGAGCGTGGCTGTTTGGATGGGTTTTTTCTACCTTCTGTGGAGCACTGCAGTCGCTTCTCAGTTTCAGGGCAAAACTAGCACATTAATGTTATGCGTGTGGCAGAAACTCATCACCTGCTTTTGTGGGAACGAAGTGAATTTCAGAGGGGTGCTTCTGAGTGGGAACGCTGCATTATGTGCTGCAGCCAGGAGCCCTCTAAATGGTTTGGACTACAGCTCTCAGAATCCTGACCATGAGCCGTGCTGGCTGGGGCTTATGGGAGCTGAAGTCCGAAGCATCCAGGTCAGGAGAGGCTGACACACCCCTTCACAAGCCCACCCACTCCGTCCAGAGCCCAGCATCTGCTTACTCCAAGCAGCTAGCTAGAACTCCGCCCTGTCGAAGGCAATAACAACGCGTGGCAAGGCTGGGCAGAGGATGCAGCAGAGCAGCGATGGGGTGGGGGGCTCTCCTTGCACCCCTGCCTCACGATCTCCTTCCCCCTGCTCCTGCCATAGGGCTGCAGGACACCTGACGTTCCTGGACTTCCCAAGACAGCCGGGCCCCCTTCCTTGGGCCCCTCATTCGCTCGCCAAGCCACCAGAGGAGCGTGTGCATCTCTGTCGCTGCTCATGGCCCTGGCTGGGTCTCTGCGCACCGCTCCTGCTGAAGGCGCCTCTTCAGGCTTCCGACGTGCACGGGGGGTACCCCCTCACAGCTCCAGCACCCCCTGGCTCTTGCAGGCTCCCCAAAGCCTGGCTTCTCCCAGCTTCAGCCCGGCAATCTCACACAGTCCTACGAAGACTCACAAGGGCAGGGGCCCTCCGCCTCCCCGCTTCTACGAGCAGCCTGCCATGGCTCCCCCCCCCCCACAAGCAGCCCTTTGTCTTTTATCCTGGTTTGGCTGCTGAGTGACTCAGCTGTTACCTAGCTCATTCATGGCCCTGCTTTTACAATGCAGCCCTTACAGGGAAAGGTTACTGGAATTGCACACGCTCTGTTAACCGTGCTGCTTCGCAGTTGCTTCAGTGTGTTTTATGCTCATGCAATCCATTCTTGATTTGCCGCGCCACGGGGAAGCCTTGGGTAGTGTCACTGCTTCTTGGATCCCCTCCACATGGGGCAGTTTTGCACAAAGCGGAAATTTGTTTGTTTGCCTTGGTCTTTTTTGGTAGCGTGACATCACCTTGCAGATATTATTCCAAAACAATGGGCTCTTGTGGATAAGGCGGAATGCTAATTGTGCCCGTCTCATGCGCGTGCATTATTATCACTCATACGGTACCAGCAAACTGAAGACTGTTTTTCCTTGAAGGAAAACTGGGGCAATATAAAAGTTAAAAAAAACAGGCACTCGGCTGTAATGAAAATTGCAGATGATAAATGCCATGTTAGAAGAGGCTTTGCTGTGCACACCAGAAGGAATGCTCTCTTCTGAGATATGATAAACTGTATATATCAGTTTATATTTCAGATGACCCTTGAAACCAAAAACAGCAAAGTGAAAACTGGGGGTCTCCTATGCCTGACATATTTAAACAGCCCAAAATACTGACCTTGCCTTATACACAAGTTGCTGTATACACTGATCTGTATGGGTATTTTTGCAAAACAGACTTCCTGGTCGCTGGTCCCACATGTTATTACCGTATAGATCAGTGTATAAGATGACCCTTAAAACCCAAAATAGTGAAGCAAAAGTTGGAGGTCGTCTTACACACAACATATGACAAACACCAGAGAAACAGCCCAAAATATCGACCTCCTCTTATACACAAGTCCTCTTATATGACAGTATATATGGTACAACATCTAAAAACAAGGGAATTACGCCTTTTGCTTTGGAATAGTTTTGCTTTTCCACTAATATGCAGATTTACCTGCTTTAATTGGAGGTGCCAAGGATGGAATGTGGAACTTCTGCATGTAATGTGTGCATCCTAGCACTGAGGTGTGCTCCTCCCGTTCATACCGAAAAAAGCTCTGCAAAAGAAGCTCTGATGAGTGGTCATGAACCTTGACTGTTGTGCTTGCAGACATACATCGGGTCAGTCCTGATCTCTGTGAATCCATTCAAGCAGATGCCCTATTTTGGAGAGAAAGAAATCGAAATGTACCAAGGAGCCGTAAGTCGTGGCTTTCTCCAATGCATGTGTATGCACGTGTGTGCACAGACATAAGAGCACATGTTAAAAGAGGGAATCTAAGTGATGGTCACCCATCTGGATGGCCCCAAAGGTGGGCTGGACAATCCTAGAGGAGAAGGCAGCCAGAGGTGACTAGCGCTGATGGGCGTGTGCGCTCTGTCTCCGGTACAGGCAACAGCACGCTTGTGTCCACCAGCAGCTGAGAAGCACGGGTGGGAGGGGAAGTTGCCCGCAGGCTCCGCTTGTGTGTTGGCTGCGGAGTGAGCAGGATCCTGCATTAGACTGTCTGATCCAGCATGGCTCTTACTGTGTGCTTATACAAATATGTTCGTTCTCAAAGAGCTTTCAAAGTTGGGTGGTGCCTGGCTTCTCTTTGTCCTCTGAGGCCATGCTGGTTCCTACTTGGCAAGGCTCGTTCTTCTGCTCGTGTTAACAACCGTAGCTTCTGCATCTCTCTGCAGCTGTTTCTCTGGGACTAGCGGTGAGGAGGCAGGTCTGTCCACTCCTAACTCCCTGTTTTAGAAACTTGGTGCCTTGCCTGCTGCTTATTCCCTTTGGAGGAAAACACTGGCACTGTTTTGTCAGAAGGTTAGACAACTGTCTTCTTTCAAGTAACTGTTACATTTATTCATTTATTACATTGTGCTTCACTTGTATTTCCATGCCTGCAGGCTCAGTATGAAAACCCGCCACATATCTATGCTCTGGCAGACAATATGTACCGAAACATGATAATCGACAGAGAGAACCAGTGTGTGATAATCAGGTAAGGAACTTCTGCTTATCTCCCTTTGTTTGCCTTTATTATGTTAAGTTTAAACAAGAGATAGGCCTGGGTCATAATCTGGAGAAAGTTTAACCCGGTCAGACTCATTGTAAGAAAGCATTAATATCTGCTGAAGTGGCTTTGATTTCGAAGAGAAAGACAGGCCAGTTCTCCCTGCGGGCAGCGCACTGTCTTGAGGATGCACCAGTTCGGAAGGCAGCTTGAGATTCCCATCATGCTCCTGCATAGACACAGTTTCTCTCCCTTCCTTGAAAAATCATGGACTAGTGTGGAAAGGGCACAAAACAGATTTCTGGGCAAACACGTGCAAAACGGACATGGACCAGAAATAAACCAATTTGTTCAACCTCTGTGTGTGTGTGAGAGGGCAGGGGAGGAAGCACTTTGGCCTGCGAACAGTAAATATGTGACTGTGTTTCCGAAAATACCTGGCTTTTGAAGCCCAGGTACAGAGAGGTCTGCCCCACCTTCCAGGACCACCTCTTCGCTTCCTCAAGCCATGCGTCCCACTGCAAGGCGTCCACTGCTGAGCCCCTCTTTCCGAAGCATCTCTGATTCTCAAGTGCAGAGCAGGCCTTTCTGTATTCTCATCACCCTGTTCCAGGCTTAGCTTTAGTTCCGGGCTGACATGCAAACCCTTTTCAGGTCTTGAGTCCACTGGTCTGTCTGCCTCCTGTTAAATGGATGGTGGGAAGCAGGACGGAGATAGCAGAATTTGTCTGCATTTGTAGCAAGACTAGTTGGTGGAGGGGAGCAGAGCGCGGTCTGGGCCAGCGCCGTGACACATATGCCGATGTCTCCTGAGCCACTGCAGCCCAGCACTCCTGCCTTTCCGAAATCCTTGCTTACTGATCCTTGCATGGGGTAAAATCTTGCTGAGGCAATGAAGGAAAAATCCACATTCAAGGCTTTGTCGCTGTTGTGCTCGCTTACGTCCCACGTTCGCAGGCTGGAAGCGACCAGCCTTGTGTTTTTCCAACGTATCATCATTGTGGCTTTTTGAGTTCTATTTCTGGTTTCTGGAACTTAAAAATAAATGTACTCTCCACTGCTTACAGGAATTCTCCCTGTGTGTGGCTAGGGACCAAAGGAGCAAAGGAGTGACACGGTTAGATATTCGGCTTCTTGTTTTTGTTTTAAGCTGACGCTGTGCAACACACACTAGACTGCCCAGAAACTGCATCTTCGCTGCAATGCCATGGATAGCATCTTCTCCTCATATTAGCTTCGCGACCTTCATGACTTAAATGTCAGAGTGACTTTTCTTGAAGCTTGGAATCTCCCCCTGAGCCCCTGGCACTCACACGGGTGGCGTTTCTCTGCTGATCTGGTAGATTCGAGGCTGCAGTTTGGTGAGAAAGGTCTTGCTGCGGATGCAGAAGGTCCATGCTGTGCGTGTTCCCCGGCGAGTGGCTTGGCTGCGCGCAGGCACCTTCCTGCATTCTGGTGTAGCTTTTCACTCTTTCTGATGTGGTATTTAAACGCGAATTTCATTCTATTGCATTTTGGTCCTTCCTCTTTTCTGCTGCAAGCCTCCTTGATCATTTTAACTGCAGGACAGGATTCGGTCTTTCATAATGAACACGTGAATGTCCTGAGAGGGGGCAGGGGCTCGGCATAGCTGCCAGGCCCGTGCCTAGCATAAGAAGCTTGCTGGGCCAGCCTCTTCCCTGCCCCAGGGCAACTGCCTCCTCCTAAGGGCAGCAGAGGGGAGGGTATCTTTCTTTGGAGTCCCTGGAGAAGAGCGCTAGCCACAAGCGGGAGGAGCGCAAGCCACATCAAGCACATCAGGCAGGTGCTAGGTCCTCTTCATTACAGCCGATCTGGTGATAGAAACCAGCTTTCCAGATCTTGCAGCAAAGCTTATATCATTTACGGGGCCCAATAAATCCAACAGCCCAGGCAGAAGCAGTAGGCACACTGCTTTAACTGTTTAAGTGAAAGCTCCAAGGGGGGAACCCACACAGATTGAGAGTCAGTGTTCCAGTCCAGGGAAATGGGGGCATCATTCACAGCAATGTCTTTCTCAGCAGCTCAGCTGCTGCACTGGCTTCAATACAGGAGTGAGACTGCTGCTGCTCCCCCTCCAATGCTCTCTCTGGAAAGGGGAATCTGGCCCATGAGTGAGCACGACATTCAAGAGGGCCTCTCTGTCCGCCGTCTTCGCCTGACATCTTCCCCTGGCAATGCACACACGTTCCCCTCTCCCCACAGAATCTGCTCCCTGCTCGGTTTGCACACAGCCAGGCTGTAAAAAACAGTCCCCTTCCGAGGCTGACTTTTACGGCTGTGGCTGGTTGGGAGGACCACCCTGTTTCGCCTGTGATCATACGGGAAGGTATGCAGAGCTGAGCTCCAGGCCCCAAACTTCCCATGACTGTGCTAGGTTCGAAATCTGCTGTGCTTGGTAGGCCCAACAGCAGCCTTCACGAAGAGGAATGCAGACTGCTCCTTCCGCCCACCCCGTCTGCAGGCGTCTGATGGCAGCACTGCAGCTGTGCAGGATGGGCTGAATCTGTTCAGCGTAACCTTCAGCAGCAGCCAAAATCCGATTTCATTCTGGCATCCAATGCACCTTTGATTTCCCTTTTAATTTTAATAGCACTAGTGCACGGCCTTTGTGATTTATTTAAGTATGTTGTTGAGTCTGGCTTCTGATTTCCTGATCTGACCAGCTACCGAGCGGTCTGCACCTCTCTTGCCGCCAAATGGATTCTGCTCTGTAGGAGCCAAAAGTTGCTAAGTAGTGACTCGGGCAACAGACTGTGCTCACTTATGCAAAGGGTGAGCTTCCCTGGACAAGGTGGGATTTTCTTCTCCGTAAATATGCACCAACGCTGCTGCAGTCCCGTGCTGTCAAGTTGTCTCTGACGCGTGGCGACCCTCAGACAAGCGCCCCCTGAGAGGCCCTGTTCTTCACTGCCCTGCTTAGCTCTTGTGAGCGCAAGGCTGTGGCTTCCTGTGTGGAATCGATCTAACTCATAGCTGGTCTTCCACTGTCGACGTTTCCTAGCTCCAGCAAGCCTCGCCTTCCCCTGATATGCCCAGCAGCTTTGGTTTTGCCGTTTTTGTTTCCAGGGAAAGCTCTGGCTTAATCTGGCCTAGCACTGACTAGTCTGTCTTTCTGCCAGTCCAGCATGTTTGCATCCAGCACAGTTTGGATACACCCGCCTTGGTCCCCCCGGCCCCCGTATTGTGCATCTCCTGTGGCATCACCACTTCTCCCTGGGTTCAGGCACAGATATTCCCTAGTCTGCTGAGACGCTGCTGGAGTTTGAATCCAGGACCTTCCGCAAGCAAGGCAGGCACAAATCCGTCGCCCTTTGTCCTCTCCCTCCTCCCAGTGAAACCCCTGCAACAGCCTTCTAAGAGACGTCCGGAGACACGTCGTAATTGCACAGGATAAAAATACCCATATATATAAATATATATGCTTGATTAACTTGATGCAAGCCAGCCAGATTAAGCACAGGTATTTCAGACGTCAACAAGGAAAGCAAAAAGCAGAGGCAGAGTTCTGTCCACGGAGGCCAGTGAAGGAGAAGCCGAATCCAAACCAAGGGCCTGACCAACCTTCCGCCGCCTTCCAGTGGCTGCCACCCTCCTCTCAGGCAGACCTCGTTGCCTGCGGACCCTCTGCCCAAGACTGGCAATGGCCGATCGGCCTCCTCCCCACTGGCAGGCTTGCCTGGTCTCCCCAAGGGTTTGCAGCGAGCAAGTCTCAGCGGCCCCCAGCTTATCTGTGGGCCACTACCCGTGGCTCCTCAGCCACAGACACCCACCCCTCCTCCTGGGCTGACCCAGGATCTGCTCTTTGGCCGGGGAAACGGGCTCTCCCTATGGTTCCACTAAGTTACTTTGTACAATGGTTTTATACCAGGCAGTTTTCTTAAGAAGCAGTTTTATAACTCTCTTGCTTAAGCGGGTGCTAAACCACTGCTTGGACCCACCAGATAATCTCCTTCTGATAAATGTAATTAGACACAGCGGGCAAGGGTTCAGTGTTCAGGTGGCGAGACAAACCTCTGCAAATCTGCACCTTAAGACTGCTTATCCTGAAACTGATCCATGCAACCAATTTTTTAGATGGTGCTCTAGATGCCTCTTCCAGAGCCGTATTAACAATCATGTCAAGCTCAGAGGGAATATTAACAATGCCACCCGCAGCATGTCCTGCAGATTTGTCACAGTCTCTAAGGGTTCCAAAACACCCTTCTCAGGGTCCAGGGGCAAGAGTCCGCCTGCCACTTCAAGGCGCTCTGCTGGATGGCTACCGGAGGGTGCAGCGGTTCTCAAAAAGCAAGATGCTTTCCTGCCCTTGCTGCCATCAAGCAAGAATGTGCTCTTCCTTCTTGCCGGACATAATTACTGCAAGGCTTGCCTTCTGCGCTCTGCTCTCCCATTTACATGAAAAACTCGTTTGGATCCACCTTGTGTTAGCTGTTCCACTGGTGGAACGTTTCCCCAACATTTCCACCATGGTGCTGGCCCACCTCAGGTCCTGACAAATTCTGTAGTCGCTCAACCGTCACCTGTGGCTCAGGTGTAGGAATTGCTCGGTCACATCCTCTGTCAGCACACTGCGTGATACCTGGCATTTATCCCAAAGTCACCCTGTGGATTTACATCCTCATTACTATACCAGCCTAGCTCTATATTAGTTTCTCTGCTCTTGCTTTCTTTCTCAATATGCACACATTACATTGTTTAACTTTTAGAATGAGAGGAACTGCAAAACTGAAAACAAAATTTATGTTTAAAACTGAGTAGTTGTTCTTGAGCATTTCAAAAACGTTATTTTACTGTTCACTTTTTTCTATGTTCTCTGAAACTTTTAACACATGTTGCAGCATTTTGTAACAGTAGATGGGACCATTTAGTGGGCAACAAAATAGGGTTCCCTGAAATGGATATGGAGTCCATAATGTTTTTCCCCCCTCTTAGTGGCTCAGTATCATTAATACCTGCTTTGTAGTTGAAACCTAAGAAGCATTTTTTGCAGAACACTTCTGGTGGTAAATTCCAAAAGTGAGACAAAATTAGAAAAAAAGAGTGCATTTTGTTTCTTGCTTATTGGAAAAGCAATAGAAGAGGGAGGAACTGGTGTGCAAATGCTGTAGAAGAATCCTTTTGCTGGAAGAACCACAGTTCCCTGGAGGGATTTCATTGATATTTAATCCAGGTCCAGAGTGGTCAGGCCAGTAAGAATGGACCTTGCGGTTGATTAGTGCTGTTCATAAATATTGCATCAGGATCTTGCTTGGTTTTATAGCTGTTATGTTGAGCAAAGGCATCAAGCGCTGGATCGATACAGACGTAAAACTCAGATAAAAACAGCATGCTCGTATCTAAGGCACACAGCGGGGCTGTGAGATTTAGTCCAGAACCAGGGACTTACTGCCTTTCCTGTTGTGAGGGGTGCATGAGATGACCGGACATGGTTCAGGGGATTCACACACATACATTAACGACATCCTGCTTCTGATTTCTCCTAGTGGCGAAAGTGGAGCTGGGAAGACTGTAGGAGCCAAGTACATTATGAGTTACATCTCCAAAATTTCAGGAGGCGGCCCTAAAGTGCAGGTGAGCTGACCGCAGTTGGACGGGAAATATCTGGGCAACAATCATCAACCCACCGTGAGGTCTGACCTCAGGCTCTGCTTATCCATTGGTTCTTGGGATGCTTACCCATTGAATTGAACTCCTGTGGCACTTGATAGCTTAACTTTAGGGGAAAATTCCCAGTTCCTTGGGGACGTCCTCATTTCCTTATTTGCAATGAGCTCAGGTTGTACTCGGACAGGTGGAGATGAAATTCTTGATGGCCTCCTGATGCTCTTTCCGCATTAACTGGTGGTGATGGCAGTGTGCGGAAGAGAGAGCATGGCTCCTTTGCCTGGCCATTTCATGTGCCTTCTCCTGGCTCCACACAGCCCCTCCTGCCAGCAGGGATGAAGCATTTAGAACGCCCTTTTTGGAAGGCAGCATCAGGGGCTGGAGCAGCTTGTCTATGAGGAAAGATAACAACTTCTTAGTTGCCTTAGTTTAGAGGAAAGGCAAATGAGGGGAGACCTGACCTTGGGTGTTCAAGGATAGGCTAGACGTGCACATGGTAGGCATGTCGTGAGCGAAGCCGGCTAGAGCCGGGGGTCAGACTAGATGGCCCGGGGGGAGCCCTTCCGACTCGCTCTGTTTCTATGTTTCTACGACAGATGGTGTGGAGAAACTGGAGAGGGAAGCCTTATAATACTTAAATATAAGATTTCAGGGCGCACGTTCCCCAGTCCTTTTGGTACACCTGGAATACTCATGCCATTGCTTGAGATGTGGATGCTTTTGTCTCAAATGCCATCTCAAAGTGCGCGCTTCCCCAGGCCCCATAGAAAAAAGTACAGGTTTGGACACAGATGCTGTGCGTTGTGTGTTTTGCCTTCTTTAGAGGGCGCTTTCAGGTTAAGGTTAGGGTTAGGCTGCATGCACATGAGTTGCACTGGCTGAAGGGAACGTAGTGGGCTAGCTCTGGAGTTTGTCTGATGGGTGTTCATGAAGTCATTGGCAGGCAGGCTATTTTAGGGAACTGGTGGCTGCTTCCTTCGGCCGGGTGGCTGTCAGTCTTGCCCCTTAGATCCCTGTAATTTATTTGCTTTATTGTACTCATGTCGATTGTGTCCTTCCTGTTTTTAGCAGGGGAGACAATGATAGTTTAGTCTCTATCAGTAGCTGAAGAAGGAGCAATGGAACGGAAATGTGCACTGTGTTAGTTCTGGAATGACTTTAATCGCATACTATAAATAACATTTCTCAGTCATTTCACCCTTTCTGCAAAAGCCAAACTCAAACTGATCTCCTGCCAGAAAACAGGTGATGAAGTGGACACTAATCTCTTTGATTACTCGAAAGGGAGGCAAGAGGGCAGGAGTGTGTGTGTGTGGGGAAGATTTAATATTTCCCTGCTCCTTTATTAGGTTCTCCATCCACCTATCTGAGGCAAGTGTTCTCCTGCAACTTTTGAACAGGAGCGTAGGAATGCATAAATAAATCACAAAGAAGATGGATGAGGGGGAAAGAAGCCCTGTTGGATCAGATGCACAGCCCCTCGCCCTCATTCTGTCCACACAGTGGCCACCCGGTGGCTGTCGGGAGGGGACACGGGTGCAGTGGCACTCTCCCACTGGTACTTTCCAGCAGCTGCTGCTGAGACACAAGGCCTCTGGGCCTCTGATGTGGCAGGGTTTTCTGTAGCTGGCATTGGCTTTCCAATGAAAAGGCTTTATTATGTTCAAGAGGGCCAACTCGGCTGGCTTCGTAGTGCAAAGGAGGAGAATTGTGGAAGCCCATGCGAAAAGCAAGAAGGACCGAGTCCAAGCTGAATACCTCTCCTCCTTTCCCAAGACGAAAGGAAAAGCCCACCCTCTGGGGAGGGCTCTCTTGTTTCGGGCCAATGGCTGGGTGCACCGGAGGCTCCTCCGTGGGCTTGCCCTCTTCACCTGATGCTGTGACTTCGGACAAGTGATGCCAAGTCTCCCTCCACAAACTGCCTGGCTCTCAGGGACTGCCTGACTGTCTCGAGGTCCAGCACCGTTGGCATTTCAGCTGCAGGTTCTTGCCCCACCACGTTGCCTACAACCTCTAAAGGCTCTTTATAGGAGCGGGTACAGTCTCTGCTGTTCGGACCAGTAGCCATTATCTATTCCGCTACTGTACTCTCTAGCAACTTTCTCTCTTCCAGGTGGATGCCTCTTCCTGGATTTGAGACCCTTTTCATTTAGAAGTGCCGGGGGCTGAACCTGGAGTGCATTCCCTCCACAGAGCTTCTCCTACACAAATTTGCTCAGTCCTGACCAAAGTGGGATTTGTAGCCCAGCACACCTGGAGGGCCCAGGCTGGGGAAGGCTGAAGTAGCATGTTGTCTCTTTTCTTTTCCTCCCCCTCAAAAACAACTGGATTCCCCCAAAAACAGGGTGAGCTTCCAACTTTGTGCCAAGATTTCCAGGAAAGGATTTCTGCAGCTTCCCATGATGGCCACTTGTTCATGATGACAGGAATGGTCTCGCAGGAACAAACCTAAGGTTCTCTCTAGCACTGTGCCTCTTCTTTGTAAAGGTTTGGGAAGATTAAGGAAGATGGTTGTTCTTATCCAAGGTCTCTTTCCTATATTTAGCTAATCCATTTATTATTTGTTTGCAGCACGTGAAGGACATTATTCTGCAGTCAAATCCTCTGCTGGAGGCTTTTGGGAATGCCAAGACAGTTCGAAACAACAATTCCAGCAGATTTGTAAGTCTCTCTCTTTGGTAACTTGCAAAAAGCAGCATGACATGGGACAGAGAAGGACTGTGATCTTAACTAATCTCTGTAATGCAACTAATTCCATTATTTATTTCCTTGTTGGCACTGAAAAGAACCAGCTCCACTCTACACCTTTCTTAGTGGGATGGAAAGAGAAGTGCCACAATACCACCAACCAAAATCCATTTTTTAAAAATCTTCTTTCCCTTCACCCCCTGCCCCAGCAAGCTGAAGACCTCATGCAAAAAGCTCTTGGAAGAATTGCTTCTGTTTCACTATCCAACTTTAACCTGAAGCATGATGGACAAAAAAACATTCAAGCATTTAGCAAGACTTCTCATGGAGATGAATATTTACTTTATCCATTTTCAACAATCTGCATCCTTTATTTGTTGCAGGGGAAATACTTTGAAATCCAGTTTAGTCCAGGTGGGGAACCAGATGGAGGCAAGATATCCAACTTCCTGCTGGAGAAATCGCGGGTGGTCATGAGGAATCCTGGGGAAAGGAGCTTCCACATTTTTTACCAGGTTCGATGCCTTTGGAGAGGGGGCAGGTTTGCTTTTTTTTTAAAAAAGAACAATGTCAAGGTTTCTGAGTTGGCTTTTTTTAATGTCAGGGTTTTTCACTAGATAAAAGGGAGCATTCACAGCCTTTTCCTGCCTTCCCCAACCCAACCCGGAACCCTTCAGATATGTTGGGCTGCAACTCCCATCACTCCCAGCCAGCAGGATGGGCGCTGCGGTTCAACACCTCTGAAGGGCACCACACTGTCCTGTCTGAGCGCCACTAGGATGAGCAGCGGCTTCTCCCTTCTGCTTTTGGTAGGTGTGCAGGAGACGGTTGGGTTAGCAGGTCCCCCAGCCCTTCGGCTGTCTGTACAGGAGCTGTTGACAATCCCTGGCACGCATAGGGCTCTGTTGCCCAGCTGGAGCCCCCAAGCTCAGGCAGAGAGGACCCCGCCCCGGAGCCCTGCCGTCCTCTTGCAGCCCTCCTTTTTAACTGGAGCCCCTGCGAAGGGCTCTCAGAGTGTTGGTGCTGGACCTCTGCCCTCCCAAGGACCCAGTTCCAATGGGAGGAGCTCCTCCGAGCTGCTCTGCAGGGCTGGTGGAGCTTAACTAAGAAAGGTGGGACCAAACCCACCACTCTCTCCTGCTTAAGCTCCTGCCAGCACCCTGGCCTCTGGAGAGGCATTCGGGCCTTCTGGAAGCGGGGAGTCAGACAAAGCAAGGGCGGCAGCCAGCAGTGCTGCTCCGGAGAGGGCCTGTGCCTGACCATCTGCGGAGCCCAGGGGTGAGTGGCCTGGATTTGGCGAGCAGGCCTGCGGTGTTGTGCGCCCGCTCGACATTTGTTCTGTGATGAACACGAGAGCTGCTGGTTTTACTTCAGCAAGATCAACAGTGCTGCCCTCCGGAAAATGAAACCCGATTCCCAAGCACAGGCAGGAGCGAGGGCAGCTAAGAGTGCAATTTCTGCTTTCCCCCCTGCAGCTGATTGAAGGGGCTTCCGTGGAGCAGAAGTCCACCCTCGGCATCACTAGCATGGACTATTATCACTATCTGAGTCTCTCAGGATCCTACAAAGTGGAGGACATCAATGACAAATTGGATTTCCAGGAAACACTGGTAAATCCCCCCCTGCGCCCCCCCATTAAGTTTCTGATTTAAGTAAAAAGGGAGCGATATTTCCCTACATATTGTGATAACAATGCCAGCCTGCCTTACTTCGTTTGTTTGTTTGTTTGTTTGTTTGTGTGTTTCTTTTCAGTTCTGTTCTGCTCCTTTAGCCGGAAGGGCTCTGGTTATTTTAAGGACTGTCTTATCTTTTGAATGCTATAAAAACTATCTTGGAAGAGTTTCAACTATTTGCTCAAAGAGCATGTGGAATTCCTGGGACTGGTTTTCAGTGCACCCACTGCTCTTCCCCACCCCTTCTCCCTTTATTCTCACAGCACGCCATGAACGTGATCGGGATCTTTGCGGACGAGCAGGCTTTGGTGCTGCAGATCGTGGCTGGGGTACTCCACCTGGGCAATATAAGCTTCAAAGAAGTGGGCAACTATGCTGCTGTGGAGAGCGAGGAGTGTAAGTGGCCCCCAAAAGTGGGGCTCCAAGTAGTGCTTGGTTGGGGCTGGCGGGCGGGGATGGCCCTGTGGGGAAAATGCTGGGAGCAGCCCGCCCAGTTGGCTCCTGCCCCCGCCAGAGATGGCCGGGCACCTGTGGCAGCAGGAGCAGGCCGGAGTGGCTGAGGAGCCCAGGCTGGGGGCAGGCCTCCACAAGCCCCTTGCGACGACGCTGACGGACCGCTGGCCCTGCCTGCTGGAACAGCTGCGCTCCCATGCAGCACCCATGTGACTCCAAGGGACGTGCGCGGGAGACTGCTGCCTGGCTGTGTGACGGGCAGGAGGCTCGCTTAGTTCTCCCTTGGAATTCCCGTATGAACAGGCTCGCTAGCTCAGGAGCGAACGAGACCAAAGTACAGCATGGCCTCTGTTTGCGGAACATGTGGAGGCACTCTTTGAAAAGCCTATTTTTCGGCCTTCGTTTCAGTGGGCTGCTTGTCCAGAGTCATCTGGCATCGATTTTGCTGCTTCTCTCCTTTGGACTCCATCTTTGTACCGCTGCTGCCTCAGCTAAGCTTGCCGCGATCCTATTTTTATCTCTTGCAGTCTTGGCGTTTCCAGCCTTCCTTCTGGGTATTGACCAGGGCCGCCTCAAAGAGAAGCTGACCAGCCGGCAGATGGACAGCAAGTGGGGGGGCAAGTCGGAATCCATCCATGTGACCCTCAACGTGGAGCAGGCCTGCTACACCAGGGATGCCCTGGCCAAGGCGCTTCATGCCAGAGTCTTTGACTACTTGGTGGATGTAGGTGGCCTTTTGGGGGGGCGGGGGGCTGTCCCTGGAGGACTGCAAACCGGCGTCCGTCATAAGGGCTACAATGCCCCTGTGGGGCTGTTTCTGTCAATCAGAAAACCCTGCTGAACACCAACTGTGCTGCAATGAAAGGCACTCTTGACTGTGCCCCAGTTTTGGTCTGTTCCACCCACCCTTCCCTGCCTCCAGTTTGGTACCTGCCTCCTCAACCGTCAGCAGCATTTTATGCCCCCTGACCTGCTCCTGGCTACAAAAGCCCTGGCTGAGTGTACAGGCGCACTTTGCTGCTTCCTACTCTGTAGAACTGACTGGCTTTAGAAAAGGCTGCCTGGATTAGAACCAGGACCACTTGAGGCGCTTTGTGCAGAAGGGCAGGCCGTTGACACGAGAGGTGGGAGCGGAGGGGGAAAAGGGAAACTTGAGAGTGTGGAAGAAAAGTATGAAAGAATTGGAAAAGCAGAAGGGAAAGATGACAAAAGCTTTCCTAAAAGCACAAAAATGTCACGCTGACTCCCTTATGAAAGGGTGTGTGACAGGCAGACCCGCAAGCGTCTTGAAAACAGTCATTTTCTCCCGCCTGCATCTCTGCAACCTCTTCCTTGTAAATCACCAGCCCGCCTTTCTTGTCTGGGGCAAGCCTGGGGTTACCATTATTAGCAATTTTATTTCTATACTGCCCAATAGCTGAAGCTCTCTAGGCAGTGTAAAGCTATTCATGCCATGACAGTATAAAATAAAAACAAGCATCATAAAGTTCACTTCAGACTTTTAAAAAGCAATTTTTAAATGATTTAAGCAACTAAGACAGATTAATACAAGTAACTCACCCCCCCTAGTGCTATTTAGAGCTGCTAAATGCCCCAGCGCAAAGGGGGTCTTAACCTGGTGTGAAAGGACAGGAGGTTGGTGCCAGGTGGGCTTCAGTGGGGGGGTGCTTCCACAGTTGGGGGCGGCCGCAGAGAAGGCCCACTTCCTTGTGCCCTCCCCCCCAAGCAAGCCTCCCGTGGAGGCCACATCTGCAGGAAGGCCCCAGGCTGCAGATTAAAATCTGTGGGCCCATTTTAAAAAGTGTGTCGAAGCGTTTTAAATTTTACATTATTAATTGATCTAAAAGACCACTGTCTTGCTCCTTATGCAATTCTTTCATTATCTGTTTTGTTTTATCAGTCTATTAATAAAGCTATGGAAAAAGATCATGAAGAATATAATATTGGGGTCCTGGACATCTATGGCTTTGAAATATTTCAGGTAATCCATTCAAGGTGGCTGGGCATCTTTGCGTGGCAGCGACATTGTCTGTCTTTTTCACCTGAGCAAGCACAAGCCTGTGGGTCACAGGCAGCTCTCAGGGGCTCCCGTGTGGTGGGTAGCCTGGACCGTAGCTCCCTGGCAGGCTGCTGGGAGCCAGATTCTGCAGGAAAACCAGGAGCACCGGCATAGTACTCTTCTAACGCCCTGACTGGAAAGAGCTTCTCCCGGGGCCTTGCGCCGAGTGCCCTCGCCATCCCATGTAAAAGAGGTGGCACCTCACACGTAGAACTCCCTCCCCCTATCGATCCTCCGGGCTCCCTCTTTGCAACTCTTCAAACAGAAGCCAAAAGATGTCGCTTTTCTCCATCACTTTTCCCATTTTCTGCACTATTTTTAATTTGGAAACTTGCTGCTGCTGGTTGGTTTATAGTGACATTGGCAAGTGTTTATTGGCCTGTAGTTCTTGTGTGTGTTGGGGGCTGCATTCCATTGAGAGATGGGTTGGTCCTACTGAGAGGTGGAAAGCAGATTTTGCCTTTCCTGCTACTGGATCTGCCACTGCAGTATATTTTCCTTTCTAGAAATTAAGTACAGTGATTTGTTTTTTATGGGAGAAGGGAAAAGGTTCCATGCAGGAGGCGGGGGCTGAATTTGTAGTCTGTCTAGTGCTCTTATTTGCATAGCCCAATGCTGGACTCTCAATCTTGGGCAAGAATCTTTAGCACACTTACTTGGAAGTAAACAGTGTTGAACCTGGTGAATATGTGTAAGATTGTGCTGTTAGGCTTGCTTAAATATAGTGGAATATAGGGCCGGGATGATCTTATTTGTATCATTATTGCTTTACTGGATTCATTTCCCCTGCACCTTTCATAGCAAATGCTTCCAGAGCAGCTGACAGAAATGTTTCCCAGTCAATGCAGTGTAACTGAAAACAAAAACTAATTTGTAGCAAGGCATTTCACATAAGGCCGTGCAAAGTTCAGAGTCTGAACAGATCTGTGCAGAAGGGAAATGTAAGGTGCTCCAGGAACAAAAAGAAGTTCTGAGTTTTTCTGGGCGTTCGACCAAAGACGGCAGTTCTGTGGCAAGAGTGCCTTTAATGAAAACCCAAATCTTGGAAACAGCTTTGGGGAATTTAGGTTACTGACCTCTCTGGTGAGGCAAATGGCACAAATGTGAAAACCATCTGCTAAGGTCATTGAAAATATAATGCGGAAAAGAATAAGGATTGACCTAATGAATAAGAGAAGTGTTGATACGGAGGGGCTGAAGTCAATGTTTTGATGGCTTGTTTTTCCTTCCAGAAAAATGGATTCGAACAGTTTTGCATCAATTTTGTCAATGAAAAGCTGCAGCAGATCTTTATTGAACTGACACTGAAGGCAGAACAGGTAAAAACAAAGAAGAGCTGCCACCTGGCCATGCAAAAGCCCACAGTGGGATGGCTTTTCCACTGACGACGACTTAAAATTTGCCTTGTGGAGAAAAGGACAAAGAAAAAAACTGTTGCGGTTTAAATAGCCCAGATGCAGAAGTAAACACAGTCGTGGAAGCAGGCACATTTTCTCCTCTGATACAGTGGCCCAAGAGTGCGTCTCCTGAACCAGAATAATCTTCCCATCATATGACTTCTCTATAGATGCTGACTTGCTGTCACAGATGGAAAAACTGTGCCTGGCTTTGCATTTGTGTTGGATGAAGGACCCAAGTTAGCTGCTGTTTTCTCAATTTCCTTGCTGCCTGACAAGGGGTCGTATGTTCCCTTGCTACCTGCCTTTCTGAAGACTCGGTTGGTGTGATTTGGTCCCTAAATACTAGTTTGGAGCAATGCACCTGGTTTATTGGGAATTTGTTATATCTTACTCACTGCAAGTATATGGATTGTAATATTTAGTGGCCCAATGGAACTTGATCTGAGTTACCTAGAATACCCCATTAAATAGCCATAAGAGTAAGTAAACTCTGAGGAAGAGCCCTGTGATGCTTGCAAGACTGCCTGCTCCAGCACATAAATTTAATTACGCTTTGTCTGGGCTTTAACCTGTAGACTGTTTCTAGTGCCAGTGATGAATCCTAGAGCAGGCAATAGTAAAGCAATCATGGAAAAACAATTAACAGTACATTTTAGACTGGGCCAAATGCCTTTCCTTCATCTGGATAAGCTTGGACAGCATTGTAGAACTGGGATTTATGGAAAGGCTCACAAGTCAGGTGAGCTGCAGCTGGAGTCCCCTTTGTTGAGAAGCTAAGTACCACCTGTGCTGTCAGATGTTCACTGCCTAGCAGTGCTGCCTGCCGCCACAAAATTAATTCACACCATAGAATTTGCTACAGAAATTGGGTGGGCTGGCAGGGAAGGAAGCAACGATTTTGCCTTAAATAAGGCACATGGGAGAAGTGGTTTTTTCCATGTAAAATTGCTATGCCGTTGCTGCGGCGTTTGCTGTCATTCCGAGGCATTTCGGTGGCAAATATGGCTGGCCATTCAGGGGCAGTGCCTTCAGCATTATTACTGTTGGTATCATACGGTCTTTATACAATTCTGTGGTTTGACCACACTTGGAATACTGTGCCAGTCTGGTCACTGCACTTAAAAGAGGATGTTGTGGGGTTGGAAAAAGGGCAGAGAGGGGCAGCTCAGAAGATCAAGGGGCTGGAACAACTCCCCTATGAGGAAAGGGTTCTTTTTTTTAACTTACAGAAAGGCAAGCAAGGGGAGACCTAATAGAGGTGTACAAAATTAGGCAGGGTGCAGAGAAAGTGAATAGGGGGACATTTCTCTCCTACTTTTGTAGTCCTAGAACCCAGGGTCATCTCATGAAGCTGATTCAGGACAAAATTATGCATGAAGTGCAGAAAGTAGATAGGAAGATGTTTTCCTTCTTCACTCCTAATACCAGAACTCAGAGGGGTCATCCATGAAGTGGATTGGTGGGAGATTCAGGGCAGGTAAAGGGAAGAGCAGTTCACACACAGCATACGATTGAACCACGGAATTTGCCACCACGAGATGCAGCTGTGGCTACCCCTTCAGAGGGGGCTGTTTAAATGTCCCCTAGTCCTGGCTGCCACGTGCTGCCTCCAGTTCCAGGCTGCAGGATGCTTGTAGGGGGCAGCTTGGGCTGGGGGTGCTTTGCACTCACATCCTGCTTGTGGGATCCCGTGGGCTGGTCACCAAATGAAAGCAATGCTGGACTGGGGTGGGGTGGGGTGGGGGGCTTGGGGTCTGATCCAACCCACAGGCCTTTCTTAAGTTCTTATCACAACGCTAATAAATGTGCCTTTCCCCGGAGCGCCTGCCTCCACGAAGACAGGCCAGCTGTGTGGCACCGGTCTCACCTGAGTTCAGTGGTTTTGCAGGTGGAGGATTCCAGCTGATGCCGCTTCTTATGCCCTGGTGGCACCACGGTGCAGCCAAAGGAGCCCTCTGCAACTGCCCAAAGGGTGCCATCCCCTTCTCTAAAAGTCATTTGCTGTTGGGTCTGTTTTACAGACATTTTGGTACCGCCATGCTTTTCCGTCTCCGCATTTCCATTTCTGAATTCATCTTTCTGAATTGCAGGAAGAATATGTGCAAGAAGGGATCCGTTGGACGCCCATAGACTACTTCAACAACAAGGTCGTTTGTGACCTCATAGAGAATAAAGTGGTAGGTGCGGGAATCCTACACAGAGGTCCCTCAACTGTGACTCAGTTTTTTAAAACCTGAGCCCTTCTGCATGGAAAGTGAATGCCCTCCTACTGAACTGCAGTATCTCCCCACATGTTCGGCAACTTCTTGCCAGATAGAACCCCAAAAGGGGTTTCTGAAGACATGTTTGAATATTCATGTGTGTTGGGCTGCAGCTTCAACCATCCCCAGCCAGCACAGTCCATGGCTGTGATCTATGAGGCTGACGCGAGATGTCATCCTATGCATCCCCTTGACTGGGGAAAGCTGGGGGGCCTCCCGTTTGCCCTCAGCACCCTTCTGTTTCTCTTGCCACACCAGAATCCACCGGGGATTATGAGCATTCTGGATGACGTCTGTGCCACGATGCATGCGGTGGGGGAGGGAGCTGACCAGACCTTGCTGCAGAAGCTCCAGATGCAGATTGGGACGCATGAGCACTTCAACAGCTGGAATCAGGGCTTCATCATCCACCATTATGCTGGAAAGGTGCCTGGGGAGATGGAGGGGAGCCAGATGCCATTCCCAGCTGGTCGTAGGCTGGGTCCGGCTGCCGGGTATCATTCAGAATCCAGAAAGAACACCGTTGGGTGGGGCAGTCAGGTCTTCTCTTGCTTGGCAGTATTTGGTCCCCTGGTGGTCCACTTTAAGGCAGGGGTGGGGAACCTGTGCTCGTCCAGATGTCTTGGCCTCCCCCTCCTAGCAGCCCCAGCCAGAATAGCCAGTGGTCAGGGTTGATGGGAGTTGCATTCTTGCCAGAAAGGCTTGTCTGTGTCCTTATTGGAAGGTAGCATTCATGTTCATGGGGAAGATGAGTGGGTGGAAATACTGACCTTTGGCACTGGAAACAACACAGGGCAGCCCTCTCTCTCTGCTTGTTTTGTCCTCTCCCTTTCCCAAATTGCCTTGCTCAAACAGAAACCATTGACTGGTTCTGACATGCAGCTAGCCCTTAATTTCTATAGGTCAGCCTCTGCCAACATGGCACCCTCCAGACTGGCCTTACTACAACTCCTGTGACCCCAAGAAAGCATTGGCCACAATGTCTGGGAATGATGGGCATGATAGTTCCACACACCTGAAGAGCATCACGCTGGGGAAGGGTAATGCAGGTTGTGACTCAATGCACTACTGCATTTTCTAAAAGAGTGCAACGTGAGTTGCAATTGCTTCTCTTTTCTCAGGAGAAAAGTTCCATATCTTGGCATACCTATTCCTTGTGGGAGAAGTAGAGGTTTGAGCATTTGAGTTGCAATTGCTTCCTTTCCCCAGGTGTCCTATGACATGGATGGATTCTGCGAGAGGAACCGAGATGTTCTTTTCATGGACTTAATTGAACTCATGCAAAGCAGTGAATTGTACGTAAGATGTGCTTCCTGGCACTTGGGGTGATTCTTGTACACGTTCCTCTAGAACACTTGGTGTGTAACTGAGAACCACAATAGCAGAAGTGCTCAGATAGCTGTTCTGAGTTCAAATAGCAGGACGGGAAAGGTCCTATGAAATCCAAGAGGTTAATAGTATCAAGGAAAGCATTAGGAAAAACAGCACGTCCTTCAGGAAATGGAAGTCTTGTCCAAATGAAAGGAACAAAAAAGAACACATACTTGCACATAAGAAATGCAAGCAGGCAGAAAGAGGCAAAAATGACTTTTCAGCAGCATATTGATAACAGTGCCTAAGACCCAGGAAAGAGGAATGTGCTGGTTGGACTGTCAGATGATCATAAATCATGTGCACACATTAAATTCAGCTTCTTTACCATCAGTTCCTTGAGTCCAGATTTTGTATTGTACCTAAACGCTGCACATTTCTTTGCCTTCTTCCAGGCCTTTTATAAAGGCTCTTTTTCCAGAAAACCTCCAAGCCGATAAGAAAGGCCGGCCGACGACTGCTGGCAGCAAAATCAAGGTTTGTTCTGTTTCTTGGAGAGGTCAGTCTAGGGCTGTACTCAGCAGAGGGTGGGGATGTTGGGGAGCTGGCCTCCTCGAGAGTATCCCAGGGCTCTTCTTGGGATGCCCAAGCTTTACTTGAAAGGATGAGTACACCTCTACTACCTTTAGCGAGTACAGTTCTATCAGCTTACACACTTGGAACTGCTGTCAGTCTGGTTGCCCCTCATGCATCCTGCTTCCCTAGTCCTGTAAGTGGTTGGCACTCAGTGCAGCTTGCACACGCACATGCTGCCGGCCTGGCTGCTGCTCCTCCCCAGCCCTGTGAGTGGACCGTACACCTGTACGAGGAAATTCAGTAAGTGAGCGACCTGTTGATCCCTGTGGGAAGCCTGCAGATGGAATGGCTATGCTGGAGCACAGCCAAAGCTTTTAGGAGAGGCTGCTGTTGGTGGTTATGCATCTGAAAGCCTTCCTTTCTCGGAGATCCGTATCAGCAGAATTATTGCTCATTGCCTGTCAGTCTTTTGACTTCAGTACACTCTCTTGGCTTCCACTGTCTCTGATAAAAAGAAATTACTATCTGAGCTTGGAAAAGGAGCAGAATTGTTCTGGTTCTTCCTGAATGAGTGTCGCCTTAGCAATGGGGTGCCTCTGCAGAGGCTTTGCAGGCAGAAGGTGCTGAGTTCCATCCCAACCAGCATCTCCACAAAGGGCTGGAAAAACCCTTGCCTGAAATCCCGGGGAACTTAGCTGCTACTCAACATCTGCAGCACCAGTCTAGATGGGCCAAGGGGCTGACTCCATATGCAGCACCCGAGCTTCCACCCTTGGTCTTTCATCCCAGGATTGGGAGGGGCTGTAGGTTGGCGGTGGAGCTTCTGTGTTGCGTGCAGAGCGAAAGTTTGGCCCCTAGCATCTCCAGGTGGGGCGAGCTGGAGGAACCCTCCTTGGAGCCGGGGAGGGCCATTGCTGCCAAACACTGCCAACAGAACTGGGCTAGAGGCACGGGGAGGGCTTGTACTGGCCGGCATTTTACGTGTGTTTGACTCTTTCGGCAGAAACAAGCCAATGACCTTGTTGGAACCCTGATGAAATGCACGCCTCATTACATCCGCTGCATAAAGCCAAATGAAACAAAAAAGCCTCGAGACTGGGAAGAAAGCAGGTAAAAAGGTCACCCTCCCCAGTGCGGTGATGGGGGGCAGGTGATCCGGGGTGCATCAAGTGGACCATCTCACCCAGGCCTACGGCAAGCTTTGGTCACTGCGGGAAGAGGCAGGGCAACCATTTCACAGAACTGGGCGGTCCTTGCTTTTTGTTTCATCTGCGATGCTTCTATACCACAATGTACAATGAAATGCTTAAATAAAAGGCGAAGCTTCCCTTCCTGCTGCCTTTGGAAACGGAGATACGGAAGCTGGAAGCTGGGAAGGCTGTGTGGACAGATCGTGGAAGGTTTGCTGTTGAGTCGTAGCAAACTTTCCCTTTATAAGGGGCCTTCCAGCAGGAATAAATGGGATGTGCGGCAGCTGTTCCTTTCAGGAGGACCCACAAGGGCACACCTCTTGCTAAATGATGCCTGTGGTCTTTGTGTTCTCATTATTTTAATTTCCCTGCCTTACATGAACATCAGTTGGTGTGCACAGAGGTTATAGTAATGTTTGTCGGCCTGAAAAGTGTACATTTGAGTGGCAAATGAGCCAAAACCCCAAAAACTGATGGAGTGTACCTAAACAGTAAACCTAACTGGTTTACCTAAACAGTCCTTTGACAAGTTTGCCCCCTTTTAAATTAAGATTTTAACCAGTATTTTTCAGGTTTCTACTGGAGCCTAGTTAATTTCTTGTTAACATTTTGCTGCTTTTCCAGATTGCTGTTTTTACAACTTGGAGAATTCCTTTGCAAGTTTTTTGGAAGTCTTTTAAGTATGGGATGCATTGCCGATTTGTCTGTGTGGCTTCTTTCTAAAATCTAGACATTCCTTCCACATTGCTCACAGCACAACGTCCGCCCGGGTGGGGTGAACAGCAAGGAGGGGCTTGCTCCCTGGTCCTAAATCCCATGTTGCAACTGGCAGTGCCCTCTAGTTCTGTAAAATTTTAAAAATTGTGGTCAGTTAGTTGTTTTCTCCACTAATAAGAGTTCTCCATTCTCCTGCCAGCTTTTTTTGAAAAGTGAACTGTTCACAATATGATATACTAGGAGAATTAGAGTAGGGAATTTTGTTCCCATTCCAAAGCCTTCTGGTGGAGTAGCAGTAAAAAGAGCTGATTGTCCAAAATATATTTTCCTGTTTATAGATTCCCTCCTGCTCACATCTGGAATAATGCAATGGGGTGAACAGTTTAATTTTTTTTTACTGCTTTACCAGTGCCAGTGTCAAACTATAGAGAACTTTTATACTGTTTTTCTTTTTGTCTGGGAAAAGGTAATTTTGAAAATTTCTCTCTGGGAACCAACTCCTTTTAGGTCAGTGTCTGGGAGTCAGGTTAATGGGATGAATTACTGCAATTCTAGAGAAGACATGTTTTTAAAAATCACCCAGTTTTCATGTTTTAACAAGCTAGTCTGCTTAATTGTAGACTTAGCTTGGTTCAAGCCAAAGTATACTGCATTCTAAAATGTTTAATTATTCTTTCAAGATAGCTTAAAGCAAAAAATTGCTTACTTCTGACTTTATCTGGGTGGCAGATTTTTAGACCTCAAAACATCTCAGAATTGGTTATGTACTAATATGGGAATGTCAATATTGTTGAAAATGTGGAATTTAAACACAGACCAAGGAAATGAGAGTCCTGCAATAAATTTTACTCCCATAAGTGATCCTTCTGGAGCCACTTGTTTTAGAAAATATTCTTTTCTCATAGTGGATAGAGTATTATTCAGAAAAAAATCCACCCTAGATGAACTTTGCATTTTTCTTCTATGTAAACATTGTGAATGTAGCTTCAGAACAAGCCCCTTCAGTATTTTTATCTTATTTATCTTAATATTTATGTACTGCTCCATTCCCTTAGGCTCTGGCCAGTTTACAAAAATTAAAACCAACAGTGATTACACCTAAGACAATGTACTAAATAAAACTGACATGAGAACTAATCTGGGAAGGCCTGTTGAGAGAGAGAGATGTTTTTAACTCCTCCTTAAAGGTGGGAATTTGGGGAATAAGATGCCAAATGCCAGCCTCTGGGGAGGCAGGTTCCTTTTGCCCATGTCCCTTGCTGTGTGGCCCAGTTCTCTTTTTGGTACCCAGCCTGGGTCTGCTATTCCATAGCAGTTGCTTTTTCCTCCCAGCCAGTCATCTGAATGACCAGTTGGTCTCAGCAGAACCGTCAGAGGTGCCACTGTCTCTCTACCCATGTGGCTAACCGGGCTCCATTTCTCACCCTTCCCCTTCAGGGTAAAGCACCAAGTGGAGTATCTTGGGCTTAAAGAAAATATTCGAGTACGGCGAGCCGGTTACGCTTATAGGCGAGCGTTCCAGAAATTCTTACAAAGGTACAGTATTTCTAAGCATCACTTTCTTCCTTCAGAGGGGGTTACACCAGGAAGGGAAGCTCATTCCCAGGTTTTCCTCCCTTTGCTGAGTAGAGTCAAATGGTTCTAGCAGAGCCTAAACACCCGACGAGGGGAAGGCTGCCTGTGCCTACTAGCCTGGCTCAGAGGTGTCATGCCTGTGTACGCCCAGGGCAGAGGCCTTGCACCCATCCTGCTCGCAGCATCCAGTGGGCAGCTGGTTTGCCACCATGGGAAGGAAGTGCTGGATGGCCCCTTGGCCTGAACTAGCAGGGCTTTTCTTACATTCTTAGGCATCTTAAATACATGCCTGTTCCTGTTTACTTGTCAATAAATCTTTAAAAGATCCTGTTTCTTTTAAAATGGAGAAAGACGTAAGATTTGTACAGCAGTTGTGGTTCTTGTAAAGCAAGCTCAGGTTTTTAGATGTTTTTACAGTTATGTATTTTATCTACACAAACGTCAATATCCTTGTGTTGCCGGTCAAGGCAATCTGCCTTTTGAAAATGACTGATGTCAGGGTGCGCTTTGAAAAACCTGCCCATTCTTGGGCTTACACAGAAACCAAAACAGTCGCAAAAATGGCTCTTAGGTTTGCGGGGGAGGCAGCAGTGATATACTGGTCACTGGCCAGTAGATGTCCTTCTACAGCTGCCCCACCCCCACCTTCCCCAGTTTAAACTGGCAGTAAGGGAAACTTGCTGATCAGTGTATTTCAGAGCTTGGTTTGCGACAAAATGAAGCATGCCTGAGCTGAATGCAGTGCAAGGATTTTCAAGCGACTCATGCTGCTGTAAAAAGAAAATTGTTCCCTTTGCTCTGCTGTGTTGATTTTAAGCATAAAGGTAGAGCTGTGCTGGGTGAGCATACAAGCCTTCGTGGTCCCACAGTGGCCGCCTGGCCAGCCAGCCCCCGCGAGAGATTTATTTATTATTTTATTTCTTTTATTTAGCAAACTTCTATGCCGCCCCATTTGCCGAAGCCTCAGGGCAGCTCACAACAATAAATAAATACACACACGATTAACCATATAAAACAGTATAATTGGAGACGTCCTGGCTGAAGATATAAAATCAATAAATAATATTAACAATTAAAATGACGTTTAAATAAAAAGGTCTTGGCCCGGTGCCGAAAAGCAAATAACGACAGCGCCAGGCGGACCTCTCTGGGGAGCGCATTCCATAGATGGGGCGCCACCGCAGAGAAGGCCCTACTCCGGGTGCTCACCCTCCTAATGTCCTTCAGGGAGGGCTCCCGGAGAAGGGCCTCTCCCGCTGATCTCAAGGGGCGGGTGGGCATATATGGACGTAAGCGCTCCTTTAGGTAACCAGGACCCAAGCCGTTAAGGGCTTTATAGGTGATAACCAACACCTTGAATTGGGCCCGGACTTCAATGGGGAGCCAGTGAAGCTGATGGAGGACTGGAGTTATGTGAGCACAACGCCCAGTCCCCATCAGCAACCTGGCAGCTCTGTTTTGCACCATCTGAAGTGTCCAGACCGTCTTCAAGGGCAGCCCCACGTAGAGTGCATTACAGAAGTCTAGTTGGGAAGTCACCAACACGTGTGTCACTGTCACCAGGCAGTCGTTTTCCAGGTAGGGACGCAGCTGGTGAATCAGCCGAAGCTGAAAGAAAGCGCTCCTCGCCACTGCTGTTACTTGAGCTTCCAGCGAAAGCTCTGGATCAAGGAGCACTCCCAAGCTGCGGACCTTGTCCTTCAGAGGGAGTGCAACCCCATTCAGGACAAGGTCAAGGTTCCCTTCCCCGAAGCCTGATCCGCCAACCAACAGGACCTCCGTCTTGTCTGGATTGAGCTTCAGTTTATTGGCCCTCATCCAGCCCATTACCTTTGCCGGTTCAGTACAACCACTGCCTCACCTGGATTGGTGGAAAATGAGAGGTAGAGCTGATGATTCCGCAGCCCACACCTCCTGATGACCTCTCCCAGCGGTTTCATGTAGATGTTGAATAGCAAGCGGGACAAAATGGACCCCTGCGGAACTCCATGGCATAACTGCCATGGCGCAGAGCCATAGTCCCCCAGCACCACCTTCTGAAATTGGCCGTTGAGATAGGAGCGGAACCACCGCCACGCGGTGCCTCCCAACTCCCAATCCCGCCAGCCTATTCAGAAGGATACCATGGTCGATGGTATCGAAAGCCGCTGAGAGGTCCAGGAGAACTAACAGGGATGCACTCCCCCTGTCTCTCTCCTTGCACAGGTCATCGTACAGGGCGACCAAGGCAGATTCAGTGCCGTACCCGGGTCTGAAGCTGGGCTGAAATGGGTCCAGATAATCAGTTTCATCCAAGAGTGCTTGGAGTTGTCCTGCCACCACCCGTTCCAACACCTTACCCAAAAACGGGATGTTGGCCACTTGTCTATGATTAGTGGCCATCTCTGGATCCAGGGAAGCCTTCTTCAGGACCGGTTGGACTACCGGCTCCTTTAAAGGGGCAGGTACCCGGCTGTCCCTCAGAGAGGCGTTAACCACTTCCAGGATCACCATTAGCACCCCCTTGCCTTTGCTGCCAGACACTGGCATGCAGCCCCTCACACTGGGGGGGTACACAGGCATCCCGACTAATAGTCACCAAGGGAGTAAAGCAAAACCGAGGATAATCCCTTGGTTAAAGACTACTTGCCATTTTAATGGATTGACCGGTCAATTTTTGTTAGCATGGATGGGGCAGGCATTCATTGTTCTGAAGCCCCTTTCTCCAACCCTACAGAAGTTTTGGGCTACAATCCCATATTAGCTGTGCTTTCTGAGGACAGTGGGATTGGTAACTGTCCCACCAGGTTGAAGAATGCTGTTCTCTAAAGAAAATAAAGCTATTTTTTCTGCTTTTAGAGGCTAAAGACATCATCTGCCATGGGCAGACATGACCCTAGAAGAGGCATTATATCACTGGCACCCACACCACGCGCTAAGTCTGTGCGGGAGGGACAGTTTTGCTGGGCCACCTTTGAAATGCTCAGGATGTTTTCTGCTTGTTCATCAGCTTCACACGGCTGAGGAAAGACTCCCCTGGGCGCTCTCGGAGTGTTTACTCGCAGGGCTTGTTTGTCTTAGCTTCCCTTTGGCCTGCAGGTTGCCACTTCTTTGTCCTCGGCTTCAAAGTGGAGCTAAGCCTCCCTTGCTGGGCCTGAGGGAGGGAGGAAGGAAGGTGATGTGCTTTAATAAAACAGCTGCAGGCAGAGGGAGGGGGAGAGGAAGCGGTAAAAGCATCCCACAGCCGGATGGCAGGCGGGGCTCCCCTGGGATGCGCAGCGCTGTCAGCAAACTTCCAGGGAGACAACTTAACCCCGACACATTTCACTGTCCAAACAATTCATGCAGCCTGTTTTGTTTTGGGTTTTTTTTATCATGTGATAACCCCGTTTTTGCTTGTGTGCTCATTCTTTTGCGATGACTGCCTTTGCAGTTTGCCTCCTTGTTGTGCTCTCTTTAATTGAGAGTTGCCGCAGTGTGAGAAAGACCAGAAAGACCCCAAATCGCCGATCAGCCACGGTGGCCATTGAGTGGCCTTGAGCTGGTCTCTTTCTGCCTGACCTGCATTCAAATTGGAGGTTGTCATTAGGAAACAAGAACAAGCTGGATCCTTCCGGAGGAGAAAGCACATACTTCGTAACTTGATAAACCAGATTGAACTGTGCAGTCGGGATTGGCCAGGCTTGACCTGGGAGGTGGTCAGTTTGCTACCTTGCCACTTCTGCTGGAGAGGGTGCCTTGGGTAGGTCCTGTGCAGTGTTTTTCATGGCTGCAGAACTTTTGAAAAGGCTGTGCTCCATGAGATGCTGTGGATGACCCCACTCTGGTCTGGAGTTGCTTTCTCAGCTTGCTGGCAGAGGCCTGTCCCCGCCCTGCCTCCACCTGGAGATGCTGTCCGGGACGGGCCCGGGGGCCTTGTGCATGCCAAGCAGGACTACCCGCCTTCCTACAGGGCATTCTCTGAGACTGAGGCCTTCACAGTTAGCTGTTCCAAGGAGTACCCTTTTCAGGGGGTGCAGGAGGCATAGACCATTATCAAAGAAACTGCAAGAAGAGGATTAGAATGAGGAAAGGAAAGGAAACTACATAATAGAGAAAAGGAACAAGCTATGAGGGAATTCCAACGCAGGGACGTGGTGTGGTCTGGGGAAAGATGGGTGGAATCAGCAGTCTGGCCAAGGAGCTGGAGCTTGGTGTTCTAGAGAAGCGTAGGAAGGCATGGAGCCACAGAATGGAGCAGAGGGGGCACTGTTAGTGGCTGCAGTGCCTTGTCCTTCTAGTCTGTAGGACGTCTTCTGAGGAGAAGCTTGCTTGCCTTGGGAGTTTTTGATTCTTTGGTGGCAGTAATAGTAATAAATCCAATCCCACGTTACAATAACTGGGTCCAGAGGCGGACTGAAACATGGATGATTTGGGATGATGCTTGCACCAGAGCAAGAATTTTCTTTTGTGAACCAACAACAGATCCGTGACAGTACCGGGCGGCCGCTGATCTCGGCACTTGGGCTGGGACATAGGGTCTCCTGGGCATGGCCTGAGTCCTCTGAGTGCAGTATCTCTCTCATCTCTCCCCGAAGGTATGCCATCCTGACCAAAGCAACCTGGCCTTCCTGGAAAGGGGATGAGAAGCAGGGTGTTCTTCACCTGCTCCACTCTGTAAATATGGACCCTGACCAGTACCAGCTTGGGAGAACAAAAATCTTCATCAAAGCTCCTGAGTCTGTGAGTACGACTGCAAAGTCTTAATTCTTCTTGGCTGCACCCTTCCAAGATGAGCTGGTTCAGCTCTGTGGCTGTTGGGAGACAAGCAAGGCCAGCCACTGCCTCTGAAGCAAAGCACTGTGGATAATAGTGGCAGGTTGCTGGGTGTTAGGTAGGTAGACTTTGCAAGTGTGGATGGAATTTGCATTTGGCTCTGGGTTCAAGCCCCTGAAGTCTTGCTGGGTGATACTGGCCAAGCCATCTTTTCCTCAGTTCCCTGTTACATGGCGCTTAAATAATGCTCTCCCTAGGTACTCCCCATGCATGATCTTGGCCATCCCATAATTATGCAAGGGAGGCTGCTCCTAACAATATCCCCGTGACCCCTCTGCTACACCAGCTCCACTGGCTACCTGTCATAAGCATGGTTGTGACCTATCGGCCCCTATATGGCTTGGGACGGGGCTACCCGAGGACCGTCTTTTCCACAGGTGAATGCCTGGATTTTAAGGTCATGGCCTGAGGCCATTTCCTCAGTGCTGCTGGTTCTGAGGCCCCAACCCAAGGAGGAAGGCCCTGCTCACCTGCAGCTGCGTGTGTGCAGGCCTCCTGCAGACACATGCAGAAAGGCCGAGGGGCTTTTTTGCCTAGCTCTGTATTTAGGCTCTTTTCCCTGAACGCGCCACGAGAAATGGAACACTGCAGGCAGTGACTTTCACATTGGGAGCATGCCTCCTCCTCCTGAGTGAGGGAAGGTGCTTGGGGGTGATTCCCAGGCTGCCGGGGGGCTTGCAGGAGGCTGGTCTCCAGGCCCAAACGGCAGTCTTCCCGTCTTGGTTATCCAAGAGAGAATGAGGTTGAAGAAGGTACAGTGAAGAAAAAGGACGGTTTTCTTTTCTTTTCAGTGTTTTTCTAGCAAATCACTAGGAATATTTTTTCTTTGAAGGGGTTTTCTGGGCACAGGAAGTGAATCTGAATAACATCAGACGAGTCACTTTGCTTTGATAGATGTGCTGCAATTAGTAGAATGGCTGGGAGTAACCAGTGCAAGAAATGTTGTGAGCAGTTTGTTCTGCCAGTTCCTTCTCTGGTTACAAAAACCAAAAGAAAGTAGGGGGAGGGACACTAATGACTTCGCAAGGAGAAAGCTGGCCTCAGCGTCCTGGGAACTGTACTCCGTTCGCAGCCGTGTTGTGGGGACGGATGGCCTTGCCTCACGGGGAGACCCTCTTCGGGCTCCTGCTCATTGCACTGGCAGGTGGACTTCCCGGTGTGTCGTGCCCCATACCCCTCAGTGGGAACGGGGAGAGGCTGCCCTTGCAAATCCTGATGGAGTGGAGAGAGGATTGTAGGGCACAGGAAGCCATCGCCTGGGAAATTTGTTCCAGGGCCAGCTCAGTGGCCGCTTGTGTGCTCTGTTCGCACGCAGAAGGCCCCATGTTCAGTCGCTGGCAGCATCTCCGGCTAGAAAGGGTCAGGTGCAGGAAAGGCCTCGGAGAGTGCTTGAAACCCCGGAGAGGCACAGCCAGGTCACCTGGGACACAGCAGCTTCCAGTGTTGATGCTTGCAGGCAGTGGGGTTCCTGGCATCTTTGTACAGTAGCTGGTACGAAAAAACTCTCTCTCCCCCAAGTCCCTGGAGCGCTGCAGCCCATCAGAGTGGTCAGTTCTGGGATTGATGGACCAAAGCATATGAAGCTCAGAGAGCTTCACTGCCTAAATGGTTTGCCACCACCCGGAGAGCTTCAGCAGCTGGCAGTATGGAAATCCATTAATTATGCCACACCCAGCAAAAAGTGTGCCTGGTATGGAGGGTGAACTGCCACCCACTTGGAAACAAGCCACTGTACGGTGCAGTGTGTATGAAGGACGGCAGCTCCATGGGCCAGGGAGCTGGGAGCATGGAGGTTTCAGAGGTGAACTTACGGAGGGACACACAAATGGGTGCTCTGCAGGGCACCATACAAGATGGGGCTCAGTTCTCCATCACTTTCCTCTCCCTTGATCATTTTCCTGGGGCAAACGGGAGAGCAGGAAATGCTTGGCCAGAATGGCAGCAAGCAGAATGCCGCCCTGGAGCCGCTCATCCGAGCAGCTGCCTCCCAGTTCCTGCTCACATATTCTGTTTGAAGGCAGATCTGAAGCTCGTGAGAAAGCCTCCGGTCGCTTGTTGGCTGGAAGATGGTCTACTTCTTTGCTTCCAAAACAGCTTTTCCTTATCTGTTGCTTGTGGATCACAGGATTGTGCCCTTCACTGGGCAAACATGTGTAGGGTTGCCCTGACGTCTCTCAGGTTAACTTCTGTTTCCACGCTCACTTGCTGAGCTGCTGGCTTCTCTTTTTCTTGCAGCTCTTTTTGTTGGAAGAGATGAGAGAACGGAAATACGATGGCTACGCTCGGGCAATCCAGAAGGCGTGGCGGAAATACGTGGCCAAGAAGAAATATGTGCAAATGAGAGAAGAAGGTACCTCTTGAGTGCTAATATCAGGGCCATTTAAGTCTAACAGATCTTCCTAATTAGTGTGGTGGTCGGAGTGCTTAACTGGAACCCGGGAGAAGTAAGTTCTGGTCCCCCTTGGCTGGGAAGCTCCTTAGGTAGCTTTGGGTCTCGTCACTGACTCTCAGCCTGACCTACCTCACAGGATCATTGTGAAGATAAAGGAGACAGGAGGAGGATTGTGTGTGTTGCCTTGGACTCTTTGGAGGAAGCCACGGGACATAAATGCAACGAATACTAGAGACAGATTATAGTTTTTCAAAGAGCAGAACACAACAGTGCGACCAGCATGTGTCTGTGTGCACAGCTGACAAAGCAACGTGTCTCTAAAACCATGTTCAGCTTGCTGAGAAACCCTTGCGCAGCTCTTGCCGGAATGCATTTAGCCCTCTGTGCCTACCAAGGAAATGCAACCACCTGTGACTTGCGGAGGGGGGCAGCATCATTACCTCCAGAGGCTTGGAGGAGTAGCTGCCCCTTAGGGTCACTGACCTGAGAAGGGATTTGAGGCAGGGTCTCCCCAAATTTAGTCTGACACCTCCAGACCACTGCATCACACTGACTCTTGCTCTCTTTCTCTCCCTGGACCGAGGCCCAAATCAACATGGTATGGTCCTGGTGTGAAGACTGTACCATTTCAATTCCACATAGGGAGAAAGGTTAACACTATAGCAGATTGTCACCTAATGATCTTTCTTTTCAGATTTCTGAAACTCCTTTTTAAAATTGGGGCAACTAAGTAATGCTTTCTCCTGCTGTTTCTGCAGCTTCCGATCTGCTGTTGAACAAGAAGGAGAGAAGGCGAAACAGCATCAACAGGAACTTTGTGGGGGACTACATAGGCATGGAGGAGCATCCGGAGCTGCGGCAGTTTGTGGGCAAGCGGGAAAAGATAGATTTTGCGGATACCGTCACCAAGTACGACAGGAGGTTTAAGGTATACATGCGAGCGAGATCTTTGGCCGGCTTGCTGCTCTGCTCAACCTTCCCCTGTGGCAGTGGTACCCAGCGCAGTGGCAGGGTGGATCAGCTGGGCCTTTGCTCCAGAGCTATCAGCTCGCAGCCTCTGATTGCGACGAATAGCCCAGTGAGAGCGAGTGGCTCTACTCCCTGTTGATATGGCCCAATGCAATGATGCATGAAAACAGGGCAGCTGGAAGTGGAGCAGTGCCAGCCAACTGAGAAGGCATCTGGGGAATGGGTGGCAGGATCTGCTGGAGGGCGGGCAGGAGAAGCTCAGCATAACTGATGGTGCCTGTAGAAACCCGGGAGGGGGAAGCACCGTAACTGTGAAATTCCGGAACTAGAGGCACTCGGTCGGCACAGGAAGGACACAGTCCAGTAGCAGGTCCCCCTACGGAGATGAACCGAAGCCATGCAAAACCATGGCAGCGCTCTTAGGAAGTCCTGGTTTGTTCTATTGGGGCTTGCGCCACAGAGCTTCCCAAAGGATTGTGCTCTCTGTGTGTGTGTGTGTGCGCGCGCGCGCGCATGCACAACATTTCTAAAATTTCCTCTTGCTGGCATCAAAATATCTTGGTTGGCAGAATCATCCACATGCAGGAGTTTCTCCAGCATCTTCCAGATAATAGGATACAGAACGGCAAGATGATTAATGTGTTCGTGTTTCCAACAGGAAAGGGAACAAGTATCCACAAATCTTTTTCTTATTTCAGGGCATTAAGCGAGACCTCATTCTCTCTCCGAAATGCGTGTACCTGATCGGGCGTGAAAAGGTCAAGCAGGGCCCAGAGAAAGGCCAGGTGAAGGAGGTGCTCAAGCGACGGATTGAGGTGGAGAGAATCCTCTCCATTTCGCTAAGGTCAGCACCATCTTCTGTCAAGGAAATGTCTGGAAGACAACGAGACATTTCACTCTGTATACTGTAGAGCCTTCTGCTGCCCAGGCTTCTGGTTATCCAAGCAAAATGTGATCCATCCAGCTTCCTGTGAACGGTGGCTCTGTAATGCCAAGGACGGCCAAGCTTAGGTCTCACATGGTCTACTTTATTACAGACGTTTGGAATTCTGTAGACTCCTGAGAGACATCAATTTGCAAAGCAAGGTGCTGGGGGGCGTTGGGCCTGCTTGGATCCACTCTAGTAAGGCAGCTCTTCAGGAAAGAATTGAAGCCGCCTTCTCAGTCTGGCACCTGCCACATTCTTATAACTCCCTGCCAGTGTGGCCTTTGATTCTTGGGTGCCAGGATGGAGGAAGGGTGGATCAGATAAATTCATGGCAACCAGGGCTCTGCAAACTAGTGAGAGCCATAATGCTTCACCGCAGGTTCTGCATTTCGAGCCAAGGGACCCTTTGAGTAGTATGTTGTAGAAACAAACAAAAGGGGGAGGATGATTGTTGTTTCAGTGTCCCCCTTGTGTGCTTCCAGAAGACATGTGGTTAGCCGCTGCAGGAAAGAGGGAGGTATCCATGGTCTTGGGCAGACCCCAGAAAACACCGTGTGGGAGAAAATAACCCAGAACGTGGCGTGGCTGGCTGGAATGCTAGACAGAAGCACTTTGCGCTGCAACATTTGTTGCTGACCCCACGTGTAAAACAAAGTTCTGTACTTCATATTGCATTGGCATTATATTTACATTTTATAAAACTCAGTTGATATAGAACTCTATTGGTATTGTTTCGAAAAGTAGCTCCTCGAAACACAGCCACATGTTTTGAGCACCCTGTGCCCAACTTTATTCACAGCACAATGCAGGATGACCTCTTCGTCGTGCACGAGCAGGAATACGACAGTCTCCTCGAATCTGTCTTCAAGACAGAGTTCCTCAGCCTGTTGTCAAAGCGCTACGAGGAGAAGACACAAAGGAGGCTGCCTCTGAAGTTCAGCAACACGTGAGTGATGGGCTGAAGCAGCTAGGCTCCATCTTGTCCCGATGGCGAGGTTGCGGCAGAGCCCGCTCAGCCACCGATGCATGGTGGCTCCATGTGGCCCTGTCCTGAGGGATAGGAGCAAGACCACATGTGAGCTGGGGTTGCGCCCTTGGGCACACAGTCTTTCTCCTCAGCCTCCGGCAGCTTGGACTGCTGCTTCCAGGACACCTGGGGCTGAAGGGAGTTGTAGTCCAGTATACCTGGAAGGTACCAGTTTGGGGGAAGTTACTGGGCCAAAGCTTTGTATTTGGATGGGCTGCAATTCTTCTACCTTGAGGCAGACCATCTCCCCATGAAGGTGGATGCTGGAGGGGAGGGTTTTCCTTGCTGGAGGTGTTGGGCATTTGCTTGCTGGACCTCTGCGAGGCCAGCGGATGTGAGCAGGGTGAGCCTTCCCGCAGGCCTCAGGTGACCTCCCAGCCCCTGCGTGGGTCCTGGTCCGTCACAGTGCTGCGCAGGCCACTGAAGAAGTAGGGAGCATTGCGGCAAGTGAACTTCTTTTGGGCTCTAGGCAGTTAGGAATGCTTCTTGGCAGGCTATCTTCTGGGTGGGCCTGGGGGGTGCGAGGGGGTGACTCGCTTCTCCACTCTGCAGTGCAGCTTGCCTGTCCCGCCTCGGCAAATGAGGGCCCCTGGGACCAGGGCCTGCTGATAAGCAGGGAGAGGAAGGCCTTGCCGCCCACGGCCTCCTCCTTCGGATCGGCTCCCCTCGGTTGCATCCCTGTTTGACTACAGCCGTTTCCAGGAGTGCTGTGAGGGGGGCCTTCTTCCATGGTTGTGGTGGCAGGAGAATGGGGTTATTTCCCTCAGTGGCACGATGCAAACAAGCCACCACCCTGCTCCAATGCAAAACTCACCATCTGGGAATGTTTGTGGCTTTTTTTTTTTTTTTTTAAGGTAAGTCACTTTGCAGCTTGTGTGGGAGTCTCAAAAACTGAGTGCATTTTGCTGGTGTCATTTCCTGGGTGTTCTTAAATCCAAGAACAAAACAGAGGAAGCTTTAATTAACAATCGTGCGTGGGAGGGGAGAGACCACGCAGAGCTGTTTTTAACCTGACGCGAGGCGCTCTGTGCATCAGGCACATTTGATGTGTCTGCACCCAGCTCCCTGCAGGAAAAGTGCGTGTGGAGGGCACGCCTCTGACCTGAACCACCCAGTGGGGGTGTCTCGGGGGCCCTGCTCGGGGCAGCCGTATTCTTGCCGTCCAGTTGGGCCTGCTTTGCTTTCTGCCTGCACATCTGTTTCTGCAGTGCTGAAGACAGAGCAGAGACAGAAACCTTGTTTATGTGTGCTTGTGACTGAGCAGGAGCAACCAACATCACTGTGATGCCCAAATCGAGTGTTCTGGGCTGTTAAGAGAGAAACAGGCCAGGATAAAGCCATGGTTTGTTGCTGGGTTCACACACTGGGTTGATTCTCACGCCACAGTCCAGGGTTCCAGCTTTCCGGGCTGCTTAGCAAAGTGGAAACTAAACAAGGGAGGCGTGAGGCTTCGTGCTGCCTTGCTCACATGGTCCCAGCTGCCCATGAGAATCAGGATGTGCCGACTGGGCCAGAGACTCTTCAGAACCTGAACTCCCCCCTTGCTTTGGAGTCCTCTAGCTGGGGACAGCAGGCCCTCGGGAGACTTCTAGCCACAGTCAAAAGCTGCCTCAGCGCTCCAGGCCTGTGTGACACCGCTTGCTGCCAAGTGACCGCATTTCCTGCTCTCTCTGTACCAGGCTTGACGTGAAGTTGAAGAAGGAGAGCTGGGGGCCCTGGAAGGCGGGCGGCTCTCGGCAGGTGCAGTTCAGCCAAGGCCAGGGAGACGTGGCTGTCCTCAAGCCAAGCAATAAAGTGCTGCAGGTCAGCATTGGGCCCGGACTCCCAAAGAACTCCCGTATGTATGATGCTCTCCGGGGTGGCGTGGGAAGCGGTGGCGGCCACACCCTGTGCGGCACCCCACAGCGTGAACACGTCCTCTGCGATGCCTTGCAGGCCCCACCAGACGGTCCACCGCCCAGAGCAGAGGATGGACAAGCAGGACGCAGGGGCACACCTACCCCCTGAGGGCTGCGCCGCCGCCGCCTGGTGAGTGGGGCCTCGTGGGAGGGCTCCTCATGCGCACTGCCGGGCAAACGGTGCTCCAGCGGGCCGCTCCCATCATGTGTCCACCGTGGGCAATCCTGAAAGGCTTGTTTCTGCTTTTGCCATCTTGGGAAGGCATTTCTTCCTTTCCTGGGAAGCCTCTGGGCCTGTCAAGCTTTGACTGCGTTAATTGGCACCCTGAGAGTGAGGTTTATCTATTAACTTTGTGGCTTGGGGTGCGTGTGTGTTGAAGAACGGGCAAAGAGCCGTGCGGAGTAGACCAGACAGAGGCCTGTTCAGTCTGGGATCTGCTTCCCACAGTGATCGACCAGACCCAGGACCACCCAGAGGGTTTACAGAGCCTGGGGCAAGTGCAATTTAGCACTGGAAGTATGAAAAAAGGCAACTTATTCTCATCGCTTCTAGGTCTTCATCAGAACGGGATGATAAAAATCCCACCGCACACACCACACTCTCAAGGTCTAGCACGCCAGCGAGGCAGCCAACGGAGTCTGTACACTTCTATGGCGTGCCCGCCTTTGCCGCAGGTCTCTGGTGGATCGGGCAGAGTTTCCCAGCAGCTGGGCAGTCTGGATTTCCTCAAAGTACCCGATCAGGGTGCTGCCGGGTAAGTGAAGCGCCGTCTCGTCTCCACCTCACGCATGTTGTGTAGACTGAAAGTGGAAAGCTGGTTTGCCTGCTTGTCTGCGACTCTTTTACTCCTTGATGATTATTCACAGGGAAATACTTGTATTTTACAGAACTGGGTTGCAGGTGGAGCCACATTCAATTTGTGAGGCACCTGAGGCAGGTTCCTTTGTGACCAGACTGTAGTCAAGCCTTGTGTTGACACAAAAGCCTCATCCAGCATTGATCGCTGGGGCCTTGTTGCCTCAGCGGTGTCAGTCCTACATGCGATTAAGGCTGCTCCTTTGCACGCCTAGAGAAAACAAGCCCTACGATGCCCAAGGTGGGGTGCGGGGCGGGGGGTGCTGGAAGCTTCAGGACTTTTCTCCAGTCTGCACATGCACGTGATGGCACCCTAGGGCTACTAGTGGACGAGGACCTCATTTTGATCAAGCCTCTGTGACAGTCAGCGCGACTCCCGGTTTACCGATGCAGGAAGCCCAAATGCTGATCTGCAGCCCTCGCCTGGAAACGGCCTGCAGTGCCATCTGCTGTCATTCTGGGTGATGTTTCACTTGCGCACTTCCTGATGGAACGCCATTGGAAGAGGCATGCCAGAGTTCTGAAAGGGGCCAAAATCTCCCATGCTGCTCTTGAGAAAGACAAATAGCACTTCAACAAGCAGGGCACCTTGGCCACCATTTTTCCTGCGCATTCAGTCCGAGGCACATGAAGACCCGCCCATGAATAGAAAGGTGACCCTGCTGTGAGGCAGCTCCCTCAGGTAGAGCGTTGGGGCAACCTTTGGGACATTGCCTGCTGGGAAATGGCTTTGCAGAAGCCGAACTGAAATACCACGGGTACTGGCCTTGAATTTGTAACACAGTAAAACTGAGTCGAGTGGGAAAGGAACCCTCTTTAGTGCCATCCTAATTATAAAAGCAAAACAAAAAAGCCAAAATACTGAAATGCGCTTTGCAGTAGTAGAATCACTTCGCATGTATTTCACTTGTCCCGAGAGCTCCATAAAGTACATTAACCTTTATCTTCATCCCATATCGCGGATGGGAAACTGAGAGAGGGTGGCTTGCACCGGTCATGGAGGTTAAGTTGGAACCAAGCATGGCCACAAAGACTCACTGTTTCTCTGTGTCCCTCTGCAGCGCTCGCAGGCAGACTACAAGCCGCCCCCCTCCCGCAGGCGGCAGGCCCAAGCCGCAGCCCAAACCAAAGCCTCAGGTACCCCAGTGCAGAGCACTGTATGCCTATGATGCTCAGGACACAGACGAACTCAGCTTTAACGCCAATGACTTAATCGATATCATCAGAGAAGGTAAGCAGGGCTCCACTTTCGTAGCCTTTCCTAGTCAGGTGCCAACCTATTTTGCATCTCGCCTTTCTGTCATTCAAAAGACCCCCCGGATGACCAACTGAATTGGCAAACCAATATAGCAAACCAAAGGGCAATGCAAGGACTGAAAGCACCAAACCCAGAATAACATCAGGAGGTGCTACTCGTTACCCTACCAGACAACTCCACCAAAAATCTTCACAAACCAGGTGGGGCTTGGCACGGCAGAAGCCTGCCAATGCCAGGACCAAGTTGCAATGGAAAAGGTCCTCTCACCTACCCCACATGAGAGCATGAGCAAGGGGAACATAGAGAAGGATCCCCGATGCTGACCTCAACGGTCAGCGGGCAGACAGCTGGAGAAACATTTACGGTTTCATTTCTTCGGCAGGCAGGTTTAGGCTCATCCCCAGAGTCCTCTGCCATGTCAAAATGGGCTTTCCTGGGCAGAAGGATGGACGCATGCTCGGTGATGTTCCCCACCACTCTCTGTATAGCAGGCATGGGAAACTTCTGTCAGCCACAGGGCCCAAGTAAACCTGAGAGATGCTCCTGGAAAGCACATTCAAGGGATGGGCAGCACCAAAGGGAAAAGGACAGGCCAAAAAACACCAAATACCAGGCTGGTGAAGCCTAAGTGCTCAGAAATCCTTAGGAGACGGATTTTAACCTTTCAGAAAGGTGAAAACCTGTACAGAATCTTGGCTTGTTTGGGCGTATTTGTCTATCCTGGGTTTGGGTTTAAGACAAAACCGTTTTTTCCTGGTTTACCTACGCAAGGCAATGGACTACATGCACCAGTCAATGCTCTTTCACATTGCAGTTTATTAAAATAAGCTTTCTTGTTTAGTGCGATGTCCAAATATAGTCACTGTCTTTTATAATCTTGTCCTTTGGTACATCCATCAATCAGAGCCACATGCTAGTACATTTCTACCCACTCACTGTACACTGGAGGCTTGGAACCATGCCATTTTTGTTACAAATCCACTTCACTTGCAGGAGATCTGCATTTATTCCCAGCAATACTCATTACAGAATTTGTAAATCTTTACCAAATAACGGGGCCTCAGATACCACAAGTGGGTACTGTAGATGCTAGTGACAATTACACCCCTTACCCTGCACTTAAGTTAAACAACAAGATTACTGCTGGTCAGAATGGCGGGTTCCATTCCACTGCTGTTCTGACTGCTCTGTGCTCCACACAGGAAGCACTTGTTCTCACACTGAGTGAGATGCTCGTTTGCAGGTTCCACGGGGAGAAGTTGAGGGAGCAGGCGCGTGCTTTCCCACCCGCAGGCTCCTAGCTAAGTAACTGTCTTCCTTTCCAGATCCCTCAGGCTGGTGGACAGGCAGGCTAAGAGGGAAACAAGGACTCTTTCCGAACAATTACGTGACCAAGGTGTAATCCTGCAGGCGGAGAGGCCCTTCTCAAGCACAAGGTGCCCGTGGAGAGTTTCCAACCCTTCTGATCGACACCATCACCACCACTGTTGCATCAGTGAAGTTCAGAGGTGGCATGTGGGCACGAGAGAGTCTGCTTATTCTCCCAGAAGCCAAAGCACATGCCTCAGAGGCCCCCCGAAATACCAAACCAAGGAATTATTTATTTTATTTAATGCTTTTTTTTGCATGAAGGATGAGGAGCGGGTCTAAATTACATTCCATTCGTTTCTTAAAGTTCCAGATGCAGCAGGTGCTTTGCAAGGACTTCAGAAGAATTCCCCTTTTTTTCCAAGTGCCTTTAGTTGCTCTGTTGACTCTCTCCTAAATTATGTAACACAATAATGGCATTATATGCACATTTCCTCTGTTGATGACCCCTCAGAGGAGCTCAGTAATAAGTTATGCTGCTACCTGCCTTAGAAATGTAGGTTTTTAACATTGTATTTCTTCTGGAATCTTGTTGTTTTCTCCTGCCCCAACATATTTTGAAAGACATCAAAACATTCTTGCCCAGGTTTGCTTGTGAACTTCGGAGATTCCAAAAGGGCCTTGCAGCCCAAGGAAGAGACAGTATTGCATTGTATCCCATAAATGGTTCATGTGGCTGGTCCATGTTGAGGCTAACTATTGCAGTATGTCTTGAGGTGCACACTCCCCCCGCTCACCTCCTCCAAGGAAACTAAACTAAGGTTAAGATCATATAACAATGTACTTTTAAAAATCAGTAAGAGGTAAATCTGTATGAATGCACCCTAATCCTATCCATAAAGGTGGCTTGATTAGTATTTTGGGGCCTGGTACTTCAGCATACACACTATGAAGAGATGAAGCCAGTGTTAAGAAAGCTCCGAGTGAGTCCAGCTGCCCCTCCACACTTATGGATGATGTTGCTTACCCACTGCATGTCCTCGGTTTATCCAAATGCTTTCTCAACCACCATCAATAAAAACGTAGGAACTCCTACATGCTGCCGTGGGGTTTTGTTGGAGGCTATAAACACTGCCCTTTGAGCAAGTGAAGGATTAATGACCAATGGAAAGAGCATTTCACAAGAAGAGCATGATGCGCTTCTTGGAGTGAAACGCCACATGTCGAGGTTGAAACCTGGGGTTCACTGCATCTCCAGTTTTGTTTTTTTTTAAAAAGGTTCTTCCTCACTCTGTGTGGGACCCAGAGAAATGCTGCCAGTCAGAGCAGCTGATTCTGGGCTAGCTGTGAAAACAGCTGAGCTGGAAGGCGGTTTCGCTGGGCCTTGCACATCATTTGTTCAGTTTTTTAAACATGAAAACTGATTTTTAAAAACAATTTAAACTGTTATAGTCCAATGTGGAAGAGGCCAGGTTTGAGGAAGGCTGCCTTAAAAGGTCAGAAAGGCTTAAAACTAGCACCTTGAACTGAACTTGAAAGCTAATTGGCTGCCAGTGTAACTGGAGGCGGGATCAGTCTAGTGCACACAGCACCTGGCCTCCCACTGACAGCTCTGCTCTGACCGACCGGAATGCCTGGAAGGACTTCTGCACTATGGTTTGTGCTCAGAACTACACCCTGGACTGCAGCGATGGCAAGACAAGCAAGGAGCACCTACCTGGTTTGCCATAAGCCAAGAACTGGGTAAGCCACGGAGACAAGTGGGGGGAGCACAAGGCTGAGGCGCCTTCTGCCCATGGCATGTGCAACCTGCTGAGAGGGCACTGCCCTTGCGCATGGCCAGGGTGCTGCACGCCCCACGCGTGCCCCCGGTAGAATCCCCCACGTGGCCTCCACGCCCAAAGGCTTGGATGTGCTCCAAGACAGCAAGGAAGAACGAGGCACTGAATCCAAGGGGGGAGTTGGGCTATTTTGCCTTCGGGTGGTTTCACTTGGTTGTCCATGTGCAGAAGCTTTGCGCCAGGGCAAACAGCACACCCCCACCGCCCAGTTCTGAGTACGGCTAGCCGGGCTCTAGCTTGAGTCTGCTCTCGCCTTTCTTCTGACCATCTGTGGCTGACAGCCGCTGCCACATCCTTTGGCAGGGAGCTCTGGCTCCCTAACATGGAAGGTAGCACTGCCTGCCTGCCTTGATCTGGCTGCCTCTCTCTATTAGGTGAGAGAAGCATTTCTGCCCAGATAGGAGCACACTGTCCTGGTCTCCCTTCTGAGGTCCCCACCACGAGGAGGCAAAGCTGAGCTCCCATCACAGGAAACAAAACAACAACCTGCTGAGGGGAGCCCCCGGGCTGAAAGGGGAGCAGGGTGCTGGTTCTTCCAGGCAGGGCTCTTGCGCTTTCTACCCCAGGGCCTGCTGGGCAGAAGTCCACCGGTCATACGGAGGTGACAGATGGCAGCAGGGCTTGGCCTACTGCTGACAGACCTCAGCTGATGCAATTCCTCCTCCTCTGCAGCACAGAACCCCACCATCCAGCCCTCCTCAAGTACAGCCACTGGCTCTGGGGATATCTCACTACACAATCTCCCAGCTTTAGGAAGAGATCTGGCAGTCCTCCAGGTAAAGGACATGAGTTGCACTATACTTTTTTCCTCCCCATCACTGCCTCTCGAAGCCGCCTTCCTTATCTCCTCCTCTTTCACCCTTGTACCCCATCCTCAACCGCTGGCTCCTTTCATCCCAGCCTCCGGCAGCTTTCTCATTCACATCTGGCCAGAAGAGCTGCTCTTCTCTCTCTCCTCTTTATTCCCCGTTTTGCAAAATAATAAAACAGCAAGCTTAGCCTTGTGCTCTAAGCAGCTCCAGCCGTGACACACTGCAGCCCAAGGAAATTGCAGGCAGTTCACAGCAGCGAGGCATCCTCCCCCGCTGCCCCAAGACCCGCAGTTTAAGGAACGCTGGGCTAAAGGGCTCCTGCCTTCTCTCACCATCCTACACGCAAGGATTGATGACCAGCAGGGGCTTTGCTTTTTAAAACTTTTCACACTAAATGGCATTTTTTACGTCAATATGGCAAGAGCTGTGCAGATGGCATAATCCTGTTTCTGTCAGTGAAGGGAGGTTCTGGAAATTTCCCCCCTTGCAGCCATCCATTTCTGTCCCCCTCATCCACCGTTCAGGTTCTTTGCCCTTTCCAGCCAGAAGAATGGAGAACAACAGCACACCCTCTTGCCCTTCACACCTTAACCGGTTTAATGTTGCACAAAACGGAGCACGCTGCAGGTCCCTGCCTAGGCAGAATGAAATACAAGACACCTCTGGTGGCTGCTGTCATTGAGCAAGTCAATCAGCTAGTCCAAATAAAGGAAGGAGTGGGTCGGGGAGCAAAGTCCTCTTGACAACAGAAGCCCCCGCCTTCCCCCATTTTCCATTCTTAATCAAAGCGAAACGTCAGCCCATAACGGGGCAAAGTACAACAGGAGATCCACAGCTGTCACTTCCTGATCCCACTGGGATGATGACAGAGCTCTGCCAGGGCTCTTCCCAGGGGCTTGTGGAACATCATGCTTGACCTCACATAGGTGTGCTCACCTGAAGTCAGGGACCAAAATCCTATCAGATTCTGTGCCCGCTGAGCTCAGGCTCGGTGCCATCCAAAGGTGGTGTTCTCAGAGGCTCCCTGCTCTCCAGAAAGAACCCCTTGCCTGTGCCTCCCCGTGGGCACACAGCCTCTTCTCCACATGGCCTTGGGCCCCAGAAATCAAGGCTCCAGCTCTGTCTGGTAGCACCTGAAAACCACACGCTGGAGTTCCTAAGCGAGTCCCGACCCTTCAGTGTCCTCTTGTATGTGGGATTTAGGCACACTTCATTCTAACAGCAAACTCCAAGTCCACCCTAGCACAGTATGCAAGCCATGAGTTGGAGAGATCGCTCACCCCATCAGCACCAGCTTCTGTGTTCCGGTCTTGCCAGCTGCAGTCTTCTTTACGCCTCATCTGCAAATGGTGGAGTGAGATGGAGAAGTGGGGTGAGCAGGGCTCCCCAGAGAGCCTAATTTAGGATAAGCTACGTGTTTAAAGGAAAAGAGGGAAGAGTGCCGAGGAGCCGTGAGTGGTCACTTCCAAATTTCTCTTAGTGCACAAAATACCTCAGCTGCAGCAGGAGTCAAGCACCTTTTGACTCGTTGCTTTTCATGTCATCTTCCTAGGTCTGTGGGGCTTCTTCACCTGTGCCTGCTCTGGGCAGCCAGTCCCGCTGCAAGAGGCCAAATGAAGGGCCCTCTTTGCCTGGCTTGGCCAATTGCCTTCTGAGCAGCTCACAGGAGGGAGGGGTGTGCGCACACTGCTCATACAGAGATGAGCAGTTTGGGGATGGGGGGGGGAAGCCCCCCTCGGGGCCTCGCTCAGCAGCTGGCGCAGAGCGGCAGGGAGGAAGAGGAAGCAAGTGGCGCTTGGCCAAGGGCCCTTCCAGCCCCTCCTGATGAGACGGGCCAAATACTCCGTGCCTCGCAACTGAGGCGGGCTCAGCCAGCAAGCAGCCCAGTCCTCCCAGCCTTGGCTCTCCCTGAGCCTCATCTCCCCAAGCTGGATGGCGGCAAAGTTCCGCCTGCTGCTGCCTAATGAGAAGGGAAGGAGCCAGTGCTTTGTGCACCCCCCACTCACTTGGCTACCACCCCACCTTTTTCACTCCTGTACAACAGCTTTACAAAGTGTACAAAATATAGAATCTCAGTTGAACAGGAACTCTCGTGCCCATCCTTAAAAGGCCCCTGGAGGCGGCATCAAGACAGGTATGCAGAATACGGCTGGCACTCACGGAGCGGCTGCTGGGGTCCACCCAGCAGGTGGGCTGCACGGTCCTTAATGGCACTGGAGTTCAGCTGAGGGATGGTGCTGATCCTCAGGAACCTGCTGCTGGAATACTTCTTCTTGACTGTCTGTCAGAGGTTGAGGGACAACGTTAGGCGGCTTCAGTGCTTGGGGCTTGCTGCCATGGTCCCGCAGGCTTGTGGCTTGCTTTGTTCCGGGGGAAAAAGCACGCACGGTGCTCCAACCCCCCCACCCCAGCCCACCCCACCCCCCACTGGCAGGTTGCTGGCCATCCCTCTTGGTGCCCTGTCAGACAGCAATGGCGCTCCTGAATTGGAGGCAAGGGGAGCCCAGGCCTAACTTTCAAAGGCCAGATGCACCACACATGGGCCAAACCTTGAGGCAGGAACAGCCACAGGTCAAGCTCCCTCCCCGAAGGCTTCCACTGTCCTCAGAAGCAGGGCTCCCATGTGCCTCCTGCCTGCTGTGGGGCCAACAGCCAAGGGGGGCCAAGCAACCCACATGCTCGAGGTCTGGATGGGGAGAGACTCACCACTTGTCTAGTCAGGCTCCTGTTAACTCTCACGACGTTCTTGGCCATGTGGGTCATGACGGTGGCCAAGCTTTCCTCCGCGTACCCCGTGTAGTAGCGCAGCTTGAGGTTCTGCATGAGAGTGGCTGCCATAAGACCCCTTCGCAGGGGGGCTGGCAACAGCTCCCTGCTGGGCAACCCGCCTGTTCCCCCCTTTGGAAAACTGGACATGAACTGCCAGCGCTTTCAGGCTCTTTGTGCGGAAAATGACTTAATCTCGTCTACCTGCATGTACCTAAATCCGGTCCCTTTTAGACACGTTGGACCACAACTCTCACAATCCCCTAGGCAGGAGAAGGTTGACACCAGAACCATGGGGACTAGGGGCTTCTGTTCAGTCCTGCACCCCTCCTCTTGGGGAACCCATTGCCTTGGCCCCCGCTGTGGCCCCCAGGGATGCAGCTCCGCGGTGCTCGGCCTGCTCTGCCACAGCCCTGCGTCCCGCCAACACTCACCCACTGGCCTTGGGACAGGACCTGCAGGGACAGGCAGAGGGCGGCGGCAGCGATCTCGGAGGGCTGATAATGGGCCATCTCGTAATCCACGAGGGTCAGTTCCATCAGGTAGTTCGCCAGCAGGAAGGATTCCAAGGACGGCTGGCGACACAAGAGGGGACTTCCGTGAGATGGCTCCTGGAGGCCCTCCTCCGCCACGAAGGTCACGCGGCAGGCCAAACCCCTGCTGCAGCACCACCCAGCCCTGGCTGTGGGGTTCCTCGACCTTTGCCTTCACTGGGGCTTGCAATGGCGTGTAGAGCAAAGATCCCCAAGTGGGTGACCTCCAGACACTCTGGACTTCCATTTCCACCAGCTCTTGCCAGCATGACCAGTGGTTTGGAAAGCGGGGCACTGCTGACCGAGGCCAGCTGAGGGTCCCAGCGCAGGAAGGCTCTCCCTGCTTCTGGGTACCTCCAAACACTTTCAACACACCTGGGCAGCAGTGCTGCTCTGGCCACAGGCACAGCTCACCCGTGGGCCCTACCTCCGCAAGACTGTGCACTCCCTTCCCATTTCTCTCTCTGTTCCTCTGGCCCCTCCCCAGAAACCTTTCAATCAGCTCCTCACCACTCGGTGCACATTCCTCGTCCTAAAAAGCAGCAACAGAGCCGCTTTCACGGGAGCGGGAGGGCTGCTCAGGCTCCCACTCACACCGCTGGAACCCTGTGCGCAGAGCATCTGGCCAGCCCACCACCTCCTCCCCCCACTGGGCTGGAGTGCAGCCCAAATCAAAAGCAGAGCCAAGCCGGGATGGTGCACAGGGCCCTCCTGCCCCACCCCTTCTCCAGTGCACCATTTATTTATTTATTGAAAGCTTTTCTACCCCGTCCCCTACAGAACATCTCGGGATGGCTTACAATAAACAAACAGAACAGAACAGCCCCACTGCATCCGACCATTAATATACTAAAACCCCAACTAAAAATTAAAATAACGGGAACCATGTTAGGCGCCCTGTCCCCATCAGGCCTTCGGATGCCATCTTGCCCATCCCACTACCCAATTCCCACCCTGGTGCAGGTTGCTGGCAGATGGACTTACATCAGAAGCTTTGGCTGCCCTCCTCAAGAAGTGCAGTGGCAACGGCCGGCCCAGGGAAAAGTTAAGCTGTTTAAGGATATTCTGCTCCATTGCCTGAATCTGAGCAACCTTGTACGCTCTGTCGGTGATGTAAACGAAATCCAGGACGCTCGGCACGGAGACCTCTTCATATTTCGCAGCCAAGAGCATTGCGGTGACGCCAACGAGTTGCAGCTCCTTCTGGGAGACGGGCTGAGCCTGGTGCGACACAGAGAAGACTGGCTGCACCACACGGCATCTTGCAGGGGCGTCTCTCATGTGATAATACAGGAGCAGCTCTGCTGGCCCCAACGCAGAAGCCAGGCCCCATGAGCAGATGGTCCGTGGGGCAGCCCAGTTCGTAGCTTGTGGACATACTTGGGGACTGAGAGAAACCAGAGCTCTCCCACGCAGCCTGCCAGTTTGCTGCTTGGACCTTGCCAGAAACGAATGGAGCAGCAGTCACCCCAGTTCTCAAGGTGCTGGGCAGAAACCCAGCAAGAGGCGCTGCACTCTTCTCTCCCAGTGAGAGAGGGGCAAGCCCACGTTTGAGCCTCACGCTCGGACGCCTGCACTCGCTGTTCAAGCACTGATCATGCCCTAGAGCAGGGCTGGGTGGCTTCCAGCCCACGGGCTGAAGTAGCACTTGGCCACTTGCAGGACAGTCTCCCGAGCCACTGGGTGCGGCAGCCTCCAAGGGCACCTTGCGCCACTCCAGGGAGAGTGGCCTCTCCAGGAAGCCCTCCAGAGACGCGAATGCCCCAGATGCTCCGCAGGTACTTGAACAGCACCAGGACGGCTGTGCGGTCGGGCACAGCAGGAGCAGGAAAGCCCGGCGGCAGAGCAACAGGGCCTGGTGGGGAGAGGCTGCTGCGTGCCACTGTGGTGGTGCCTGGCTCAGCTCAGCCTCCGAGCTTGCGGGCGCGCCTCACGGCCCTCCCTCCTGTCCTCACGCTGCCCTGCAGCAAGCTGAGCACCACAGAACCGCCAGAAGCAGCGCTCGTGCGCCGAGACACAGTCCCACGGCTGCTCTTTAAGCGGGAGGGGGGTGCCCTCAGCTTCAGGAGGGCTGCAGGGCACCTGCTGCCGCCTTGGGCTGCACATGGCGCACCCTGGTGCTCCAAGCAGGAGGCCGGCAGAGAGCGCCACGGGAGGCTCCGCGTGCTGCTCTTCAGTGAGCTCGGAACGCCCCTCGGCTTACTTGCAAGTAACGATCCATGATGGCGACACACATGTAAAGAGTCTCCTGCAGGAGCTGGAACTTGGCGTGAACCTCCACCAGCCAGTCCACCAGAATGGCCCGCATGCGCCCACTGAGCTCCGTGCCCTCAAGGTAGAAGGGGGACACGCAGTGCTGTTCCTGCAGAAAGGGCCGGCGGACTGAGCAGCGTGGCCTGTGTTCCAGAGACTAGGGGACAGGCCCAAGAGAAGGGGAGCAGAGTCCCACTGGGCTAGACCACCCCTCTGCGGCCAGTGGTGGCCCCACAGCAGGCTCACTGGCCACATGTACATACCTCAAGCTGCCTGAGGTAACAGTAGATGTCCTTCACATAGTCACCACACAACTGAGGATCTCCGCAGTCCTTGGCATCGATGTCTTCGACATCACTTTGCAGTATCTCAGAGAATGCTTGACACAGATCTGCTTCTGTTGAAGCGGAAATGGGGTCCTAGTTTTTAAAAAGGGCAACAGCATGAGTGAAACCCAGGCAGCCAGCGAAGGTTTCTGAGGCCCCCCGATGCTCCTCAGGAAGCGGCGGCCTGTGCACGCTCCCCGACCTGGGCCTCTCATGCTCCTTCATAGTCTGCCAAGAGCCCAGCCAGGCCAAGCCCTCTTCCGAAGAACCATCCTACAAGGTGGCTTGAGCTTGCTAAGGAACCCAGGGGCCTCATACCAGCCAGGATTGGGAGCCTGCACACGGGTGTTAAAACTGCTTCAAAGCTTAAGTGCCAAACCTGTTATCTTTAGACAAATAATGTGTTTATAGGCACAATCTACTGCTCCTTGCTGGGGCACAACGTTGTTTTAACACTGTATTTGTTCTATTTGTATTGCTAGGCTCATTTTCAGGGCAGAAACTCTCCCAGGCCAGATTCCAACAGGAATTATTATTCAAAGACATGATATAATAAGACTGCAAACATTCATAAAATAGCAGTGCAGCACTACTAAAACTTGCAGGACAATTACAATAGAGCAGAAGAATCCAGATGAGGATAGTCAGGGCAAGGCTAAGATAAACAAGTAGGTCTGCTTGAGATTTTTGAATTACACCTTGATTTGTGATGAGGACGAGAAGGGATTCTCCAGAAAGGTGGGAAAAATGTGAGCGATGGAAGAAGCCAGCAGAAAGGAGCCAGAAAAAAGGTCAACCACAGCTAAGCACCCCAAGGCCAGGTAAAGCAAAAAGAAAAAGAAAAAGAAAGCCACTCAACAAAAAGAGGCAGGTAGGAGAGACGTGGGAGGATTGGAGACAGCAGTGAGTGAGCTTGTGCAGGCAGAAGCAAAGAGCCTACAGTCAAAGCTGTATGTCCGCAGGATTAAAGGGTTCCACGCAGCTCTCTGGGCTGCTGCACTCGCCAAATCTGTTGTGCTCCCCAAAGAATGACAGCAACCAGCTTTGAAAGGCTGGCCTCTTTTAATCCAAGAGCAGGAGGGGTGTGTTTTGCTGCTGTATTTGCCAATCTGGAAGGGCCTTCAATAGTGACTTGGGAATTTTTTGCTTTCTGTTGAGGGAAGAAATACCACAAACAGCTTATGTTGCTCAAAGACAGCTTTTCCCGCAGCTGGGCACAAAGTGACAGTGTATATTACCTTGCCTCCTCTAGATCTGCTGGTCACTGTCCTGTTGCTGATTTCTCCCAAGGGACTCCTTGTGCTACTCAGGTGGCTGCAGGACTTGGTGTGATCTGCTGGCATGCCACTTTTCATGTGATTCATTCTCTACAAGAGAAGATTTCATGCAACTCCTCCAGTGAGGCAGCCTGCAGCACTATGTTGGCTGCTAATATCAGGACTATGCACCCCATGGTAAAAAACTGCAGAATTTTGCAGTAACACCCACATTCCCAGGCAGAGGTTTACACAGGTATTGCCTGCATGCACTTCCAAGTGTATCTTCCCAGCTTTATGGGAAGCTTGGGCTGAAGCACCAGGAAGTTTTGGTGCTGAAGAAAGCAGGTTCTGCTCAAAGGCCACATGCTACCAGTGCAAGCACAGAATCACCTGTGATGGAATTGGGGCATACACAGACCCCAGAATAGGATTCCTCCTCCCACCTTCCTCCTCCATCCCAGGGCAAGTCGCCCTGAGGAGGCTGCTGCCAGCTTGCTCCACTACACAACATGCCACCTGGGCTAGGCGCTGCACAGGTGGGAAGGCACATGTGAAGAGAACAACGGCACACGCCACACTTCTGCAGGAAGACTCACCCGGGCGGGCCCTGGGTCGCCCCACAGGGTGGCTTTGCATTCCCCGCTTCCAGGGGGCAAAGGCAGCCTCGCCCAAGCGCGGCCTCGCGCGGGAAAGAGCCTGCAGGCCGAGCGGCTGCACCGCCCCACTCCGGCCCACCGAGGCGCGGCTGCGCCAGCCCGCGCGGCGCATCCCTTCGCGCCGCTTCACGCCTCGCAAAGAACCCGGGCGGTCACGCGCCACCCGCTGCCCCTTTGCCCCGGCGGCAACCCCGGGAGGCGGGTGAGGCTGGGCCAGTACCCCGCCCCCGCGGCCGGGTGCGGGCGTTGCTGAGCCGGGCGGGCACACGTCGGGCTCCAGCCCGGGCAGCGAAGGGACCCTGCGTGAGAGCGAGGGCGCGCCCCCAGCCCCGTCCCCGCGCGACAGCCTTCCCGCGGATGAAGCCTTCCAACGTGTCCGGAAGGCGCGGGTTGGGGGCGACCGGCTAAGAGAAAGCGAACGACACCGGCGGCAGCCCCTCAGCCCGCCGGAGACCTCCCTGGGGAAAGGCTCCCTCGGCCGGCCCGAGCGCCGGTGGGCTGAACCGACTTTCCGGCGGACAGCGCACGCCCACCCCCGCGCCCACTCGGGACGCGAGTCACGGAAGCCGTTCACACGTTCACTAGCATGCCGAAGAGGACGACGAGGGACGCATGCGCGGAAACGCAGGACGCCAAGCTGCCGCCGGTGCGGGCGACTGCAGCAGCAGCAGCAGCAGCTCCCCGCCCGCGACTCACCAGGCCGTCCCACAGGCTCACCACAGCCGCGGCCGGCCCAGTCGCTTTCCCTCACGCAGCCAGGCCGCGAACCCGGCCTTCAAAAACAAGCGCCGCCGCGCCGCCATTGGCCCTCCGCGCGCCGCCCCTTTGGCGGGCTCGCCCCTTTCCCCGCCCCACGTTGCCATGGCGACTCTGCTCGCGTGCGCCTGGGAGGAGGCTGCGGCGCTCGAGCCTTTGAAGGATCGCGAGATATGACATATGCGCGCAAGGTGCTGTGGGAAGGGTAGTCTTTCCTGGAAGAGGGGTTGGGAGGGTGGCCGGCTGGGTAGGGAGCCTGCGGGAGCCGGCCTAGCGGTGCCAGCCGCCGGGAGCCAGGCTGCTGGATAACGGTCCCGTCCCCGTCCTGGGTACGCCCCAGGAACACGCATCAGGCACAGGCCGTGACCAGCAGGAACTTATTTATTTTCATGCCATTATAACCACTGACCCTATTATCTAGTTATCATATGGAAGCAGGTTGAACCAGGCTCCCCAGTTAGAGAAGTAGCTGCCTTTTTTATTTTATTTTTACCGACAGCAAACACAACAGGTGCCAAGGACACTGCCAACTAAAGCAAGTGGCAAGTGATGCTACCATGAATATCTGGAGGGGTCCTGCAGCTCCGCAGAAACTAGAGAACAGGCTGAGTAAATTAGAAAGTTTTGCATACACAAAATGAAGAGTTATAAATACCGTTGGCTTTCCCCCTTATTAATAGCTGATTCATAGGAATTTGAGCCAGGAGCAGAGGGCTGACTCAACATGGGAAATCCCAGTGACACCCCACAGGTAAATTTACTTGGGGCACAGCCATTTAGGAGTATGGTGAGAGCACCAATAAGGCTAATACAGGAGAACTTCCCAATTGTTTTTGTACTACCCTCTCTCATCCCGTGCACACCTGACTCACGCAGACAGCCCTGATCATGCTGCTCAGTCATCCAGCGCCACCTGCCCAACCAGCAGCCCTTGCAAGGTGAGAGCAACAGCACAATAGGCCAGTGTCTACAACAGTTTCAAACTGATTTTTGAGACGCAACACAACAGACAGACAGGTGGATTCAGCTAACTTTATTAACTGTAAAACTAAAATAAAAAAAACACCACCCAGATCCCATGACAGAACAGGGACCCTTAAAATTTCTATGAATTCATGGATATTTGCCTTCGGAAATGAATTTCTAAGTACGGATTTAATATTTGTGGTTGGTTTTTTCTTTTCTTTTTTTACAAAACCAGTTTGTGCAGATCTTTAGATGAATTTAAGGTAAGACTGAGGAGCAAAACAAAAGAGAGAGAGAGAGAGAGAGACAAAAAAAGACAAAAAACCTTGCCTTTCCCCCTGTTTTCCTACAAACTGATTTCATTCAATCGGCATATATCTACAACCCAGCTAGTTGAAATCAATTATTTAGTGTTCATTAGTGCTGTTTCACAGCAGCAAAATATTGTGTTAGAGAGATTCAAATTGCTAGACATAAGAAAATGGTACATACAATTGGACAGCAGTCTAAATGTTTTTAATATTGACATTCAGATATATTTGCATTGTGCTGAAGGTTTAAGGACATGAAAATGTGATCTGAGGAGGGTGATCCAATGGTGAGTAAGCCAGTTGAGATCGAGGGATTTGAAGGTTATGTTCCCAGTAATTACGGATGGTGCGACTTGGAACGGACAGCGCTTGCAGTGCTCTTGCACATCCCCCATTCGTTTTAATGGGGCTTGTGCAGGAGAAGCGCTCAGCGTTTCTGCCCAACGCAAGTATACAGCAGCTTTTTTCCTAATTAAGGAATGTCTTAAAAACACAATAATATTCTTTTTTTTAAAAGTTGATCTTTATACATTTAAAACTAAAATACTTGATTAAATTAAGGACTCTGAGGTTAGTAATGAGTGAAATCATACTCTGAAAAGCTTGACTCTATGTAAAAAATAGAAACAAAAAAGACCACACAATTCTACTTTCTAAAGCAGATAATCTTGCCTGCAAGTTTGGGGAGGTCACTAAGCCCATAACATGTGCAAAGAAATGCAATACAAGGAACCATGCAAAAAGTACAGGAAAACGTGTTAAGAGCGGGGGAAATCGTAAGGTCTAAACAGAACCAAAAAAAGCTTTATAAATACACTGAACCGTAGGGTTAGCATCAGGTATACCACAGAGCGGACAAACGGCACTCTAGCAGGTTCAAATGCTTCCAACATCTGCACAGGTAAGTCATGCCATCTTTGGTTGACTGCAGTACCAGGAAGGATGGGCGTGGAGGAGGAAAGCCGGAAGTTTTAGGCAAAAGGGTGTCAACTCTCGCTCGGCAGCTGAGCTTCAATGTCCACTCTGCAAATGGGGCACTTCTTGTTTGTGATCAGCCATTGATCTACGCAGACTTGGTGAAAGAGATGCATACACGGAAGGCGCCTACAAAGAAGCAGAGCAGGAGGAAGACGGCTGAGTTGCTTGCAGACCAGAGGAGAAATGTGCGTCATGAGGCGGGTCCCCTTTTTGTCTCCCCCGCTTGTTTGTATATCACATGCTAACCGACCCATTAAGGGAGGTGAGTTAATAGGGCCTGGGCATATTCCTCTGGAGTGATGGGCCTTGTGGCACCACGGTACTCAGCTGGGCCACATGGCTTGTGCTTGCAGGGTGGTGGATTAGCAAGCAGGTGTGTATTATAGAGAGCGACTCACTGGAAACGAGTCTGGTGATGGCACCTCCCATTCCCCTCGCCACCCTCTTGTTTTAGAGCCTTGGCTTGCCCCTGCAGGCATCTCTCTGAAAGCAGCAAGCTCTGGACCCTTTAAAATAATGAACTGAAAAGGAAGGTTGACATTCTCCCAATACACACTGGCAATCCTGCATGTCCCGAGCGCTCGGTGCTAAAAACACACCAAGTCAGGCCATGTGAGGTGCTGAAGCAGAACTGCCCCGACATCTGGCCTCAGGGCCTCGAGGTGCCACCAGCGGCCAGAAGGGCAGAATGTCCCTGGGAACAGCAGGACGCCCCTGACACAGGAGCAAGGGGCACAGCAGAGACATCCTCACCCACTGCCTGTGGCAACGCTGGAATGTTGCTTATGCAGCAGCTGCACATGGCAAAGAGCCTGGAGCGCTGGCGTGTGCCCAGCAGGCATCCTTTCAAAAAGGTGGAATGACAAACAGAAGGCGTTTGTCCCTGGGCAGAGCGCTTTGATGATGCTCAGCAGAACGGTGGCAACGTCTAAAGTGGACCTTACTCTGCACTGGAACTGCAGGCTCTCCCTGTTGATCTCCCAGGCTACCGAAATGGGTCCTCTAAATGCCATGGGGGGAAATATTACACGCATCCAGTGTAATATTAAACCCCATTAACTGAGCATGTTAACAGTATTTTCCAATGTCAGTTCATTCCCGCACTGATGATGCGCTTGCGCCCCCTGAAGGGACATGCCTGCCTGAATTTCTGAAGGCAGCCGGTCACGCTCGGCATACGCAGAACATTTTCCAGCATGGCTCCGGGGGCCACTGGCTGGGCATCACAAGCAGCTGGGCCTTTCCATTTACCTGACATCTTCACCTTCCTCTAATATAGATAAGCAAATGGTGCACTTTTCCTCAGTATCTTCTTCAGTTCCTTCCTCTCCATCTTGTTTGCAGTGCAGTTTCCTCTGTGAGAACCAATCAGTTGTTACCTTATTAGCAGAGATGACATTATTGGCAAACTGAATGAGATCTGTTTCATACACAACAGCCAAAGTTAACAACGACATCTGACATACGCTTCCCACCACACACACATGGAGGTTTAACAAAATGCAACCACTAGGCTAAAGAAACCTTGCTGTGCTGACCCCAAATCCCAGGCTTCCGTCAAATGTTTTCAAAACCTACTGAGCTCTGACAGTGCAGGCATCTGCGAAAAGCTCAAGACTGAACATTTAGGAAGATGGTTGCAGACCCCAGGAAACAGGCCGGGAGTATGCTATATCTGAGACTGAAGCTAAGCAGAAAACAGGCACGTTTGCAGATGTGCCCTGGCGTATCATCCTGCCCAACAAGGCCAGGGCAGCATCATGCACAAAACGGATAAAGCTGATGTTTGCTCAGTCGGTCACCTGTCGCACTACCGTGCAAAGTAAGACTCAGCAGGTAAATTTGCTGCAAATTCCCATGATTCACTTTTGCAAGCTAGCGAGAACAACAGTATGTCTATGACAGTGCTACTTCTGCAGGTGATGAAACATCAGAATGCTTCCCAAACTCCCAGTGCCCAGCAAAGAAGCTAAACTGGAAACCTTTCTCATTCCCTCTCAGCAGTGCAATGGGTGTAGGAACTTGTTTCAGCCACCCAGTTAGAAACAATTCAACTCTTTTACATGGGAAATATACTCTGCTAGAGCTGCAGGCTTGGTTAAGATTTGCCATTTCAGTTCCTTATGGTAAGTATTCAATGGCCATCCTGGGCCAGCCATACTTACACAGTATCTCATTATAGGAAATCATGGCCTACACGTTGAATACATTGTTTAATGTGCATCCTCTCTCCCACTCCACTCCTGCCACCCAGAGAGACGTGCAAAACTTTATTAGAAATGTTCAAGCACTGAGAAATGCTCACCTTTTTGTACTTGTGTGGATATGTGCATCTTTCAATTGTTCCTTGGGAAGCACCACGATTCACATTCCCTAGACGTTCTTCCAGATGAATTAATTCCTGCAATTGAGGAGAAACCAGAAGAATTTAGTATCTTGGCACTCACTAAGATGGCATCAGTAGCTTCTCCCCTTTCATTTGCACACAGTTTCTCTGAAAAATGGCATGGTAGTTCTCCATTCCTGAACTCTCCTCAAGCAGCAGTGGCCTGGCCCACGGACATGGATCCTGGCTCCCCGGCTGCCGTTAGCTTACCTGCTCTGATGCCATACAGGGGCTCTGAGAGGGCCCGCCTGGTGCTGAAGTGGCTCCCGAGACCTCAGAGGCCTGTGAGCCACTTCCATTAAATGGATCCCTTTCGTGTTCCTTGCCAAGGCTCGGTGGGTATGTGAAGGACACCTTGTTGGTGAATAGCCAGATTAACACGTCTGTTTATGAATGGGATGGTTTGATGCATGTTTACTAAAGGTAAAATAACTGCACTGCGAATCATGACAATCGTGGTATTTGCACTGAGAAGACTGAAGCAGAGTGTTGAATTTTAGTCCCCAAGAGAACAGCTTTTTCAGAAATCCTTCCTATGCAATGGACTGGACCATTAAGAGTTCATTAACTCTCTGCATCTGATACCTTCATTTCTCTCCTCCACATAACAAATTGCAGCTGTCAGAGTGGCCTGGTTGCACTTTAGTAAGAGGAGCTCAAGAATTTAGCGCCAACTGTCCCCTTCTCCCAGCCACCTTGAGCAGTACTGCATCTTGTTAGCACAGATACTTCGTGCAGTACAGAGCCCTTCAGCAGCCGCCTGCTGGGTGTCATCCACAAAAGACCTGGCCCGGCGTCTGGCACCTCCTCTGTTCCATGGCACAAAGAGGGCCAGAGGGCATCATAACAAGCGAACACAGAGGAGCCCCGTTTGAGCGGCATCAGATTCTGCCAACAGCCCCACCCAATCATTCCCTCAAGCAAAGTTGCTGCCACGTAGCCAGGTTGATTCTATTACAAACCTCAAAATTGCCCCTGAATGGGCCTCTGAATGAAGTTCCATCCAATCCCGATGAAATGTAACGGATGTGAGGGTAGCCCGCCATGTCAGGAACCTATTCAAATAGCAGAATGGAGTTAAGGCTAATCGCAGGACAGTGGCGCATTTTACTCTTCACGCGGCAAACATACAGAGCCCTGTCGCTTGTGCCCTTGCCGCCACCAGCTGCCACAGGCAGCGTCTGGGCACGGGCTGGCCCGCCGCCCCCTCCCTGCTTCCTCACTGCAAGAGCTCCCACACTGCAGAGCCATACTGCGGGAAGGAGGGAGGCGGCACTGGAACGGGTGAAGCAGGCAACCGGTTCTCCCCCAGAGCAGGCCTCAGTCGGGGGTGCATTCTGGAAAGGCTCACGTAAGCATGGACGCTGTATGTGTGTGCGCACCCATGAGGTCTAGCATGATAATCATAATGCTCACAAGGGAAGAAAATGAATTCTGTCCATGGGAATGAGTAAACGTTCTGCTCATGTATTTCAGCATAATTTCAAACATGTAAATGGATATACAAGAAGCTCAAGCCAGTGTTTAAGGCATGCCAGGGACTGATCCAACATTGATACCATGGCAAAACTAAACTTTAAATTCAACTGTCCAATGGCTATGTTTTCCCAAACACATCCTTTCCATATTATATCAGAAACTCTCTAGATGTGCATGTGCCCACTCACACACACACGCATGTACATACACACACATTCACTCCCTCCCTCCCCCCCCCCCCCTCTCCATTAGAAATTCCAATGTCTTTTTATGGAAAAGAAAGAGAGAACAGACTCAAACTGGAGGAGCACATGTGCTCTGAATTCAGCTGCCTGGCAAACGTCATTCCCTCCTTTAAAAGCAGCCTGCGTGCAGCAACGGCCACACCTGGGCAAGCAGATTTGCTGCTCTGCAGCATCACTGGCATCGTCTCCAGAAGCCTGTGTCCTCTGAGCCTGTCAGGTGAGACTGCAGGAAAGCAAATGCTTAAGCTCAAGCAAGCAAGGCAACAACCTGAAAGGTGCCCGCCATGCGTCAAGGAATTCTTTACCACAACCAGAAAACCAGACTGTGTTGGAAACAACAGATGAACTCCACATTTCAAACTTTAAAGTCCTGCTAGGTTCAAGCCATTTAGCCGGCCGGTGGCCCTCTTTCCTCAGGTCACTTAATTCTTGCAGTGCTTGAGTCTGTGGTAAACTGTCTTTGAGGGAGTTTGATAGAAAAGCGAGGAACACAACTTTTAAATAACTAGCTGCCCAAAAGAGGAAGAACTTCTGCCTGGAATTCATCTAGATGACAACTTCCCATCTGGCCGACCAGCTACAGTATCGCTCATGTGCTCTTAAGAGCCACACAGAAACTTGGGCTTCAGCGGTCACTCAAAATCCAGGGGCCAGGACGCACCGGAGCCAGCCACCGCCGGTGCCTCACAACCTGCTCTCTGGGCTCAGAGCCACCGTGCCTCAGCCATGAACAGAGGAGGCCACCACTCCTGTCCATTCCCACCTCGCCCTGCGTCTCCTGTGTTTCCCAATGGCCGCCTGACAACTGTTTCAGTTAAACCAAACACCTCTGGCATGCAGCAACTTCCAGATGATGCCACGAGCTGCAAAATGTTAACGGTGGCAATTCAGAAAGGGCCTGCAGTGTTGCTATAGGGCAGTGCACCCACAGCCTCTGCCAAAGGCCCTCGCCCCTCTGCCTGCTTTGCCCTTTAGCGGTAGGCGGAAAGTCGGTGCCGCTTGTGTTGTCAAGAATGGTGGTCGCAGGGCAGGGGCCTCTGCACGGAACTTCTACAGTTTTCTTTTCCTGCTCGGGGGCCCAAGCCCTTAAGTCATGTCCACAGAAAGGCACTGCCAGCTACCGAGTTCAGGGAGAACAGCTGGGGTGCATCTGTGGCAGCATCTTCCGTTTGCATCATCTGCTTCCACAGCTCCAGAATAACTTCAGAATGAGAGAGAATGGCACCTGGTCCCAAGCCTGGGATGGGGGGGGGGATCTAGCCCCTAAACAGTCAACTTCAGACTCTGCTGCGATCCACACAAGTCTGACAGTAAAAAGAGAAGCAGTACCCGGCAACTCGACCTTTCCTGGCGTCCCAACACCTCCTCTTGCCATTACCACTGCCAGACATATGCCTAGTGTTGGTATTAAAAGGGGAAAGTAATTTCAAAGCCTCTTCCACCAAATCGATAGCAGAACGACCTAGAAATTCATTGTAATGAACTTTCTCATACTAATTACGGAGTAACCCAGCCATCTGAAGCTACTCATTGAAATACACCCCAAACAAAACAATCAGATGCAGAGGGTCAATGTGCTACTGGAGAATTTAGGGTGGGTTTTTCCTGATTTCGTGTCAGGACTGTTGCGGTCTTAAATCCGATAAAAGTCCCAGCTCGCTTTCTGTGCAAGCATCCGCTGCGATTTCCAAGCTCTTCATACACACAGAAGTGAGCAAGGAAGGAAACGCCCAGGTGGGTGCGCTCTGCCTGGGGCTCTCGGACACAACCCCGCTCTTTCCAAAGGGGGCTTCCACTGGTCCTGTCCCCAGGCAGGCGCTGCGAGCTTCCCTGGGAAGGGACAGGTGGTGGCCGCACCTGCACGGCCCTCCTCCTTACCATTAGCGGAAGTGCGCCAATTTGCAAGTGGTGAAGTCGAGGCGGGGTGTGATAGTGCGCCAAGTGAGGGTGCAGCGGGCCTGGTGGGTAGGTTGCGGCCGTCACTCCTGCTTCGATTCCCAGTTCCCTGTCGGGGGCGGAAAGTGCAGTGTCAGTTAGACTTGCTCTCACGGTTTAAGTCGGTGCCTCCTGCAGCATCCTGGACACGGCGTTCTCTTCCACAGGGGAGAACTTGGATATGGGAGGATTTGGGAACTACCGTCAGCACTGGCCCTGCAAGGAGCCTCCTCCGTTACCACCTTGCTTTGGGGCCCAATTCACAGGGACCGCTCTGGACCTGTACGCTTGCATTTTATTCCCTTCCAATATTTCTTAGTGGTTTCCAAGGGCAGCTCTCATCTGACAGAAAAAAGCAAGCTATTTTTGGTTTAAGTTTTAAACCACAGCATGCATCCTATACAACACAAGGGGGCAGGGACTTTAGTTTAAGCTGGAGTGGAAGTCTGGGGTGTCCAGAGAGAAGCTGGACTGCCTGCATTGCGGCCCAGGAAGAGCTACACCCTGCACTTCTCCAGGCAGGTGGGAGATGCGGCCCCCACACCTCCAGGGGCCTGCCGAGGCTCCAGAGCACTAGTGAGCACTCCTCACACTTCAGCTTCGGACATGGCTTGCAACACACTCACCCCAAACATGTCAAAATCATGTCAAAAGTGTGTGACAAGTTAAACCTTAAGGGCAGAGCCTGTCTTGGAGCTAGCATGAGGCTGCCCTGAGAAACTCCACTCTTCTAGGAAGAAAGGCAGGACGGAAACACAGCCGACTAAATCCCCCCGCTACCGAGGGATCAGCGACAAACCTCCTCGAAAGACACCAGCCAGCAAAGTTTATGGTATCTGCCAAGTCAGCAATTTAGAACAAATTAAGTGGCAGCGGGGCTGAATTAAGTTCAGCAGAGGGACCTGCCTATGCTTGCTTCCAGGTAAAGGCTTTTAGGTGGAGCGAGAGCGCTTGAGCAGTGGGGCGGCACAGAAATGAATTAAACAAGGATGAAAGACACTACCACCACTCACCAGGCAGAGCGCTCTGGCGCTTGTCGCGGGTGGGACGACATCGTCTGCGGTACATGGATGTGATGCCCGTGGCCATAGTTGGGATGCATGCGGTGGGGGTGGGGCGGAGGCCGCTCATGGGCTCGCCTGCGAGGGAGGGAAAGCAGAGGGTTGCCGCCTGCTCACCAAGGCTGAAGCTCCTCCCCAGGTCCCGGCAGACCCCCCCCCCGCCCACCCCGTTTCTGGAACGGAAGGTCGAGGAGGGGAGGGCTCCCGTGTTCCCTCCTCTCACACCTGCACAGTCAGCCTGCCTGCCCTGCTTGCAGAGAGCCCTCCCACCCCCGTGCCTCGGCCAAGGTCCATCCAAGCGCATGAACACATGGAGGAGGGGAGCAGCAAGGGGAAAAGACCCTGGCTGGCGAAAGACCATGCAGAATCTTTGCTCCAAGCCAAAGTATCAAAATTAAGCACATTTCTCAAACAGACTTAGCTTCACAAAAATCCCATTTAGTCTTTGGAATACAAAAAACGGCTGCCTCACCCTCCCCACAGCCCCAAGGCACCCTGGGACTCTGGGCTTCCCGCCAACGTACGTGGGATGCTGCATCATTCTCCTCCTCTGGACCTCCATCCGCTGGATCACTTCGTGGGGGTGCAGCCTCTGGGCGGAGGGCGCGGCGGCCGGGAGGTGATGGGAAAGGGACTGGTGGGCAGCCGGGAGTGGCTGTGGGATCGGGGCTGCAGCACTGGCCAGGGGGTGGGCTGGGGGCGGAGGTGGGACAGGGTGGGAGGAGGCGTGCGAGGAGATGGAGGGGTGGAAGGGGTGGATGGGGTGGGGGATGACGTAGTCGACTTGAGGGGACGGCTGAGGGGGCTGGGGTGGAGCCGGAGGAGGGGCATTCCCATGGGAATGGGGGCAGGCGGACGCTTGGTGGTGAAGTGGTCGAGTCAAAGAGGCATCTGGAGGGGGAAGGAGCAAGCCAGAGGGCAGGTTAGTCCTGGGCAGTCATTCCGCTCCACAGGGGTTGTTCTGCCTCCCCCTCGCGGCACCCAAGTCGGCTGACCCGGGCAGCTGTGCCCTGTCCCGCTGGAAGGGCCACACGCACAGCACGGAAGATCACGGCACCCCGGCTGTGGCGGGAGACTCCTGGCAGCTGGGCCACTTTGTGGAGCCCCTGCAGGGGGGTGAAGTGGCCCTGCGGCAGGCTCTCCCCCACCCGCCCTACTTACAAGGAGAGTGCATGTAATGCCGGCAGGAGGACAAGGAGGCCGGGGGCGGGGCCGGGGGCGGGGCCACCAGGCTGGCGCTGTATCCATCGATGGCGACGGGCTGGCTCGAAGCGGCTCCGGCCTGGTGCCCGTAGATGGTGGTTCGGGAGGAGGATCCTGGGCAGCAGGGGTCGAAGGCCGACGCGCCGTGGAACGGAGTGCTCCCGTGGTTTCTTACGCCGTTGCTGCTTAAGTCTACGGGCAGGGCCTGCTGCAGCGGGGCGAGGGGGAGACAGGAGGGTTGAGAAAGTGCAGCTGAGAGGCAGCCCTCACCCACACGACTCCCCCCCGTTCCAACGCACCGAAAGTACCATGCTGACTGTGCTTCCCCGCCCCGCCCCCGAAACAGCGTCAAGCCCAGCGGGCAGAGGGAGGTGGACAGCTGCAGGCAGTTCCTCGCCACGACATGAAAACCTTGCCGGTGCGCCTCCGAGATCACTTGCCTGGTCGTGGTAAGTGGCGCCGGAGCTGCTGCTTGGCCCCCCGGGCGCCGGTACTGGGGGCGGCCGCTCGACCGGGCAGCTGGATTCGCTGAAGGAGGGGGAGAGCGGGACGCCCGTGTGGGGGGCATGGTGATGGTGCTGGTGGTGCTGGAAGTGGTGGCTGTGCTGCTGGAAGCAGCCGGCGTGGGGGTGTCCCGGGACGTGGTGGCTCTGCGGCGCCCCCCCACATGGAGAATGCTGGGGGCAGCAGGAGGGCAGCCTCGGCATCGCGGGGGGGCCCGGCTCCAGCGCTGCGTTGGAGGCGTTTCCTCTCGTGTCGTCTGGAACGGGCAAGGAGAGAAGCAGTTTTCAACACGGCTGGTAACATAACGAGGCGGCGGCGGTGGGGAAGGGCAGCATGGAAGCCGGAAGCGCTGCAAGCGGCGGAGCTGGACGAGAGCGCCATGCTTCTTGCAGAGGGGCCCCGGGGCTGCATGGGAGGCCCCTGTGCCAGCCAGCTGGGCCTCCCCCGCAACGCTCCAGGCCGTTTCCTCTCCCAGCGGCTCTCACTTTCCTCTCCACTGCCCCTCAGCCAGGGCAGTCTGCTTACCAAGCCTGCCAATCTTCTCGCTAAGAAACGAAACTGCCCTGGGGATACTTGCTAAGCGCTACACCAGGCACACTGCAGTGCCAACGGGTCATCTAGGGTGGCGTTCCAGACTTGGTGATCTTTTGCAGGCCAGGCATACTGGCCAAGCCGGAGTCTCTGATGGACCGTCATGCTGGCCGCAGGGGCCCAGGGAACCTTCACCAGCCCAAGGACGGGAGAAGCTCAGGAAGAGGGAGCCCTGCTCAGAACTGGAGGCCCCCTCCCACAGCTTTGCTGCCTGACCTGGCATCTCAGGACGTCTTGAGGGGGGGACCATCCACAAAGGAGGGGGACACTGACTCCAGAGGTGCCTACGCTACTCTGGTTGTGGGCCCCATCGCCCTTGCAGCTAACTGATCTGGCAACTGACTGCAAAAGCCTGAGACCGCGGTCCATACCTCCTGCTGCGTTTCCAGCAGAGCTGCTGCTGGTGAGAACCACGAGTGGCTCTGGTACCAATGAGGACTGGCTGCTGGGGATGCTGGAAACGACGTCAGAGACCTGCTCTGCGGCTGTCGCGCTGGGGCCACCTTCAGGAGCAGGATGTGTTGCCTGGGATTCCCCTCCGGAGGAGGTTGTCGGCACCACGGTTGGCTCTATGGACAAACCAAAAGCATGGCATTTGAGCAAGTGGCTTGCAACTCAGAACGCGCTCCTTTAACGTGCCTCTGCGTCCGACCCCAGGCAGCCTGCACAGCGACCGACTGGCCACCTCAGCAGTGTGCGCTCGCTCGCTCGCTCGCTCACCCTGGCGGGGACACAGGTACTCTTCCCTTCACCAGCTCTGCAGACATTCTTACTGGCAGCAGCCTGAGCAGCCCTTAGCTTTGCAGTGGCTGTCAGCAGTGGTGCTTGGTGGAGAAACCAACATCAAGGGGCTGAGCACCTCCTGACGTGGACTTACCTGCACAGCAGAACCATTACCTGAGGCCCTCTTCTGACCAAGGCTTAAAAGACGGCAACAAAGGTTGCAAGTTTTGCCCTGCCCACCAGAAAATCAAGAGGCAGGAAGCCTTTTGCACCATTACAGAATTCTGTATAGAAATGCAACCAACCATACAGACCTCTCCCTTGGTTTAGCATACAGACGGAAAGGAAACCTGTCTTTAGGCAGGCATGTTGGAGGACGGGAGCAGGCCTGGACGGCAGCCCATGAATGCGCACGCTGTAATAAATGTGTTCAAGTGCCTGGGCACCCCAAGCCTTTCCACGTGCCTCTGCAGGCACAACAGCAGCGTGTGGGGCGGTGTCCAGTCACGCTGCTCCGCTTCCACGGACTGGGTGGGGTCAGCAGCTGCGTTGCAACAGGGATCCGACGCTTGGGGGAAAAGCCAGCCCTGGAGTCAGCAGAAACACTTGCATCCAGGCCGCGAGGGGTGAGCGGGGCACCTTTCTGCCTGGTCCTCTGTCCTGCCCCTTCCAGAGGCAGCCCATGGAAAAGAGAGCATGCCTGGCCCTTCACAGCTGCAGAGGCAGCCCTGCGCTTCCCCACTCTTTCAGGATACCTTTTCTGCAAGAGGGGGACGAAGATGCGCCGCTGCAGCGACCTACCGTCCTCATCCACCGTGAGATCCACCACTTCTGCTGCGTTCTGCCTCAGTGGCTGGATGACTGTGGAGATTCTGCTGCGGTTCCGCTGCTCCTGTGGCCGCGAGGCGAGCGAGTTGGACCCGTGGCCCCAGTGGGAGCGAGAGTGCCCAACGGATGACCGAGACCTGGGAGAAGGAGCACAGGAGGTGAAAGGAAGGCTCGCTTCTCATGGCAGGCTGATTAAGCTGGCCTGCCGAAGCGAAGCTGCACCACTGGCGCACACGCGAGGCTGCCATTTGTTTCAAGCTGTACTTTGTTTTCTGGATCAGCTGCACACCAACTTCAGTCCCGTGTGATACACTTCAAAGCAAAGCGCAGAATCCCTGCTGTCCACTCATGTTTCTTAAATGAATAAAGTTCTGCGTGGTGGAAGAGGGCTTCCCCCATTTCCATCCTTGGCCTCTCCAGGTTTGTGTTTCCAAAGTTGCGATCTCAAGTCAAATCTTATTGTGAGGTTCACACATGGGTGTGCTGGCACTGGCAGCAACCACCCTGAGATGCCGTGTAGCAGAAGAGGCAGTTTCTAACTCAGGCAAACTAAAACAGGCATCTCTGAGAAGCCCTTGGTAACCACACAGTTGGGTTGCTGGAGTGGTCTCCATGCAGGACTGCCCCTGAAGGTTTCCTTGGGATATGGCTGACTGTAAAGAGCAACCACAGCCCGTATTCTTCGCAAAGTCTGGCTCCACTGCACAACTTGCCAATTCACTTCAGAACACATTTCCAGAGTACGGTTGGGTAGTGCATTGGAGCGGAGGGCTGAGGACCGAGTTCTGGTCCTCACTCAGCCACTTTGGGCCAGTCAGCACAAGCTGCTCCGTGGAGCTGTTATTATGAGGATAAAAATGAAGTGAAAGAGCACGTTGTAAGCAGCCGTGAGTTTCTTGCAAAAGGAAAAAAGGCAGGATATGAATGCAATGTAACAAATGTTGATGAAGACGATAGATTACTGGACTCAGCCTCCCAAATAGGACCTCCCACTCTTTCAAATCAGAGGAAGCTTTGCTTTGGATGGCTCAGTCCCTGGGAGGTCTGAATGATGGCAAGCTGGGGTGGGGGTGGGGGTCTCCTTCTGAAGGTCCAGCTCCTGGGGGTGGCCTACAAAGCAAGACTTCCGACAGCTGGTACCCTTCATTTATTCTCAGATTCAAGCTAAAACAATATTGTTCCATGAAACTCTTGATCTGTGATAAACTGGAGAGTTTTAACTGCAAGTTGGTATCTCTAGCTTGTATTATTGACCTATTATGACCTTGGTCTCCCCCACACCCCCATTGTTGCCAATACCTAAGATAGACAATGGAAGCGTGGTGCAAAAAACTGGGAGGAAAACACCTGAGCAAACAAGGTGACAGAGCACTTGTTTGGTCTCAACTGCTAATAACTCCTATTGGAAAAGAAAGAAGAACCCAACAACTCAGTCAGCAGGGCCGGGATGGGCCTCCAGGGGAGACTTCTGAGAGTTGCCGCCAGCAGCAGGCACCAATGGACCAGGCGTGGACAAAGCCCCATTCGTGCCTTCTCCGGGCAAGCCCAAGCGATCAGGGTTGCTTGAGGCTCTGCCACAGCAGCTCAACTGGCTGTGAGTCCTGGGGAGAGGAAGCATGCACTCCAGGTCCAGAGCTGCGGGGAGAGAGGGAGAGAGACAGAGGGAGAGAGACAGAGGGAGACAGAGATGCAGAGGAGGAAGCAAACCTTTATGACTTTGGCCAGGGTGGGCAGTGGGAGCAGGGAAAGAGCAGCCTGCATGCTTGTGAATCAATTAACTTTTCCTTGTTCTCTTCTGACCTTCCTCTGTGTGCTCCACCTAGCTCCTCCGTCCAGCTTGCCCTTCCCACCCACGACTTCATTTTCTCCACTGCCAGATGTCCTGGCCAAACTAGCTGATTAGGGATGGCCCAGGTCATCCTCTGCTCCTCCTAGGAGACCCCCACCCTCTGAGGGCATCCGACCTCCTCTTCTCCCATGCCCTTACCATACAGCACATCAGTCTTTCGAAAGCCCCCGTCCCTGTCTGGAAACTAGCCAAAGGCACATTCATGTTGCAGGTTCAGCACTTCCACATGTTCAGTTCAGTTCAGCCAAGCTCACTCACCAACAGCCACCCCATTCGGCAGCACTCCTGCTTTAAAGTGGGTTTCAGGCAGAAAAACTGGGGCCCGGGACTCCCCTGCAAGCTAGTGCCATATTGGGCTGGCAAATGCGCAAGGTAAGAATGGAGGTGGGAATAACAGTGGGGAGGAAGGGGGGCAAGCGCCTGCTCAAATAAGCCCCCGTGTTGCTCTCCACTGCTCCTGATTCATCGATGCAGTGGCTGCAGAGTGTTTTCAGCCTACAGGTGGCTTGCTGGCACTGTGCTGAGGGTCAGGAAAGCAGAACTGTTTTAGAGGGAAGGGCCAGGTTTTTAAAAAACCTGACACCGTATCAGAACTAGAAGCAAGCCTACTACCAATTCTAATGGGAGAAGGAATCATACATTTGGGGAATCTGAGAAGAGGGGAGGCAGGCTTTATTTGGCTCGCTTCTCATCTGCTGACTAGAGTAAACTCAGAAGGTTATAGAAAGCATTCCATTTATCTTTGATCAAGGCACCAAGGAATCTAAGAGCGCAGTCTGATCCAGGATGACATTTTAAAGCACTGTTGCAAGACAAAGACCAAAGTAATTGAAAGCTGAAGAAGCCTATGCATATTTCTCCCTAGAACAACCACAACATACCCCTGCAGTTGCACTGAAAGCAGCTTTCATGTGCGACACAAACAAAGCAGTATATATGGTTTAATGAGACAGGAACAGGGAAAATGGCAAAAGCTAAATTGTGAGGCCTCCAGTAAGATGAAACGGCAAAGGGAGAAAAGAACCCGACATTGAAAAAATAAACCCACAACTACTGCCTTGTTTTATAATCCTACTCAATCACAGGACTAACATTTAAAGGGCATTAGGCCCAGCATTGGCCCTTTCTGGAAAACCATGAAGGAAGCCTACAAAATGAACTAATGCCTCTGAGTAAGAGCTATTGGCCAACTACTTGCAAATGTATTTGAGTGTAACCACAGTGCAAGCAAACTGTGGTTTCAGCAGGAACCTTTGTGCTGTTTTATGTCCATTGTTTGGCAATCCTACGTTTTGAATACAGGAACAGAAAAAGGTACATACATCATCATTCACTTACATCACTGGTACACCACGCAATTAACCATGTCCTCTGGGTGGGAAACTTAACATCTGGGAACACAGCAGCCTAAATTAACCAAATGCTGCAGTGCCACTTAAGGGACAAAACCTCCTCTCCTAGACCAGCAGTACATGATGCTTCAGTTCAGAGCCAAGTGGTTTCGCTCAGTGAAGCTTTTATGAGGTGAGGAAGTTCCCTCCGATGGAATCAGACTGCCAGCCCAGGGAGCTGCAGGTGGTCCAAAACGGGCTGTTGTGCTTTTGGAAGGGAGGGAGGGAGGGAGGGAAGGAAGGCAGGCTTCCCTGGTGCTACCTGAGGACCCCAGGAATGAACCTGGGGCCTCCTGCAGGCCCAGCAGGTGTTCTGCCACTGACTCACACCTTTTCCCAATGTAAGCAAGCTATGGAAGGGGATGGCTACTACAGGAGGATGCTCTCGACCCAGACTTAGGATGTGCATCCACCCACTGCAAGAGGCAGGGGGGCTGGTTCTAGAGAGGATGCAAGAGGTGCCCCCAGCCCGGTTCCCTCTAAGAAAAGAGCCTGCTTCCAAGCAGGCAGCGGGAGGAGCACCACTGAATGGCAGGTAACAAGAAGCAGGACTTCAAGTTAAAAAACTAGCGTATCACTCAAAATGACAACTAAGTGACCCATCTCAGGAAGCTTCTGTAATTAACCCAGAAGTCCCAGCTAGCACAGCAAGGCTAGAGAACAAACGAGCAAAGCTGAAGGAATTGCTGTTCGATGAAAATCCTGCCCCAGGGACTGCATCAAATTCCGGCCAACGAGCAGGGTGGCATGAGCTGCCAGACAGTGCCATGAAGCCCTTACCGGTAACTTTCTCCAACAGTTACAATCTCTACTTCACTGTCTGTTGAGGTAACATTGATTTCTTCATTGGCAGTGACTTGGGGAGTGGAAGATGCTTCGATCACCACGACATCTTCATCAATACTCCCTGAAATGCCAAAGGCAAGACGTGGAGAGAGAGACAAGTTGCATTAGGATTGAATGGCACAGGTTATTAAATATATATGGTGCAAAACAGAGGCAATCAATAAGCTTTTCAGAAAATGTAACAAAAAAGAAGGAAGCCAACTCTCCTGGAGGGTGGTTACATGGAGTTTCATGAGGCTGCAGCCCCGTTCAGTGGGGCCCCAAGTGCAGTTTCAACTCAGGCAGGCAGGCAGCTGGCTGTTTGGTAGCCCTCAATGGCTCCTGCCCCAGCAAAGACCTCATGAGATCAGAGACGTCCACCTCATTTACATCCTACCTCGATTCACCAGAGTTTGAAGAGGCACACACAGCTGTGGGAGGGGATACCCTAGACCGCCACCCATCCAAACAAGGACACCCATAGCTGCTCACACCCTGAGCCTCCAGACAACAACCTTCAGACCAGCCTTCCCCAGCCTGACACCCTCCAGATGCGTTGGACTACAGCACTCACCATCCCCGGTCAGCATAGCTTTGGAGGGCATCAGACTGGGGAAGACTACTCAGACATTCAATGTGGAGACCACAGCAATGCATAAAATCTTTTGGTATCTTTTTTCTCTGGAGGCTCTGCAAGCCCAGAAAAACATTTAACATTTCTGAGCGAGTTCCAGCTTTATTTTGGGTGTGTGGGGGGTGGGCCCATCTTGGACTGACCCCTGTGTTTTAAAGGAGTCAAGGGTCACTGGCATGAGACAAAAAACCATGTGACCCTGACTGCGACGAGTGCCAAGGGGTCCCTGCAATCTGCTACCGATATGCACTGTGAAGCCACTCAGGCGCACCCCACAAAATCGATGTGTAGCAGCGTCAGGACAGAGGAAAAGGAAGGCACGGTGGAACTGGCTACCAGGTGCTGTGAAAATGACCAGTCCAGCACATCCAAGGGGCACCAGGTTGGGGAAGACCAGATGAGTCCATGAAAGCACATCTACGGTAATTGGGTTAGTCTTCACAAGACCCTTTTTTGTTTGTTTATTTTTCGATTTATATCCTGTCTTTTTCCTACAAAGGGCTCAAGGCAGCTTACATCATTCTCCTCCATCTTATCCCCACAACAACAACCCTGTGAGGTAGGTTGGGCTGAGCATCCGTGACTGGCCCAAAGTCACCCAGTTGGCTCCATGGCTGAGTGGGGACTCGAACCCAGGTCGTCTGAGCCCCAGTCCCATGCTCTTAACCACTACACCACACTGGCTCTCCCACTGATGTGATCTATTATTCAGATTCTACAGAAAGCCTCCACAGGGATCTTCCTGGCAACACGACAAAGCACATCCACAAGGATGGCCCATCCAAAACGGAGAATGTTTCTTTAAAACTGGCCTCACTCATTTTGAGCAGGATCTTTGGCACTAGGAGAGTGGAGCTGCCTCACAACCTGCTGATCTGCATCCATGAGAGGCTTAATGGCCAGGAAGGGAAGAGGGGAAGTCGAAGGCAGCCATGGAATGCGAGCAGGAACGCAACTTCCTGCCACGGTCACCGTATGAAGGGGCACAACCCACACTCCTGCAATTCAGGAGTCGCAGCGGTCACTGCTGGGTGGGCAAAAGTCACGTGCGGCCATAGGGTACACATTTTCAAAATCCATCTCCACAGTCACACTGCATTTTAAGAAATAAATAAAATGAAGAAAGCCCACAGTGACTGAAATGCCAGTGGTGAAGCAACTTCCACACAGAAGGCAGGTGCTCCACAGCTGTGGCAGGAGGGCAAGAGATGCCGCAAGCATGACCTCTGCGCACATCAGTACGGCCAATTTCAACAGGAAACTGGTGCATCTCTGGGGCTTCCTTTCATTAGGGCTGCCATCCCAAATCTGGATGTGTTGGACTACAACTCCCAGCTCCACCCTCTCCAGGCAGCCATGTTCAAAGTTGTAGTCCAACACATCTAAAGGGCACCAGGCTGGGGAAGGCTGGATTAGGGGCACAAACACAAACTGGGGGCACAGGGTGAGGAACCCTTTCACTTTCTTCCAAGGTATACCTCTGCAGAAGAAAGCCAACAGCAAGGGGACACACTGCCTAGGTTTAGGTAACATAATGACCTGCACTCAAGCTTGAGCATTGGTTGAGAGGGTTATCAGTGAACTGCGCATTGCTGCTGAAACACAGGCTATCAAGGTAACAAACCACGGTCAGTGTCAGCCCAATAACAAACCATGCCCAATGTGTGGCCTACTTAGCTGAGTGCGCTCAGGCCACCTGCTTTGTGCAGAGGTGGGTGAGGACCATCTTGCTCACTGCTGCTCCCAGCTTGGGGCACATGTGGTTTTGACATACATGGCCAGAGGTGTGGTGTGGTATGGTCTGGAATGTAGCCCTGCGACATTCCCAGTCTGTACCATATTTCCAACAGGATCAGAAGTGTAATGCTAAACCCTAAAAGGAGTGGTTAGCCAGTATCCTACAGCCCTCCTCATAGAGCAAGGTGTGATCTACCCAAGGAGCTCCCTTCCTGTGCCCTACCTATCATTGGCAAGAGATGCTTCAGGGGCTGCACCTTTCTGCCCCAGGACCCTGCTGATTGAAGAGGGGGATGGGAAAGCCTCAGGCCAAGATGCGGCCTCTTTGGGCACCCAGTAGGGACTGACAATGGCAGTAACAGGACTCCCTCGCAGGCTACTGTAAGCAACGGAAGCTCTGGCCTACCGAGCCCCCTTCCTTCTCAGGGCAGCCCCTTGGTCTGGCCCGACATGGCTTCCATAGGCCAAAGCCTTTTCCTTGCCAAGGTGGGGCAAGGTGACAGTTTTGGGAATAGAGGATGAGAATCCTGGCCGACTTCCCATCCTTTACTCACCTGCAGTCCCACTTCCCTGTCCTACAAATGTAGGAAGACATATCCTCCAGTCCACTGCTGCCTCCTCTGAGAGGGGTTTCTCCCAGCCATGAACTCTTGAGCTGGATTTGTCTGAGACTGAATTGGGGACCTTTTGAATACAATGCAGGTTTACCACCAGTACCACTGAAATTTAACTACACTGTGGACAGGGCCATAGAGAACCGGCGAGGCAGAACAGGAGGAGGAGAATCGAATCGTTCCACAAAGAGGTGGTTTTACCTGAGGGAATAGCAGTACTGTTTTGGTGATTTTCACCAGCTGATACAAAAATATCTTCCTCTCCTTCAGAGGATGAGCTGGAAGAGGATTCGCTACTAAGGTCATTCTCGCTGGAACTACTGGAGCTGGGCAGCAACGCATACTTCCGCCGAGCTAATACTTCCCTTTTTTTCCGTTGCAATAAAATCCGCTCTTTTTGGTTTTGTGTCCGCTGTGAGGAGCTGGTTTTCACAAACCGCTTCCTATAGGGGAGCCTCCTTAGGGAACTGCTGCTGTGGAAACAGGTCCTTTTCATTAATAACCCCGGCACGGATTCTGTCTCTGTCCGGGGCCACTTGTGTGGCCGGGAACCGTGAGTTCTGCTCGATGCATGCAACAGTGCCCGAGTGTGCCTCACGGGGGCCGCCTCCTTCTCCTCCTCAGACGTCACTGTGTCCGAGTCTCCGAAATGCAAACTGGATGATGGCGAAGAGACACAGTCACTAAAAGAGGAGTCGTTGTCCTCACTTTGGGTATCGAGGCGCTGCCTTAACCCTAAAACCCGAGGGTTCTCTTTGCTGCCACAGTTCTGAGCACAGGAAGGGCCGGCCTGCTGACTCTTGCGCTTCTTCCGCATGACCAGTGCCTCCTGCTCAGGACGGCTTCCAGCGATGTCCTTCTGCTTTTGAGAGTCACCACAGAGGTGGGAGAATTCATCCCCGACTTTGCTGGCAATCATCGTGGCGTCTTCTCCAGGGAAGCTTTTGGCTGCTTCAATGGGCGGAGGAGGGTTCAAGAGGACCCCCTTCAGGCTCTCCTGGCTCTTTGGTGCACCAGAAGAAACGTCACTCTTCATATCCGCTTCTAAGGTATAGACTATATTACATTTAGGAGTCCACTGAGACATGGGAAAATGGCGGGGAAGGCCTTGACAGAAACAAAACACAAGAAATACAAATTATGCTTAGACTGTTGAGCAATGCAAATACCAGCTGTCAGACAGTTAGCTTCCCTTTCATAAGTTTCAAGAAAAGAACTTCCTGATAGGATTTACTACTTCCCTTCCCATTGCAAGAAAAGTCTGTAGAAATCCAGTGTTTGGAATCTACCCTTGAAGAAAGCAGTCCTGAAGTTCCTGAAAATTTAGATTTCACTAAATGCTTGCCACAATCCCTGGTTACTGCATCTCAAATAAAATACAAAGAGAAGCAAGGAAGAGATATCCTATATGAGGGAAATTACTAATACAAATTGGCTTTCTGCAAAGAAAGCACTCAAGGCTGTATAAAAGTGCTGATTTGGGGCATGGGGAAAAGCAGTTCAGACAATTCTAAAATTGGATTACATTTAATAAAAGAAAGCATACTGCGAGCTCCAACAAAAATCCACAATACTTTATAGCTGAGCTGTGGAAAGTTTGGAAACCATAAGAAATCATGATCCATGGTGCACCTCAGCCTTAAAAGCTTCTTGAGGACTTTGGAGTTATTTGACAGAAGGCTACAGGCATGCAGGGGAGAAGGATGCAGCCCACAAAGGCTGGGATTGGCAATGAGGTGCTTTCCTTTCCCTCACCAGCCACTACTGAATGCCCCCCCCCCCCCGCCCCCAGCCAGGCACAGGCACACACATTTCCTAGGGGTTTCACAGGAACTGTGAACATGCTTCCAAGCTTCGTCTACAGCCATGAGGCCTAGAAACTTGCCCCTCACAGGAGCTGTGAAGTTCAGGATCTGGGGATTCTGCACAGCCAGACAGGTTTCTGCTTACAAGGTCATCAAAAGGGGAACCTGCCAAGGGCAAAAGGCTCTGAGGTTCGCCTGGGATGCAGTCCTTCCAGCATCCTCTTACTCCCATGATAACTGCTCATCTGCTGCTGCTCATCATTTTTCCAATTAGCAGTTGATAGTTTTATTGCCTCACAGAACCTGGGCGACAGCAGAAAGACGGAAGAGAAAGGAGTAGCGAAGGAGTGTGTTACCAAATTTACCATTCGCTACAGTGCACATCTGGTGCAGCTGCTGTGAAAACCCAGAGGGCTAGCAACTCTAGTTTAATGAGCAATTAAATTTCAAAGATGTTAACGGTTCACCTTCACTTCTCTTGCCTCTAATAGGATTGTGTCAGCTATAACAAATTTTGTCCACAACCACAAGACTAGCTCACAGCGAGTCTATAATCCAATGTCTCCAGGCCTCGGTGCCACATGCTCTTTCTTGGCATCTACCTTAGATCTACAAGGTATGAGCTAGCTGACAGATCTGTCCTGGCTGTAGGAAAAGCTTCAAGGCTGGGACCTGTCTACATTTTCTTGCATCATTGTTTCACATAAGCAGCTCATTAAAGCCACACAAATGGTAACTTTATGGCCCAGCATTTTCACCTATAAAAACTAAGAAGGATTCTGGGGAATGGTCTATTAACTAATGAGACAATTAAAACTGTCCTTCAAGGGAACATAATTCTAGGAGGCCCAAGTTTAGAAAAATGCTTATTAAAAAGATAGCACTCACACAAAGTCCAGCATTTCTCTAAATTTCCAGCCACCAGTTGGATTATTTGCAGGAAAGGGCACAAAACCTTATCATTACAACAAAGTCACACTTGCCAACATTGCTGAAGCTTAAGCTTCTATTCAAAAACTTCATAGTTAACATCACGTTTGCATGGCAGAAGATGCTTACTTTACTGCATACAACTTAATTCCTGGAATAGTTCTACAAAATAGAAAAGTTCAGATTCCTGTTGAGAAATAAGAATCTGGGAGGGATGAGCAACAGTGTATACCTTTTACAACCTTCATACTCTGGTTTTCCATCTAGGACTGTGGGATACCCGTGAAATACGCAAGGAAATCAAATGAAGAGCCAGCAGTTGACTCAGCAAGTATGAGTGTGCACAGGCAAGCTGGGAATGAACCAGAAGCAGAATGACCCAACGATTGGACCAGATAGGCTGGAAAGGGGAACCCATCCACGCACTATACTAACAGAAGGAAATCCACTTTCCTAACCCTCCCCCCAGGTCAGATCCAACTTCCAGCTTTGCTCTTGGTTGGACTTGGGTCTTCCAGGGGGTTGATGGATAATACTATGCTCTGGCATTTGAGAGGCAGTCCTCTGAACGAGCACAGAAGGGGGAAAGAAACATATAGCCACTGCCTCATGCAGTCTCTGCTATCCCGCCAAATTCCTGGGCATCTGCTGTTCTGCCTGTGTCTGAATGGCGTTTGACGCTGTTAAGGAGAGCCCAAAAGAGCAAACTTAACTTGAAACTAAAACTGACCCTTTCAGCAATCTGTAACACTGACAAGCATTGCCTTTCCATCTAACAACTTGTTCCTTTAAGAGGAGATTGCCACTCAGACTGTGGCACACTGGGGGGGAGGGGGGTGCAACCGCAAATCAAAAATGGTCCCTGGACGCCCTCCTGCCCAAGTTGCCCAGCTCTGCCATCAAGTCTTGCTATTGGTGCCCAAGTGACCTTGCTTGACAGCTCGGACACCCATCAGAGGCCCTTCTTGGGGTACCCTTGCTACAGGTTAGGCAAGTGCTACTAAAGAGAGCCGGTCTCTCTGCTGCAGAACTCCCTCTCCAGGAAACATGCCTGGCGCCCAAGAACACGAGAGCCATGCTGTTGCAGACCAAGGATCCCTCCGGCCCAGCACCCCATTTCCTTGGGGGCAAACAGAACCCCTCAAGCAGGGTGGGTACAAGAGCTCCACCTCTCCAAGCACCTCAGCAATGAGGTACACAGTTCCTCTGATGACGGAACTAGGGCATAGCCAATAAAGGAGCCACTGATAGCCTTCTCTTCCATGAATGTGTCCAGTTTCAGAAATGCAAAATGGTTGCCATCACTACTTACCATGACAGAAAGTATGCAAAACTTCACACAGCTCTAACGTGCTCCCCCCCACTTGCCTTTTTCCTAAGCTAAGCAACTGCAGTTGTAAGCATTCCTCACAGGGTTGGTGCTCCAACCCCTTCATCATTTTAGCTGACCCTCTCTACACTTTCTCCAACCCAATAATGTCCTTTTTAGCTACATAATGTTCTACTGTGCACCAAAACTAAATATGAGTACAATCTTGGCAGTTTCATTTGCAGTTTCATTTTCGGTTCCTCCTCTAATCATGTCTAACATGGCATGGAGTTTACCTTTTTCACAGCTGCCGCATATGACATCATTTTATCAAGTCATCCACCACAATCCCAAGAGCCCTTTCTTGAACAGCTACTGCTAGCTCAGATCCCATCAGCCTATATCTGAAGCTGGGATTTTGTGCCCCAACAGGCATTCTTTTACACAGGCTTACGTTCAACTACATTTGCCATTTTAATGCCCATTCTCCCAGCCTGAAGAGAGCCCTCTGAAGCTCCTCACAATCCCTTTTGGGTTTAACTGCCCTAAATAGTTTGGTGTCATCCGCAATCATGGCCTTCCCAATGCTCACTCCTAATTCCAGATCATTGATGAATAGCAATGAAAGCATTGGTCCTGGTATAGAATCCTGGAGGACCCCACTGTTTGACTCCTTCCATTACAGAAGTTACCATTTATTCCCAATCACTGTCTTCTGTTCTTTAGCATTACTGATCCATCAGAAAAGTCCCCCACCTTATTCCATGACTGCTAAAGAGACCTTGAGGGATTTCAACAAAAGCCTTTGGAAAGTCCAAATAAACAAGGCCTGCTGTATCGCCCCCTTGTCTACATGCTTGCTGACACTCTCTAAGAACTCTTAATAGGTTAGTCAGACAGGACTTTACCAAGAATTGGTGTTAAATCAGTCATTCGCCAATCCTCTGGTACAGAGGCTGATCTCAAGCACATATTACCTATTTTTGTAAGGTCAACAATTTCATATCTGAGTTCTTTGAGAACTCTAGGATGGATAGTTGGTTGGTGATTTATTAACTTTTCATCTGTCAATAAAGTTGAGAATTTCATCTTTTGTCACTATCTGCCTTAATTCCTCAGATTTCTGTCTCTTCTCTAGTTCAGGAACTGGTATCTGTTCTGTATCTTCAGCTGTGAAGATAGATGAAAAGAATTCATTCCACTTCTCTGCAATCTCCTTATCCTCCTTTAATTCCATTACCATGCAGTAATCAAATCGCCTTTCTAGCGGTTTTCATTCTTCTAATATATTTAAAGAATCCTCTATTGCTAGCCGTGATGAGGTTAGCATAATGATCATCAGAACGTTTCTCTTATTCTCTCCATACCCTCCACGACGTGCAGGGAATCACCTCCTTCAGTATGCCCTTCCCTGTCCTTTCTAGAAATACCCCACTGGTTCTCTCCATGAAGTGCCCATAATGCCCACTGTATTTCACCTCTCATTTAGAGCCAGGCTCTCACTCTCTTATTTTGGCTCTGAGACTTTGCACAGAAACACCTACGCACAGCCTCTTTCCCCAGATGTGTGCAATCTCTGTTTTTGCATTCAGGCCAAGTTTGTGGCTTATTTCCTCTTCTCCTACATTTGGGCAATCAGAAACATTTTCCTCTTCATCCTCTAGGGAAGATTCAACCCAAACCAGACGCTTGCCAGTTCCTGTCACCTTCCCTGCAGGGTTCAGTTTAAAAGCTGCTCTGCCACCTTTTTTTTTGTGTTATCAAGCTGAAGAAATCTGCATACCCTCTAGTGTTACTTACAGTAATTTTCCTGGTGGATCCTAGAGACCAAAGACAGCACTTCTAGTTTTCACTGCTAGTATTTCACTTACATTGTATGCAAGGTACATCCTAGAAAGTCATTTCACTGGGGAAGCGCATATACCAACAAGGAAAAATAAAATGTTATCACTTGGAATATTTAGGATGCAATCAGATGCAAGCATAAAAAGAAAAAAGGCCCAAGACTCCCAGCACGCCTGAGCTGACTTGAGCATGCTGGGAGTTGTAGGCCTTTGTCTAAACATGCGTAGAACATGTTTAGAAACAAACTAAGGTCTCTCTTTTTCAAATGAGAACACAGTTGGGGACTTGTTAGCATGACTTCTCCTTTCTGTGATTCCCCATTTCAGGACAGAATAGTTGGCTACAGCCAAAGTTACTTAGTAAACAACAACCACCCTAAACCCCATATCCACTACGGTATTTCTTTATATCATGCACACATGTAATATAGCTTCTATGTTTTAGCCCTATTACCATATCACCACCTTTGTTCTCTCAGTCTCATATAGAAAAACGAATTTAATTTTGCATGCAAAAGCTATTTGCGATCTCTCCAGATACCAGAGTTGTTACCTGTGAAGTACGGTTAACAATTGCCTCTGTCTCGCTTAACGTTTAAGCAATTCCACAACCAAAACACATATCCTGTGAGGATACCTAGCTTGCCAAGGCTTGCCAGAGCTGCCCTGTGATCCACTCGTTAAAGCAGAGGCCAGCAAGATTAAGGGTCATGTTTTACAGCTCAGCCGAGAACTCACTATGAATGGCCTTTGGTAATTCACTGATCAGGGTTACCACCAGAGATCTATTGCTGGGGTGGAAGTGAAGATGCCTCATTATACATCCGAGGTATTTATTACATTTATATTTCATCCACCCTGCAGCTGAAACTCAAGGCAACATACATGGACTTCCAGGCAGTCTCTCTTCCAGGGACTGATCAGCTCCAAGGCAGCTTGGCTTCAGCAAAGTGAGCCTATCAGGGCCTTCACACCTACCACCATTCATATCCTGAGGGACTACAACACCCTCTGGGAGTTGTAGTCCAGCATAAATGGAGGGCCAACAGGTTGCCTTGTAATATTAAGAAATGCATAATTCAAACTACAAAATTACCAGAAATAAGTTCGCCAGGCTGCTTCACTCCTCTCCAATCTAGACACACAATGGCCAGTGACATCTGGATTGCAAACGCACACACTATCTGCAGCTTCTGACTAAATATAGGGCAGACTCTGACCTGGGATTCCAAAACCAGAGGAAAGCTTGTCCAACCCCACTCTTCTGCTGCAAGACACAGCCTTCCATCTCACACCTCTCCTTTCCTGTTTCCCATCATGGCCACATCCCTAAGCTCTTAGAACTAAAGTGCCATGCCGCTCTCCATTGCAATCCGCACTCCATCCACCAGCAAGTATTGTAGGAAGTGTCAGGAAGGTTATTTTATTAAACGTAGACTTCGATGGGAGAGGCACAAAAAAGGCATCTATATCATTTACAAGGTATTAATTAGTTCCAAGCTTAAAAAAAAGCCCACAGCCCAATCCTATGTATGTCTATGCAAATCCCACAGAACTTGATTTGGCTAACACTCATGTACATGTCCCACAAGTATAAACCCATGCAAGCTTACTCACATTCTGCATAAAATGAGAACATGCTTTTCTCCAACTGCTCTAGACAGCACTTGCAAAAAAGCTTTTGTAACATCTGTATTTTTGTCATTTGTTTTGGCTGCCACGTTCTATGAAAGAGAAAGAGCTTATCTTTTTTGGTAACCTTTTCCCAGGAGCATGCACTGTTATCCTCACAGCTCCCCAATCTAAGTCTAGACCACTGGGCTTCTCAAGAAAAGCGACCTACCTTTTGCTTCTGTTACCATGTTGTATTTCATGTGAGCTAATAGTACTTTATTCATATGACTATTGTCATCATGTCTAAGAGTGTTGACAGAGGAGAAACAAGAGAGAGAAACCCAACCCATCCAAGTATGAGTTTCATTTTCTCCTATCCCCAGTAAGTTTTTGTATATATGTGGTGCTGAAGGGGCAGCTGCTACGGTTATTACTCTTACCATGATCTTTTCTAGGAGCTCCTATCAAATACGCACACACACTCCTAAACTGTAAGCCCCTAGAGGTAAGAAACTTACATTTTTCTTTGACCACCTTGAGGAGTTCCCTGCAGATGGGCGGCCCTGTATCTCCATTATTCATTACAATTATTACTAAACGACTTATTCACGATCACCCTCGAGGGGGAGAGGGCAGGCAGAAGGGGCAGCCAGGCAGATCAGCCCAGACCTCCGCTCCTAGCCGATCTGTCCTCCTCCCTCCCCCCAGCCCGTGTGTGCGCGGGGGTCTCGGCTTGTCGCGAAGGCTCCCCTCCCGCCGCGTCCAAATCTCTCCTGCAGGCTTCTCCGGGCAGGGACCTGCCTTTGGCTCCGGCGCCCAACCTCGCCGCACGCACAGGCGGCGCCGGGGCAGGAAGGCGGATCAATCATTGCCAGGAGGATCGATCGCTCCCGATCAAAACAGCCCCCTCGCTCCTTGCGGCGGGGAGGGGAGGGGAGGGGAGGGGAGGGGAGGGGAGCGCGGCCGAGCCCACAGGCCGGAGCGCCCTCCCAGCCCCCTGCTCGCCCCGCGGCCCGCGGCCCCGACCCTCCCGCGCGTACCTGAAGGCGACGGGTGGGGGGCGGCGGCGATGCGGCCTAGCCCGGCCGCGGAGGCGCCGGCCCTCCTCAGAGCTCCGCGGGGCGCGTCGTCCTGGCTGCTCGCTCGCCGGCCCGGCCCGGCCCGGCCCGGCCCGCGTCCGTGGCCGCTCCTGGAGCGCCGGGTCCGCAGGCGCGTCGGTGCAGTCCGCTGCGCGGCCGCCTCGCCGCTCGGCCCGGCCCGGCCCGGCCCGTCTCCCCGCTCCTTCCCTCTCGCCCGCCGCCTCAGCAGCCAGCCAGCCAGCCGCTCCCTCCCCCCTCCCCCTCCCTGCGCGGCCGCGCGGCACGACACTCGGCGCCGCTTTACGGCAGGGCCGCCAAGCAGGTCGCGCGGAGACGGCCGGCCGCGCACAGCGCCCACCTCGGGCTCGCGGCGCACGGGTCGAAAGCCGGCGGCGGGGGAAGCACGGCCCAGGCCAGGCGCGCTGCGAAAAGTTGCCCTTCTCATGCAAAACTAAGCAAAATCGCGCTCAGGCTCGTGGCGTCTTTCGTTTAATAGCCGCAGCAAAGACAATTTTAAGAGACTGCCCAAGGGAAACTGGGCTTTCAAGTCACCACGATAGTAAAAGCCGTGCAAGGCGCCCTGGATTCCTTGCGAGAAGGAAAAAAGGCGGGCCATTCAGATGTAGAATGATAATGGAAACCAATGAAAGAAGAGTAGGCCACCGGCTCCCCTCCACTTAATAGTAACGGCTTAGCCGGCTGGAATTAAGCGAAAACGAGCCGCCAACCCGGCGATTTGTCGACCTCGGCTTGGCATTCAATTCGCGCGGTCAGAGGCGGCGCCCGGCGCGGCCCCTCCCTCCAGCCGCAGGCCTCTGTGGCGTCCCATCCAGCCATATCCTAGAAACCGGCCTGGCGGGAGGAAGCGCCCGGGCGAGGATGCCGTTCCCCCACCGCCCCCAACACGCGCACATGGGGGACTCTAAGCGGCGCGGAGAGAGAACCGGAACTGCTTGGGCAGAATCTGTCAAGCGAGCAGCCCGTCAGCCTCGACCAGCGAGACGCACGCGCCCCGCTCCGCTTCCCCAGCTTGCTCCTGCGCCACCTGCCGGTCGGCGGAGAGAGAGGTCGGCGCCGCTGCGGAGACTCACGGGCGATGCATGGGCTGGGGGGACTTCAAGGTGACGCGCTAGTCCAAGGGAGGTGGCGGCTAACTGTAGCCCCCGGGACGATCACATACCTGCAACGATCAGGTCTCCAGCAGAGGCCTGCCTCCGGGGGCTCCGTCATGCGTGGGCCTTCCTGGCTGGTCCTGAGCAAGTCAGCACCTGCTCGGCCTTGGTGTTCTCCAGCTGTGAGATCAGAGAACACTGTGACCCACCTTGCAGGGTTGTTGTAAGGCAAAGCTTGAACTTGAATTCAAAGTGCAATCCTATACATGCCTGCTCCAAGGACTTGTTCTTCAACAAGTGGACCTAAGCGATTTCAGGCCAAAAATGAGAAAACTAGACTTGTTTTTGCAGCCAGATCCTACCTTTACTAAGAAGGTAGTCCCATGGAAGTTCCATGAGGTTTACTCCTAAGGAAACATGTCAATATGCATGAGTTATCTCATGTTTCTGGGAGGTTGGGAGAGGAAAAATTAAATATCTCAAGGTTTCAAAACAGATGTCAGGCAGTCAAAAAAGGAGACATTTGCTTATTTATTTAATTTCCATACTACACTATAGCCAAAGCTATTATCGTAGAAACTAAAGAGCCTTCTTTCCGCCTACCTACAGAAGCCATTCCTCACTCTCCCTAGAAAATGGTGAGGATCACAGAGAAAGCAACATCCTTAGATTTCTGAAAATAGAACTGTGCATACTCAGACCTTAGTCACAGTCTCTTGTGCTAGTTAACAGCACTGTTGCGGGGGGGGGGGGGGGAAAAAAAGGCATTGGGAAACCCCCCCCCCCACCACCCCCCCCCCCAGTGCAATCAACAGGTTTTCTCCTGTTAAACTACAGTCCTGAAAACCAATGTCAGAACAAGCTCCCCTGAATTCAGCAGGGCATGTGAAGATTGCGCTGTCAGTGGGACTTGGTCTGAAGTTAAATCCAGCTGCAGTCTTTGCAAACATATGTAAATATTCCCCACATGTCAGTGGATTTTGGGGGGTTATTTTGAGTGCTTGGTATGCTTGGTTTTTTGTTTTTTTGTTTTTTTGAAGCCTCTCTCAAGAATGTATACTTCAAAATATAGCATCTACAAATATAAAGATTAAGGCTCCCGTCCTAACATACACACCTACTGGGAGTAATTTTCATGGACATCAGTGGTACACAGATCAGAGGCAGTAAGGGTGCAATTCTAGGCAGTATTTGGAAGTAAGCACGCTTCAGCTCTATGAACTGCTGGGACTGGGTTGCAAGCCTATGGTATTTACTCAAGAGTTGTTCTCATTCAACACACTATGACTTACTTCTGAGGAACATGTTTGCATTTGTGCAGAACCATGGCTGCAGTCCTTGTGCACACCAGGCAGTGCTGACAAGCCAAGTATGGTCAGACCACTGGACTGGGGGATCCAGAGTCTAGCCCTGCTCGACTACGAAGCTCACTTAGTGAATTTGGACCAGTCGCGGTTTCTCAGCCTAACCTACCTTGCAGGGTTGTTGTGAAGGCATAACAGGAGTAGGATGAGGCTCATGTACTCTATCTCGGGCTCCTTGGACGAAAACCGGGATATAGTTGTAATAAATTAAAACACACTTCTCCTAAGTAAAACACAACACGGACAGGGACTACACACGTCATGTGTGAATAGGGCCTCAAGCGAACCCCTTTTCCTCTCCTCTTAAGGAGCAGAACCGAATTCTCCCAGGCCCGCATTCAACTTCAAGCGCCCGCCTCCGCCTCAAGTGAGCCAATCTACAGCCGGGAAGGCGAAAGGAGGCGGAGCCAAACGCACCTGGGCGGGAAGATGAGGAAGGGCATGAGTAGGCGCGGTGCTTCCTCCGTATTTTAGACGGCCGTTTCGCTGCGCATGCGCCTCCGCGCCCCTCCCCGCGCATGCGCTTCCTTTCGCTGGGCAGACGGCTGGCTCTCGGCGCATGCGCTTCCGCTCGCGTGGGCCTGCTAACGCCGATCCGCTGCCGCCGCCGCCGCCTGCATCCGGGTCCTTCAGCTGGGTGCCGCGCGCCGAGAGAGCCCGCCCGGCTGGCGGAGGAGGGGCGAGTATTGTGCGAGCCCAGAAACCCCGCAAAATGGCCGCCGCGCCGCCGGGGCCCGTCGCCGCCTGCTCGGCCTCCGCCGCCACGGCCAGCCCCGGCCAGACGCAGACAGAGTTCAAGAAGATCACGGAGCTGCGCGTCATCGACCTCAAGTCCGAGCTGAAGCGCCGCAATCTCGACGCCGGCGGCGTCAAGACCGTCCTCATTGGCCGCCTCAAGCAGGTAGGCGAGGGAGTCGGCGGCGGCAAGGCCCGTTGCCGGCCGAGCCTGCTCCCGAGGCTCCGGAGGGGCCTGCGGCGGCGGCCGCGTTTCCTCGCTTCCCCAGGCGCCGCGCGAACAGGGAGAGGCCTCTCGGGCCCTTCGCGGGGCTGCTTCCCCGCCTGAGGAGCCCGGCGGTTTTCCCGTCCGCTGGCCCGTGGCCTTGCCCAGCGCTGCTCCCGGGGAGCCCGACGGCTGCCGCCCGGGCGCCCCAGATTTCCCTCTTCGGAGGCCTTTTGCGGGTGAGCGCGCGGGGCCGCGAGCTGAGTGGCTGCTGACCAAGGACCGGCCAAGCCCGCGCTTTCTGCAGCCTTCCCGATGTGGGCCTGGAGGCATTAGGGGACGCAGTCTTCTGCCAGTTCAAACAGAGACTGTCTAAGCTGGCACGGGATTGATGGCTGTTTAAGTAAGGACAAGATCCTGTGCATTCTTCGGAGGAAACCTGTCCAGCGGGGCTAGCTGGGGTATGCTAGGAATTGCTGGCTTTTCGCCCCTATATAAAGTGGCTACGGCTTGCCCCCTTAAATTTTTAGGGAAAAGCAAGTCCTAAACTAGAGAAAGTGAAAGCAATATATAGAAGAACTGTACAGACAAGAAGAAAGGATGACAGACTCTTTCGAAGAGGAATCCTCTGAGGAAGAGCCTACAGCATTAGAAACTGAGGTGAAAACTGAAAGCAATTGAAAGGAATAAAGTACCTCGAGTAGACAGGATACCAATAAAACTACTCAAAGCTAAAGAGACAGAATTGATCCAAATCCTAACAGGAATATACCAGTAAATGTGGGAAACAAAACAGTGACCCACAAACCAGAAACATTCGCTATACATACCAGTCCCCAAGGCAGGAGATGTCAAGAAGTGCAGAGCTATAGGGCCATCGCACTAATTTCCCATGCAAACAAAGTGATGCTCAAAGTATTGCAACTAAGAATACTTCCTGTTTGGAGCAAGAAATGCTTGACTTTCAAGTTGGATTCTGAAAAGGAAGAGGCGCTCCAGATTATATCGCAATGTTATGTTGGCTACTGAAGCGCGCCAAAGCATTTCAGATGATCAGTCTGCGCTTTATAGAATATAGATTGTGTGGATCATGCCATGGCTGGTTCTGAAAGAAATTGGTGTGCCTCAGCCATTGATTGTTCTGAAGTGTAATTATATTATGGACAATAACCTACTGTTAGGAGACAATACAGTGAAGTAGAATGGTAAAAGTGTTAGACAAGGTTGTATTTTATCTTTCTATTTGTTTGAGCTGTACATGATAAAGGAAAGAAGGATTAGGATCTGAGGAAGGAGTGAAAATTGGGGATGCATCAGCAATTTAAGATATGCAGATGGTACCATATTACTGACAGAAAGCAGCAATGACTTGAAATCACTCCTGATGAAGGTAAAAGGAAAAAGATCAGAACTGAATATTAAGAAAACAAAAATTATAACTACAGAAGAATTACAGAACTTTACTGTCAGCAATGAAGTAACTGAAATTGTGAAAGGTTTTGTCTGCCTTGGCCATACAATTCAGCGGGAGACTGTGGACAAGAAATTTGAAGACTGAGACTTGGAAGGGCAGTAATGAAAGAACTAGAAAAATAATTAAATGTGAGGATGTATCCCTGGAGAACAAGGCCAGGATCATTCACAGCATTGTATCTCTGATCCCTGTGTATGGGGGTGAAAGACGGACAGTGAAGAAGCCTAACGGGAAGGAAATGGATGTGTTTGAAACATGTTGCTAGAGGAATATTCAGTCTGGACCAGCAGAGAGACAGACAAGTGGGTCCTAGATCAAATCAAATTGGAGCTTTCCCTAGAAGCAGCAATGGCAAAACTGAGGCTGTCATACTGTTCACACATCATAAGAAGATGGGACTCCGTGGAGAAGACACGCATGCTAGAGAAAGTCAAAGGCAAAGAAGAAAAGGAAGACCAAATGTGAGTTGGACGGACTGCATAAAGGAAGCTGCAGCCTTGAATTTAGAACAGCTAAGCAGGGTGTTGTGAATAGGACAGTTTGGAGGGCTTTTATTCATAGGGTCACCATGTTGGAGTCAACTTAATGGCACATAACAAGAAGTAAAGGCACAATCCTATGTGTAGTTATACAGAAAAGTCTTGCTACTTCCAGAATTTCCCAGTTAGGAAGGCTGTTTGGAGAATGCTGGAAGGCTTAAGACATTTTTCCATTAAACATGGCCTGGGACTGTGCCTTACCTGAGTAATTTTTCTCCCTTTTCTCCCATCCTTCCATGGAGCCCAAGGTAGAGTCGACTGTAGTTCAGGTATCTTTCTCTGCACCCCATTTGGTCCTCACCATAACCTTGTGAGGCAAGTTGGACAGTGACTGGCCCAATGTCTCCCATGGAGCCTCTTGAAATGGGGATTTCAACCTGTCACTTCCCCAATCCCAGGTTAACACCAGCTGCTACACCACACTGGCTCTTGACAGGCCTCATGTTCTGCACAGATCAGTGCAAAGTGCCAAGATTTGTAATAGAATGTAGAAAGACCTACTTGGTGGGAGGATAGGATATAGATTGTATTTGATAATAGTTTTTTGAAAGTCCTGTGTTGGGAATTGCTGCTTGTTTCAACAATGCTTAGAAATGTTAGGAGCATCATAAATGATTTTGTTTGAGGCTAATTCCTTAAAATTCTAGTTGTTTTGTCTCTTGTTTTAAATTCTTAGCTGGATTTTAAATCTTTGTATTGTTGCTAAGTTTTGCTTTCAGTTCTCTTTTAGACTGTCATGTTAAGTCATTACAGTGTACAGTTATTGGATGTTTGGTATGGTTTTCATTGTTGTGAATGGCCTATTGCCTTTTGTAGAAACACAATAAACAAACAAACAAGGCTTGCAGTCCTTTTAAGTGCTTTGATTTCTGTACTGCAGGCACTATTTAAGAAAGCGTACCCTTTTCTTTAAAAAGAAAAACTTTGAGAAAGGCCCAGCCCAGTAATGGTTTTTGTGTGTGTGCGTGCGTGCGTGCACTAGAAGGGGAGCTGCGGCCTTAATGACCCCTGCATGAAAAGTGCAGCTTCCTGCATCGAATAGCATGACTTGGCCAGTCACCCAAAGTCATTGGACAGCTTAACCCTAATCATGTTCATGTGAAGTCAAGTGCCATATTTTGGTCCTCCTGGCAGTCTTAAATGCTTATTGCTTATTCCCATTTGAAACTGAATTTCTTGTAAGTGCTTTTAGGGTGGACACAGATTCATATTTGCTAAGTGGTAGGTCACTGTTCATAAACTTATAACCATTCATAATTCTGCTGCCTGAGCATATACAGGTGACCAAAGGTACCCCCAGATGAGAGCTGCTTGCCTTTATGCACATTGGTGCTGGTGTGCAGCACATTTGGGTGTGGGGGGCAGTGCTCTGTATCCTCTTGCAATATGGAACAGCGCATTACTATGCTTCAGATGTTTGTGTGGTCAAGTGACCCCTCTTGCATTATACTAAAGGGAGTGCTGACTGTCTTTGTGAGAATATAAGGAAGCCGTGTTATGTTTTTCAAACCTTCTGTGAGGGCTGTATAAGAACCATGTCTATCTTCTGTGGTGTTTGAGTTTGAGAAAGCTTTCTTTCCATAGTGTAAATAGGTATATACTCTGTGGTGGACAGAGGCACAAAAGACCTATCACATCTAATGGTCCAACCAGGAGTGGTCACAGCTCAGTAGTTTTTCAATTGCTGAAAAACCCAGATTGGCTCCCCAGTTAAAGGATATTGGGTGCCAGATGATAAGAAAGAAAGACACTCTAAAATTCTACTGTTCATCACACCAAGATTAGTTGGAGCAAAAGACTGACTTGCATTAAGGCAGTTTCATATGTGGACTATTTCTCTTGCCAGGTCCAGTGGTCTTGCTTCTCTGGCACTTTTATTTTGTTCCTGTGACCAGTGCATAGGACATAAGCGCATTGCTTAAACTGAAGTGATTGTGTGAACATGACAATTACTTGTAATTCATGTACCAGTGGTTGATTAAGCCTAGCTACCTTGCAGATGACTTGTTAATTGCCTGAACTGAAGTGGTTTGCTTGGAAATATCTTTTTCTTATGGCTTGTTGAAGAATGTTGTGGATTTTCTTCCACTGCTGTTTATAGATGTGGCTCAGGTGATTTTTGAGAATGCAGAGATTCGAGGATTAGCTAAAAGGAGGATGATGTGTTAGAATCAAATATAGACAACAGGGAAAAGTTACTCAGTTTGCCTAGGATGGGCCCGTTAAATTTTAAATAACAGAAAATACAGAGGTTGGTGAAGCAGTTACTGCAGGTAATTATTAGTGATAACAAATAATATAAACACCTGCATGTCTCTGAAATTATAATCTTCATTAAGTGGATCAATAACAAATGCATTAGTAATCTTCATTTCCTTTCCAACAGTTTTTACCATATGTTAATTCCAAGGTTGCTTATGGGATGTTTCTGTACTTGGGTCCTTTTGTGCAAGTGTAATGATATTCACATTGCTTGTAAAAGACACAAGTATATGTATGTTCTAGTTTATCCTTTTAAAATAAGTACCAGCAGGATGTTTTCTTCTTTTTATTTTAATATTTCAACAAAATAACTGCTGCTGCACAGAATTGAACATAAAAATTTGAATATGAAAATACAAGTTTCTAAGGACTATATATAAACTTCAACAAAAGTACACCAAATATGAAAATAATTATTCATTTGAAAGTAGTATCTATAAACCACCTGTTCAAACATTGCAAGCACTTGAATTCATTGTGTTGTAAGAGATGAACATTTATCCTTCCAGTACTGTAATCCCAATTGTTTTAGCTGTGAGTGTGGAGATTCCATTTGTGCTGACCATGCATTAGCATTCAGGAAGCAGGCAGAAATTTAAAAGAACACATATATCAATAAAAATATATCACCAAAACATGCCTAGAAGAAGCATTAACTGTGTTATACTTTTATCAGTTAAATGGCTTAGATAAACTCTTACTGAAAATGTGTTATATTCATTTGGTATTAAACAAATGGTTTTGCTGTATAAGGTGTAACCTGAGAGCCATAGTTACTTCAGACACCAAAGTGGTGTTCTGTTGATTAGACAAAATGAGATAATTAATTTGATATTCTATTCTTGCTCATTCTGTGTATCATATTTGTTCATCAGTAATAAGTATATGCAGACATGGGTTGTTGGTCAGTTTGCTTTCAATAGTGAGGGAGATGCCAAAGGTGTAAAAACCATCAGGGCTAAACCAAGATATCATTTGCATTTGCAAGTACAGGCAGTCCCTGGGTTACAAATGAGTTTGGTTCCTGAGAACATCTCTAAGTCAGATTTGTATGTAAGTTGGATCACATATGTACAGGTCGGATTTGTCTTAGTATATGTATATATCTTTTCTATGCATATAAAATACTCAAGCAACACTTCCATATAGCGTTGTACTTCCTCACTCACAGGGGTTAGGGGTCCAGGCTCTAAAACTGTGCAGAAACTGTGAATAGCTCTAGCCCCCTGGAAAACCTTGACTCTCAATACTATGGATCAGACATGTACTGAATTGCTTTTCCCTTTCTCTCCCATATCATGGTCTGATCCAGCAGGGCTCCTCTTCTTCATTTATTACATGTTTATGCTCTTATTACCCATCTTTCCTTTCACTCATCAGTGCCGCCTCATTTCACTAACGAAACCACCCATTAACTAAAACATCAGTTAGTATTATGTATGAGCCAGATCACTAGGTTAAGCAGGCTTTTCTGTTTTGCTGTGCTGCAAATGAAAATCTAACATAGAAACATAGAAAACAGAATGAGTCAGAAGGGGCCTCCCGGGCCATCTAGTCTGACCTCCGGCACCAGCCGGCTCCGCTCACGACATGCCCACCATGTGATCTCACTTGTATTGAGTGAGATCACGTTTTAGAGTTGCAGTTCAGCAAATAGCTAGGTATTTGTGGTGCAAAAGCAGTGAAGCTGGCTCCTTTGTAGTCGCTGTAGGGAGGGGGCAGCTTTAGCCACCTCACCCTCTCATCAACCCTGCAAGCACTGGGACTGTACAAGAGGTGTCTAGAGATTGCATGGGATTGTGGAGTCTGTGGGTTGTGCATCCCTTGGCTAGCCAGGCAGAGACAAAACACAGTATGGACTGTAACATGGGTCTGAGCTTGAAAAGTCTGAAACTTCTGAAAATGCTGCTTCCTTTTTCCACCCAGAGCCCAACACGAGTTGTGCTTTGTACTTTGGAAAGTGAAGTTAATTTGATGTGTATGATGTAAGAGTTAAGTTGTAGTTCTGATATAACACAGGTGTGTCTTGTTTCTCCTTAGGCCATCGAAGAGGAAGGTGGAGACCCAGATAATATTGAAATAGTTGTTTCAGTAGATACTCCTAACAAGAAACCAACCAAAGGAAAAGGTTAGAACTTCTGTGAAAGCGAATTTGTTGAAAATTGTAACAATGGCCAAGGGATTTATACATCATTTAAAAGTACTTTTCTGTAAGGCAAATCAGTGTTCTGATATTTGCTTAAATGCTAAGTGCAGCTTTCCTCAGCCAAGACCTTTATAAAGTCTGGTGTTCTGTCTGAGTGTGATTCTTTCCATTCTGTTCAGCCCCATTCAGCATGGTCAAGTATCTGGGCTGGTAAAAGTTTTTAGTTTGGACTATCTGGAGGGATCATGTTGGACAGGGCCACCTCACAGGCTGTATCCCTCAATTCTTGTGCCCTGTTTTTCTGAAAACAGACGGCCGAGAACCAGCATCCCTGCAGTTTTTGGGTGAACGAAAATTGACTTTCTCAATGGCATTTAATAAACCATAGTCTGTTCATTTTATTTAGACTTCATTTTTCTGTCCATGCAGTACCTAGGGCAGCTTGTATAAAAATAATTACAGAGGTGAATGAGTGCACATAACCAATATTGCACATCACTTAATCCCATCCTTATGCTGGAGTGCTCTGGTTTTTCCAATGCCATGCTGGGCTCTTTCCTTTGGTTTTAAAGCAAACAAACTCCTTTTTCCCCTCATGGTGAGCAGTAGAAGGCAATAGCATTAGACTAGCTCTTGGCTTGGACTGGACGCTCCCTCCCATCTTTGAGAATATGGCAGAAGGATTTGGATATTACATCTCTAGAACCTTTCCTTCTTTGCTCTTCCCCCCTTCTTTGCTCTGACATCCGATGGGGAAGGGCAGAGGAAGTTCTGTGGGGCTTTGTCTTCAGCCCTGTCCATCACTGGAATGCGATCTGAAGAACATTTTCAAGATGGAATTCAACCCTTGAACTGAAGGTTTCATATTCCTGTTGTGCAGAGTTGACTGTGTCCCTACCCTGGTAGCTGCTGCTTTTGTGTTGTGTTTTGTATTTTAACGTGTTGTGTGCTTTAGGGTGCTTGTGTGAAATTTAGTATATGCTTTGGGACATTTGGAGAGGAGAGCCCTTCTGAGACTTGGAGAGCCCATTTGGAAAACAGTGAATGAATTAACATGTCCTTCTAGGTAAAAAGCAGGAAACTGATGAACTCAGCTGTGATGCTTCAGTGGAAGATGACTCCTTGGTCAAGGTAATTTTGTTATGTAAAATAAGTTTGAGGATCTTATCCTAAGCACCCTTACTAGGGATTAAGTCCTAGTGGACTCATTGGAATGGCTGAGTAAAGGTTCACTGTGCAGCATACCGGATGATGGCACCTAAAACATAGTTTACTTCCATTGTTTTCTCTAAACAAAACCTTGAAGAATGTACAAGCGACTATTCGTGCTGATCTGGCAATTTATCATTGTTATGTGATCTTGCAATAAGAATAAAGCCTCAAGTAAGCTCAGTGGAAGCATGACCTGTTTTCCAATTTAGTATGGAGGCCCTTTTGCTAGCTAGAAACGTTAGTTTTAAAAGCTGCTGAATGCAAGATTCATGCCATTTCCCTCTGCTACATCGTGGTGTTCATTTTGAAAGGAGAGTGAATTGGAAGCTCAGGATGCAAGTGACCAGGATGGACATGACGAACTGAAAGACTCTGAGGAACCTGCAGAAAATGAAGATGAATCCTTGAATTCGAAAGCATTGCCTCCTGTAGACAAGAAGAAAGCTAATTCAAAGCAGTCAGAGAAGGACAATGAAAACCAGGTACCCTGCAGAACCCCTTCAGCAGATTGTTGGAGTTATCTTTTAAAATATTTTTGGTAATTGTTCCATTTAGTTGTGGTACTTGTTATATTCTGTAAACTACAAATGAATGCCACCCAGTCTTTTGTTGTTGCCATCTGCTGAAATGATGCTGTTGTTATTTGCAGAGGAGTCTACAAATCCGTCTTCTTTCCTACCCCTGGCAAACACCTCCCTGTTCTTGTAAAGGTTGCACTTCCCTTCTTTCAGTGCATGCAGTGTCAAAAGGTGTGCAGTTTAGGGGTGGACCAAAGCCCAAGTGGTCTGGATTCCCCTTTCCTAGCCTTGACTGGTTTATTAGCTATGGCCTTTCATGGGCAGGAATAACCTATCTACAGGGATCCATGTTATAGCAAGCTCTAGTTTTTATTGTTAATTCAAAGGCTGCCCTTGAGCACAGTTCAGAAGCTTCAGCTGGGGCAGAAATCAGAGACTAGAATTCAGGCAGGCTTAGCCAAATGGAGCTCTAGTACACCCATTCTGAAACACTGGTGCTCTCTTATTCACTTCCAAGATTAATTCAAGATCCTGGTCCTTTAAGGGCTTGAACAGCTTGGGGTCCAAATACTTGAAGGAGTGCCACTTCTCACCTCAACCTGTGTGTATGTTAAGGTCATCAGCTGAAGCCAGCCACAGGAGAGCTGTGTTCTGCATGAGGGGGATGACCTTTTCAGTGGCTGCACCCCAATACCAGAATGCTCTCCTAAGGAAAATTCAGCTTGCACTGATGTAATAATACTTGGCATCAAATGAAATTGGTTTTTATTTGCCTAGGCATCTTAATCTGATTAAGTGGGCGGTTGCTGGTTATAGCAGGTTTACTACCTCTTAGTTCTTACTGTGTTTCAGTTTCAATATTGGATTTGTAATGTAGATTTTAACTGTTTATACATCACCCTGGAGTATTTTTTTGGAGTTTAGAATTTTTTTAAAAAATAAAAACCTGTAATTGCCCTCACTGTTGTTCTTGGGTTCTGCAAAAGCCTAGTTTGAGGCAGAGAAGCTGCTTGTCTTTGCTTCCTGGACAAATTGATTAAGGGGTATGAAAAGTGTTGATCTATCCTCTTATTCAGGGGAGAGCAAAATGGGAGCAGTGGAAAGACTGGGTGCTTTGTCTCCATCCGTACTTGTGTGACTTGGATCCCAAGAGCTGTGGGACTCCCGTCTCCATTCTTCCACAGGTGGTGATGTGCTGGTCTGGGGAATGCCAGGCAGGTGCTTCTGCCTGCAAAGCAGAGCCTTTGCAGGGGAAACATGAAGTTCCAGTTCCTTTTCAGTGCATCAGCAAGCTCCTCAAAGGCAGACAAGTGTTGAGAGCATTCTGCTGGGGATGGTGAATAAGCTGCCTTAGCAGCTGGTATCTCATTCTAGCTTTCTACCATGATATTGCAAAGAAGTTGTAAGCTCACCCCACTTCCACTCCACACCATACGTTTCAGGGGGATAAAACAAAAGCAAAATGGTGGGGCAAAGAACTGCCAAACCTAAGCAGGCAGCAAGATTTCCTTGTTGAGTGAAGTATGTTGGTTTTGTTGCTTTCTGTCCACTTGCCTGCATATGTTACTGGTCTGAGCAGATATGAATGGAAGGACCCTCTCTTTCCTCACGCCAGTCATAATATTTTATTTATTCAGTTTATGAGTTGCCAAAATGCTCAGGGCAAACTCATTAATAAAAATAAATATAGCTTGTTCATGTTGAAAAAGGAAGTTCATGTGTACTCCCCCAATTTGCTACAGGAGACATGCATTTTGCTGAACAAAACCCTTCATTTCTAATTCTTCTGTCTTTCAAGGAACACTGTGTGATGCATGTTTCTGGTTTCCCCCTCGGACCTGAGAACAGGCAGCATCTGTGAAATTCTTAGTTGTGTCAGGGTGGGTCAGCTGGAGTCTTCCCATTCTGCTTCTGGTAAATGCTGCTGAACTCCATGGGACTTACTCCCCCAGCATGATTTCTAAACATGATTTAATAGGAAGGCTCTTATGTAATACTGAAGATGTAAAAATGTCTGGAAAACTTGAAACCCTGAGGAAACCCTCTGTAAGATTCCCTTCACAGTCATTTCTTTCATTTCTTATTAAAATTACTGAGCTAATGTAATTTCTGCTAATAGGGATTCTCCATCTCATGCTCAGTTTTTCAATATGTGACTTGAGTCCACTTTTATCATAATATGTGAAGAAAACATGAGTTTTTGACAGTGTGAGTTTTCTGCTCTATGTTTCTGGGCTTGTTCTGATTAGTTGTTGCACAAGTCAGCTAGTGTAGTTCTGAAACAAACACAGGGAGACTCTGTGAATGATTCTGCCACTGCCATCATATGCAATGGAACGGTGACCGGCTGATCACACCTATGGTGTCTTTTTTTTTAAGTTGAGGCGTACATCTTTATTTTTGAGGCTTTATTAATAAAGCTACCAGGTAGACCTTACTTTTATGGAATGCATTCTCAGCTAAAGCTGGCAGCAAAATAAAAGGTCTGTATCTACTTTTTAGGGTTTAAAAGCAACTAAGTAGCTGTTTCCTATGGTGTAGGCATGGGATTGATGCTACCATTGGGAACTGTCTTTCAGAATAAATATTGAGGAATTACGAAAAGGAATAAAATGTCACTCTTTAATATTGTGTGATCGCTTGAGAATAAATGCTTAACTGTGCTTGGTTACCATTTCCACTAGTTTAAAAAGTCTTCCTCAGAAGCCAAATAAGCTCTCCTTAGTTGTGGCTTCACACCAGAGTTCCCTAAATGCCACCCAATCAAGTCCTCCCAAATAGGAAGAGTTGCTTGCTTCTCCAGCCTTCCTCTTCCTGCTTTTTCTGGATTCTTGGTTGTTCTGGGAGACCCCTTCCTGAAGTCCCTTCTTGGCAAACATAAGATCTTAAAATGAATGTACATAGTTTCGCAGAAGTACTGTATTACATTTAATTACATAGCTTTAGGCAACAATTATAAATTGCTTGAGTCTACTTCTCAATATTTTCAGATTTAATGCTAATTTTATGAGCCAACCAAGTTATACAAAATACATTTTATGCTCTTAAAGTAATGTTAGTGACTTTTGGTCTGTAAAAATGCTAAAAAATATTTCCTATTTTTCTGTTTCCCTCTGAAATAGAATAAAGGTTTGTTTTGTTCCAAAAACAATTGTGGAGCAGGGTGGGGTAGGGGGATGGTGAGTTTTTTGTTTGTTTTTGCCATGGCATCAAAAATTTCTGGAGACTTTACATCTTTAGCTAGGCTTAGACAGCTATTTACCAGGAAATGATGCTTGGCTACAATGTCCAAATGCAGTTTGTGGGCCCTTTGCTCCAGAGGCTGCTTCCTGCCTCAGTTGAGGGTAACCTCTCCTCCTCTGCCACAAGGTCCTATTTGGTAAGTCATACATGAAGAGCCTAGAGGATGAGAGTTCTTTATTCCTCGAGGAGTCGCTTGGATTTGGACGGGAGGAGAGAAATAGCCCTACTGCAGTCCACACTAGTTAAAGGAGCTATCTTTTTAACAATAGTTCAACTTGTGGAGAGTCAGGCAAAGCTCTTTAATGCTGTCCAGTGGCTTCAGTGCACTTTAGAAAAGGCTGCCTTTTCTAACCTTGGGAAAGACTTGTTCTAGAGCAGGCAACAATGGTGCTGCCCGGGGCGGCATGAGGGAGCAGCTGGTGAGCTGTCTTCAGGTCATCGGCATTCTGTTCAATAAGGCGAAATTCCTCTGCTTCAAGAGATCATGAGAAGGCAGAGGGCTGCAAAGCTGCCCAGTGTTTTTTTTTTTTTTAGAAAGCATCTTATCTGTTGAGTGTACCTCTCTCCCCAGTGGGAGTCAACTATCCATGGCAGTGTGTCAAGGCCGGCTGTGGGTCAGAGTTCATGCTCTCTCTGTTAGTGCCACTTTTCTCTTCCACATGCCTTTGCAGTCCAGCCAGCTGACGTTGTTTGCCTTGCTTTGTTTCCTCATCCTAGGGCAACGACATTCGAGAGACAGAAGACGAAAGCTTGGCTGCTGCTCATGTAAGTTTCTAAATTGCCTTATAAACATTGATGAGGAGGCTGGTGGTACTTGAATGCAGGAAAAGGCATTTGTGGGGCCCCTCTCAAGTGTGAGGTGTTTTTGCATTTTTAGAAAGCTTCACACAATTTTGATTTTATTGTAGAATTAGGCTACAAAGACAATGTAGATGCATCCAGCCTAGTGTCCAAAGCCTAGTCAGCATTTTCTAGGATGGGCTGTGGTCTCCCATGTGGGATGTGGCACATCCTGAAAACTAGCTTCTTTGCGAAAGGTTGCGTTGTGTTGACTTTGCCTCACATCCTCTGCTGTTGCTGTCTCACAGAAATGGGCTTTAATGCAGTAATGCTGTGATGTCATATTCAGTGGGCAAGGGCTTTGGGTGCCATTGAAGGGCAGCGTGAGTGAAAGAGCTGAGCCATTGATGAGCTGGCCTGTATGCATTCTGTGGGATGTGCAGGAGTGGCACGACAGCACGACTGTTGCATTTGTGAGAAGATGCTCTGGGGGTTTCTTAATCTCAGGTACCAAAATTTTGGAGACTGTGAGGCGTTTGTTTATATGCACTGATGCCAGGCATAAAAAAAAGCCTCACATTGTTGATGTATGGGCTTCCTAGATATGTCAAGATGGTAATGGCGATGCTTTCCTCATCAGTCCTACCTATAGTTTGTATTTGGAGTTTCCATACTATCCATAAGCTGGTCTTTGAAGCAATAAATGGGCCATCTGCTAATGGTAGCACAGATCTTTCTGTGTGTTTCTTCCTTATTTCCTGAATAAGGTGCAGAATGTTGAATGTAAAGTTGAGATTTAAACTGGAGAAAAGACAGTTACTTGAGGCTTTGCATCATTAGGCATCAAATTATTGCCCTAAATGAACAGTAGTTTCCCTGCTATGTTTAAGCTGGCTCCTAATCAAGGATACTTACCTGAATTTAATTTAATTTACAGGATGGAGAAGAAGAGAATGAAAGAGGTATGTTTTAAATTCAGTAGAGTTTTGAGTGCTCTAATTCACTCCAAGTTGCCTTTTGTAGATGGCAGGTGCATTAGTTTCTTTCCTATCAGACATGCCAACTGTGAGTGCCTCTGCCAAGGATGGTGGTTGGATCTGTGCTCTCAGCTGGCTTCTCTCCTTCAAAATGTATAGATCAGTTACTTCAGTGGATGTGTGACACTTGCATAAGGCCAACCAGTGCCCTAATGGAACAAAGATTCCAAACCCCTTGGCTATGCATCTTGTGCGCACGGTAAGTCTTGGTGTCTGCGCTTTATCTTGCACTGCAGTAACTGATTCATGCCTGATGAGAATTAAATATTCTACAGAATGGAACTTGAATGCCATTCAGATGGACCACACACTACTTCCACACTTTGGCAATTGCCACATCATGCTTTAACACCTTAAATGAAATTCTGGAACATGTGGGAAAGCATCATCTAAAAGCTACATGGTGGGCTGAAACTACAGAACCCCACCCCCCATTAACGTCATACTAAAGAAGACTTCTAGGAAGCATGCTAAGGACCTTACACATTGTGATCTAAAGGACATGGGATCACTGTGACTCCAGCGTAACGATGGACACCTTGCAATAGTGCTTGTGGGTGCATTCTACAGACTTGATGCAACACCTCCCCGATGGCACCTCCTTCACTGAAAGCAAGAATGCTGATGGAGACACACACACCGGGACTGGGAGTGCTCTGGCATGGATGCTGGAGGAAGACTGTGGACCTAGTGAACTTTGGCCCAAGCTTCTGTCTGGAGTGGTACAGCTGATCGCTGTAGCTACAGTTCGGCGGCAAGCAAGAGCTGGAAAGCAGAAGGCTGGTGGACACACACCTGGGAAGGATTCGGCTGTTCACCTGTGGGCCGTCATGAGGATACAGAGGAAGGAGAAGAGACTTGTGAATGGAAGTGCGGCAATACTAACTTCGGTTGCCACTTGCCCTTAGGCTGCGAAAAAAACACTGCTTTGCACTTCAACACCTGCACTGGAAGGCAGATACTTGTACTGAAGAACAGGTATCTTCTGGATGGAAGCTCTGCCCAGCTCCTGCATTTCAGTCTGATATTTTTGTTAGAGAATTTGTTTACCATGAAGAATGAGCGATCCTGGGTAAAAGATGGGTTTATATGTTAATGCCCCCTATGTTTTTTTCTAACCTTCCATCAGTTCTAATAACTGGCTTTGTATTTTCTAGGTCCTCTCTTCTAGCTTATGCGTATGAAATGTTTAAACTTCTTGTTTTGCCATATTTATTCCTGTTAAATCCTCTTAGATAAAGCAGGTTCTGGTGATGGTACACAAGAAGTATCTAAACCTCTTCCTTCAGAAGAAAGCCTAGCTGAGGCTGATCACTCGGCTCACGAAGAGATGGAAGCTAACGTGTCTGTGAAAGAAGCCGAGGATGATAACATATCGGTTACAATCCAGGCCGAAGATGCCATCACTCTGGATTTTGATGGGGATGACCTTCTAGAAACAGGTAAAAATCTGAAAATTACAGATTCAGAAGCAAGCAAGTCAAAAGATGGGCAAGATGCCATTGCACCGAGCCTGGAGAAGGAAGACAAAGATTATGAGATGACCGAGAACCATAAAGATGGTAAGAAGGAAGACTGCGTGAAGGGGGATCCTGTCAAGAAGGAAGCCCGAGAAAGCACGAAGAAAGCAGAATCTGGAGACAAAGACAAGGATACTTTGAAGAAAGGTCCCTCGTCTACTGGGGCCTCTGGTCAAGCAAAGAGGTTTGTCTTTCTATGTCAGTTCTTTAAGATACTGCCAGCATTCAATAAGATCACTCTGCCTTAAGGGGGTAGCAGCAAGAAACTTGTAATTAGTATCTTATGCTCCTGCCTATAAATGTTTTGATGGCCATAAGTTACCTGTGTTTTTTAAAAAATCGGGATCTTCGTATATGCTTTGTCCTGCTGGTTGCATTGATGAATTGACAGCGTTTTATTTTTTTTTTCAAATAGTCAAGTTTTAAATACCCTTGTGATGGTAATGAACAACTCTCAGTTCTAAGAAACACCAAAATGAAGCCAAGTCCTAGTCCTGAAATGTGGAGAAGATTACCATATATCCACTGAATAAAATTGTCAGAAAATCTAGATCTTCAGGCATCTTGGGGAAAATCAGTTCAAGAAGCCATGATGAGGGGAAAACACTTTTCCTCAAATTACAGTCCAGCCATGCCTTCCCTACCACCTTTTCTTTTTTCCTCTTTTTAAATTATTTGTTCAGTAGTATAAGTTTCATGACAAGCATATTCTGCACATTCAGTTTCCTTTGATTTGTTCCTCCTTTTAGCTCTTCTAAGGAATCTAAAGAAAACAAGAGTACACCCAAGGATGACAAAGGTAAGATGAGCTATGCAGTGGTACATGTGCCTGTATTTTCTGATTTGGTAACAAGACATCTTGCGTGAAGCCTCAAGGATTTTTCTTCCTGCTCATAATACTTTTTAAACCAAGAGTTGATCATTCTCTAACTACTTCAGTTTTATCATTGCCAGAACTCAGCCTTTTTGAGCAGGAGGCTCCATCTCAATGGTACAGTTAGGCTCTGGTGGCATTAACCTGGAGTGGGAAGCCTGTAGGCCATGCATGACGCAATTTTATCCAGTACACAGCATTCCGGTTCCCACCCCCACCTCTCAGTCTAAGGAGGGGGAGAAGTGTGCTTTGAAAGTATGAATCTGGACAAATCCTCTCTTTTGAAGGGCATCCCTACCTGGGCATGGGAAGGAGAAGAGACAGGAAAGGGAGGGCAGAGAGAAAGAAGAGATTCAGGCTTTCAAGGCCTACTCCCCAGCAAGCTAATCCTGCAAGAATACGGCCTTTGATTGAAAAGGCCGCACCACTGCTTTAAATTTCTGTTGCTTGTTGTATTCTCACTAGAAAAACTATAAACAGAAACATTCCTTCCAGTTCTGCTTATTTGTGCCTCTTTCTTAAGAAAGAACCGTGAGATTTAGGAACATCCTGCTAAATCTCCTAATAGAAAGGGTTATAAGATGGTAATATTTAAGATAATGTAGTCAATTACAAATGGAATTTTCAATCAAAAACATCCATTTGGGAGGACCTTCTCCCCAGCAGCATGACATCTCAGCCATCCAGCCTGCACGTCTTGGACTCCTCAGTAATCTTTGTGTACTGCTTGCTTTCGAAAATGGCTGTGAACAGACATGAGCTTGCAAAATTACCCTTTGCGCTTATTGGCACTAAAAGAATCTTTGTTAAATTTAATTTTAGGAAGCGCCAGCAGTGGGAGCAGCAGCAGCTCTACGAAGAACCTGTGGGTTAGTGGGTTGTCCTCCAATACCAAAGCTGCCGACCTGAAAAATCTCTTTGGCAAATATGGCAAGGTATGGCTTTGCTTAAGTGTTAGCAAAGAGGTGAACAACTAGCTTCTTAATGATGCAGACCAAGGGCCAGCATGTGCTCTTGGAAGACCCATGGGTAAATCGGATTGTAGCAAGACCAGGGAATGGTCAGGGCGATCAGTTTACCCATGGAGCTCAAATGTAACAGATCTTGTTACCCTCTCTGCCCATCCTCTCTTGAAACTGTATCTCTGACGCCTACCCTTGAGTTTAAGCTGTTTCTTTTCTTTTCTTTTTTCTTTTTTTTGTAAAAGAATAAACCAGAAGTACACATTGGGACCTTGGAGGTCAAGCCCAACATAATAGGTTGTTCGATGTTGTGTGTGTTTTGTGCAAACTGTTCATATTTAGGTTGTCAGCTGAAAAATCTAGAAACTTAACATTCCAGCTCCTGGAGGACATGTTTGTCTAGCAATTATTAGCCCTTGCTTGTGGAAAGTACAAGGCACGTAGCTTTCAAGGAAATTCTCTTGCTTTTGTCCTTGTATGTGATAGAAAAATGGAAACCTTTGCTTTCAAACTTGCTCTCCAGCTCAGATTGAATTGTTACAGGCAAGAGGGGAGGACTCAGAGTGCGCACTGGGGCAGAACAAGTGCTCCGTAAACAGATGTTTCGTGTATTTTAGCAAGCAATAAGCAATGCATGCTTGTTCAGGAATCTCTGGGAATGAGAAATGTGGCAACTTGCTTTATGTCCACAATTTTTAATGAACATTTAAGAAGATGCACACTGCTTGAGAATAAGTTCTATTTATAGCATTGGGCCATATTTGAAGAACAGTTAAGATGGAGCTCTTGCTTTCCTCACAACAAACATTCCTGATTGTCAGCAGGATCTAATATTCTGCTGAGCTGCATGTACCAGGCATGGGACTGGGCCACTTGTGGCCTTCCAGAAATGCCGGCCTGCAATCGCTGTTAAGCTCCACCATTGACTGTGCTGGCTGGGACTGATGGCAGCTGCAGCCACAGGTTGCCCACCCCTGCTGTAGGGCATCCACAGGATCCTGCTTTCAGCGCTAGCAAAAGCTCTGCGGCTCAGCAGACGAGCCAAGTGCTTCTGAGAAGAGAATGAGCATGCTCGTGTTTGCTCAAGGTGGATTGTGGAAGAAGACCTGTTCAGACCTGGAGATGGGAAATAAGTGGCAGTCACTGCACTGGTCTCTTAGGTCTAAAATTACTTCCAGTTCAGTGCCTTGCAATCAATTGAGGAATTGCTATGAGGCAGCACAACGCTAACTCTTACAGCCCATTTTGACAGATAATCTGCCTACAGTTATGTAATTGTTTGGAATATCTTCATACGGAAGACCTTCTCAGGCCTTCCCTCCCCGTGGCCTCGTTTCCCTCTTGCCCTTGAGTGAAAACTGCAGAGCCCTTTAAACTGCAGAGTTTAAAAATGCACACTTTCCTGATGTACATCCCTTTGGCCTTCAGGGCTTGTTTCCAGATGAGGAGCTCTGTAAAGGTACAGCTTGGCCTCACCCCTGCTCTTTCTTTAGGCTAGGCAGGGAACTAAATGTCAGCAGCAGCTGTTGCTGGAGGGGAAGGATGAGGACAGCTCTTCATGTCCAGCTGTGTGGCAAAGGCTGATCGTGGGCCTCTGCAATGGATGAACGTCATCAATCACTCTTCTGTGTATCCCACAGAGATGTCAGTGATACCTGACTGTGGAGAATATCTAATCAGGTTCCAAATCTGTGGTTCCTTCCCAGTAATGCAACAGGCTAGTTGCCACTGATTTGTCCTGAATTGCTTTTCCTGGGGGAGTGACAAAATAAGTTCTCAAAGAAAGCGGAGGCAGGGTGCTTTGAAAACCAGCGCAGTGGCCGTCTTCCTGCTTGTATCCCCCAGTCCTCTGCTTCCGTGCAAGCCTTAGACTGGTTCGTTTTACAGCTGAGGGCTCCAACTGCAGCACTGCACAAACTCTGTGCCTTTATTACAATTTCCAGGAACGTCACAGGCGGTGGGGCAGCTTTGACCTCCCTGTTATTGAACCCCATGCCTCGTGTTTTCATGTACTGTCACTTCAGTGAAGGAAACTGGCAGGCAGGGAATTAGCAAAGGCAGGCTGGCTTGTCCTGCTTGCAAGGAGGCTCCGTGCTGCACAGGAGGTGGGGCTGGGGAGTTTCTGCCTCGAAACAGTGGTGGTCCATGGCACGTCTTGACCAGAACTGGAATGTGGTTGGACAACCCTTAAATGGAGTGCTCAGAATGGTGCCCCTCTTGACAGGGCTCTGTTTCCTCTTACAAGCAGCTGCTTTCCTCTGACCCTCATGGCTCGAGTACAGCTGACTAGCCTCTCAGTTCCTCCATGCATCCTGGTGCAAGATGTAGGAAGGCAGCTCACGTCCGGCGATTCACACTTGTGTTGCGCTCCTGAATATGGAGCAGCCAAACATTCGTGCGGGTTTAAAACTTTGGCTTACGCCTGTCTCTGCTTCTCACAAGGTTCTTGCTGCAAAAGTCGTCACCAGTGCCCGAAGCCCTGGAGCGAAATGCTATGGCATTGTGACCATGTCGTCAAGCACAGAAGTAGCAAGGTGCATCGCCCATCTTCATCGGACAGAGCTCCACGGGCAACAGATTTCTGTTGAGAAAGTACGTGTGACATATGCTTCTGTCATTCTGGTGCAAAGCCTAGAGCAGGAAGACAAAATGGCATCCCTTCCGGAAGCTGGTTGGGAAGAGATTAGGCCACCTGTAGCATCGTTGTGACATTGACTCCTAGCATCATTGTTACATTGTTTTGATCCAAGGAGAAATAACTATGTGACCTAGAAGACCACTATGGCTATGTGCCTCCATGTGGGGTTGATCCTTAGGTCATGTTTTTCCTCAAAAAAACCAGGTAAAAGGTGATCCTTCCAAGAAAGAGCTGAAGAAAGACAGTGATGAGAAATCCAGCTCCAGTCGGACTCCTGGGGAAAAGAAGACGACATCCAGCGACAAGGCCAACAAGTACGTGCCCGAACAGCAGCTTGTATTGTGCCGTCCCAACCAGCTTCACGTTTGGAAACGAGACGAACCAGAGCACTGCTTACTAGCTTGTCTCTGCCTGTGTAATCCATACTTTTCTTCAAAATAAAAAGCTCTGAATAAAATGAATAAAAACTGAATAAAAAAGTTGGAATTTGCAACCCGTGTAAATTATGCAGCATGAGCAAGTATCGCCTTTCCCTCCTTTCCTCCTGCTGAGCTTCGCAGGGGCCCATCCAGAGCTCCAACCCAGGCCTCTGAAATGATCATCCACCTGCTGCTTTCACTTCTGAGACTCCAGCCAGCGTAACTTGGTGCACTCAAGTATACCTTCATGATAACGAATGCACTGATTAAGACCCAGACCCCTTAAAAATGACAGCAGTATAATAATGAAATTAGGACAGATTTCTAGCTAATAATAATTTAGAAACTCCAAAACTGTACCCATAATAAACGCAATGCATAATTTGGTAGCTACATATTACTAGCTATTCCAATTCTTCCCCTAGTCCCAGGTTTTACATCTTGGAAAGCTAATCCTTCACCACTTCTGTTTATTACCTCCTTTTTAAAGGACTCCCTCCAAAAAGGATGACAAGAAATCTGACAAATCTGAGAAGAAAGAAAGCAAAGATGTAAAAAAGCCTGAAGGTAAAGATGAGAAGAGCGACAATGGATCCGGCTGCCCTGTTCAAGAGCCTGCTAGAACCCCTGAGGAAAAGAAGCGAATAAGTATGCATGGGAGCTCTTTTCAGTGTACAGATCGATCAGCCGCATGTACCTCAGCTCATTCCATGTAGCCCCGCCACTTGTATAAAGCAGCCAAGCCACATCGGAGCACCCTTGGGGCAGAGAGTTCCCATCGCCTAGTTCAGCCTTCCCCAGCTTGGTGCCCTCCTGATGTGTTGGACTACAACTCCCAGAACCCCCCAGCCAGTTCTAGTCTAACACACCCAGAGGGCACCCGACTGGGGAAGGGTGAAGAGCATTTCCTCCAGGATGCTACTGAATCCTCACTGGGGGCTTTTAATACGAAACAGTGGAGCAGTTAGATATCAGGGTTTCTATACTGAATTTCTAACTTGGAACTCAAGTTTTTGATGTAAAAATGAACAAATTGCTTTTTTCTGAAGGTTGTAATGAGCCCTTTTGAGTAATAACGCATATCGCTTTTTCTCCAAAGGTGTAAAAAGCCCAAGTCATATGGTGGTTCTAGACCAAACCAAAGGAGACCAAGTCCACACCAGACCAATACGAAGGGGAAGGTTTGAAAAAGTAAGTACTGCTCAGCACATTTGTTTGGGCCATTGATTCTCCCTATTTCTAGGGCAAAGCAGAGGAGCAGTGGTGGGGGTATTTTGCCAAGGGGTTGGCAAGTGAACCTGCACCCAGAAAATCGGCAGAAAGTTCTTGGCTAAATGCTGCAGTCACGATTTTGCATCACCCATTCCCCCTGCTTCTGCGTGGGCCATTCCCATGCCAAAGCGGGCTCTTTTCAAGGAAGGCTTGGGCCAGGGACTGGTTAAGGGTGCCACTCCTGCACCTTCCCTGCAATCAGACTTTCCCCTGTCTCTTGAACAAACCAGGGCGTGCTGCTCAGAGGAGCTTCTTTCTGCTATATATACATTGTTCTTCATGGCTAGCTTGCCTGGGCTCTTTGCAAATAGAAAGGGCTTGTGGGATTTGAGCCATACATAGATTAATCTGACATGGAGTCTGTTCGTGTTGTGAACAAGGGACTCTAACTCTGACATTTGCAAACGCTTGTCTTCAGCCACCTATGTTAAGAACCAAAGAGCGTTTCCTTCAAGATAAAATGAAGTTCAGAGACTCCCGAGGCAGAAAGGACATTGTGCCGTTTGAGAAGATGAAGGAGCAGCGAATGAGGGAGCACATCGTGCGACTAGAACGAATACGGCGTGCTGTGGAGCTGCGAAGGTAGGAACGAGGCTGGTTTTGCAGGAACCCTTGGAAGAGAGGTGTGCTTCGTGCTGTGTCGGCTGCTTCCTTTCCCAAAGCTGTGAGAATGCTTGGGGGAAACAGTCTCTGAGGCCAGAACTGCCCAGATATCCCACTGGCATTGCAGAGGGAGGGGACTGCCAAGCAGAAGCAGCCTGTGGAGAGGAGGCTGCTCAGCACTCTGCCATACGGCTCTTAGTTGTGAGCACAGGAGCCGTGGCCGAATGCAGTGGGGGCCCAGCACGACACCAGGCTTCCCAGGAAAGCTGGTTGCTGGCAGAAGGGCAGGAGAGGGTGAAGTTTCCGATGGGCGGTTGAGTCAGACTGGCTGTCCTCTGGTTACTTTTTGCCATGCAATCACAGTTTTAGGCAGCAGTTCCCTTGCAAGGTTCCTCCAGCTGCCTTGTGCAGTTCCAGACCCCAGCACTTCATTAAGAACAAATTGCTGGGCGTCTAGTGCCTGTAGAGAGCGTTTTCTCCACCCAGCTCTTTGAAAGCCGCAAGGGCCTTCTAGATAACGTTTATTCATTGTTGCCCAAACAAGCAGCCATTCCCTTGGATCTGTTGTGTCTCATGGAGGAAGTTCTCTTCCTGTGGTGCATCTTGTCGTCTTGCTGGCAGGGGGCTGGGGAGACCGCCTGAAGCAGTCCTGTCTCTGAGGGTCCCACTTTTGCAGGCGAAGAGAACTTGCCGAGCGAGAGAGGCGTGAGAGGGAGCGGGTCAGACTCCTGCGTGAGCGCGAAGAGCGTGAACGTTTGCAGAGGGAGAGGGAGCGGTTGGAAATTGAGAGGCAAAAGCTGGAACGAGAGCGGATGGAACGAGAACGCTTGGAGAGGGAGCGCATTCGCATTGAGCAGGTAGGGGTGTGTGCGGCATTAGCCTGTACCCTAAAAGCTCCCTGATAACTGGTCTTGCTAGACCTTCCTGGCTGTAACATGCAGTATTACGGACTTCTGCTCCATCTCTTCCCTGCCGCCGGCAAACCCACTAGAAGCATGCCCTGTCATGTAGAATTTAGGAGTTGGCCCACACATTTGCTTGCTTGGGATTCCTGAGCTTTTTCGAAAATGCGCAGCTTCAGGATTCCCATTTCTGCCTTTGGAGCAAATCATGTCATTCGAGCAACGTGTTTTGCTAGCATCTGTCACACAGTTTGGTCCAGCCCTCAGCTGGAGAGGTGTTGAAGGTGTCCTATTGATTGAGGCCCTGGAATCTATTTGCAAGAAGGCTGTTTTCAAATCTTAATTTAAAAATTAGCCAATTGCACCTCCCCTTCTAGGAAGAGGCTCCGGTGCAAAAGGAGAAAATTGTGGCTGTGCCTTCCAGCCAATCTTCAAACAGATGAGGGCAGCCTCAAGCACAGCACTGTGGAGAGACAAGGGCCTTTGCAGTCCCAAACGGCCTCATCATACATTGCTCTTTAGCGAACGCTGACTCTCGTTCCTTCTGGCTAGGAGCGTCGCAAGGAAGCGGAGCGGATTGCTCGTGAACGGGAGGAGCTTCGGCGCCAGCAGCAGCAGCTGCGATATGAGCAGGAGAAAAGAAATTCCCTGAAACGGCCTCGGGATGTCGACCACAGGTAGTGTTTGTTTCCCTTCTCAGATGGTCTCTGTCTGCTCTAAGTAAGTTTTGACTGCTTGCTTACTCACTAACTTGCTCAAATACCATGAGTGTGGCAAACCACCGTGCTTTTTTAAAAAAAAGAAAAGTGAGTTTCTAAAGTTGTCTTTGGACTGGAGCTCATAGAGCCAGAGCACGCAAATCGCAGCTGTTTATCATTTCTCTTTCCCACTTCTAGAAGAGATGAATCCTACTGGAATGAAAGCAAAAAAATGTCCTTGGACACAGACACGCGTTTTAGCCACAGTTCTGACTACAGTCGCCAGCAGAACCGGTTCAGTGACTTTGACCATCGAGACAGGGGCCGCTATCCAGAAAGCTCTGGTGTGCAGTCCTCGTCTTTTGACAGGTGGGTGTATGGAGAGGGGGGCCATAGTTGCAGAGATTGCTTCCAGTAGAGGGTCCTTTTAGTGGAAGCATACAGTTAATGGAGTTGGAAGGGGCCAGAGGGTGTTACGTCATTCATGTGCTCAAAGAAGACCCTGTCCCTGAGTTTTGGGTATATATCGCCTCCCTGTTTTGCACCTGGCTGTGACTGGGGAATCCACCAGACTTTCTTGTCAAGTGGAAGGTTCGTCCTTCTAGCTTCTACTGCCCGCTCCTCTGCAGCATTCCTAATCCCCACCCCACCCCAGTGCCATCTGACTTGGTGCCTGTGATGCTTAGGTGGGAAAGTAACCTGAGGTACACTGAGTAGCTGGTTTCTTAGGCTGGGAACGGTTCGAAGGGTGCCACGTAACCTGAAATTCCGGCCTTTCTGAACAGGCGTGAAAGATTTGTCAGCCAAAGCGATGGGAAAAAGACTCGGCCCACTGCACGAAGAGAGGACCCTGGGTTTGAGAGGTACCCCAAAAACTTTGGAGAATCTAGAAGAAATGAGCCCCCGCAGCCTCGGAATGAGCTTCGAGACAGCGACAGGCGGGAAGTGAGAGGAGACCGTGATGAAAGGAGGACTGTGATCATCCAAGACCGGCCTGACATCCCTCATGGCCGGCACCCACGAGAGGCTGGCCCCAACCCCTCCCGACAGAGTTCTTGGAAGGGAGACGGAGGTGTTAACCCTGACAAGCGTGATGCCAGGTGATTCATCAGGACCTGCCAGCGCGCTGGTCCCAGTTAAAGCGAGGCTTCCCAAACAGTTGCTGGGCATGCGTGCACTCTCCTGCGCAGCTGTGGACTCAGGGGTTCTGTGGGTGCCCCACATTCCTGAGTGCAGAACAGGAGCTCTGATGCCTTTTTCCTTGGAGTGGATGTCCTGTGTGTGCGTGGGCAGGACAGGGTTATGCTCTTGTCCCTTGGCTGTGCTACCCTGGCCCATTCACAGGGTGTTCCTTACATGTGAGGCTCTGGGAGGAGAGCCAGTTTGTTGGGGGGGGGGGTCTTCCAGATGTTGACTACAGGGCTGTCATGTAAGCTGCCTCCAGAGGTGATTTATTTTGATTTGTGCCAATGGATTTCTATCCTCTTTCCAACTGGACGTTGTGTGGACATGTTTGTAGACTGCTTTGTGCAAAGAAGCTCTTGGGCAAAGAGAAACACAGTTTACAAATACCTGAATCAATTAAATGTTAGATGGCCAGATTTTCATGCCCTGTTTTACATCTTAATGTCCTCAGATGAGTTATCAAATTAGGGTCTGCACACCAGAGGCTCACAGTGGGCTGGCGAGGACCCAAACGTGCCTTGAAGGAAGTCTGTCAGCTGATAGAGAAATAGGTGGTATCAGCTGGAGAATTCAGATTCTAGAAGAGGGTTGTCCGGACAGACCTCTGTTTGAGCACTGTGTGAACAGAATGCCGGACTAGATGGGTGTTTGGGCTAATTTAGCTTCAGGGCTCTTCCATTCTTACTGTTGAACATGGTTGATTTGAAGCCGGCAAGGGAAGTCACACATCTTTTAAAACATGGTTAAGCACTGCAAGCAAAGCCAGTCCTGCAGCACAGAGCATGGATGCTTACTCACAACGCTGTCTTGATTCTTGTTGCTTTCCCAGAGAGAGGCCGGAAAGGTCGGGCAGAGACGTCTCTGGGCATACAGTCAGAGGTGCCCCCTCTGGTAGTCGTAGCAGCACATCTGGCTATGGAAGCAGGGAGACGGAGCGCAGCGTGATGGAGCGTGGCAGTGGTGGACAGGTGAGCTGCAGCTTTCTCCCTCGGCAGGCCGGGCCCTGCTGCTGCCGCTGCGGTGGACCAGAGCAGCGGCTCTTTCTTGTTGCCATTTCCCCAAGGCCCTTGGCGCAGCGGGGACGCGGCGCACTCCATTCCATTGGTTTGGCGCCCCTGCCAGAGAATTCCCTTCCGACCCAAAGTCCGGCTTCCCAAGTGGCAGAGTGACCGCAATTCAGGGTGACATGAGACCACATTGAAACCATTGAGATGCTCCATCCATCATGCCCTAAAGTCAGCCAGTGATCATGGCTGTTGGGAAGAAGTCCAGCCAGCCATACTTTGCAGTCTGCCCCTCAGAGAGAGTGCCCAGGAGCCCGGTGTCGCTTGTGGTCTTCCACAAAGGGAGCTCAGAGGCAGCAGCTCCTGGCTGGAGAGCCCCCACGGCCTCCTGCAGCCACAGGCACCAGTGCCCCTCTGCTGCAAGGCGTGGAGGCAGTGTGCCTGCATACGCTCATTGCTGGGGCACATGGGGGGGCTGGAGGTGCATAGAAGGCGTGGACGCTCCCTGGCAGCAAGTACACCTCTGTGCTGAGCAGCCAGCCCCGTGGGGTCAGCCGCTATGCTGCCACCTTTGGCCCGCAGTTGCGGGGCCACTGACTCTGCCTCGGAGAACCCGTTACTGAAAAAGCGTTCGTCTGAGCAAAAAGCTACTCAGCCATGATCAGCAGAATGATTTCAGAACTGAAGACATGCCCCATGGGTAGATCTGAGACTGAGCTTAACTGAGAAACAACTGCGCTCGTGCACGCTCGTGCATCTGTTCCACAGTCTGAATCGGCAGCAGGCCTTTTGGTGTAGCGCCCCTGTTTTGATTCATGCTGGCCGTTTGCTGTATCATTTCCGCCTGAGCAGGTCTCCTTGTGAGGCTGTTGTCAAGGCACTTGACCCCTTCCCCTGCACTGAGGCTGCCTTGTGCAGAGGGTGGTGCTAGCAGAGTAACCTCCGCACTCGTCTTTCCTAGCACTACAACGAAGACCGGCATGTGGTTGATCGGCACAGTCGTGACACTGGACCAAGGAAAGAGTGGCACGGGCCCAGCTCCCAGGGGAGCAGTTACCACGATACGCGGAGAATGGGGGACGGCCGAGCAGGGGGTGGCATGATGTCTCCCCACTCCAGGTACCCATGACGCTTCTTCCCCGGTCATTCCCGCTGCATAATGCTGAAAGCGCAACAGGGCTGTGCATGGAAAAGTGAAATGAACTGTGACGTACAGGCCCAGGTTATACCTAACTTGCCCCAGACTGTCAGAGGTTGTGAAGCGGTTGAAGGTTAGCGGGGCAAGTCAGACTTTGCAGGAAAGTCCAGGAGCTTCTGTAACCGCTGGGATCCTGCCCTTACAAACAAGGGCAGCTTGTAACTGCTCCTTCTGTTAGTGTGTTCCGAAGGACCTGTGCAGAGGAAGCCTTGAGAAAAATTGGGTAAAGGCCTCCAACCCAGCCCCTTCTCCATTTGAGGGGGCACTCACCTGCTGGGAGAAACATCTGAGTAGGCCCCAAAAGGGTGAGAAATGTGGATAACTTTGAAAAACTCTCTTAGTGGGATTAGCCTCAGTATGATTGTTAACACATTAAATAGCTTGTTATTTAAACAAGCCTTTTGCTGCTGACCTGTTGGTTTTAGTGTTTTTAGGCTTATTGTTACTGTATTTTTGTTGTTTTAGTGTGGAATATGACTTTACCATAGACTGGCATTTGTTTTAGTAACATTGTAAGCCACTCTGCTCTATCTGAGGAAGGATGGGTATAAGAACTATAAATAAATATTTCCTCCTGCTTGTTGTCCAGAAAACTACTAAGTTCTTGCACAGCTTCTTCACTCAAGGTGGGCTTTTATTACTGGCTCTTGGTGGCCTTGCTGCACACCTGGAGGTACACCTGAGTCTCAGAAATCATAGCTACCTTTTCATAGTTATTGCAGCACGTCTGTGTGGGATGCTGGGTGTGCAGGAAACCTTCATTGGCACCTGCAGAGATCACGAGTCCATACCCCTTCCACATTTTATTTTTAACCAAAACTTGGAAAATGTTAGGGCACAAGGTTTTCCTACCTGTTTCTGAGCCTGCCTTTGATTGTATCCACTGAACAGCTGAAGAGTTGCTCCCAAATCTCCCACCCACTCAGACTTTTCCACTTCGCGTGTGCTCGCACTCTCTCTCCCCACTGGGTCCCAGAAAGTTGGGCACCCAAGCTCAGTGGGTCAGCAGTCTTGTACACCCCATCATTTCTACAGCTTCTATACGACAGTCTGTAACCGTGGCCTATTATCAAGTTGTGACAGCTTTAGCTTGCTTCGCCCTCTGCAAAGTGCATCTATTTTTCAAAATCTTACCATTGTTTCTCTTTAAACTTTGTTCCAGTAATTCCTCACCTATTAACAGAGTTGTACAGATTACGGGCAATTCCATGCAGAGAGGAAGTGGTTCAGGATTTAAGCAATTTAAGAGTGGACCACCACGAAGATTCTGAGGTTCAGCACCTGCTCGCTCCTTGGTTTCAAGATAACTTATTGGAAATCTCTTGTGAACAAGAAGCCTTGGCTAAGAAAACTTTTTTATTTTAAAATAATTACTTTTTTTCTCTCTTTTGGAGGCATTTTAAATAAGTTAGGCTGTTGGATTTTGGATAGTTCATTGTACCTTTTTGATGAGCATTTCCCCTGTAATTCTAGGAGCTCTGAAACAAATTGGAACCAAACACTTGAACGCTGTACAAAGAGAGGGCTTGATTTGCACTCGGTAGTTCCATTGATCAGCATTAGCTCTGTGATACCAGAAATGAAATTAGGTACTTATCACAAAACACACTGATAACTAAACTGTACATGAACAACCCTCCCCCTGCCCCTGCTTTATAATGTGTAGAGAATAACATTGGTTGTTTCATTTCTGGGTATTATGTAACCTATTTTTTCAGAAGTTGTTACACTGAGTGGATCTGTATCCTGGCCGATGTATCCTTTTGAAATAAACCTTCATAATCTGTATAGCTCCTTGTACCTGTCTGGTGTGTCTACAGGTGGAGCTGCACCAGGCCGCTCCTGTCTGTCATCAGCTTTTGCTGGAGTGAAGGCTGTCAGGCTTGTCCACCCCCCTGCCCAAGCCTTAGACCCACAAGCACACGCACACACTGCCGTAACACAGCCTTCTCCAGTGTTTTGGACCTCAGTTTCTGTCAGCCCCTGCCTACAAATGTTGGAGGAGCTGCCATCTTAGGTGATCAGAGCCTGAACGGTTTCTCTTCAAGGGGAGAAGAGTGCTCTTGGTGAAGCCTTCCTTCCCTGAGAAATGGTTGGTATGTGGTGCACCCATTTTTTCCTTCTGCAGGGAAGGCGAGAACTCCTAGGATGGTTCCGCAAATGGGAGATTTCACTCTGAGCACCATTTCCTCAGCCTGGCTGTAAACTTGCTGTGCTTTTATGCCCGTGTTTACATAAGGGTTCAGAACGTAGAACACTGGGTGCTCTTACATTACTCCAAATGAACACATTGCTTTGCAATATTGGTTTATTAAAAGTAGTTTAATTTGCCCTTCTTCCTAAGATAAGCAAGGTGGTAACAAAAAACAGAAATCAAACTACACCACATAGTACAATTAAAACAGAAAACAGTATTACAGTAAAAATAGATCAGTTGTCTAAAAGGCAGAGCAGTCTGAACTCAAACCATCCTTGATTGTACTTTTCAGTATCTAGGCACATTGGACCCTTGCACCAAGATGAGAGCTGCGTCAGCACCAGCCACATTTCAGTGAGAGCAATCCAGAGATGGGGCACCAAGCCAGAGGAGGCCCTCAGCCTAATTTCTAAAGCTTCCCTGGCAAGGAAACGCAACAAAATCCCCACCCTAAGTCCTTAATACGCAGGTTGGCTGTTATGGAAAGCGGTTCCTTCCGGTATTTGGGTCCTAAGCTAGTTCGGGCTTGAAAGGGAAGCGCCAGCATCTTCCACTGGACTTAGTAAGAATCTCAGCCCTACCTGGCTGCTGGAGGCTTCCAAGCACTATTGGAGGGCAGCCGGCCCCACATGCAGCTGCCACTGCAGTCTTACTGGGAGGTTGTTGGGGCCATGCGTGCTGTAGCCAAGACTGTCCCTGGCCAGGAGGAGCTGCAGCTGGCAAAGCAACCGAAGCTGGCTTAGACCCTGCCTGCAGCGTTACCCGGAAATGATGACATGGTTCGAGAGGGAGGCAGGACCTGCATTCCAGACGGCACGCTGGCATGTGACCTGCAGGTCATGTTGTGCTAGTAAAGTCCCAAGACAGCTCTGTGGTTGTCAGTTCAAGGCAACGCCCCGTGTTGTGTCAGACTGGCTCTCAGCGTGATGAAAATCCATTGCCATGAACATGATGGCCATTACACAAGAAAGGGCCTGTCGGACTCAAGGTACACAATGCCGAAATCCGAAGAGTCTGCTGAAATCCTTACATCGCATAAAATCAACTACCTGTGGCACATGGGACGAGTCCTGTTGCAACTAGCCAAAGGTCCATCTGGCCCCGTCTTCCGTTTCCTTAACTGGAGCTCTCCAGCAAGCCCCCAAACTTAGGCAAAGCACAACAGCCCTCCCCCAGCAAGGGGCAGGCTGCCTCTAAACCAGAAGGCTCTAGGTAGCCCTTGGTGATTATGTCTCAACGTGCTTTCAGGTCATTGAACTAGCAGCCGTTTGTGGCTCCCAGCAGCAGCATCCCACCTGTTTGATGAGCTGACCTCAGCATGAGGTAGGCTCTGGCAATTGTCCAGCCCTGTCACAGCCTTCCTCTGCTGGCCCTTCTCCGAGCAGGAAAGCCCCTCCTTGGCTTCCCCTACACGGACGGTGCTCCAGTTGCTCCTGCCCCCACCTGTACCTTCAGCTCGCTCTCTCTTGGGGCAAATGCCCATGTCAGCGGAATATACTTCCAGGAGAGTATGATAAATATTCAGTCTAAGAATTGTATTAACATCTCACAAACTGCACGTTCACTTCAGCCTCTAGCCTTAAGAAACTGAATCAGTAACTTTGGCCCAGCAAGTTAGATCTGAGAATGGTAAGATTGTGTGCAGCAGAAATGAATCTATTATAGTTTGATATGCATTGTTACTACCCTTGATTATCCCACCCCCCAATGAATCAGCTAGTTTCTCATAGGTGCTGATTGCTCTAGAGATACAGCTCCCTCAGCGAGGGCTGGATTAGGGCCACAATCAGTGTGAGCCCTACTTGCAAAGTATGCTTCCTAGGAACTACCCGCAAGGATAGCGTGATTGTTTCCTTCATGTATGTACCCACTAGCTGGATGAAACAACATTCATAGCATTAGTTTTGATCCACCACTGCTTGCGTTCTATTCTACACAGTTTTTTTAATTGATCTGGTGAAAGTGTGGGCTGAAGCCATGAAAGGCCCAGCTAACTGAAGTATGCACCGTCAACTTCTGCTTCTTGGCTAAAATACCCAGTCATTTCTAGAAGTTAAATCAATTTTATTACATGAGGAAGTCACTTAAGACTGTTAAAATTATATATTAGACAGAAAACAGTAAGAATGGTAACAGTTAACGGCTTAGGACATCAAAGTACATTGACAGGATTCAACCAAAACCAGAGCAAGTTGCTGATCACAGTGTAAATTCATGCAGAGGATCCGATTTACCAAAAGCTAGCTCGAGGCAGACCCCTGACTGGAATCTGTAAAGTGGATGAAGGACAGAAGCCGAGAGAGACTGCTGTGCTGTTTAAAGGCTGCCCCAAGTGTCAGGACAGGTAAGGGCCAGCGTGGCGTGGCAGACACTGGAATGAGGCAGGTGTTCCCTTCGCACGCTGACCAGCAGGAGCTGCTGCTGAGAGGGTCCTTCTTGCCCACCTGTGGTATGTGTGTCTGAATACTGAAGTCATGGGCAGGGCCGATCACGTGGGTGTTCCTCACGTGACTTGGCCCTCCCTTCCAGTAGTATAGGAGAGACCCGTCTGATGGGACACACACTCGGGCAGCAGCCAGAATCAAGGCAACGGCGCTGTGGGAGGCAGCAAAAGATCCATTTCTAACGGCAAAAGGAGACAGTGCAGGACAACTCGCATGGTTCTTGTAACGCAACGTCGTACAGGTGCCTCTTTATAAAACTATAAAAGTATTTGGCAGTGTTCAAGTGGTAACATTATTGATGAACCTCAGCATTGCATACATCCGCTCCTTGACTGCCCACAGCAAGAGAGATGCTATGCTGAGATTTTCCTTCCTCTTCTCCACTTTGATAAGAGCCTAGGTAAACAAAGGCTTCTGCCTTGGCATCTTGTCCCCACCTCCTCCTGCTTAAATCCTGTAGAAGCAGTTATTGTTTCTAAGGAATCGCCCAGGGCATCTCCTATTAAAAAGTGCCCAAGGAAACAACCAGGAGCTGGAGCTGCAGGGCAGGTGTGGGCTCGCATCAGCCCAGACTTAAAAGCATGAGAGAGTTCAGTCTCTGTAGAAGCCCACAATCAGGAAGCCCACAATGACCTCAGCCCTCGCAAGAGGCGAGTTCCAGCGCCTTTGTGCAGCTTCCATGCCTTGGCTGTCCAGCTGCTCAGAAACACAAGCAAGCAAGCAGAACTGGGCTAAGAATTACTCAGCTAATTGATCAGGGGATACAATCTTCTTCCTACCAGAAGCTCCCAAAGGGCTCCTGCAGAATGCCTCAGCCACCCCCAGGGATGCCTTCGGAGAGCACGGCCATGTGATTAAGTTAGGAAGGCCCTACCTGGAGGGCGACTTCCTGCATCACGATACTAGCATCTACCAGAAAGAATGCTGACTCACAAAGCTAGCCCTCCCGGAAGCCACTGCGTGTATAGCAATTTAAGACAAAGGAAATTACTCCTTTACCTGAGAAACGGCTCTACACAGAAGATATTGACCTCTGCTGGAGCATTCTGGCACTAGACCACCAGGCACACGCCAGTGCCTTGCTCAAGCACTGGACATGCTTCCAGGTCCCTTTCAACAACCGCAAGCGAGCAAGAACTAATGCCTCGTTTCCTTTCCAACCTCCTCCACCGATCCTTGAGCTAGTGGGACTGGAGGAAACAACAAATGGGAGGGTGTTTCTTTCACCCTGTGTAATTTTCCAAATCTTGCATGTAACAGACTGGAAATGGTACAAACTGAATGTAAACAAACATCGTAATTTTTTCACAAAAAAGAAACCTGGATAGCTTATGTGTAAGGGTTAACAATAATAAGATGGCACTAGGGTCTAACATACAAAAGGGTGGTATGCATATGTGAAATAAGATACTTGAGACTAATTACATAAACTGTAGCATGATATAAAATAAACCCTGTTCTGAATAAAACCATGTTTGTTTTCCATTTGTAAACTGGACAGAAATGTATACATTTCAGGCTAATGTGTGAAGGCAAATATTTTGGTCTTAATTTAAAGGGAGTGACACCTGTGCACACACAGCTGTTCTGGAAATGGTTGCCAAGACTCCACTCTGGGGCGCTGGCTTCCGGCATTTTTGGCCCTCAGACTTAAGGTATTGAGGAGTTGCAAGACAGAAGAATCTAGGATCCGATTACTTCATTATTTAACTAGACTGCACTCCCAAAGGAGCAGTTAATGTCTGCAAAAGATCCGTTCGACCCTCAAGCGGCAGATTCGATCTTCAGCACCCCCTTCCTCGGTAGCAGGATTGTCACACACTGTTTATCAGAAATTGAGGTTTCTCTGTAAATGCACACTGTCCAGGCTTGATGCAATACAGCACATTTTGTCAGAAGCATCTACAAATTGATATATAAAGTTATCAAAAGGATGAAGGCCATTGCCCCCTGGTGAGGATGACTTGTGAGTTCTACCCCATCCCTACAACAATAAAATTCAGTACTCCCTATCAGAAGCCTATAAATATTTGAGATGTAACATGTTCATTTGTCATGTCTCCATTATAAAATCTGCTTCCTCAAAATGTTATTTTAAATGTTTTACAGCTATGTGTCTTTTCCAAATAACCCTATCCCCCCTCCCTCCGAATCTTAAATAAGCGAGTTTAGTCCCACTGAAGTCCAAGGGATTCACTCAAGAAAGTGGAGCGATCACAGTTCCAGAGTGTAGTGGGGCCACGTTCACACTCGGTGGAAGTGTGCTTGGAATCTGCATGGACGTGGTACAGATTATCTACCTACAGTACACTTGATAAGGCATACAAGCAAACACATTTCATATTACTTGTCCAAGGTAGTTTTGGGGTCGGGGGGCAAGTAACAAGAAATTTTAATTCCACAGATTATAGCGCATCAGCTTTCTGTTCTAGTCACCTACGTGTGTGTGTGTGTGGAGAGGTCAAATAAATAACAGAACAGCTCTGGTCTCATCCACCGGCATGAGACGCCCATAAAACAGTCACGGCCCGCTCACGCAGTGATCCCAATATGGTTGGAGCAGCGATCTTGTTTCTTCTGCTACTCTTCCTCCTTTCATGACTTGCAAAGCCAAATAGTATTGACCAACATACTGGATTTGTCCAGGCTGAAGATGATTCAGGGGACACCAGCCCACAAGCCAAGAAAACGGGTGAGCATTAGGATGGAGTGCTGCCCCAGCATCACTGCTTCCACACCATTAAAGGGTCCTCTTGGGCAACCGATCCACAAGCCCAAGAGGAATAGCTGCTTTCATCCCCGAGACAAGCAGCCTTCTAATGAACTTCTGAGTCACTGAAATGCCAACAGTCCACAAGCTGCAGTAAGGTGGGCTCCCCTCAACAGACGCCGTTTCCTCACAATGCGTCGAACACAGAGACAGCTACATCCAGGTCGCTTGGAACGAGACCATGTGTGCGACGCCACTGGTCTTGGGGGTACCATCCTCAGTGGGGCTATCAGGCACAGGTGGCGTGTGGAGCTTGGAGTCCTTAGGGTTCCTTGGTTGTGTTTCAAAGATATGTGCTTGGGTCCAGGCGGAGTCCCCTCCGCTATAGAAGGGCACAGCTGTTCTTCTCTTTCTCGCGCTCCTTTTCCTTCTCTCGAGGCTCTTTTCGTTTCCGTTCGCTGCCCCCAGATTGTCTTCCAGTCACTGGAGAGGCGGCTCCTTGCACTTGCTGTCAAGGGGAAGAAAAGAACAAGACTGCTTGGCCTGCACAGTCCTGATAAACACTCACAAAGGGTGAGCTGAAGATGCTGGCTGCACTGCTGAACTGGTGACTGCTTGCTTTTCCCACTAGGAACTTTTCCCAGTTCTGCCTTTGCAAGATGGAGGCCCACCACTCTCACCTTGGACTGCAACCCAGGAGGCTTTGCAAGAGGCTAACAAAATGAATTTAGTGTACCTCAAGAAAAAGACTGACAACCAGACCATGGCAGGAGCTTCCACTGCTATTGCAGAGTCACTCCCACGGAAATGCCTGGACACATCAGACCAGCCAGAGCTCCTCCTACTGAAGAAACGGCAAAGCAGCAGCTGCTGCCCTGGAAGTCTACAAACACCACAAGGCCACGGGGAGAATGGAAGGTTCGACGCACTTTGGCTGCGTGAGCATGCAAGAGAGGGTTCTTTCTTTCCACAGGTGTGCTACGGGGTGTTGCGCTCCTGCTCAGCCCATTTCAGAGAAAAAGCCAAGCATCCACACACCTACGAGGGACAGGTGCCAAAGAAGGCTGCAAATGAGCCCCACAATAAAATGGAAATGCTGGAGTTCACAACTTCCATGCCAGGCAGGTGAAGGCAGCACAGCAAGCCCCGGCTCTGGATTCTCAGGAAGGCTCCACACAGGAGGAGTTTCCCAGGGAAGCCCTGAGAGACCTGCAAGGACACCTGCCTCCTCTCAGACTCTCATTCTTCTGCCCTATCCTTGCTTTCAGCTTTTGACAAATTCACTCCCAGGGCAACACTTGGCAACTGAGACTGTCAGTCCTTTCTACGCTCCCTCCAGGGCTCTCCCCTTCCCACGCCTACCTAGAGATGCTGCCAGGGCTTGATCCTGGGACTCAGCCCGAACTATGGCACTTCCTAATAAGGCCAAATCTCACAGACTGCTAGGATTCATGTCTGAGAAAGCACACACAGGCCTGGAGCACTTTCTGGCAGAGTTCAGGTGCTGCCAGGTGCCAGTTCTCCTTACCTGGACTTGAGCAGCAGTGGCAGCAGCGGCGGCAGCTTGCTCTTGCTCCTGGTAGTACTGAGAAGCCCGCCTGTCCTCTTCTTCCTGAAGTTTCTTGGCAAGCTCCAGGTCACTGATGCCTTCTGGTAGCTGCTCCCAGTTGAGGTCTTGGCTTTGCTGCTCTTGTTGTAAGGACAATGCCATCAGGTAATCCTTAGATGGAAATTGGGATCAGTGGATCATGCCTGTCATCCAAGCAACACCTGGCCAGCAGGGCTACTAGACCTGCACAGCCTCTCCCCAGAGGAGTGAACAGGGGCTACGCTTTTCACAGCCACCTCCAGGCTGACAGGAAGCCTCCCTTTGCTCACATTCAAGGCAGCAGGACAAAAGAGGTCAAGCACCCTGGCCACCAGCCGCAACTCCTGGATCCCAGCAGCCATCTTCGGCATGTGGGTCTAGCAAGAAGACGCCAGTGGGCCTCCCACGCAGCCACGTGCAGAGCTCTCAAGGGGATGCCACGCACAGATGGTACCCCTCCTGTGCTCTGACGATCATGCGGGAGGAGGAGACTGCCCCAGCGAAGGAGACTGGGGTGCCCACCAGAATGCTACCCTGTGGGGGAACAGGGCACTCAGTCTGGCTGGCTCCGCCGTCTGGGGACTGGGAGGAGAGTAGGCACAGGTGTATGGGACCAAGAGACATCACATCCACCCCAAGTACTGAAGAGACAAAGTAACTGAACAGGATTCCCAAATCTACCTGGTCTATCTGATCTTGCTGTCCTCTGTAGACTGTTTCCGGATCAGACGGAGGTCGTAGATGGAACTCGGAGTCACAGAAATTTCCATCCCCATCCACATTGTGTAAGCTTTCCCAAACAACTTTATCTTCTGTAAGGAATCCCTGGTCTGTCACCAGAAGGTAAAGCTGACCCTAAATGAAAGCAAACGTTCAGCCACACGTAGCTCGGGATTTATGGCGGGGATCCAGCTCCTGCTGATGCTCTTTCTGCTGCTTACTGTGAGAGCAACAGCACCCTGAAGTTCACTCCTAGCTATCTGCAGATTATGCATCTTCTAATGTCTTTCAGCTTAGTGTCCTGTTGCACAATTATCCTGCAGCCCAGTGTAACCCAAGGTCCTGTCAGCAGTACAGAGCATGAGGCCAGTCTCTCACAACACAGAGCTGTCAAGCAGTCTGCAGTCAGGCATGTCATGCACAGGTTCAGTCACGTATTATGGCTCCCACAATAGAACTTGTCCAACAGAACTCTGAAAAGCCAAGGTGCTACCCAAAGGCATGGCGGGATGCAGATCCTACACTCAACTGAGCAATTCACAAGCTCTGCTTTTCAAGACACACGATTCTCACCCAAGAACCATAATCAGCAAAAGCCACAACTGTTAGACTGGAGGAAAGCATGGGAAAAATGAACGCATGCAGCATTTAGATGCTTTTCCTTTGAGAATACATGAAGACCAGGGAGCACTCCCAAAAATCCCAAAGGAAAAGCTCTAGAATCCATAGCCGGCCCCACTGCACTCTGGCTGTAGCAGCCCCTCCAGGTGGACACCACTCAGAAGGCGGACTCCAAGCTGCCCTCAGCTGGGCACTTCAGGCGACAAGACAAGCATGTTCAGAGCGGGTACCTTATGCTTTGTCATGGTGCTGAAGTGGTTGTTTCTGAAGAACACACACAATTCCCCTTCTTGAACGGTGGCCGTTAACTCGCACAGTCCGTGGTAAGTCAACTGAGTGGCCGTGCTGTTTAGGAACTGCTCTGCCACGGAACCTGCAAAGACAAAGCACCATGCTGCTGTGCACCTGCAGGCCCACTGCAGGAACTGCTTGCCGGGCACCGCGTGGGACGAGCCAGGCCACGGGGTGGCCATTCCCATCAAGAGCCCCTGTGTGGGCACACAGGCAGGCAGGCAAAATTATGGGGATGCTGCCTGCCAGATGCAAAAGGGCTGTGAGCGGGCGAACTGCAGGGGCCTCACTCCACGCAGCCCCTGCCCGCCTGCTCAGCGCAGCGTTCTGCCTGCCTCCTGAAGGGGCATCAGCGATGGGTCCCACGCATCTCGTGACAGTGCACAGCACCAGCACTGCCTCTACCTGTGGAAGGTGCAGGGTGACGGTGGGAGGCTCTGGGAGTCCCTGGCTGGCCCCCGGGGGAAACACAGGGCGGGGCCTTTGGTCTGGCCCAGCAAGGCCCTTCCATGCTTCAGAAGGAGAGGCCGTGGAGGCTCTTGGCTGGGGGCTGCACGGACAGAGAGGGGGCCCATGAAGTCAGCACTCGCCAGATGTCTTTCAGGAATCCACCCACCTTCCTCGATCAGCTCGCTGCTGTCCGACTGCTTGCAACCGATTATTTTCTCCACCAGCTGATTGTAGCTGCAGTTACCGACTGCTTTCACAATGTCAGCGATCTGCGGCAGGGAAGGAAAGCAACCAAGCTTTGACTGATCTTCTGCATGCGAGGCAGGCCGACTGTTGAAAACCACACAAAAGGCTAACCCCGAAGGCGTGGTCCAGAGGACACGCGTGGAAGCGATGGCACGACACGGTGTCGTTCCCTGACCGATGACGAGTTGCCAGGTAAGGGCAAGTCAGCTGGGCTTTGCGGCAGCGCATGGCAAGGGGCGGGAGCCACGCAGAGCTCCTGGCACCCCTGGAAGACGCCCCTGTTTCCTCAAGGGGGTAGGTGCACTGCTGTGGTGTCCTAGCTGTGTTGTATTTTCATGGACGTCCTTTATACTCTTTTGCATTGGTTTTTATATTCTGTGCTATGTATTTTCTACGATTTTAGTATCCCGTGCAGAACATCAGTCGCCTGAGCACACAAGCACCGGCATAATGTGATCGTAATGGCCAGTTCCCATCAGCACCCACACCATTGTCTTCTGCACGAGCTGAATGTTCCTGTTTTCAAAAGCAGTTCCATGTGTAACACATCTAAGTGGGGGGCAGGGGGCTATCAGAGCTCTCTTAACAGCCTGGGCTATCTTGACCCAGGCAGGTCCAAGAGCTGGCCCACTAACTGATGCTGGCTGAAGGCACCAGGTACCGTGTTGGGGTCCACATCACCTCCTGAGACAGAGAATTCCAAAGAAACGGGGCCATCACACCGAACATCTTCTGGTGGACTGTCAGGCCGTGGGCTTGTGCAAAATCTCCAGGAGAATGTCCTCCCGCACCTCCACGGCCAGACAAGTTGCGAGAGGAGCAGGCAGCCGTTCCCGGAAGCCGCCAAAGAAAGGTGAAGTCATCTCCCTACCACCCTGGCTTACCTGAGGGTCCACTAGCCATCCGTGGTATAATGGAATATCGAGAAGGTCAAATACAATGCACTCGGGGGTATATTCAAAGACTCGCACACCAGTGAACTTCACATTCACATCAAGGCCTGTCTGAAGCTTATGCAAGATCGCCATGGCATCACTCATATTCTGCCAACAGAGGAAAAAAGCTATGCTGTTTGAATCTGCCAACATGGAGGGCCATTCCCTAGGTTTACATTTTTAAAGCAGTTTGTATAAATACTGAATGTTAGAAGCTCTGAATGCCGAGTTCTCGGCCCCAGAGGGCAAAAGCAGGAAGCACGACTTTTTGACATTTACCCACAAGTCAAGAACTATCATCTACATTGGCTAGGAATCAAATCATAATCTTATTAAGTAATATGTTTCTTTTTCCTAGGCTACAACATTCAGGAATGTCCAGGAGTCAACAAAGAACTCCACTTCATCCTAATTTACTGACATATTTACCAAGGGGGCCTGTTAAATATCCAGCATTAAGAAATTAATTGCCTGAAACATTAGGCAAATCAGATTTTGCTTTCAATATTTACTGCAGGTATTTTATTTATCATTTATTTTCCAGGATTTTTTATGACCAAAGTTGTAAGCAACTGATAGAAGCAAGGTTCCTCCCAAAGGGGGAGGGGGAGAGGACAAAGTCATCCAGACTGCCATTAGCTAACGACGTTTGAATTGCAGGCCCTGATCCAGAGGAGTGTCACTGCAGGCTCAAGCAGCAGCTGCTCCCATCTTAGGGAGAAGACGAACACAAGGAGATTGAAGGTGAATTCAAACACAGCAGAGGACAAAATATCTGAAAACCAATCACTATATACACCATGCACACAATTTTATTAAGTGCCAGAAGAGGCTTGTCTTCTACTGATTACTCTAAACCTGAGAAGACTAAAAACTTTACACTACTTTACAATATGTATTAAAAATCAAATGTTTTAATTCACTACTAGAAAATGTCACTTACTCTTAAGACAAAGTTGTTTATTACCTGCTCATAGTTTAAGCGCTGAATTTCGGAGATTTCTTTTGGTTTGGAATCAAGGATATAGTCTCCTACAAGAAAATGCCCCCAGCAAGAAGAATCAGATTTGAAATTATTTACAGCAATAATGTATATTAAAAGAATATTAACTTTTTAACCATTGCAATTACTTCTTGGAAAGCCAAGGGAATAATTCTACAGTTCTCTCGCAAGCCACACTGAATGTGCAATCCTCGGTATATTTAATCATAGAAAAAGACCCACAATCCCCAGTATTTCCGGGCTGGCCATGCTATCTGGGGAATGATGGGCGTTGTGAGGATTTCTTCTACTGAAAGAAAATGAGAATGATTCATGGCACCCGCAGTGAACTGGAAGCCGCTGAGCGTATGGAAAGAAAATGCATTGGGATTTCTGGGTGTGGGAACGAGACTCCAACCATGGGTGCCAATTCCAGAAGAAACTGAAGAAAACCATCTTTCCTTAACAGTGGTGCCAACTGTATCAAATGACCACCCTTGCTTTGTATTTTCAAGTTTAAAGGGCCAGACTGTAAGAACAGAAGTCCCAGCTGCAGGAAACCCAAGTGGCAACCACTGGCACAACCTGAGGCCTGTGAGGAGGTGGGGGAAGATCTCCAGGGCTTTGTTTGCCAGCTTGGCACCAGGATCCAAACTGAGATGGGAGGTGGGATCTTAGTGCTCTCTTGGTCTCTGCAGCATCCTTACCAGACAAACGTAAACTGACAGGGGGCCCGGGGCTGAAGGCCTGCAGGAGGGACTCCACAGCCTTCCCTAGGAATCACTGCTCCTCCAGGCCACAGGTTTACTCCCCTGGTACTTTTTGAGTTAACTCCAGAAGTGTGCAGCTCCACTTATGGCAAATTTAAATGTTCACTGGCCACCCAGCTGGCTCTGCTCTGATCAGCTTCTAATCGAGTCAATTTTTACTCTGCTAGGTCAGACTCATATACCAAACTATCTTGCAATGAACAATTAATCTTAGAACAAATCACACATGCTGTGAGGTCAGTACTAACCTAAGTATTCCATTAACTGTTCAGCAGTTATGATTTCCATCATTGGTGGCAGTTTCACCTGAGAAAGAAGAGAATTTATGTTTTGAGATTTTATTCGATTGCGCTTTAATGGCAAGAAAATCTTGCTGGAGCTACACCTCTGAATTTGCATTGCAGAAGTACAAGAGAAAAGCCAGTGATATGCTGGCAACAGGCAGAAATCAACCTGCCTCAAACATCCAGGGATACCAGTTCTTGGCAACAGCATTAAAAATCCCCAGCATTTCACTGCATTTCACTGTCCAACTAAGAGACTTGCATTTCTCAGCTGCTTCCAATTCTTCCACTGAGAAGATATATGAGAGCACGAACTACTTCTGCACGCAGCTCCTTTGGAGGACCCACTGCAAATATTAGCACCGCCACAATATTAACACTGTATTTTATGGAATGTGTTCACTTGCCAAGAATCATCATGTCACCCCCCACATGCAGAAGATGCGTTCTGTTCACCTTCAAAGCAGCACCCAAACCTGACTCTTTGCGACTTCTAGGACGCCACTGCCCAGCCCTCGAGCAGCACGAATTGCAGAAGCCTGCTAGCTGGAGGAGGGACCGGCCTGGAGGGACCAGTGGGCTAGTACAGCAGTGTGGCCTGAAAGCTGTCTCAGTGCATCTCCTCGCAGAAAGGGACATGACTGAGCTGCATGCTGCAATCCTATGCAAACTGATTTGGAAGTCAGTCCCACTAAAATCAATAGTTCTGACTTCTGAGTAGACATGCACAGAATTTCGCTGTCTGTCTCCTGGGGATCTCCATGGGAAGCCTACAGCATCCCTGCGTACAGCCTGAAGCCGTCCAGACCGGCACGGAGAACACTGACTCACACTGCCAGAACATGTGGGCCAAGCAGAATGCTTAAGGAAGCACAGCATTGAAAATGAGTTGCCAAAGTAGAGCTTTCTTCCACAGACAGTCTTTCAAACCGGAGAATCTGTTGAGAACATCTGGGGTCTGACACAGAACGACTGCCAGAAACATGCATTCCATTAAATGGCGACCACCGTAATTTCCATGAAATTTATTTTGCAAGTAACTGGGCCTCCAGGTTTGGACACGTCACTCCTCTTACTCTTTTGTAGCAGAGCGGTTTGGCAACAGGCCCTGCTGCCCTCTGAGCCCTGCTGTTCAAGATACAGCCCTCCTTCAGCTTCCAGTGCCTTGCAAATGGATGAAAGGCATAAAACGATCATGCCACACATGAAGCCACGTAACACTGGGGGTGCCACCTTGATGGGAAGCTGCAGGCAACTCTGGATTCTCGGATTGTACTTCAATGACACGTGGCTGTCACACGGTGAGCCTAAGATGTGAGCCACAGGAGCATGCCTCTAACAACACCACGTGCGAGAGCAGCAGCAACAGTTGTGCTGTCCCGCAAAACAGTGCCACAGCGGCAGGCCATGTTTCAGCAATCCATGTTTCCCTTAGCAGGGGAGCCCACAGCAAAGGAATGCTATCAATGAGGCCGGTAACAAGATACAGGTGAGGCCTCTCCCCAGAACCCTATACCCACTGCAGGAGTCCACAGCGGCCTTTATACAGCGGTCCTGGGTGGTACATTTGGGGAGATAATCTCCCTCAGTAGTTACCCCCCCCCATCAGAAACAGGAGATCACAAGACAGAGCTATCACCGGGGTTGGAATTAGCCAATTTTATCCCTCACTCTGCAGCAAAAACATGTGCAGGGTCAGAATGAAGGTCCGCCTTGTCCAGTATGCTGTTCCCACCGTGGCCAGAGGCCTCTTAGGAAGCATGCAAGAGACAACAGCAGCAGCACCGCCTTCCTCATGTTCCCCAGCAACTAGAATGAACCTTCCGAATTAGTCTACCCATAGTCAGCCACGCTAGAGAAATTGTACAAGACACTCCTTTCCCAAACAATGGAAAAGCCAGTTTCTTGCTCCCAGTCCAGATCTCCTTTAAGCATGGTTTAGCAAGGCCAAGTACCTTCTGACAGCCCTGCTCCAAAAGCAGCACCTGCTTTTGCATGGGCTGTCCTGTGCATCATGCCAGGAGTGGAGAGGCTTGCTCAGTGAGATGGGGTTGAACTAGGGTCCACCTGCAATCAAAGCATGGAGTCCATCGCTCACCTATGGCTCCCCCTAGAACAGGATTTGGGGGAGGGGGAGGACAGGAAGGGCCTGAAAATGCAGCTTGACTCACACGCTCTGATCCACACACACAGAGCACACCTTTCCTGTCTTACAGCCGCTATGCCCATTGGTGCAACCAACCAGGACTGGGCATAGCCTTCCGAGTTCTTCTGAGCCTTCTGAGTGACAGTGAACCCATTGTGCATCCATGAGCTCTCCGCCATCTTCTCCTTAAAACACTTCCAGGTATCTACCTGGCCAGATGCTTCAAGGCAGCTTCCCACATTCATATGCAAAATGCAAATAGGTGTTCTGCTTTCAGCCACATCTGGATAAGACAGCACCAGCTTTACCTGAATGAGGTCTTGGTGTCTCACCTGGATGGGAAGACCCAAGATCTTGCAGAGCTGCAGACAGCTAGCCATCTGGGCCAAGTAGACCCAGTGCCAGCATCTCAGGCAGCTTCACCAACTCATTCTAGTGCCCATCCAGCATCCAGTTTACGTGCACCAGGTCCCACTGGTGGGAAATTCCAGGGACAGGAGGCATCCCTGCAGTGGGAGAAGGAATGCTCCGCTGCTGAAAGCTGCTTTCAGAGGAAGCTCTTCTGGCATGACCGCTTGGCCCCCTTCACGGAATTTTACTCGTGCCTGCTTGCCTACATCAGCAAGTTGTTCCTCCCTTTTCTGCCTGTTCAGGTAGGAAAATCAGAAGAGCTTCAACAGCACCCTTTTGGTTGTTAGCTGTGGGAGCCCTCCCTCCAAAGGCACCTGGAGAGCACCACTGCTGCTCAGAAGAGACAACCGGTCTTCGTGGCTCAGTTCATCCTGTGGTAAACAGCCTTCTAACTGGGACTGAATCTGAGGCCTTCAACATCCGGGTTGCGGAATCTGCAGCACTCCAGATATTACAGGACTGCAGATGAACTTAGGTCCTGCTTGAGGAACCCTGTGAGCAGCTGGTGGGCCACTGTGTGAACAGAAGGCCCAGCTAGAAGGAAGCTTGGCCTGCTCCAGCAGGACTCTCTGGAGCATCCTTCCTAACACCCATCAGTCTTCCCCATGCCACTGATGGGAGCTGCTGCCCAGCATCCAGAGGGCTGCACCTCCCCATCCCTGTTTCGCCTACTAGAGAAGCACCATGGCGGCAGAGAAGCTCTAAAGGAGAAGCACATGCCCAGAGAGGCAGCTAGGGTCATCCCTCGAGACCAGATGCACCCGGCCCGGATGCAGGGCATCAGAAGCAGCACTGTACCGAGGGAGCCCTGAGGCAGGAGCATTCCAGGCCGGCATCCCCGCCGCTCCTCTCTGCCGCGGGATTCCATCCCTGCCGGCGGCGGACGCGCCCGCGGCGCTGCAGCCACGCACCTTCCAGGCCAGGAGCAGCACGTTCATGATGGCGAGCAGCGGGCAGGGCCCGTTTTCGTTCTGCGTGATGACGGGCGTGCTCGCTTCCTTCCAGCGCACCCACTTGATGTGGTAGACCGACTGGCCCGGGAAGCGCTCCTTGCCGCCCGTGGGCAGGGCAGGCGATGCCGCCTCGCCCGCGCCGGCCTCGGCCCCGGCCGCACCGTCGTCCTCCGGGCCGGCCACGGGCGCTCGAGCGGGCCCCTCGTCCAAGTCGCCGCTGCCGCTGCTGCTGCTGCTGCTGCTGGGCGGGCCGGAGCTGCTGGGGCCGCCGCACGACGACTGCAGGTTGGAGAAGGAGCCCAGCGAGCCGGCCGGGCTGCCCGACTCCGCGCCGCCCGCCGGACTCGCCGCGCCGCTCCGCGGGGCCACCCCCGCTGCGCCCTCGTCGCCTGCCGGGACACACGCCGCCGCCGGCACCTCCGCAGCCCGGCAGGGGCTCTCCGGGGCCGGCAGCGGCGGCTCCGGACCTGGCCGGACAGCAGCCTCGGCCGCCGCGGGGAGCGCTGCGGAGTCTCCCGCCGGTGCGGGCCTCCCAGTCCCGCTCCCGCTGCCGCCGCCCGCCTGCCCCTCCGCCGCCTCCCGCTCGGCCAGAGGGGAGACGCGACCCTCCTCGGCGGCGGCGCCGTCGAGCGCGGCTGCGGAAGAAACGCAGGGCGAGGGCGGAGGCGGCGGCCCGGCCAGGCCCTCCATGGCGGCGGCGGCGGCGGGGGGGAAGAGGCGGCCGGTGCTGCCGCCTTAGCGCGGCGGCTGCGCTACAGGCAGGGGCAGCACCGTCGCGACGGCAGCCGCGGCTCCGGGCGGGCCTGGGGCGCCATGACAGGAGGAGGCCACGCCCTGCCGGCCACGCCCTGCGGGGGGCGGCCCGCGGCGCGCGCGGGGGCGGGGCGGCAGGTGCTTCGCGAGGGGCGGCTGCTCGCGCGCGCGCGCACGGCCAGGAGGTCGCGGGTCCGCTGCGCCTGGCAGGGCGGGGGGCGCTAGCCGCCTCCGCGGAAGGTCCGGGTCGCAGCCCGAGGCCGCGCGCGGGGTGCGCTTGGGGAGGAGGAGCGGCGCCGGCACGCAGGGCTGGCCCAAGCGGGTTTCCGGCCGCGGCGGCGGGGTGCCCTGCGTGCGTTCGTGGCGCACGGATCGGGCCGCCGGAGTGGGGGGGGCGTGCATCGGCCCCGCTCAGCATCCATGCCCGGGTCTCCAGCGCTATCGCCGCCGCCTGGCTGAATGTGTAAGTTGCCCTGCCTGTGCAGGTCTCAGGACGACGGTCGCGCTCGCCGGGGATGCTGGGAAGTGTGGTCCAGCACACCTGCGGGCCGCCTGTCGGGAAAGGGGGAGCGTCCAGGGAGCAAGTGGGGACATCGAGCACATGCACTCTGAAGGCTTGTGGACGGCGCCCACTCCCGCAGGTGCCGTGCGGAGGGCTGCTCCCGGGTAGAGCTAAGGGGGCGGCCAGGCTTGCCTGGGCTGAAGCCCCCCCCCCCCCGGTTCCCCTGGCCAGGAGAGAGACCTGCCGCTCTGAACAGGCTCAGATGCATGCACGCTTAGGCAAAAAAGGCCTACAGTGCCCCAGCTCGGTAAGCATATTTGATTTTGGCTTGCCACATTTTTAAGGAATTCCGCCTGGGTTAGTCTGCAGTGTAGCACTAAAGGAAGGCCAGTGAGGAGTTAAAATACACGGAGAAAGGCAGTACACAGCATGATCCGGGATGAACTGCCCCGTTTTGCCGCTGTGGGGCAGCAAAGCGAGAAACCGCCTTTGTTTTCAACTTCATGTTTTCTTTGGGAACAATAATGCCATTTCCTGTGCAGAAAAGGCCCTTTTCTGTCAACGCTGAAATGCTTTGCACGTTGTTCTGTACGAAAGAAAGGCTTTGAAGTTGTGCACCTTACTTTCAAAAACACCCCTTTCCTGTCTCTCTGCCCCCGCCCCCCCAACCCAAGATACGAAACCTTTGTGTGTGCACATGCTGACAAAGACTCAGTTTAATTCAACAACAAATGATAGGTTGAAATTCTGCTCTGTTTCTCCCACAGCTGCTCAGAAGTGCCTGGCTTGGGTGTAAAGAGCAGGCCCTCGGGAATCAGCTTGTACACTTGGTTTTGCATAGTCACATCTACCCAGATTTGAAACGACTCCTGGGTAGCTGTGGCATGAAAACTGGGCCGTAGACACGCAGCCAGCCTGTTTCAGTCAATTTAGTGATCATGGCCTTGCATGAATTTGAAAGGCAAATGCATCAGCTTAATGTTGCTTTGGTATGTTGTCTGACAGCCTGAAGTTCAGCCACCAGCAGCACCAACTCTGAAGACATCTGGGAATCTTTGCAAGTGCCCCCTTGTTTCACACTGCACCCCTCCAAAGAGAACTTGCTTTTGCATGACAGCCGCCCATGACACAAATGTGTGCATTCTGGATCTATTTAATTTTAATGCTGCCTTGGGCTCCTGGAAAGGGGGAAAAAAGGTGGCATAGAGATGTAATAAAATGATAATTCTCATCCAGCTCCCAAAACACTAGGAGTGGAATGGATTGAGAATGACTGTGAACATAGAGCATGTATACTGACATTTGTATGTATTTTGTTTCTGTTCTGCCTATTAGCCAAAACTCTTTGGTTTACAGCAGCATATAACGTGCCATACAACTACACACTCAATTTCATTAATGCAGTTCATAAATGCAATTAATATTGATGCACATCAATGCCACAACATGCCATTCCCGGTTGTAATATAAAGTATTTTGCGGTGGGGTGGCCTGGGGGGGAGAGCTCAGTCCGTTTTACGGAAGACCGGCTGCAGACGAGGATGAAATCTGCTAGGGCTGGTCCGCTGGCGCAGATGCACAGTGCAGCCTTGCCCCTCTGTGGCGTGGGTCTCACGAGCAGCCCCCGCACCCCGACTGCATTTGCCGGCCGGTACGCAGGCAGCCTTGCAATGGCGGAGGGGCCGATCCGCTGAGTGCCCACGGTCAGGGCGCCCAGGCGAGCGCGCCCAGGCTTGCCGGCGCCGCCCCCTCCCCTCCGCTGCCCCCGCCGTGACCCGGCCGCCGCCTTCCCCTTTAAGGGAAGAACACCGCCCGGTGCCCCAGGAGCAGGAGGCGGGGCGGGCAGGCAGAGAAGGCGACGCTGCGCACGCGCGGGCCGGCTTCATTACTTTTGCCCTGACGCGCGCGTCATGTGACTGCTGAGGGGGCGGGCTCTTCCTGGGCAGAACCGGGTGGGGCGGGGCAGGAGGGCGAAGAAAGCACGAGTCCGGGGGAGAGGGAGGGGGCGTGGTCTGAGCGCGGGCGGGCCTCCCCGGCCCTTCGCCGCGCGCTGTGACTGGCTGGCCGGCCTCGGGCGCGCGCGCGCGCATGGCGCGGGGAGAAAGCGGGGGAGGCGGAGCGGGCGGCGGTGCGCGCGCGCCGGGCTCTGAGTGGCCTCGACGCGGCTCGGAGGCGGGCGGGCTGTTCTGAGGGAGTTTCAGGGCGCCGCCGCCGGGCCGAGGCCGAGCCGGAGCCGAGGAGGAAGAAAGGAAGAGGCAGCGCGCCGCTCGGCCCCTCCCTCCCCCCGCCCGCTGCTCACCGGCCGGGGCGGATGCTTTGTGGGTAGGCGAGGCGAGGCGGCCGCCTGACGGGCGGGCGGGCTGGCTGGCGGCGGGGCCTGGGCCGAGCCGGACCGGACCAGGCGAAGATGGTGCTGCTGAGAGTCCTCGTCCTGTTCTGCTCTTGGGTGGCCGGAGCCGGAGGTGAGGCGAGGCCGCGCGCGTCGCGGGAGCGGGCGGAAGCCTCCCGCCGCCTTTCCCTCTGCTCCTTTCCGCTGCGGAGCGCCGGAGGCAGCCGCGGCCCCTGCCTGCCCGCCCGCTCTTGCGGGTCGCCGGCGGGAAGGGGGCGCCTCCCAGCCTTCTCGCCGCGCTCTGCCCGCGCATGGCGGTTTCATGTCTCCCCCCCCCCCCCGTGCTCGCCTGTTTTGTTCTGGAGCGGCCCCCGTTTGTTGGGGCTGAAAAGGCGGAGGGGACGCTCGCCTTTTCCTTGCACCCCGCGCTCCCCTCGGCCTACTTTTGTTTGTTTGTCAGGAACTCTTCGCCGCTGTTACATTTATGTAAGCCTAATTACATAAAAATGCTAACGTATGCCTAGGATGGGGCATGTCTAGCTCTTGCTCGCGAGTAGTATATTTCCCCTTCCCCTAACTTCATAATGCGGGGTCCCCTGGGCGAGCGTGCATTTTTTCCTCCCTCCCTGGGAGAGCGCATCTTCCCTCCTGCCCTCTGCACTCCCCCAGTTTTCCCCTTAATCTGGTCACCGCTCCTCTCGCTCCTCCGACTGCCTGTGTCCCGTCTCCCCCCTTTCGCCTCCTCCTCTCCTTTCTTGTCCAGTGAAACCAGGAAGGCTGTGTGGAAAGGGTGTGCTAGGTGTGTGCACTCCCACGCGTTTTGCACTGTGTGGTCAGATGTGAGGTATTAGCTACAGGACGGTTTCCAGGAAGTTTTCTTTCTGTTGGGTGTGCAGCCTTCCTTCTCTTCCCTTAACCGTACTGTGGCTTAATCAGTCCCTTAGGCTGAAAGATCTGGAAGGCTAGTAAGAAGAAAGCTTCCTTCCTTCCGCCGAGGATTTTCTGAGACCACCTTCGGGTGCAAGTAGGCCATCCAAAAGTTGCATCTAGGTTCTGGAAGTCCTTCTTATAGCAGGAAGGAATGTCCTTCTAAATGGATTTCTTATTCAGTGAGATCATTTTGAAAGAGAGACGTGTATGGGTAAACAGAGACGTTCTCATTTGCCATCTCGTTGCTGTGCATGTGAAATAAGTCAGCAGGGATTTCCTGAAGTGCTATATGTAGTGGCTAGCTTTGTTTTATTTAGTGATGCTATGCGTTTGGGTATCAGTTATCACATTTGAATGCAATGTAATGTAAATACACAAAAAGTCTCACTACATATTAATGCTACTCTCCCCGCCACCCCACCCCACCCCACCCCACCAAAAGCCCCTCTTAAGTTGCTATTTACTTTATAGTGTATGTATCCTAGCACAAACTTTTGTGGAGTGGCCTCCAGTCTGTGGAAACCCACACTTCATTTCCTCTCTCAGTTTTTAACTTTCGTTTATTACATTTCTATAAGGTTGCACACCCAAAGCTTTCTAGGTACCACAGTGCTACGTTTATGTACTGTTGAGCACAAGTTAAGATGGTGCCTACTCTGGAATCAGTCACAGAAGGCCCAGTGTGTGAGCAAGTGTACATGACTATTCCATATTGTTCATTTTTTTGGAGGTGTCCTGATTCTCCTTTGCTCTTTGGAACACTTTTGAGTCACTATAATTTAGTGTAGTTCCTTAAAACAGTGGTGCTTTCCAGATCTGCAGCTGTGCTTGTCTACTCTAGCAAAAAGAGACTTGTACTTTTAAAGCAGGTTGTGCTGCAAGCTTTTATGGAGCAAAATCTGATGAATTGGACTGCCATCCAAAAAGGTCATTCCTCAAGAAATGTAGGCACTGTGAGGTGACTCCTGCTCTTCTCATAGACATTAAAACCCTTCATATCTAAAAGAGCAATAAGGTGCAGTCTTATCTGTGACTGATTCCAGTAAGTGCAGAAAGGGGTGGGTCTTGGGTGTAATTTCCGATTGGATGTTCATGCAAAATAGAGGCTTATCTTTTAAAACAGTTGTTAGTTGTGCAGCTGTGAACACTTTAGTTAAAAACTTTGCAAAGAAAATAACACAAGCTTCATGAAGTCCTCTGGTAGGGGAGGGAGGTTCGTCCTTTTCATGTAACCAGTAATTAGTTTCAGTTTCACTAGTAAAGTTGACAAAGCTCATGCAGAAGCTTTTGTGAGTTAAATTTTTACTCAACTTGGAATACCATAAAGGAAGCAAAATGTGCAGATAAGCATACTTTGGAGTGACCTGAGGCAACTCTGTGGGACTTCATCTCAGGTAAGTATGCCTGTCATTGTTGCAAACTTATCACATAATTAATAACAGCTTCCTTCATATGCCATTCAAAAAGCTTTATCACTTTCCATTGTGAGGTTGTAAAATAATGGCACAGTACTAAGTTTCATTTCTTATTCTTACAAAAGTTCAGCTGGATTCCATGTGTTTATTTTAAAGATTGTATCTTGCATTAATGGGTCTACTCTTAAATAGGAGTGGGATTGGATACAGTCCTAAGTGTTTGAAAGTAAGCTTACTACTGACCAACACATATTCAGAATTTGTCCTCAGGGGTCTGAAACTACACGAGAAAACGTATCATCTGTACTCCTGAGGTAATTGGTCGGGTTAGTGGCGTGGTGGTTTTGGTTTCAGTTTCTCTGCGAATAAGTTATAACTACTGTTGTAAGAGAGAATTCATTACTTTATGTTTGTTTTGGCATCTCCTCATCCTTTTCTGACTAGAGTCTACTTTTAACTCTGGGCTAAATGATGGATTCATTGTACAAAAAGGGAACTTGGTTAAAGAAGCGTGCAGCTTGTACGGTATAAATTACTTTGGGAATTTTCAATTATTTGAGTTGATTGAGGACACTTCACTGTCAGATCAACTTACAGTTATTTGGGCACTGCTGTACATTGTGTTCTAATACAATAGTCTGGCCTTGTTTAGTCAGTCATGTAAACCTTCATTCAGATGATTTAAAACCATCTTGGTCCCTGCCTCTTCCCTTTTCTTCTCTATGCATGAGAGGAGGAGTGTGTGAACTTCTGCTTTCACTTTAGGACAAGTTGTAGTTCCTTGTTACATAATGTACAAATAATTGAGCTGGGCTTCACTCTAACCAAAGTTAGGTTTAGAGAACTGATGTACTGTAGTGACAAAGGAAGTACAGATTAGAAAATCCCCAGTATAGCATCTTACTTCTGCTCTGAATTTATTAGAAAGTTTTAGGTAAGCTTCCCACTTGCCTCTGACTTCCTGCAAAACATGAGAGATGATGCCAACTTACAATACAGGCTTGCTCTAAAGATTGCAACTAGATCATATATGTGAAGTGCTTTGGAAAGCACTGTACACATGTTAGGTATTAACACATGGAGGTTTCAGATCTAGTTTTAACTAAATGCAATTAGAACAAATCACAGTTGCCAGATTTTGAATGCAATATAGAATTTGATTACTCTAAAGTAACAACAGAAGCTTTTACCCTTCCCTTCATGTGCAGGAGGAGTGGGGAGCATGCAGGCTTGAGGCTGTGTTTTAAATCAGATTACCGAAAGCAGGCATGGAGAAGCTGTGGTGGTCCAGATGGTGTGACCAGCAACTCGCATCAGCCCTCCGCAGCAAATGGCGACGAATGATGAGAGTTGTAGGCAAAATCATCTGGAGGGCCGCAAGGTGGCCAACCCCTTGGCTAAACCATTATTTTGAAACCATAATCTGGGCCTTTGCGTTGCACATCTTTGGTGGCTGTGTTTACTTTCCTCTTTCTGCTGAAAGAGCAAAAATCTCTGGATGGTGGTCACCTCTGTAACAAGTTGAAAGACAGAAGTACCTAAATTAACAAAGCAAAAAGTGATAACTATTTACTGCTGAAAGGCACTAATTCTAAAATAGATAGTAGTGCAGTATTAACAACTCAGAAGAGGTTGAAAAGCATGGTCGTTATATTCCCTTAGCACTTCAGTTTATTTTGTTTATTCACTTGTATCCCACCTGTTCATTAACAAAGCATCAGAGATGGCTCACTGCATAGTTTGAAATATGAAAACTAATCAGTAAGAATAATAGATGGGAATTCATATGAATTATTGAATTATCATACAAGAAGACTATCAACCTGTCTGTTTTTCTTAAAGGGTTAGATATTCCTTTGCAGATAGTATACCTTTTCCCTCTTCTGAGCTGTAGTAACCTGTATTTGTGTTAGCAAATTCAGTAGCCACATTTTAATCTGATCCTGAGCTTTGGGTTACTTTATGTTAGTCTTTCTAGTTACACTACTTGCAAAAGAGAATCAAGCATTCCATACATAAAAAATCACAGAATAGTAGGGTTGGAAGGGACCAGAAGGCCATCAGGTTCAGTTAAGATTCCCTCTCAGATGGCATGAAGAGCTAAGTTACAGGGTCATCTTGCCTTCCAGTTTTTAAAATAAGACTTTGTCAGCAGACACTGAGAACTGGAAGTTGAATTTCTACAAGTAGCACATTAAGAAATTGCAATCTAATTTCATGCTAGTGTCTACCTGAACATAAACTTGGAGGTAAAAGTAGCGGTTACAAGGGGAATTTAGTTACCCTCCTCTCGAGGTTGTTCTTTCCTTCCCCCTGTAGTGACCATGTTATATCATTTCTCAAGTTTATAGCATAATATAGTGACTTTGGTGCAGTGCCTTGCCTTGCAGAGTAGTGTAAGCAAAAGTCAGATCTCTGTCCTGAATAGTTGGGGATTTTTATAGTGAGGGAGGTGGTGGAGGAGAGAAACAGAGAGGGATTAACTAGGCCTTGTTTCAGTTGTGGATTCATGTTTAATCCATGCCATTCACAAAGAAGGTACATTTTGAAGGAAGGAGTGCAGAGAAACGTTGCAGTTCCAGGTGACAGAGAGTGAGTGAGTAAGTTGAGAGTGGAGGAGTAGAGTGGGAAACAAGAGACTGCAAGACTAGATGAAGAGGCTCAGAAAAGAGGGGCTTTGACCTGGACCCTGAAGCGGAAAGTAGTTTGTTTACTGACTTGAGGAGGAGGGACATACTGACCTAGTTTATATCTAACAGCAGCAAATGCATGTTAAAATGTAAACTAATGTATATTTCCTGAGCAGCCAGAAATCATGATTCTGCTGAAAGGACAACAGTCTTTAGTTGGTGCAAAAATTCCCAATTGAAGGGAACCAAGGACTAGAACAACTCCCTGTGATGAAAGTTTACAACAGCTAGGATTGTTTAGCTTAGAAAAATGGAAGTGAAAACATGATAGAGGTGTGTAGAATTATGCCAGGCATGAGGAAGCAGGGAAGAAATGTTTCTCCCTCTTTTATCATACTAGAACCCAAAGGGGTCATCCTATGAAGCTGACTGAGAACAATCAAAGGAAGCCCATCTTCACATAGCACAAAATTAAGCTATTCATTTCCACAAGATGTGGGTATGGCCACCAATTTAGATAGCTTTAATAGAGTATTGAACAAATTCATGGAGAAGAGGGCTAGCAATGGCAACTTAGACCCGAAGACTATGTGCTGTCTCTGTTACCAGAGGCAGTGTGCCTGGGTACATCAGTTGCAGGGTGGCATAATGGAAGGGTGCTGGGTGTGCCACGGGCAGCTGGTTGACACCATGTGAGCAGAATGCTGCAATCCAGCATGGCTGTTTCTATATTCTTCATTAACCCACAGTTCGCTGCAGTGCATGCTGGGTGCATTGTGAACAGTCAGTACCCTGCTGAGCCAACCACAGGTTGCTGTGTGACATCTAAACCCAGACAGTATAGGTTAATCTTGGGATAAATGATCTGTAGAAAACCTGCATTAGTTCTGAACCACAAGAGTTGAATGATCTCTTTAAAAATTTAAGAGAGGCTGTCAACATTGTGATGAAATCTGGCCTTTCAGGTGGAATCTAGATTTTGATATTTAATGTAGAGAGAAAAAGCATAATTTCTGCAGAAAATTAAGAAATTATTATCCTTACATTGATTTAAGAATGGTGAAATTTTTAAGATTTTATCCCAACTTCTTTCTTCCCTTTCCTCTGTGTAGTTCTGTCCCCATAATTTCTCCTAATTTTTTGCATCCTTACTGCAAACTGTTTAAAAAATACCTAGAGGCTGTTTTAGAATCAGAAAGTGATTATATGTCTTGGAAAGACACATAGCGGAAGCAAGGTTGAGAAAGAGGATCAAGAAAGGAGGTTGGCAGACGAAGGCTCTTTTGCCATGTGCCTTGCTCTACTGTTTGGGTCACTTTTGTTCCAGTGAGTTGAATGGAATAATAGTAGAGTTGGAAGGGGCATTTATGGCCATCAAGTCCAACCCTCTTCTCCACTTCCACATGTGGTCAACCCCTGGCTATAGGCCCACACATTTCCAGCTTAGCAAAGATGACTTGATGTTTTCGCTCTGCGCAGAGCTGTGGAGGCACTGAACTTGAATTCCACTTCCTTAAATGTGTGAGATGTTTATACTGTTGGCAGAACAGCAGCTTGGGGAGGAAGAAGCTCAATTCCACATAAAAAGTTAGTGTGTCTGGTAAAGGGTCATGCCCTGAGATTTTTGTGTATTAGGAATCTTGGTGCTGGGCTAACCATTGACTCTTCTTTTATAAGCTTTTTTTGAGTACCATTTTGGGGTAGAAAGATGAAGCATAATGAAATAAATAAGCCTAAACTTGCTAAATATTTGTTAAATGTTGCTAAATGTAGTTGTTGCCTTATGACTCCTTTGCCCTTCTGTCTTGCATCGTGATGTTGTTCCACCTTCTGACTTGGAGCCAAACTGGGGATTGGGGCTAAACTGCCAGAGGTTCCTCCTAGTATTTGCATGTATCTGGGGCTATATTTTTATGAGAGCAGCCAGGAAATAAGGGTTTGTTGATGTTGTGCAGTGATTTGTGCAGCTTCCTTTATACCTAAAGCAGGGGTTTGTTTTCCTTCATTGTTTGCTTTATTTATTTATATCCTCCCTTTCCAGCAGAAATGGCTTTCAGACCTTAATGAAGTAGTTGATAAATTATTTGCATATTTCCTGGCTCTAGATTTCTGTCTAGGAGTTTGATAGGAGTCAAGCATTTATCATTTTGGGCACAGAAAATTCATTGACTGCAAATAGGGATCTACATATTAGGACAAGTTTCGTTTCCTTTATAAGAGTCAGCTGTGTTTGAAGCAAAATGTGTCAGATGGAGCATGCAGTTATGTTTGGTTATGCTCCTTGACTACTTGTGCTCACTCATTTTACAGATGATATTCTGTGTAAGTTCAATGTCCAAACAAAAATACCTTCTCCATTTGTTTCATTCCTTAATGGTTTTTTCTCTTCTTTTTTGTGTCATAATTGCTTTTCCTTTAGTAGCTCCATTTTCTTGTTCTGCCTTCCCACACATTTCTAATAGATGACTTTTATTTTTTTTTCAAACACTTTCACCAGGATATGTTTTAATTGGCAGTTAAATTATGGTAAATATAGTAATATCCAAAATGTTTCATTATCAATATTTTCAAAGGAAGAGTGATCTTAGAAAAGAACCAAGGGAGCATTCTTACGCCAGACCAGGCTGTTGGCCTTGTGTATTGTCTGCTCTAGTTGGCAGTGTCTCTCCAGGGGTCGGTCTTACGTCTTCCTTTCTGATCCTTTGAACTAAAGATTCTGTGGATTGAATTTGGGACCCCTCTATGCAAGGCATCATACTGAATCTGCAGACACAGGCTTTTTTTTTAAAGTAACATTGACTCCCTTTATCAAAGTGGGAAGTTAACCTAAGGGTTAGACTGATCAAAAATACTTTGTTCAAAACCCTGTGAACTTCAAGACTGAGTGGGAATTTGTGCCCCTGTCTTCCTAGAGGTAAACTTAGTTATAACCATATGTTGGCTTTCATATCTGCTTAGAAAGTCTTTTGCCCGTGTTAGCTCTGAAAAGGACAAGTTACCCTGGTAGTCTAATAAAAGCATTGAATCTTTAAAAATGTAATGATACATGAAAACATCAGTGGTCCTCTAAAACAGAATGGGTCTATTGAACAGGGGACCCAGATCAAAACAAATACTTGGATTTTAAATGTTCTGTATTTCAGTGCACTTTGGGAAGTAGTCGTGATACAATCAAGGATGTGTCAAGCACTTATTTCTGTGTTTCGCATTAGCAAATTTGAATTCACTTATGTAAGCAAATTACTTAATAAAATAAATCATTCCCTTGTTTCTGAAGTGTTCCTGGCCTGATAGTATTCCTCTGTTTTGTTCACAGGTCAGTATGGAAACCCTCTAAATCAATACATAAGACATTATGAAGGACTGACGTATGATGTAGATTCCTTACACCAAAAACACCAGCGTGCCAAAAGAGCAGTATCTCATGAAGACCAATTTTTACGCTTAGATTTTCATGCTCATGGAAGGTAAATACTATATCAAGCTCTTTATTCCACATCCATCAACATTAGTCAAACAGAAATGGTAAAATACTGTAACCGTGGTTAGTTAAAAATTGGTGTTGAGGTTCTTTCTTAACCCTGTTAAGACTTTTAAGATTTGTTTCATTGCAACTACAGGTGGAAACCTAACTGGACAGTCCTTGACTAATCTGTTTTGCTGACTGGTGCTATATGTATTTCTCCAATTTCATATATACATGGTTGTGTTTTCTGTCTTAATGTCACGTATTAACAAATTTTTAAAAAACTTCCTTACTGCAGGCATTCCCTAGGATAATGTGCAACTTGTTCAAATATGCTTTGTTCTTGAACTTATAACCACACATGGGTGCCACAGCAAAGTACATGCAGCGTATCATGTGCCCATGTTTTCCTCATCAACACTAGACATTGATTCTCAAGTGATGCACATTTTTCATAAGTCATAAGAAACTAATATCTGCTTTTAAAATGTGCTTTACACTTTCACAGTAGCTTGAGATGCTGGCAGAATAACATACTTTGGTGTGCATTCTGATGGCTTCCTGCTATAGTATTACTTACACAGCAGACTAGTGTATGTGAAACAGCCATGCAAAGCTATATGAGGCAGTTCTCTTACATTGTACCAAAATTATTCATTCCTGGAAAAATAGGGCACATGTCAATGGAGTTTTCCTGAGTGTACCATTTATTTTTGCTTTATAACCCTCTAGTTCTGCTTCTGTATTAACCAGATTAAATTCCAGTTTTGGTTTATGAAATACACTCAAATGTAGTTTTAGTGGCTAGTTCTGGATTACCAGAAAATTATTACTGCTCTTTGGTGGGCAGAAACAGGGTGTATTCACACCTGTCTTTTTAAAGATCAGCTAGTGAGTTTAGTACTTTATTCCCATATTAGCTGTAAAGTATTTCACATTTGCATTACTACTTTAGTAGAGAACACTTTGCTTTCTTCTCAGCTTTCTCTTTAGACTGAAAAGTAATGGCTGTCTTATGTTCCATTATATTCTCAGCCAGTACTGTGCATCTCTGCTGAAATTTCCAGCAGTAATTTAATGCTCTTGATCAGTGGTAGTTTAGTAAGACCTACAGGAATAGGGGGCTATCAAGTAGTAAAATTCTGGTGTCAAAATAGCATCCTTACTATTCCAACATAAAAGAATATGAAATGGCACCTCATCCTATTCAGTTCTTCATTTCCATGTTGCTGGTTTGCAAGTGACTAAGACAATTTGCCAAACAAGATAAATAAATTTGATAAACATGGAGTAAGAGTAATCATAAACTATTTAGAGCAATGTGGAAGCACTTTAGCACCCAGATAAGTAGCCATGCAAACAGTACTACAGTAAAATTCTTTATGGCTGGAATAAATTCAGTGGTAGGCTTTACATGCAAGCTGTGATTACTTTTTAAAATTTAAACCAACAATGGGGATGGTCATTTTGGTAAATTAAAAGACAGATTCATTCTTGGAAGGCCATTTAAGCTATTATCAGGTTCTAGCTGTGAATTTGATTTCCCTACTTGATGTGATCCTGCCTGTACATTAGCTTAGCTTATTTTAGTTAGAATTACTAACAAGCAGAAGTAAATGTAGGCCCAACTGAGTAATAAGAGTGGATTATTGGTAAGGAGCTTTATCCTGTACTTGGCTGCCTGCCGGAACTGTAAGAGCAAGGAGAAATTGCCTCTGCTTCATCTGACTAATAAAAAATTCGGCTTTTTACCAAGTTGTGCACATTTGGACTCACACCATATAGTAGCAAACATTTTAAAAATTGCTTTAAAAATACTCCCCTGAAAATAGAAAGCTCATGCTGCAGATGTATTGCTGTTGACTTACTAAGTAAAGCTCCCTTAGACCTGATTTTCCCTCTTCTGTTGTATTTTATCCCCTGCTACAGCAATAGGCCAAGCACAGCTGCATTTTGCGGCAGGCTATTGCTGTATTCAGTTATTTTTCAAATAAATAAATACCCTAATATGAACGATTCATGTTTAATTAGGACATATCATAGATTGGTGCTTTCCTATAAGTAGCCGAAATAGCAAGCATATAAAATTATAACTTAGTCCCACAGGTGTGGCTGCAGTAACAGGTTTGAGAGACTGGGGTGGGATTGGTGGAGGGGGGGGCGTTGTTATGTGGAAGCCCCATGAATATGTGCTTGACAAGCATCTTCAACCAGTGCTGCTCTTGGCTGAGTAAATCATCCAATGTGTGATGGATGCCATAGGGGGAATGATTAATGCTGCTTTGTGGGAGGAGGTGATTCTCTCTCACTTAGGAGAGGCAGTAATCAGACCTTGACTCAAGAAACTTCCTTCTGACCATGCTGATATAACTATAGGCTAGTCTTAAATGCACTGTGCTTGGCTGCAGTGATGACAAAGTGTTACAGCACCGTATGAATCTGGATGACATTGATTATCCGGACTCATTTTAATTGGGCTTTCTCTCAGGATATGACCGTAACTGCTTTGGTAGCTGTGGTAACACCGAGAACTGGCTGAAGAACATAACCCTTTTGGTTCCTCTGGACCTCTTGTTTGCTTTCAGTACTGTCAATCATTCTGTCTGTCCAGACTGCCCGGCAAGGCTGGATCCTGGGGGTGCTGTTTTGCAGAGGCTTTGGGTCTCTCTTTTAGCTTCTGGTCAAAAGATGGTTTCTACAGTACTCTGCCTTTGGTGATCTGTGGGGCTGTACATTTACATGAAAGCACTGGGAGCGGTAATTTGGCGTTCTGGAGTAAGGTGCCCGCTACATGCTATTGGCACCAACGTTTTCTTCTTTGCTACTTAATACTAAGGAAGCAGTTATGACCACTGAGTGTTGCCTGGATTCAGTAGGGGGATGGATGAGGCTGAACAAATGCAGATAAATGCCAGTCAGTAGAAAGCCAGTGGGATTCATTCAGTTCCAGAAGAGATTGTGTTCCCTTTGAAGGATTGTGTTCATAGCCAGCGTGGTACAGTGGTTAGAGGGATGGACGGGAGCTAGGAAGACCTGGCCATACAGCTCACTGAGTGAGGCTCTGTCCTTGACTCTGAGCTTGTCCTATCTCAAGTGTTCCTTGCGAGGATAAAATGGGGAGGTAGAGAATCAGCTAAACTGCCTTGGGTTCCTTCAGAAGAAGAAAAGGGATGTAGATATAATAATCACAAGCTCTAAACATTCATTAGGAGTACTCTTGATCCTATGCTGTCCCTGGATTTTTGGATGGTGATAGTGGCAAGGCCGAGGCATGCAAAACCATGCATGGTGTGCCAACCACAACCCTTCACTGGGCTTCACTGGGCAGTGGTTATCCATGCCTTAATCACATCATATGTAGACTACTGCAGTGTGTTCGATGTCGTGCTACCCTTGAAGAATGTCAGGAGACAGCTGGACTACTAACTGGCGTGCTGTGTTGGAATCCTAATAGCGTTGTCCTGAAAGACCAGCCCTGGTTATCTTTTTCTTCCCAGGCGTGGGAGGGTGCTCCTTTAGGGGCACCATTAAGAGATCCATTTATTGGGTACATTTGAAAGCAGCTTCTCTTGTGTCATTTCAAACCATAGCATGTGCTACCTGAAGAACTACAACAGACTACTTTTAGCTTTTAGAAAGGATGCAAAGACATGTCTTTTTAGTCTAGCCTTTCAAAGTTTTAATTCAGTGTTTTGCTCTTTTCTTTACTGTTTTCAGCTGCTATGCACTTCCTTGATAGCTTTTTAACAAAGTGGTTAATAAATCAAGGTCAAAGCAAAGGAACATTTTTTCATGAAGGTTCAGGATGTTCATTTTTGTTCACATGTGCTGAAGTATTTCTGTAACTCAAGAGTTGCTTCTCAGTTCTGTCATCTTCTTTTTCCAGACATTTTAACCTTAGAATGAAGAGAGAGATGTCCCTCTTTAGTGATGACTTCAAGCTAGAGTTATCAAATAAAGTAATTGATTATGATACCTCCCACATTTATACTGGGCATATTTATGGTAAGTTGAAATATCATTAACTTTTACATGTTTTCAGCTATGAAGTTATGCTGGTAACACCCAAGAAATTATTCAAGTCTAAATCAGTGATGTTGTTGATGGACTTGTTGAGAGAAAACGAATTGAAACTTGATCCAGATAATGCAAAGTAGCTCTGCAACTGTTAAAAAGTATATTAAGGAATGGGGATTCAGTCTGGGTTGAATGGGGTACACTCCCCTTAGAGACCCAAGTTTGCAATATAGGTGTAGTTCTGGAATCAGGTTGGCATGAGGACACTCGGCGTTTCAGTGGTGGCCAGGTGGTCATTTACAGCAAAAAGCAGTACGTTGATTGTGCTGGTTCCTGTGGATGTCAGATGTGGCCACAGTGGCTTCTTTGCATCCTCTTTGGACTACTGTAATCCACTGTCATTGGACTGCCTTTCAGTAGTGTCCAGAAACTTCAGCTGCTCTAGAATGCAGTGCCAGGCTATTGGCTGGGACTGGTTATGGCAGCCACATGCCTCATTGCAACAGCTTCCCGGGCCACCAGTCCATTTCAAGACACAGTTCAGAGCCCTAAACAGTGTGTATGAGCTTGTCTGTGTTTTAAGGTCCTTGAGAGAGGCCTGTACCCTTCTCTCTATCCCATCACTCTCACAATCACATTTGGCAGGAACACAAGAAAGTCACTGGGAACACCTTGCCAAAGGGGACCAAGTAGTCTAACTCTGTTGCTTTTGCATGCTGGCAAAAGCAGATCTTTAAGACACATTTCTGGTGTTTAAGCTGACTTGCATGAAATCGGTTGTATTCTGATAAGGGTTGCTATTTATTAGTTTTAGATCTATATTTTTGTTAGCATCATTGAGCAGTGTTTCTGATAGAAGAGTAGGAAAAAATTATATTAACTTCCAGGTTCTTTTCCCCCATCTCCATTTGCTTATGAAATAACTCCAGCTAAAGTGACCCACCTCAAGCAAGCACGCAACCTGTCCTACTTTGTTTAACTTCAGAAGTGCATAGAAGACGTGACATTCCATCCTTAGAGGTATTCCCACTTGCTCTCATCCGTGCATGTGAGGAAGGGGTACAAAGAAGAAAGAAAAGCCCCCTTGATGGAGGAAGGAATCCCCCCCCCGCCCCGCAGAGTTTAAGTGGCGACTAATCTAGGGGAGAGGACAAAAAAAAGTTGAAGCTGTAGACAAAAACAGCAATTTCCTTTTTCCCCCCCTTCTTGGGAAATAGTACATTTAGGAATGGAAAAAGATAGAATATGTCTGTTAGTGCTTTGTACAAGACATTTTGTTACTTTCAGAACTTAAAGAGTATTATGTTTTGGCTTGCTCATAAAATTATCATTAACATTTAAAAGTAAACTAAACTATTAAAGGGGCATAGTGTGCATAAAGCACATTTAATGTAATACACTGACCATGTTTAGTTTGGTAATGTACCAAACACAATAATTTCATGAGGAAACCAAGTTATACATTAAGTTCTCATTTTATATCTGAATAGAAAGAACTGCAGCATCAGTCCATGAAATATCTGACTCACCCTAGAAATTAAAAGTAGGAAAAGCTGCCAGATTTATAATCTGGTAACTCCAATCCTATTGGGAAATGGAACGTGCTTTTGAGCATAATTAAATGTCTGTCAGTAAAAGATATATTAGGTCAATAATTTTAATAAAGAATGGAAAAATAGCTATAGTATTTTACAGAAGAAGTATAGTATTTTACAATAGTATTTTACAGAAAAGATTGAAAATACTTCCCTCAACATTTCCAGGAATTTTATATTTCTTCTTATAAAAGTCCTCCTGTTAAGTAGTTCTTAGAAATAATTTTGAGGGAGTAGCAATTTATACAAACCTTATCTTAAGCATTTCATTCTAAAAGCATTGTTTAACAAATTGCATTAGAAAATGCTTTCCAGCTTTTCAGGAAAAAAAAATAGGCCTGGGGTGGGGCTGGAGAAACAGGAAAGAAAAACTTTCTTATTTTTGCCCTGGAATTTTTCCAGACCTTCACTTTTCTATTCTAGGCAGGAAACGTCTACAGTGAAATTAAATAAAACAGCCAAATGTTTTTCTGCTCATGTAATTTCATTTTAATTAGAGGCCTCAGGTTGTGTTTCTCATAGTGGCAGTTCCAGACAAAGCATACTTGAATTCAGTTTTCCAGAACAATTGCCAGGATTGAAAGTAAAACAAATACATTACTGGGAGGTTATACCTGTTGTACTGGTAATAATTGTAAGTAGGAAGCCAACTACATAAACAGCATTTTTAAAAAATCTAGAAAATAAAAGACCAGGATGGAAGGTCTAGAACAGAAACTGAAAAACATCATATTGCTGAATGGAAGTACTGCAGTGGAGCACATAGAAAATAAATTCTTTGTGTGATCCTTTGGTCATGTGGGTAGGAAACTGTCTAGTCTTCACAGTTTGTAAGTGTCCCACACCTACTCAGGAAGAAACTAATTGTGTCTCTCTTTGTACTCAGAATAAGCATTTACTGATCTTACTGCATGATTACTGAAAGAAATGCAGAAGTCCACTTTTAAAGGGGTTGCTCTCAAATTGTGTCTTGCTAACACACTCAGTTATGTGAGTCCACATGACTCAAGAGAACATTTGCTTGAGTCCAGAGAGCCATGCCTGGATTCTGCCCTCAAGTAACAAATGGATTCTTTGGCCTGTAAGGGGAACAATACCTTTGATCCCTCTCAGTTTTTTTCAGGTAGCGCAAAGGTCTTGTGTTTCTTGTATTAAGCAGTTAATATCCATTCTGTATGCAAAAACAGACTTTCCTCTTCTGAGGGTAAGTGCTTATCTTGTTCAGGATGACTCAAAGAGAATGGTTCACTCTTCCTGGTAGTCTCCAAGGAGTTCCTAAAAATTATTACCTGGGCAAAGCTCACCTGGGAACATTCTGGGCCTCCCATGTCTTCCTTCTGAGAGGAGTTATATCTGCACATGCTTTTAAAAGTGGAACAAGAACTTTCTGCTTTGCTTATGAAAACAGACATTGCCAGGAGAATTTAATGCTCTGCTAAATTAGAAACATACTTCATATAGCTTTATAGAAGCTTAAAGGTAACATATGAAAGGACATTGGAAAAATCTGTCTGCTGTTGTGCCTTTGCCATAAGAAGCCCAAGTTCATGTGTTGTAATGGGGAGGACTATAAAAGAGCCTTAACTAACCAAAGCTACTGTGGAGGGGTGAGGGTGTCAGTCACAGTCGGGGAGGCCTGTCTCCCTCATGACACACTCATGGGCTTGCCAGAGGCAACTCGATGGCTACTGTGGAAAGCAAAATGCTGCCCAGGTGGACTTTGGTCCCATCCAGAAGGGTTGCTAATATATCAGTAACTGGAAAATAATGCTGTGAAGTTGAAGGGAGTAATTAGAATCTAACTGCTGTTTGAACTGATGTCTACTTGACCAGCCGGCATGGCTCTAGCATTTTACTAAGTCCAGATCTTTTAGCATGAGCTGCCTGTCATTATTAGAAAGGAAATCATTGGTGTTCCCTCCCTATGCAAAAAATCAGCAGATGCCCAAGAGGCAAGATGACAGATTATTGTCAGCAACCATGACATTACAAGAGATTCTGCTTGTTAAAAATGTTCCTTTTATGTAGCCACAAAAACGATGCAGGAATATTTATAACTGGAGTTTTAGTTTTCTTAACTGTGAGTCACAATGTATCCAGATATCCTTCTTTGATTTCTGTTAACAAGAGCATGTTTATTTTGCAAAAGTTAAAACAATTTCAGTGAAAAATAAATATTTAAAAATAACATCTAAATTGTTTTATGAAAAGGAAATGAGAACTTAAACATAGGAAGACTGTCTGAATTCTGAGTCGTTGCTACGATATGTGAATAGTTTCTTCAAACTAACTAGTATCATTGGTGGGTGTGCGCAATGGAGCACACCAGCTAAGAGCAGTCATCAAGTTGAGTAAGTCTGGGCACCAGAGCCATTATGTTAAAAAGCTATGTTTGCAGCAATACTTCAGATTTATGAGATACATAGACCAGATTTGATAGGAAATGGGTGAATGAGCATCAATTTAATTTGAAGGCCCCATAGTATTAACAGAAGAATTATAGGAAACCTGTGATAGCTCTGCAGGTCTCTTTCCTGCTATGGACCATTTTAATAGTGATGAAAGAGAAGATGGGCAAGACATGAGGCAGGAGCCTACCAGCTGCTTACAAGCTAGATAAAAACAAATAGTGATGTAGCTTAGGGAGTTTGATAATTAGCTGTTGATACTAAAAATGAAATCTGCTGTTGCACTTTTCCCTTAAAACCTCATATACTTTTTTCCATAGGTGAGCAGGGAAGCTTTAGCCATGGATCTGTTATTGATGGAAGATTTGAAGGATTCATCAAAACTCACACTGGCACCTTTTATATTGAGCCAGTTGAAAGATACATTAAGGACAAAGCCCTGCCTTTTCATTCAGTCATGTACCATGAAGATGACATTAGTAAGTGTTTGCGTTCTGTTCTTAACAGTGAAACTACTCAGCATATCGCTCTTGGCAGTGTTTTTCTTCCTGCACCCTTCAGGTACCTCGGTTTCTGGGATCTATACCCCTTTGCTTTTCTACCTTCTAGGATTTTTTCCAGTCCATATATTGACCTGCAGAGCTACTGTCTCTAAGGCCTGTGTGAGTTTCTGGTCCCTGTCAAGCGGACAATTTCCCCTTCTTTCGAAGAAACCGGACTGAAAATGTTCTGATGCCTTTAGGCACTATAATGTGCATGAGCACTTCTTGCCAACATAGCCGCTTCAGCCAAATGTTGCAAGCTTCACTGCTGCAGACCACACGCTGCACAGTGTAACAGGTGTGTAGCCATTGGTTTGGCAGCGGGGTAGAAAAGGAGCATGGGATTGGCAAATTTGCCACAGAGGGAGGAACAGAAGACGTTGTTTTAAGCCAACTCAGAAGTTTGGAAACCAAACATCTTGATGATAGTAATTTAGGGTAATCACATTTGGACAATGCAGGGTAAATCTTAAAAAAAAAATTCTCACCAACTTTATACAAACCCCTTCAGCATTGTCCATCAATTCTTGTGGGGTATATTAATCCATCAAATTTATGGCATCTCAGCCAGTCAGGAAATAAAGGGAGCTTATGTTTGCTTATGGGGTTCCTCTTGTCCCCCAAATTACACTGCAGGAAGGCAAGACCAGAATCAGTTGAAATGGATGCTTAGGATAAAGAAAGAATCTCTTCCTGATAAGTAAACCTGTCCTTTCCCATCTTTCAGTTTTTGGCAAGAACATCCTTTGAGCAGCTTTTCAGGCAAAACAATGCAACATATGTTTAGCATCACAATGAAGTCTTATTCAGAGATCAAACAAAAGCCTATTCTGCAAGTGAGGATCATCTTGTTCGCTTCCTACAAAGTCCTTTGTCCATGTTGCAGAGAAATTGATGATCAGTGAAAGGCAACCCTTCTATTCTAATTTCAAAATACGTAAATTATTTTAGATTCTTATCTTGATCTGTATTCTTATGGAATTGAGCCTAATAATTGCTACTGTTTTTTAAAAAGTTTTGTCTTCCTTGAAAGGAATTGTCTTGTTTAGCTCTTGCTTGTGCTCTGCCAATCATTGTGTTACGAAGTGCAGAGAGACTGAAATGTCTGCCTAGAACATCCTTCTCCAACCTGCTTGCTGTGAATGATGTGGCTGTAGTCTAATGCATTGATGAGCACGAGGTCATGGAGGACTGGCTGCATGAAAGCTTTTCCGTCAATCATGAGTTTTAGTGCATACAGTCTTAGTGCCACTAAATGGATGCTGAATGGTAATAGGTAACTGGGACACTGGGACACTTGCTGGTGCATCTTTATCCTGAGAGAGCCCTCTCTTTTGGTTTATATGTTCAGGCCAGAATCACAAGGCTGAAGTAAATTTAAAGGGGCCAGCTAGTCTGGAGTAACTCTAGATCTGCACATGGAGTTTCATGATTTGAAGCAAATACTTTGAGGATAATTAACTCATACCTGTATATCAAATGGCAAATGCTAAATCTATTGAATTCTAGCATTAAATAATCCTGGAGATAATACTACCTTGTGTGTTGTGTCTTAAGTACTGAAATTTCTTAAAAACACCAGAGAGTTGAAACTCAGCTTTACTGCATGAACTTGCTCCGTGCTTCATTTTTCTTTGGATTGGAGAGGAGTACAGTTAAGAAAATAGCCTTCAGAATTGCCCATTCCCTAAAATACTTATGAATAGAACAAGGGTTGAATTGACATCTCTAATCCATTTTGGCTTTACCATTCCATTTAAAAGAATCTTCCATTGGACTTACCCTTCATTTTACCCTCCACAAATTCTAGGCTTGCTTCAATAACGGACCAGGCCTGTAATTGGATTGAAGACATAGTAGATCTAAATTTGCCCCATGAGTTCAGCTGTTTTGTATCAGGTTCGAGGTACAGGCATTGGTTCAATGGGTGTTGCAGTCTACTGAACTCATTACTGTCAAAGGGACAAACTAATAATTAATAACTTCATTGCTTCACCCTTTTCGACTGAGTTAAAGCAAATGAAATCTTACAGTGGTTGTGTTTGCTTTAAAATGGGGCAAGAGATTAGATGTCTTAATTCGCAGCCAGTTGTTGGGGAAAATCCAGTTAACCAAAGCTGTGGTTTAATCATTAAAATCCAACTTCCCTTGGTTTTGTATTTTAGGATATCCACATAAATATGGACCACAAGGTGGTTGTGCGGATCATTCTGTTTTTGAAAGAATGAAGAAGTACCAAATGACAGGTGTAGAGGAACCAACGGACCAGGTACCAAATCATAATGAAATTATTTGGTGTACTTGATTAAACACCCATGAACACCACTGCCCATTCTCTCTGTAGTCCAGGCATACTTTCTAAAAATGTAGTGAATATTAAATGTATTTCCTAAGAAAACCAAGCTCTGAACCTCTCTGTCTAACTAGGATCATGGATGCCAATGGCTGAACTGATTTATTAGGTTTTCTTATTTCTATTAAAAGTTAATTGCATTTTTAAGAATTTTTAGAATACCTGTCAACCTAAAAACTTGGCTGAGAATTTCCTCAGGCTGCAGAAATGTGTCTTCGTTCATTGAAACTTCATTCATGCGTTCATCCGGCTCATGAGCTGTTTTATTTCCTCTTAGTCCTTGGATAAACTTTGTATGTGCCAAATTAATTGGAGGCAAACATTCTTAAGAGCCAAGTCGCTGTACCAGCACGTATGGTAATAGGGGAATTTGGCTGGATCTGAGATGCTGTAATTGTGGATGGTACAAAGATGAGTCAAATGTGCTGTCTCATTAAAGATGATGCCCTGGTCCCATATGATGGTAGACAGGGGTCTTGGGATTACTGACCCATGCATAGTTTGAAGGGTCTGTCTTTATGTTTCATCTCTTGCTTTTTCCTGATGCAGATTGTTGCTTAGTAGTGTGCAGCATATATGACTGTCCCATAAGCTAGATGGTTTCTGTATTCTTGAAAGTGGAGGGCTGTATGGAAACGGTAGTCATAAAAACGACTAAATACTCCTTCATTTCGTATTCTGTAGCAACCTGCAGAAGATCATACCGATCGTGGCCCAGAGCTCTTCAGAAGGAAACGAGCTGCACAAGCTGAGAAAAATACTTGCCAGCTCTACATTCAGACAGACCATCTATTCTTTAGGTACTATGGGACAAGAGAAGCTGTGATTGCACAGGTGAGCCTGTAGCGGTGATTGCCTCTGGAAAGGATGAAAGCGGGGGGCCTTTCATGCGGTTTGCGAGCACTGCGTAGATCCTTCCAGCCTGTCCACCCCCCACTGTTTATCTGAGGGCACATTTGGTGTGAGGACAACAGGTGTTCGTCCGTTCTTGACAAATTATCTTGTGTACAAGTGTGCAAATTACATGGCATCGCATGCTTCATGCAACCTTATCTCCTTTTTTGTGGCGTTTGTATTACTTTGCGGGTAGGCACTTGGGTGCCTCTAAAGTATGATAAATGCCCTTGAAGAAGAGAATGGCTTGGGCATTCACTGAGAATAATAGGACTAATAACCAGGCCCATGGCTCTCACTAGGAGAGCATGTGCAAATGGGTTTTCCTGCTGACAGCCCTAGGTTCCATGCCTGGCATTGCAGGAAGGGCCAGGAAATACTTCTGCCTCAAACCCTGGAGAGCTGTTGCTTGCCTGTGTAGACCCGGCTGAGCTAGAGGAACCAGAAACCGACTTGCAGTATTTATTAGTTTTGTGCCCTGTCTTTCGGTGACAAAAGTGGCAATCAAGGCAGTTGCTGCCACAAGAATGAAAACTTGTTCTAAAATTCTGATTAAAAGAATAATAAACTATAATTGTGCTCATTGAGAAGCACGTTTGTAGCAAAGCAGCAAGACCCACACGCAAGCTCATAGGCCAGCTTGCACACCAAAGGCCTGCTTGAATGAGAACATCTTTCCCTGACTGTGGAAGGTCAGCAGAGAGGGAGCCATCTAGTCCCTTGGCAGGGAGTTCCACAGCTGCTGAGAAAGCCCTCGCTTGTGCATTCAACAAATGCATTTATGAAGGCAGTTGTGCCGAGGGGCCCTCTCCCGAAGATGCCAGGACCCCTCAGGCTCATGTGGAGGGGAGGGCTGTCTTTCAGAACCAGCTCTGGGGGGCAGGACCCTGGTGCTGCTGGGACAGGGAGTCCTGTGCTTCTGTAGCAGCTTTCAGAGTATTCTCTAATGCGGCACCTTAAATCCATCCTACACGTACTGGAGAATCATACAGCTCAGGCTTTTAACCTTTCCCCCTTGCAGATATCCAGCCATGTTAAAGCAATCGATACCATTTACCAGTCAACAGACTTCTCAGGAATCCGGAACATCAGTTTCATGGTAAAAAGAATAAGAGTAAGTATCCTGCCACTTGATTTTGAGGAGCTCTGCTACTAACTCCGGTTGGTTTCATTCCTGCATCTGATCTTCGTCCACAACCCAGTGCTCTTGATCATACTGCCTATCGCTGACCCTGTTCGTGCTTGAAGAATCGGAGGCCACTTTCTAATCTTGGCTGCCAGTGACATCTGCAACAAAGCACTGCCATGCGAAGTGCTGCTGTTAGGGTTCCAACCATCCCGACATGCCCTCTTCCCGATCGGCCCGTCCCACTTCCAGAATCAAGGCAGCGGCGTGGAGCTTTTACAGCACCCCCAACTTGCTTGCACCTTGCTTACGCCTTATCCTTCAAGGAACAGTGGGTGGAGGGAGGGCTCTTGCAATTCTGTGTCCGCCTTCTGGCCCATACGGTTATGCACCGTTGTTCGTGTACGGCTGGGTAGTGGCACCAGGGAATCGTGGAAGCATTCCCTTTTCTGTCCAAGTATTTCTTGATTCTCCTGACCCGAGCCTGGAATTTAATCACTACCCTGGGAGGCGTGGGAAGCAAGTAAAGGGTGCAGGCAGGTGAGAGCGGCTGGCAGAGTTCCCTTCCTGCCCTGTGCCCTGCATAAAATCCCAGTGGTAAGATGGAGTGATTTAAATCAAGGCTGTTGACATGTGTGGTTTCAAATCATTAAGGGAAAAAAGACTGCTTAAATTTTTCCCTTTTTTCCCCCTCATGTATTTCCTAAACAACAATACAAACCTGACCACTAACCCATGCTCATTTACAAGTAAATGGAGTGTTTATGCCTTTCTTTCACTTGGGCAACCAGACCCTGCCTCTGTCACACGGTGCATAGTTTCACACATTCCTTTTGTACCTCTGGAGGGAATCCTTTTGAAGAGTGATCAAGGTAGTGGGTGAGGTTAAGAGTGAGATACTGCGGGGAAGCGTGCCACGCTCCTGTGCCCCACGCTAAGCAGAGCCCCATTCAAGTGCTTAAATAGCCATTCTCAGTTCCTCGAAAAGCCTTGATTTGCTCTCAGCCTGACTAGCAGGCTGCCGGGGCAGAGACTGTGGCTCTCTTTCCATCCTCGGCCGGTTCCCACGGACTGGTAGAAGTGCTTGCAGCTTTTGTGGGCTTGTTTGCACAGCTGTTCCACTTTCTCCTCTGAATATGGCTTGCCCCTGTGACTTCCCTCCTTTCTCTATTTTTATCTTCTGGCCACCAAGTGTAGGAGTGAATTAGCTGGAGCTTTGCAGTGTTTACTGGGACAAACCTGGTTGCCCTTGTGCACTGCTGCTGCTTGTGTTACTTTGTGGCATCCAAACTGTGGATCAGCCTATCGGTAGATGTTCACCTCTTTATGGCTGTTAACACCATGCAGTGGTTTGCATGTTCTGAAGCTCCTGCCATAGATCAGAACTCAGCAGGGATTTCATACATCTTCTCGGTGCTTTTCAGAAGTTGCCGTTCACACAGTTCATCTGTGAATCAGTTGATACATGAGTCAACATGGAGTGCTGTGATTGAATAATGTATATTATTATATGTGTGAATCAGCCTTTTACAGTGTGCATTTTTGTAATACGAAGTAGGTTACATCTTTGAAAGTCTGTTTCGCAGCCAGCAATGGTTGTCTAGCAATATAGACCTTTTTCTTTTAGATCAACACTACTCAAGATGAAAAAGACCCTTCCAATCCCTTCAGATTTCCCAACATTGGCGTGGAGAAGTTTTTAGAGCTCAATTCTGAGCAGAATCATGATGACTATTGTTTGGCCTACGTGTTTACTGATCGTGACTTTGATGATGGCGTCCTTGGCTTGGCCTGGGTTGGAGCACCTTCAGGTAAGCAGTTCTTAAACAAATGGCTTGGTGGAAGTGCAGGGCACGTTTCTTGTGTGCAAAACGTTCCAAGGGTAATTAAGAGTCAAGTCCCTTTTGCTGGATTAATGCAAAGACACATAAGTAAATATGGCTTGGAGTAAGCATGGTCAAAAGTCTCATGGAAAGCCAAAATGGAAGGATCATCTTATCATTTCTAAGATAACCTCATGTACTTACTACTGTGGCCTCCCTCTGCACAGGCAGGGGTTGCACTCCACGGCGGAGTATATATTTACCTGCCAAAGGTCTCTGGTCCCATTCTAAGCATCTTTAGAGACCAGTGATCCATCTCTGAAAGGATAGTTTCCTGTGTGTCTCTGCTTACCAAGTTCTCCTTTCAGAAAATAGGCTTCAAAAGCAGACTCTCCTCTGAACAGATTATGGCTTGTATCAACCTGCTAACCACCATACTGGTTTTTTCTGTTGACTGAAGGGCATCTTACTTTCCTAGAGTTGGGTGACAGCTGCACAAAGGGAGCTAAATCAGTCATAATAATCACTTTCAAAACTAGAAGTGGTCCAGTTGCTTTAACACCATCTGCGTTCTTGAAAAGGAGAAGAAGAAAACAGGTCTGAATGGCTGCTGGACTCATGCATTATACTGAAGGTCATGGTGCCACCCCATCTTACCCCAGCATGAGAATATTTGTTTCCAGTAGTTTCTTCGGGAAGACAATTGTGGAGAACTGTGGCATCTCAGCCAAGGGTGTGACACGTCTTACTGGTATTTTAGTCTATGTGGTTGCTACTCGAACTCCCACAGTACAGTTCATCTGTAAATATACCCTGAAGAATGAGTCACACTTCTTGCTGAGATAAGCAGATATTCTTAGGCTAAGTACTTTGCAAAAGCAATATGTGCTATTTAAGCACTTGAACTGTAGCACTTGGAAGAATTACAGCCTAAGTACCACCAAGCTGAGGACCACAGGAACTTCTCCTCAGCCCTGTGCAAGAGCTTCAGTTCATCTAACAGCACATTGACCTCCTGTCAGGAAAAGAAAGCATCTGACCAGAGGAAGCAAGCAGTGAACAAGCATTTCCTCCAAGGCTTAGGAAAATCCTGGGCCCTGAACAACCACAAATAGAGCCTTTCTTTCTGTCTGAAACTGAACAACATTCCAAAGTGAAACTTGTGACACCAAGTTACTGAAGCTATGAAATCCTGCGGACCCTCTGAAATTCTTTCTAGACCAGACAGCAGAGTGAAGATGAGAATTGGCTTCAGTACAGATAAGCATGGTTGGAGCAAAGGATCCAACATTTATGTGTGCACAGATGTCCAATTCGAATGGAAATATCCATTTTCTGGGGGTCATTTTCTGGAAAGCTCACTGTATGTCCTTTTGGGGTTCTGCACCAGAGAGAAGAAATTCAGTATTAGGAACTACAACATTGGAAAGAAAATAGAAAGCATTGTTGTCATTATTTAATTTATATATGCTACTTTTCCCCAGAAAATGCCCAAAGCAACTAATGTAGTAGCAATACAAGAACAGGAAAACAGAATACTACATCAAACACTTCATCTCTCTGCTGCTAACATGACATTTCAAAATACAAAATAAGCGAAAGCAATGGTTACAACATAAAATAGATCTTACCAGTATTGCACACCAGAGCCCCAATGCACCAAGCAAGCCTTCCTATGCATTGAGGCACTAATAAACAATGCAGATGGCAAAAGCCAGAATGCATAAAGGGGAGACCAGGCTTCTCGCAGCCTGCAGCAGCCCCCTTGACTCCCCCACCCTGGTGCAGTTCTCAAGACTTCAGCAACGGCAGGGCAGGCGGGCAGCATGCATTCGCCTCCCCATGCGTTAGATGGTCCCAGTGTTAGATGAGCATGCGGTGCACCTGCACTTTCATAGACAGACTTTTTGCAATGGAGGAGTGTGTGCAAAAACAGCCACGGTGCTTAACGTACAAAATAGGACTCTACACAACTAGAAGAGTGCCATGTTTCTCCCTAGCAATAATCTGTCAGTTTAAATAAGCTCTTGGCCTGGTTGTGGAATATATTTGACCTTTGGCAAACCAATGGAAGGGGGTTCCAGGAAAATGTTTCTCAAAGGAACTGGGTTGTATGATGAGATATTTTGATAATAAAAACAATGGTGGTGCAGCTTCAAAATGCCAGTGCCATTTGCTTCTTTGCAGTGTTCATACTTTTTCCTTAACTTTCTAGTGAATCAAAAATAATCCTTCTAAAGGTTGCTTTAATTTTAATGCAGGGAGCTCTGGTGGGATATGCGAAAAGAGCAAGCTTTATTCCGATGGCAAAAAGAAGTCCTTAAATACTGGCATCATTACCGTACAGAACTATGGCTCCCATGTGCCTCCTAAGGTTTCTCACATCACCTTTGCACATGAAGTTGGCCATAACTTTGGTTCTCCGGTAAGTATGTGTGTTGTGGTTCCATTCCTATACAAGACGGGCTTAATATAATTATGAACACTTGTGCTGGTACTTCAGAAAATTTATTATAATTGGGATACCTTACCAGAGGTAGTCTGGTTATTATTCAATTAAGAGTTTTTGAGTTAACTGCAAGAAAGTTGGTTGTAAATATTTTTCTCCCCACCCCTCTTTTATCCTTATGACATTTATTTAGAATAATTCTTCACTCATGTTGCAAGGGGATCTTTGAGGGAGCAAAAAATTAAGGATTTCCAATGGAGAAAGCTAAATATTATGTCTATTGCAGCATGATTCAGGCACAGAATGTACTCCAGGAGAGTCTAAAAGTTTGGGACAAAAAGAAAATGGCAATTACATCATGTATGCAAGAGCAACATCTGGGGACAAGCTTAACAACAACAAATTCTCTAGCTGTAGTATTCGGAATATCAGTCAAGTTCTTGAAAAAAAGAGAAATAATTGTTTTGTTGGTATGTATTTCCTCCAGATAATTCTTCCAGGGTGCTGTGTGTGTGTGTGTGTGTGAGAGAGAGAGAGAGAGAGAGCGCGCGCGTGCGTGCGCGCGCACACACGGGGGTGTAGAATACTATGTCAATATGGCATGGTTTGGAATTTCCCAGCTTCTCCTTTTTAGGCAGTTCAGTGACAAACTGACCCTCCAACAAGAGGTCTACAAAAGTCAGGCGACTTGCAAGCTTAGTGTCTTGGTTGATATTGTTGAGAAATGACAATTGGGACTTTTGTCCATGCAAGTGGATAGTATGAGTAGTTAAATTGTACTCACCCCATCATTAAAACACATGCATTTCAGTTAACTTAGTGAAATGCTACATGTTGCGTTTTCTCCCTACCTCCCTATGACAATCGGTGCAAGTGGATATTCTCCCTCCTCTAAGACACTCAATTAAAAAGCAAAGTATTCATTCCCATCTTGATGCAGATTTCAGTGGACAGAAACCAAGCAGTGTTTGTCCAGAATAGGCAGGCATTCACAGTGCAGCTCTGTAGCTTACAGTAAAGAACATGCCTCTTCCACCCATCCTTCAGAAGTGCCACAGTAATTTATCCGACTAGATAGGATGGCATAGCTTGCTCCCCTAGAAAATTCTGAATTCAGTTCTGGCTGTGTCCGTGAGCAGCACCACTTCACGGAGGCGCTGCAGAGATCTCATCTTCCTGTTTGCACAGCAGAGAGTGAGCCGGTCATGGCTTCGGCTTGGAGCAACTCCTCTTTGGAAGCAGCGGGTGCACAAAGAGCCTCACGAGCATCTTTGTGTGCTGGGGTCGGAGGGTGCTTAGGAGGGCCCGCCCAGGCACAGCAGTTATCCGTGCCCTACCGCCTCCGGTGCAGAGGTGAAGTGCAGTGCGAAGGAAGCAGTGTACCAGTCAGACCAGCAGTGTGTGCACACACCACACGGGATGGGGGGCTGTGCTTTGGTGTGGCTTCTCTGCAGAATTTTAGGATGGATGTTTGCCCGTTTGTCTGAGTTCACTCTTCTCCCAAGGATGTGTCTGGTCAAATTTCCCAGGAGAGCAGCTGAACTTGATGATCTTGATGCGTTTCAGAGTCTGGCCAGCCCATCTGCGGGAACGGACTGGTAGAGCAAGGGGAGCAGTGCGACTGTGGCTACAGTGACCAGTGCAAAGAGGAATGTTGTTACGATGCAAACCAGCCAGAGGACAAGAAGTGCAAGCTGAGGCCGGGCAAGAGCTGCAGGTACCGAACCTGTCTTGGATTTTGCTGCTGGACTGCTTGCCAGTTGCTGCCCTTAAGCATTCGCCTAACCATTCATGGCTCTGAGGGGCAGTAGCTGCATCAGGAGTCAGGACACCCCTCCAGTTCTGAGCTGGAAAGGCGTTTTATCCATAAACCTATGGGTAAGCTTCGACCAGCTTCACTCTTCGGGAGTGCAGATTCTGTCATGGGACTTTATGGAAACCATCAGTCATCATTTCTGGCCCTACTTCAAGCTCTAAGAGCATGTGACATGAGAACTGCCTCAGCGAGAATCAGCGCCTGTAAACGTTTTTCCCAAGGCTGTGGATTGAACCCTTCCCCCCTGCCTCCATCCTCATCTACGCTTGGCCAGAGCATTTTTACCCCTGCTGGAAGGCCAGTAATATGGGCTGATTCCCTCGTTGTTGGCATTCCGGGGGCTGGAAAATGCATCTCTTCCACCTTGGTTTTACTGATGCTGCTTCCTGTCCTGTTGCTTTGGCACTACAAAAGCAGCTGCTTTTCATAAAAAGGAAGTGCTGTAAGTGAGCCGGATGGGCGAGTCTGGGAAGGCAGGTGCATGTGGTCTCCGTGCCTTGAATTTTTTAACACAGTTTCAACATTTTTTGAGTCTGACTGAAACTAAAGAGGGCCGGATCCAGTTGTTATAACAAGGTGATTAAGCACAGTGCTACTTCTTGGCTTTTTTCTGTGAACACTTATGGGTCAAGTAAGGTCCATGTGGTGGTGTATGAAATGGCGTCAGGCCCATCGCAGTGCACAACGTGTAAGCGTGCATACGTGTGACTGTAGTCAACCAAAGGCCTGTCGGTGTGACATGCTGCTTCCAATGCTTTTGTCCTCTGCAGCCCCAGCCAAGGCCCCTGTTGTACACCACTGTGCGACTTCAGGAAGGAAGGGGCAAAGTGTCGGAATGATTCTGAATGCGCAGAAGAAGGGAGATGCAACGGCACCTCTTCTTTCTGCCCAACGTCTGCAGCTAAGCCTAACTTGACCAACTGCAACAGAAACACGCAAGTTTGCATAAGTGGAGTAAGTCTTCTTTCTAGAGGTGCTGCAAAGAGATGGATGAGTTTTGGCATATGCACTGCTGGTCCAGGAAGAGAGCGTTTCTCCCACTGAATAAAGCAGGCCTTTCTTAATTTTCTCTAACCATTAGCTCCTATTGCCTTGTGCTAGCATAAACTTTCATAAACTTTGAAATGGTGCTTCATCGATAGGCTTTTACCTGGCCTCTGTTGGAAGTGAGTGAGTTCTTCCTGATGATCTGCCCTGCTTAATTTTGTTAACCTGAGAAAAGCACACAGGTTAACATAGAGTTCAAGGTTCCTATAATTTAGGTGCATCCATTTTCAAAGACCTTGCTTGTTTTCTGTTTAATCCTAAGGTGTTTTTGATATTCAATTAACTCAGACACCTGTGATGGTTTCCAGGGTGGGAAAAATTCAGCTTTCTGTCCTAAAAGTAGCAAGATCCACTATGCAGGGGGCCCAGATTCTTGTCAGTATGAATAGTTGTTAACGGTGAGCTTGGTTAAGTAAGGTGTATTTGGCTAAGAGTTGTCTGCTTCCTTCCTAGCAATGTTCCGGGTCTATCTGTGAGAAGTATGGTTTAGAAGAATGTACATGTGCCAGTACTGATGCAAAGGATGACAAAGAATTATGCCATGTCTGTTGCATGGAGAAAAGTAAGCTTTGACCAGTGACTAAGCACACCCCCCCCCCCTTTTCCATCTTGGGCCCTAAAATCCCTTTGGGCCACCCTGGTTCTGGCATTTCAGTCTCACGGGGCTCTCCCCTAACCAGGCCACTGCCCTGCATCCCCACAGCCGCTGAGTCCAGGGATCCGCGAGGAACGGCTCCTGCTGCCGCCACCATGATGCAGCGAAGGGCAGCAGCAAAACAAGCTGAACTTTCCCTTTCAAGCAAGGCCCCCTAGATGTAGTGTGTTGAGAGGAAAATTCCCTCAGGTCTCCCACAAGCCCATTTTTCGGTTTAAAGCAAGTAGCCTGCTTCCTGCATGGAAGGAGAAAAGGCAGTTTTTTCCCGCACCACATTTGCGGGAGCTGTCAAATAGACCAGGGAATGGAGACGTGCATGTGGTTCGGAGACCACCAGCTGCCTGCCCTGTCCTAATTCTTCCAGTACATGTGTGAAATGGTGGCTGTTGCTTGCTGTGCACTCTCTTTTATTGCTCTCTGTGAAGCCACATCCAGCCTTGAGTCACTCTTCTTTTTTTCCAGCACTTGCCGATTCATGTGCAAGCACAGGGTCTGCTCAGTGGAAGGACTACTTCAATTACAAAACTATTACGCTGCAGCCAGGATCCCCTTGTAATGATTTCAAAGGCTACTGTGATGTGTTCATGAGGTGCCGGTTGGTGGATGCTGACGGCCCCCTGGCCCGGCTGAAGAAGGCGATTTTCAATCCAAAGCTGTATGAAAACATTGCGGAATGGATAGTGGTAAGCTTACATCAGGAAATCTCTCGTGCCTCCAGGTGTGATATTAAAAGAGGGCTTTGTTAGTTTCCTTGAGGTTTGTATATTCCCAAAAACCCCTTAGTTTAGGTGATATTCCAGGGAGAGACAGCTACCTGAAGGTGTTTAGATACCTGGATATATAGCTTTTAAAAAACATGCTTGGAATACATAGCTATATTTTCTACTTTTCGGAGCCATTGTAGCAGCTGTGTAAACTTAAATGTAAGGGGTGCAGTGCCTGTGAGCGGCAGCGGCGGCTGGGGCTACGCCTTGTGCAGTAAGCCACACATGGTGCTGTCTTGATAGTGCGTTGCCAGAGGAAGACACATGTTCTGCTCTTGACCAGAGTCAGAGTTGACGGGCGAGGGGGGCGGGGTTGGGGCCCAGATACATTGCTGCAACAATCCGGTTGCTTTTACCTTCAGCAGATCCTCCCCTCCCCTTTCCTGTCCGGTGTCACAGCATGTGAGTGCACGCAAAACGGACTTTAATGATCTGTAAACAGGAGGGGTCCTTCTCCACTGTTTTCTGCCCTTTTCCTGTGTTGCTGTTTGTCATAATTTCTCCTTCCGGAGAGCACAGGCAAGCTAGCAGTGCTGCCGCTGGCGCAACCTACCGAGCATTGCATTGTGCCGTGCAGTTGCTCCCGCCCACGCCGACACACCAGTTTTGGGTAGTTTCACTAGTGCAGCCTTGCCTCATTTTTCCATTTGAGCTTGTCTCTTTCCAGTATGGTGGTTTGACACTTCTGCATAAATAAGAGGGAAGCCCCCTTTTCCAAACTCGTGGTAGTTTATTTTTTTGCAAAATAATTTCATTAATGTATGGAGGAATGCTCTTGAGCTTGACTTCAATTCAAATCGAGTTAAAGGCAGAAAGCGTATTGGAGGTATTTTTAACAACAATTAGATTGCAATGCAATGCAAGCGAACCATTAGCAGTCTGTGAATTGCTTTGCGGCAGCCTTCAGTCTGCCTTGACAGCTCCCTTTCATGGTGGTGCTGTGGGGATTGAGGGTGGCAGGAGCTACTTCCGAAAAGCTCCCTTCCCCGTGCCAACTGTGCCGCCCCATGGGCAGGTGCCGTGCTGCGGGCAGAATTGCTGAGCTTGTTTTCATCACTCTCCCGTTCCCCACCCCACATTTGCCCCGCTTGCTTGAGTTCTTTTTTAGTACAGTGGCTGCATTTTATGCTTTTACAGAAGGACAGCTCTGGTCAGCTGTCCCCCTTCCTACGTGGGGCAGATTTGTCCACTGATGTTGCAGGCATAACAGCTATGGGGTGCTCTGGGGCAGTCCATCCATCCACCTGTGGGCAGTGCTGGGATCCTGTCACAGTTCTGTCACACTCGAGGGGGGTCCTTGGGAGGGTGGGCACAGACCCGTGCTCAGTGCACACTCTCCGGGGTCCTGGAGCCTCGTTCATGGAGCCTCCCTCAGTGTTCCAGACAGCAAGCCATGGCTTTGTTCAGCACTTTTGCGACATGGTGGAGCTGTGCATCATGGATTTGGAGTCATCTGTTTTTTAAATGGTCCTTGCATTTTTCATGGAATTTCAGGCACACTGGTGGGCTGTGCTGCTCATGGGGATTGCCCTGATCATGTTGATGGCTGGCTTCATTAAGATATGCAGTGTACACACCCCGAGCAGCAATCCGAAGCTGCCACCACCCAAACCGCTTCCAGGTACGTGCTTTCACGCTGCGACAAATGCACATCCTCTTCCGAACTTCGGGAAAATGTGGCCGGCACTGTGGAAGCAAGGGGCTGAGTGCACTGCAGCACCTGCTTGTAGATATGTGCTGTGCCTTGGGTACCAAGCAGGCCTGCCAGGGCTCCAGACTGTCGCACACCCTCTCCAGCTGCCGGTTGCCTGGAGATTTCCCGTCTGTTGTACAGTTCTCCCCTATGGCACAGTGCTGCGTTGCCTCCCCTCAAGCTTTGTTACTGGCAGGAAGCGTTCTGCAAAAATGTATTTCAGTCTCCAGCTTGAAGAGCTTTGGACACCCTGCTGTACATAGAAGAGAAAAACTTGTAAAAACATGAAGTGTCACCTTGTTGGCCTGGTAAGCTAATGCTCTGTCCCAGGTTGTCAGAGCTTTGTGGGCTCGAAACGGGTGGCCTTCCTGGCTCCTGCTTGCGCAGTCCTGGAGTGCAGGTATGATGGTGTGACCAGTCACAGCTGTCACTCCTGCCACCCCTCAGCCTGCATTCTGAGCCTAGAGAGATTCCAGGAGCTGTTGGCTGCCTGCCTGTTTGGCATTAACCAAGTGATTCTCTTTCCCTGGTAAAAGCTGCTGCTACCTTCCCTCTATAAATTGTTTTTGAAAGACATAATTTAAAACACTGTTTCCCTATCTTTCCTGCATTTTTCAAGGGTAGCCCCTGTAAATGAAACAGATTTGTATATAATGTGCACCCACCACATGTCAAACACACCTGGCTGGAGAAAAACAGATGTCTGAAGCCAGCCTGCAGCCTGTGGCGCGATCATTCTTTCTGTCTACCTTAGTGCTGCGTTAAACTAATGAATCTTGTATAATCACTTGAGAATACAAGGGAAGGAAACACAGGTCTTCCACACCAGTGTGCAGGGTCGTGTTCATACGTGGTTTGTGATGGATCTTAGGCCCTTATTAGAACATGTCCAGTGTGAAAAATACCTGGCCCCAAAGCTCAGTAGTCAAAAGCTTAAGGGTTTGGTTGCAGTGGCAGCGCAGGCGGAAAGCTGGAATGTCAGAGCAGAGTCCTGACAAATGGCAGCATGTCCACCCCCCGCACATACACTTTGTGATTCCTTAAGCCCAGCCAATCATGGGCTTCTCGTTCCTTGAAGCTGCAGCTTGTTCCCTGATTTGGCCTCTCCCCCAGTTCAGAAGTGCGTCCCCCAGCTGGGGACTGTGAGGGTTGTGCACAATATTGGCAAAGGCCTGGCCCCTCTCCTTTCCATGCCCACCCTGGACCATGTTGCCATGTGAGGAGGCGGCTTCCCCCGGCTTAGTGCTCATGGGCTCTCAGCACAGCACCGGCCCAAAAGGCCTGCCCAGAGGAGCAAGGGGGCACACCTGCGGACCACAATGCGCATGCCCGCAGTTGACCACCCAGTCGCAGACACACACCCACGTCTGCCCCGCCACCCGTATCACATTGCCCCCCCCCCCCCAGGCTTCTCACCACCCCACAAAGTGACCTGCTTCCACTTCCACGCTCATCCTGGCACTTGAGCGTGAAGTCCTGGTTTCCAGTTGCCCACCAACCTTACTTAAGAACGCCTCTAGTAGGGGGTGAGAAATTGGTGGCCCTACGGCTTCCATCAGACCTGCTGGTGGAGAGGGAGGACGGGATTGCAAGCTCAGCCAAAAGAGCCGCTGTTGTTGCCCTTCGCCCACCCCTGCTCTGCCTAGGTCCACACGGGACCCTGCAGCCTTCTTGAGAAGCAGTCCAAGCCTCTCTGGTGGTGCTTGCAGCCCTCACCTTGTTCCGAATTGTCCCAGCTGCCGAGGAAACATTAAGCTGAATGTTCTCAAAGCTACTGGAAGCAGCGGGTGGTGTTGTGTTGCCGGCCCCAGTCAGTCGCCTGTCGTGCATATGGCACCTTGCTGCCGCAGGATGGAGCGAGAATCTGGGGGGGTTGAAGAGGAGTAGATGGGAGAACTGGTGAGGCAGAGCTGTGCTGGGAGGCGCAGCTTCTTTGCAGAGAGGCTGGTCCTTGGGCGCTTGCTGGGGAGCTCTTGCTCACCCCAGGCGATGGCACCTTTGCCTTGCAGCCAGCTTGAGTGCCGGGACTGGGAGGAGGCAGGATGTAGGGGATGGGGACGGAGATGGGGATGGGGGTGATGGTGGGGGCAAGCTCTTGGCTGCCCTGGCAGGAAGGATGCATTGTTTAGTCCTCTTTCTCTGCAGGCACTTTGAAGCGAAGGAGGCCGCCCCAGACGGCTCAGCCCGCCCCCCGCCAGAGGCCCCGAGAGAGCTACCAGATGGGACACATGAGACGTTAAGTGCTGGTTTTTGCCTTGGTTCTTCCTAGTGCCTACAGTGGGAAAATTTCACTCCAAAGAAAACCTATATTAAGTCGTTGTCCCTGGTCTAACTTTCAACTCGAATGCAGAAGAAGAAGAAAGGCAAGACATGAGGTTCTCGAGACAAGTGGAGAAGTTTGAGGATTGTGGCGCCCTGTTCCGAAGAGAACCAGCTGACCCTGAAGCAGATTTTTAACCGTCCTAAGCACCATGTTTTTCTTCCCCCTCAGCTCTTCGTTGTTGCCTTTTCTTCGCTGGCAGGCAAACGCGGCTGTCATGAAACTTCTTCACACAGATTAAAGTATATATTTTTCAACTGTCAAGGCTAGGAAGCTAGACCGCCTCAACATTGGAGACGTTGCTTTGCCAATGTACATAAATGATTATATGCAGACGTTGTATTTCTAATGTACACCCGTACTTCTGTGTGCAATTGTAAAACAAGAGAATTGCAATATGGATGTTTCTTTGTATTATAAACCTTTTACGCTCTTAATGAAAAATTACTGTTTAATTGACATACTCAGGATAACAGAGGTTGATGGTGTATAAAGGTCCAGGATTCTGTAATGCTTTATGCAGGAATTGTGAATCACATCAAATCCTTTTTTATGTATCTATATTATGGTCAGAATTTCTGATAACGCACGCTCAGACTGCAAAACACAGACAGCTCCTCCTGCCCAAGGCCCACCAGAATGAATGACGCTTGGCTCTGACCCACGGGCTTGTGCAGGGGCCCTTCCCTCTGGACAGTGCTCGTCCGCTTCGTATTCCGCCATTGCTGTCCCGGGAGAGCACGTGCCAGGAGGTCCCACAATCCGTAAGGTTTTTTTTATGTGAAATGTCTTGTCTTCTGAGAGCTCAGCTTAAGTATTTTCAAAAAAGAATAAAATCTTTGCCTATTCTTCTGTTAAATGATCATTTTTGTCATGCTTTGGTAGAAAGATATGTCTTATATTTTTCTCAAAAGAGTGCAGGTGGCTCTCTTGATGCTCTGATAGTCTTAATGTGTGGTAATTAAGTTCCCAATTCTCACAAATTTGGGAGAAATAAAAGGCTGTGTTTAATTTTTGTTTTTACCTTAATCAGCATTTGGGTGAGGTTTCAACAAGATGCTGTTTTTAAGGATAACCACTGAGACAAGGCTGAATGCCGTGGCAGCCACTGTAGCTGTTCTGATTGTCGGGCGGGCGGGCGGAGGGGGGGCAGCCATGAAAGGCACTTAGAGGAGCAGGGAGCTCAAACAGCACAATGGCCCAAAGTTTTTATTAAAAAGTGTATAGAATTGGCCTTTTTAAAAAAGACAGAAAGAAAAGCAATGTTGTAATATGCTTAACTGCTATGCAGGAAATGGAAGAGGGCATTATTCAAGCTTGTGATACGCTGCTTCTGTTTTTCCAAAAGCACCAAGCTAATTAGGAAACAAATGGCTGTAAAAAAAAATTATATTTCTGGCTTTGCTTAGCAATCAGATTTTGTCAAGGGTTTGGCCAGGGTGGTTTGGTTTTTTTTGTCTTGTTTTTGTTTTCGTTTTTTTCCAAGAGTATAAGGTTTACACACGCATTCTCAATGTGACGCAAGCCAGCCAGCAAGGCCAAAAATGTTAAAAGAATATAATGGGATCTCTTCCTTGTAAAACTTGTACAGTATGTGGTGACTTTTTCAAAATACAGCTTTTTTGTACATGGTTTAGAGACAAATTTTGTACATGAAACCCCCAGACCAATAGATTATAAATAATTCTGAAGGATCTTAACTAGTTAGAAATTTACGTAGTTGCTTTTAAACCATTTTAAAATATATTTGGGGTGGTTCTGTTTCTTTCTTCAGACTGTGCAAAGACTGGAACCTAGGTTTGCATTTCCCCATTGGTGACTTCTGTTCTGCAAGAGTTCTTAGTAACTTCTTGAGTGTGGTATATCTTGGAACATGTAAATCCTTTGCTTGTAACGTTATCCTGTGGCTAGGGTGTTTGGCAGAGAGCTGGCTACCCTGTTTTATTTTGGGTCTAAGTTTAATGTTTTCTGCAAAGAAAAAGTGCACTGAACTCTCCACTACAAGTCAAGATGTGGTAAAATTTAAAAATATCAAGAAAATTGCGATCAAATACTACTGTCAGTTTAATGTCCACTGTGTTTTATACAATATCTTTTTGTTCACTTTGGAAATTTTTACTAAAAGTTGCAAAAAAAAAGTATCGTGCAAACAAATGTAAGGAAGTTTTTTGAAACTTGAAATGCATTAATAAATAGATCTGATGAAATCATTCTGGAAGTTGAGTTGTATTTCTAACCATTTGTTTCTGCCCATCTTTTCTGCAAGAAGGGGTGCGGTAGTTCTTTGGAGCTTGTTTTGTTGTGCTGAGACTCGGAGAGGGCTGCAGTTGCTGCCATGGAAAGGCTTGCTGCAGGCTTCCTCGTGATTTCCTCTCTGCATACTTGTGTTGGGGGGTGTTATTTGGCAGGAGCAAACAAATTGTACAGCTAGTTCTGCTACTGAGGTGAGAAGCGATTGACCTCTCTATTAGATGTCAACACCTGCATTTCATGGGCCAAACTGATCTTGCATTGGATAGGGTGGAATGCAGAGAAAAAGTGGTATTCTCAGCAATCCTAGTCAGTGTAATTGAAATAGTGCTTTGAATCTGGCTACTGCTGAACAAAGCAAATTTTACTGCTTGTGCCACTGTCAAGGATGGCTGGGCAGTGGGCACACCGGTCAATTTGCCCTCACCTTCCACATGAATTGCTCTCAAAAATAGGAATTAGCATCTTGTCTAGAGTCGTGTAAATGTCAATCCACATCTTCTCTCATATTTATGGTGAAGACAGAAGAGTGTTGTACCTAACGGACGCTTTGTTTTCAAACTCCATGTTCTTTTTTATTTCCAGCATTGGCATCACTGCAAAGAACATGAAATTGTACCGCTGCAAACGTGGCCTAAAGTGCTCCATAAGATACTGTGAAATACGCTTGAGCAACAGAGTGCGTACTTGATAAACATCTGTGCATCTTTCTGAAAGGTAGCAATTAACATTTATTTATTTATTATTAGAGTTCTATCCCATTCTTGCACCAAATGGTATGCTTTTGCAAATATTCAACCACTTCATGTTTTGTTCCCTTGTTCTCTCTGTTAAATATCTTTCCATGTATATTTCTACAGTGTTATTTAGTCAAGTGTGGTGGGAGAACCATTTGAATAATGGTTGAATTTCCACTGCCAGAAAGGATGAGCTTCAACAAGAAAGTACTTTGAATTTTAAAAAACCATTAATGTATGTATGTTAAAATGCAGACAGCTCAGAAGAGGCAGTGCTAGAATAATCTTTAGTATTATTCACATCATATTGAAAGGCTGCAACGCGTGGCTGGTATTGCAGCTACCTAGGAAACGCAAAATGGGCACTAGCACTCAACTTGTTCTGTGAACAGACCAGAGTCTCTGGACCAGGGATGCTGAGAACTACTCCCTACCTAGGGCACAACCTTGAGAAGGTTTAGCATGAAATAAAAGCCAGCCCTACAACTCTGAGCATCCCCCAGTCTCCCATGCTGGGTGTTCTGAGGCCCACTAGGGGTTACAGAACCTTTTCCCTCAGGTGATCAGGACCAATCCTTTACAGTCCTTTCCTTAGCTGTATATGTGTATTGATTTGGGTTGTAGCTGTTGATCAGAGCCTTGGTAGAACAGGCCAGTAGCGGTCTTTTCAGAGTGCTTGTTTCCTTGTGGGAGAAGGAAAATCTTGGTGCCTCCTATGCTTGGAAAGCATTCAGCTAGCTTTTGGAAGATTTTTTTCCCCTGGGAGAGCGCAAGTAGTAATTTTAAGAATGGATCACAGCTAGCAGTTGTTTTCTAGGCTTTAAAAGCATTTTACTTCTGTGTTCTGAAAATAAAAGGGGTGCAGGCATTCTTGGGGTTGTGCTATAGACAGCTTGATGTAAATGCCAACCCTGTGTGTGGCTGGAGAATTCCGTGTTGGGCATAATTAGGAAAAGAATCAAAACTGCTGATACAATACCCTTCATACATTTCTTTGGTGTGTCATGCACAGTTCATCACCACACCTTAAAAAGATCTTATAGGGAAGGGAAAAGTGCAGAAAGGGCAATTAAGAGTGTGCTCACATGCAAATTTAGAGGGGAAAAAAATAAAACAGTTGCATGGGAGTGCACTGAAAAGGATTATGGGGCGGGAGTGCTCCCCAACAAGGAAAGGTTACAAAATCTGGAACAACTTAGCTTGGGCAAGAGGCGCATGAAGGTACAAAATGATGCCTGGTCTGGAGAAAGTGGAGAAGGAAACACAAGCGCTTGATTCCACACTTTATTCATCCCTCTTAGTGGCATGCAACCTGCAGCAGTCCTGTTGGATCCATGAAGGCTTCTGTGCCCTCCTCTGCCCGTATATCTGCATGCACAGGGAGACACATGTATATATGCATCCAAAGAAATAAAAATAAGTGTGCCGAAGATAAAGCACACAGCCCTTTCTCGAGAGGCAAGCCGGTTCTTTGGGTTCTTGCTCAGCTGCTTGCTTCCCTTTGCCGCTGGGAACTGAATTCGCATCTCACAAACATTTTCTCCTGGCCCGGGTAGAGGTGCAAATCATCAACGTTTTGAGAACAAAATGTCATTCTAGGCAGGAGAGAGAGATTGGGAAGGGGAATAAAAATGTAATTGTTAATAACTAATAAACTAGTTAACAATAAACTAATAATCAGTTGTCCCTCTGAACTTAACATTCAGGATTAAAATGTACAGTCGTGAAATTCATGAAGAAGAAGGACTGGGAACCCTCTCGATAGGAAACTTTCACAGTGAACAAATAGTCAACCTAGCGACCAGGTCACCAGGCTGCCCATCTGGCCCATGGCTGCCAACCCGGCACAGCTTGGGGTCCCCAGACGAGCCCGACACTTTGCAGGCAGTTGCTGGGCTGTAAGCAACCCCCAGCCTAGTTCCCCACCACACTTACTTCTGCTGAGTTTCTCCTGCCTTGACTCGAATTGTCTTCACAACTAGTCCTGGCCGGCGGTCCCCCTTGGTCCAAGGGATGATGGTTTGGACAGTGTTCCAAATGTTTTTCCAAATCGCAATCCCCTCCCATTTCAGTTTAATCATCAACAGTTCACCAATATCGATGTCCAGTGGAACAAGAAAAGTGCAGGTTTTATTTCCAGTAATGCCTTCGATTCTAATGGAGAAGGGGGGGGGCGGAGATCAGAACATTGGCTGAGACTTCACCGCACACAAATAGACATTTCCTTAGTGTATCCATATGCCACCTTTAAATATAAATTCAAAATATATTGAGCAACGCACAAAGATCTGTAAAAGAGAACCTACAGAATAATCAACAAATCAACATATACCCAGTTTACAGTCTTTTCTTAATTGGAATACCCATATTAAAAGATACAGGGAAACTAGGATTTGAAGGACACCCTGGAGGATCATGGGAAAAAAATGGGTTTGGGAGGTGGATAGCATTCTTAGGCTTTCTGGGAGAGGTGGAAAAAAATGGAGATAGAAGTCTCAAAGGGACATTTACAGGGAGCTTCCCACAAAGTGAATTTAAACGGAGGGGGAAAGAGCACGTGAATATCTCAAGATCACATGATGCCAAGAAGGTCAAACCTTCCACATCAAAGCAAATGCTTCAGCCATGTCCCTCTCTGGGCTGCTTCAGAAGCATGGCCCGCAAACGTGGCTGCATGATAGACAGCAGAGCAAAGGTGCAAACAAGATGGTAGCCGAATGAGCACTCACAAGGTGATGGAGAGGTTTTCAACATCATCTTTGCTGCCAGTCAGCGAGATCGTGAACGTTGGATCAATTTGCCTCTCTTGGAATTCATTGATGGCATGGATCTTGAACTGATAGTGGTAAACTGTGGAGGGGGAGAATGTGGGGAATAGAATGTTAGTAATTCATTCTACCTAAGCACCTATGAGATAGTTGCTACCTGCTCTATTTTCCCACAGCTGCATTCCAAATTCTGCACCCTCACACATGCACACAACTTCAGTTCTCCATCAAAGAAGCACAAAGAAACAATTCCTTGCCAGCGTGTTTTCCTCTCCGAGCAGACTTCTCCATTTCCAGTGACTTAGCTGGTGGCCACCTCTTAAACCGGTGCTGCTAAAACTACTGCTAATTTCCGAACAGCCTGAATTAACCAGCAAGCCAGCACAGGCTGAGGACGCTGGGATGTCCCTGGCTTACAGCAGCTTCCTCCAGCAGGTTTTTTTGGCTGCAACTCCCCTACTTAAGTCATGGGTCCTGCTGGCTGAAGCTGGCAGGAGTGTTGAGTGCTGCTGGGGAAAGCTGCTTGGGGTTCACCCAGTTAGCAGTTTCCCATGTCCCAGATGGCGTATCCTGGGAAATGGTGCAATCTTGGGACCTCAGGACACTGCCCAAATGTTGCAGAAGCAGCCAGGGAGACAAGGAGAGAAATGGACGAAGTGGATGGTACAGTGAGGGCCACTGGAAGAGCAACCAGAACATTTGTAGCGTTGGGACTGGAAGCGCAGCAATGGGCCCTTCAGAGATGAGGTGTCTGGCAACCAGAAATCAAGCCTTTTCCAATTCTCCCCAGAGGAACAAGGCTGGCACTGACTAGTGGCTTTTGATGGCCAGCAAAGGCTCCCACTTTTTAACAAGTGGGCCCCATTTTGTTTGCCCAAGCTTTGGATGGGTTCTCACATGGCTGTTTTTCTGGCTCTGTGGCCAGTTTGACTAGTATCATGGTTTTGTCAATTTTCAAATCCTGTTTGTCGCTGAACTTTATTTTTAAATTATTAATCACCTGGGAAGCTTTTGGTAGATCTGGGAAAGAGGTCTTTCAAAGAAACAAAGAAGCCATGTGCATAGGGCTCGGCTGCTTCTTCTAGGCAATATTTATCAATACTGTCCTAAGCATGAACATTTTTTAAATTTATTTTCAGAATAAATCCTCGTTCCACAAACAGCTTGGTGGTCATCTGGCGGGTCTTCTGTTAGTTTCAAAGGGTCTTGGGAGGAGAGCTTCCTAGTGGATTGTGCCTGGGACTTTGGAATTCCTCCTTCCTTTGAACCTTGTCAAAATGCCCCCACGCTGGACTCTTCTGGATTCATTTGAGGGGGGGCGTGTTTCTTCCAGCCTGGCTTTCTCACATGGTCTCTGCAGCCTTTTGAGGAAAGGAATTCAGATCATTTGATGGAGCTGGAAATAAGAGAGGCACTGTTCTTCTCACACTGGCCGTTACGAAAGGTGACGTTTGCTTTGTGGGCTGACCTTTGGGTCGTGTAAATATCTTCTTCCACGGCAGCACTGCCAGTCTCAGCATGCTGAACCTGCCGCAGATGTCGAGTGGCGGAAAAAGAAAGGCTGGATTTTGGGAATGTGGCATCTCAGAGATGGCTCAGTTCATGGCTTGCCTGCACCACGACCTCAGGCGACTTCCCATCTCCACGTCTCAGGCCGCTCCTGCTGCTGCCAGAGGAGCACGGTAATACAGACTGTACTCTTTAAGTATGACCAGACCATGTTCATGAAGCCCTCCGAGCAGCCCAAAGGGCTACACAAACACAAATGTTTGTGATGGGTCAGGCAAGAAAATGTTCGCAAGCCCATTCATGAGTTAACACAATCTGTCCCATCTCCTTGTTGCACATTTCAGATAAAAGCCAGAGCTCCTTCTGGCGGGGGGGACGGCTCACGGCATTCCCTGAGCCATGATGGTCACTTTGGCTTGGCCTGATTTGTCAAGCAAGGCCAACAGGAGGCTAGGCGTGAGAAAGACCAGTGGGTCCAGGCTGGCTTTGACCGTACTCCATATTTTCCAGGCACACTCAATTTCCTCCTGACAGAACAGCTGACCACGTCTGCCTTGCAGCAAATCTTGTAAGAGGTTGGGAGTGCTGGGAGAAGGCTTCTTTTTACCAGTGCTGGCAAATTCTGGTCACAGCACCAGCTCAATTCAGGCTGCACCCTTCTGAAAGACATCCCTCTCCCTCGTGAGCCTTCCTGGCTTTGCAGCTCCCCTTTGTGGCATGGAGCTGCCATCCAGGGGACCTTCCTCGGGCTCTAAGACTCTGTTGGGGAAGGGGGACTAGTTTGGTCCTCCCAGGTCTTGCTGCCCACAGGCAAAGGTACTCCGATCCAGCAGGCCTTTGGACAGAAGCCATCCTGTTGCTGGCCAAACTCTCCCCACAACACTCCCAGGCTTACTCCTGTTTTCAGTTTTATCTGGTTTTCAACTCATTCACACACGCACTTTTTCAGCAGGGAAAATGTGTGTTTCTGTGTGGATTTTTCAAAAGTGTAACTTCCCCCGATAAAACCATGAAAATGTCCTTAAAAACACACACACACACACATTTTCAGGGGCACTTAAAAGTATGCATTTTTCCAACATGACTGCAAGTTCAGGAATTTGCAAGCCTTCCTCGCAAGAAGCTGCCCATGTGCTCCACTCAGGGTTGCAAATGCGGCACATCTGCAGGGTTTGCGCGCGGAAGCGGAAATCTCACCTATGCCTGCTTCGACTCACTTTTGAAGGGCACCTGAGCGCGGGTCTTCAGGAACAGCTGCCTGCTGCTGGGGACTTTTGCCTTCCGGATATGGTAGCCCAGGGTGTTGCACCTGTTTGCCTTACAGCTGAGGCACCGGCCCTTGTCAAAAGTCTGCATGTCCTTGCACGAGTAGCCCATGATTTTCTTGGCGTTGTGCCGCAGCGAGTCAATGAAGAGGTGAACAGACCTTTCGTGGGCGCATTTCACTGTCTGAGCGAGCCCTGCAGAAAAAAGAGAGCCCCGGTTCCTTCTGGGAGACCCCCACCCCCATCACGGCCACCCATCTGGAGGAGAGAGGTATAGAGGGAGGCAGGGCAGTGCCCCATGGGCTTGCCTGGAAGCGCTCGCCACGGGCTGGTCCCAACTTTCGGAACGGCGGCAAGATGGGACCAGCCCGTGTAGAGCAGCAGCCAGGAGACCAGCCCTTTCCCCTCCTCCTGGGGAATCCTGGCAACCCAGCCCTGACGTCCCAGAGGGTCTTGTGGTGCCTCCCTGGGGGGCTCATGGGCTGTGTCCTCTCCATGGGCCACAAGCTGGGGAAGCCTGCTCTAAGAAGCAGGAGGTCCAGCCAGAGCATGGCCCAGTGGAGAGGAGCTGCCCCGAGGCATTCCCACCACCGATGCTGAGGAGCACTGGCCGTGGCTCAGCTCTTTCCAAGCTCACCTCCTTAAGCAGGTGGAAAATGTGACAGCCCAGTGGACAACGGATTCTGCTCTGGTGGGCTGCAGGATTTGTGCAAGTGACACGTACTCTATTCACAAGAACTTGCACAGGGCCCTTCTCACTTGCCCGCCTGCAAAAGTGGGCAGGTTCACAAGGCAGGGTCATTCCGCAGGGCCCCACTCTTCTAGAAGAAGAGGTAGTTTGGGGTCTGCCAAGCCCTATCACTGCAAACTTTGATGCAAGCCCTGAATCCATGCTTCTTTACCCTGGATTTCGCCAGTTCTGATAGAAGTGGGTTGAAGCAGCAATTGGTGTGATGCAGATTTTCACACTAGGTTGGCTAGGAGCATTTGTTTTTGCTGATTTTATTGCTGCGTCAGTTTTTATTACATGGATTTAATTGCTGTGTGATGCCTTGGGAGGGCTCTGGCCCTGAAAAGCAGCCAAGAAATCACAGGGATCAATACAGTAAAATTGCCGGGCAGCGGATATTTGGGGAGCTTCCGTTCTGGACATCTTCCCTGTCCCTGGGAGATGTCCCTTCCGTGTTGTCAGTGGCTACCAAGCTGGGCCTCACCCTTGCTGCGGGTTCTGAGGAGAGCTGGCGAGAGAAGCGCTCGGGATGCAGCCAGCAAAGCAGCCGGAGGGCTGAGCCTGCAGCTGGCTGCCAAGAGGAATCTGAACAGGCTGGGAGAGCTGCAGGGGTGCCCTGTTTGCACCAGGCATCTGAGGCTCCTAGGAGGCCCGGAGCTGCTTGCTCCCTCGCTCCCCTGCATTTGTCAAGAACTGGCAAGCAGGGGAATATCCCGCCAGGGACCTCTCCTGGGAAGGAAACACGCCCTATAGCAACTGTCCCACGCCAGGCTCCTCCAATGCTGGGCTGAGGCTTGGGCGGAGGCCACTACAGGCCGGGCCCGTCAGCTGTGCAGGGCTGCCCAGCTGATGGCCAGGGACGGCACTGCTGCTCAGCAGGCGGGTGGGCTTGCTTGCTGCCACAGACCACTCCTGCCTCAAGGAAGTTTTATTTTATTCTTTATTCTTTTTGGCACCAGCTAAACACTTTTCTATTTTCCCAATGTTTTAAGGTTTGACTGCTTCTACTATGGGTTTTATTGTTGACTGGCTAAGAATTTGATTAGGATGCTGTGTTTTATTTGATTTTGTCTTAGCGTTACCCATCCTGAGACTACGGTAAGGGACGGTCTAAAAAAGCTTTAAAAATATAAAGCTGAGCTTGGGGAGGGCCTCCGAAGCAGGACCTGCTCCTGCCAGCTGCTCCTCCCTCACCCCTGGCCCTCACGGCCTGCACCCCCACCCTGCAACCCTCCCCATGCCCCCTTACCCGTGATGCCGTACTGCACAATGTGGTCGTACACGTGCTTGATGTGGCAGCCAGGCTGGAACGTGCCCCCATTGGGGTAGAAGTCAAAGTGCGCCACGGGCTGCTTGATGCCCACGCTGAGCCCCATTTGCTGCTGGGTGAAGGTGTGGATGGCGTCCACGAAGTCGGCGTCGTCTGGCGATAAGCGGTCCGTGGGGGACATGCCCTCGAACAGTGGGCCGGCCGGATCGAGGCCTGTGCCGAGGGCAGACCGAGGCTGGTGAGGCCAGCGGGGCCACGGTGGTGGTCTGACGTGAGGGGTGGCGCCACACTGGCTTCTCGCTTTGCCAGAACCCAGGGGGGCTTAGCTAGCCCTCTTTATCCTCGCAAGAACAGCCCTGCGGGGTAGGCTAGGCTAGGCTAGGCTAGGCTGGGCTGGGCTGGGAGCCTGTACCTGGCCCATGGTGTGTGCACCCAGCAGATCGCCAGGCCCTGCATCCAGTGCTGTGCTGCATCCAGCGCATTCCCGGCCAGTCGGAAGCGCATGCACGGCACTTTGCCGACCACTAAGAGGGCAGGTCTCTGCGCGGGGGCTGCTTGTGATTCCGCACAGGCAAAGAGGGCAGGAAGGGGAGAGGCCTGGCGGCAAAGGAAAACAGGAGGGAAATGTTTGCTCCGCCTCCAACACTTCCCTTCCCAAGCTGGCGCCTCCACAAGTTCTGGAGTGCAGCCCCCATCATTTGCAGCTGGCAGGAATGCTGGGGGCTGCAGTCCACAGCTGGGAGGGTGCAGGCTGAGGAAGGGGAGGGCAGGGCAGGGCAGGGCAGGGCAGGGCAGGGCAGGGCTCCATGAAGCAGGCATCATACAGGTGGAGGGGACTGTTCCAGTTTCAGTTCAATCGCTTAAATTCTGAAAAGTCAGATCCCAAATGACCTGAGCAAACAGAATGGTCTTCACCTCGGAATCAAACTCCTGGGTATGGATTTCAGAAGTGGGCTGCCCCTGCCAAAAAGGCCGCGTCTCTGGCCACCACCATCCCTCCACCAGAGGTGGAAGACCTGAAGAAAATTTTCTCGAAATGGAATGAAATGAAATGGGCAGGCCTGTTCAGAGGCTGAGTGACCCTCATCTGAAGGCCAAGGAGAGCTGGTGTCACTCAGTTAAAGCTTACCATTTGGGTCCAACAAAATCTGCTTTTTTGATTCCCCTCTATATCAAATGGCACTCTCTATCAGTGGTTTTCCTGCATTACGAGATAATTTTAGGGCCCTGTTCTTAGATCATCTGCTTTCATGTGGATTTTCCATCCCGGCAGAGAAGCTTTCCGGCTTCCTGCTAGAAAACCGCTCACAGATCTACCTTCCTTTGGCAAGAGAGGAGAAACTGTCATTCTGTTCCTTTCTGCTCATCAGGCCCTAATTGGAATCGCAGGCAAGGTTTCCCCCTCCTCTGAGCAAGCACAGTTGCTAGATGCAGACATTTTTCACCTCCTGAAATCAGTGGGAAATTCTCCAGCCACATCCACATGACACACACACGTTCTCGTGAATGCAGCAACACCACGGCCATGGGGCCACGCAAGGTAGGACAGCCACCCTTCTGGTGGCTCTGGGCAGCTTCTGAATAGCAGCACGCACTGGAGAGGGGGAATTTTTCTAGAGAAAGTGCCCCACTCAGACCCAGCAGGCCACAGAAGCCCATGTTCTCACGCTGTCCCTTTATCGAGCAAGTGCTTGGCATCACCCGGCGTAGGTACCCTGCAACATAGCTAAGCACTTCCATATCCTGGATCGAACAGACTTCCAGGGAGAGAAGTCTTTAGGCAGCCTTGTCTAGTCAGTTGAGAAGCATCCGAGCCCCTTCCTGCCTCCCATCCCCAAACGCCATGCGCTTTGCAACTGCGTTTGCCTCCCACATGCAAGAGAAAGTTTGCCAGCCCAGATTAAACACACAAGTGGAATATTCCGAGCGTGTGTGGCTTTGCATTTTAAGCTTTCTTAGATCAGCTTCCCAACAAAAAGAATGGGACCTCTGCCGCTTGCCATGTGCCACTGAAGGGGACCCTGGAGCTCTGTGCAATCCTCTTTAACAGTCCTAAATAATTTGATGTCATCAGCAAACCTGGCCATCTCACTTCTCACTCCTAATTCCACATCCTTTCTGAATAAGTTGAAAAGCATTGGCCTCCATACAGAGCCCTGTGGGGGCACTGGTTGCACCCCTCCTGTGGGAGAATTTGCCATGTATTCCCACTTTTGGTTCTCTGTTCTTTGACCAGTTACTGATCCATAAAGATCAGCAAGAAGAGCCAATTGACTAAGATTGCAGCCCTAGTTAATATCCTCAAGGAGTCGTCATTGGTACATAACTATATAAAAATATCAAGGGATACTCGAACAAGTTTGCCATAGCTGAAAATGCTGCTGAAGACTGTTGGGTCTCAGTACTGCAACGTTTAAATGACCTGGCTAGGCATGGTCCTGGTTTGGTGACTCCATTCTTACCTGTAATTCGGCCAATCTTCTCTCTGCCCCTAATGAAGCTGCCGGCAAAGCCAGCAGTGTGGGCCCCCAGGCTGTACCCAATCAGGTGGGCCTTGCTTCTGTGGAAATGAACTGATTTCTGAAAGACAGCAGCAGCATGTGCCTTAAAAGTAGGGAGGACAGAGCAAGGTATCGGTCCAAAGCATCCACCTATATATCAGCAGGCTGGACTTCGGCCGTCCCAAGATATTTTGCCACCTGAAGTGGAGGATCCAAATGGCATCTCCCACTATAATGAATACAGCTCCCAACCCAGTGGGACATGCTCCTGAGCAAGCCCACTGAAACCTCCGGTGCGCTTACCTCCAGCCATTCCAGGAACCAAGCAATTTCTTGGCCCGAGACCCGCGTATTCCGCACCGCGATGGGATAATGCGCATGGGCAAGTGCAAGCCAATCAGCGATGATCACATTGGTGTGTGGGAGCTGGGTCTTCAGCTCATTGGCCAGCTCCCAAATCCACCATTCCAGGCTTCCATCCACCTGCAGCCGTGGGAGAGAATCTAGTCTGTAAAATTTCTTGTGGCCATGTTTTATGAGACCCAAAAGACAGCGTATTGGGAGCACTGCTCAGCCTTGCAAAGTCCAAGCAGCCTTGCCCTTCCATCCTTTGGGCCCCACAGAGCAAACTGTCCTGCCCAATAAATGTTCCTGGACAACATTGTATATGTCTAGAATCTTTACATTTTGGGAACAGGGATTAGACTTAATTTTTCCCTTCTCTCAGAAAACTGCTTATCATCCAGTGGCACATTCTCTTGCATGTGAACCCCATTGAACTGAAGTGGAGCCGTGCACGGGACTTTATCCCTTGTTTTTAGAAACCATATAGCTGAGACCCCAAAGACGTCAGTTTCGCAGCCTCTTCCGCCTTGATGTCCCAGCTGCCCATGGCGCTGAGGCACATTTCTTTTTGGGTGGCTACTCTGAGCCACCTCAGTTGGATGGTTTCCCACTTGGCCCATGCCATTCACTCCCCTGCAGGGGAAGGGCAGGCATCGAGGAAGCATGTAGTGCTCTTCCCCCCTGCAAGCTGCGGGACGAGAAACAGCCGAGGTCAGAAAGAGCAGGCAGAACCCTCCAGGGGCAGAACTTGAGCGGGTGGACCAGTGGAAGGGGCCAACATAGGCTGGATACAGAACCCCTGCAGGGCAAGGAGAAGGTCTCCTTTCCTGGTCTTCACTGAATGCCTACGTGCATTTTTAAGCGCATGTGGAATAAGACATTTGGAAACCTGCAGGTCCGCAAGGCCAGACGGGACCGCAGCTCCTTGTTGCGTGTGTGCAGCGGGACAGGTGAAACAGCCTTGGGGCCATTCCCAGGGGACTCCTGCCCCCCCGCAGACTTTTCTAGCCTCCGTCCTCTGCTGGTTCCACCTGCTTGCCTGAAGAAGAACCAGCAGAGGTCACACAATCCCGTTAAGGCCATGCCACATTGTTCTGCCACACGTGGAGACCCAGGCAGAGAGGGCCCTCTGGAAGGGCTGAAGGCGCAGCTGCCCCACGCCTCTCCAGAGACGAAAAGGAAAAGTAGCGTACCGCCCATCCATGAATGATCATCACCAGGGGCAGCGAGGCATTGAAGCGGCATGTCTCCAGCGTGGCCATCTGGTCAAATTCAATCAGGCAGCCTTCCTCGGCGGTGCTAGAGTACAGAAGGAACTTGGTCTGGGTACGCTGGCGGTCGCTCTTCCGCCAGACAGGCTGCAGCTGTGGTCCTGAGAGGAGAGGAAGAGGAGAAACTCTTTCTCATATGGTGACTCGCACACCTAAGTTCACTGGGCAGGCTGGTTTCATCCATCCCTCGTTCTGCTAAAGGCCTAGGATCCCATTTGGCAAAAAAGGAAAATGCAAATGACGCAACCTGGGCAGAGCTTCCCTGGTTTTTTTAATTACAGGATTCCTTGATTAGTGGATTGTGCAGTGATGTTCACAAGGATTTGAGGCTTGGGCTTCCTGTTCCTCTCCTGCTGCAAGATAGGCAAAAGGTTAGGCAGGAGGAAGGTGCTGGAACAGGGAAAGCTTTGCCAGGTGGATTTCTGCTGCTGAGGGCTTACAGAACCCTGCGGGCATGCCAGCTGGGCCCTGCTGGTGTCTCAGTAAGGCCCAAGTCCAGCAAGGGGACCCTTTGCTGCATCCAGGCGCCCACCAACACCCCAAGGGAGCATCCCTGAGATGAAGGCAGCTGGGAAGCCTTCTGCCGCCCACATTGCGGCATCTGGCCAGATTGAGGAGCAGGTCCAGGAGGCACTGCCCGTTGCCTTCCCTGCATGTAACTAGGCCTTGCCTTATGCATCTAAAAAAAACCATGCTTCCTTGACTTTTGTATTGCTTTCTTGGAAGGCGTGCCTCTGGCACCCAGCTCCAATCTCCTCAATTGCTCAAGCACTTGGGTGATCAGCACCCCATCGATTTGTGCATGTGGGCTTTGGGCAGCTGAGCACCCAAGTGAGAACCCTGGGGCGGAGAACCCTCTGCGTCAGAAGAAAGCAATGCCGTGGCCAGCTCCCTTTGAAAGAGCCTCTTGGCTAGATCCACACTGACTGAGGCACCCTGCACAGAGAAGGAGCCCCCGAGGTGGTCCTACTGCACGCACGCAGCGCCCCGGGCAGCGCCTTTGGGTATGAGCCCCAGCCGTGGCAGGGGAACGAGGGAGGCGGCCTGCCCGCGGGTCCTGCCGCGAAAGGGCACGCGAGCCTGCGCGTGGCGCGCACGAAAACGAGGCCGCCGGCGCACGTGCAGAGGGCCGCGCGGCTCCGGCCTTCCGCCGCGTGGCCCCTGGCGCGGCTCCCCGCCCGCTGGGCCCTGGGCGGCCGTGGCGGGGCAGTCCTCGAGCTCTTCCGGCTGCAGCACGCCGGGCCCCGCGCGGACCTCCCCAGGGCGGCCTGCCGCCACGCCGGTGTGGAGGGGCACGAACGCACCCCGCGCTCTGCCCGCCCTCCCTCCGGGCCTGGGGCTGGGGGAATGGGCCGTTGAGGCGGGGCTGCGCGGGCCGTGGGGGCGCTGCAGAGTCGCGACCGGCGCATGCGGAGGGCGCCGTGCTAGCGCCCCTCTCCGCGGGCCTCGTCTGCCCGCCCGCGGCGCCCGGCCTCGCGGCACGGAGCCGCCGCGCGGTGCGACGTCCCCCGACGCGACGGGGAGCCCAGACCTGCCCCGGGAGCCTGGCAGGGTGGGCGCCTCTCGAAACCCAGCGGGGAAGAACCGAGCGGGCGCCCCTCCTTTTGAGCAAAGCGCGGGAGCTGCTGCGATGGGCCTCACCTGGAAAGAGGTAGAAATGCGCACCTTGGAGTCCCCCCCCCCCCGGTACCCCGCGGAGCAGCATTGGCGGAGGGGGCCGCCCAGGGCTGAGCCGCCCACGTGGTGGACAGGTGGCCAAAGCGTCCCTCCGCTGTGAAGAATTACTTCAGGGGTTTATCATTTTATTTCTTCCATGGAGTTTTCCCTTCTGTTGAACAGCAGGGCAGCCCTCGGAAGAATTAAAATCAGTGGTCGCGGGTATTGGTTCGCTGAAGCAGAATGGCCTCATGGACCGACACGAGGGCCTTGCTGATGGGGTCAGGCCCAGCTGCCCGCGAAGGGGATGGGGAGAGGGCTGCAGGGAGCCCTCCGCCAGGCGTGACCGGCCAAGACCGGATTTGACTTCCACCTTGACGTGTCCATTGGTTCAGGTGTATGCAGCAGTAAACAGCACAGTGGATCAGACCTTCCCCTGCATTAGGAATGTGGTGTTACCACCAGGAGTTTCTTCAGGCTGCCTTCAGTAGGGAGCTGGTCTCTTAGAAATTTCTAAAAGAGAGGGACCTCATCACCCCAAGAGAGGGTGGAAGATGAGCATCCAAAAGATGACCTTCCATGTGACCCTGAAGGCACAATCTGACCTTGAACCACTGGCCCTCTGCTTGGGATGAGGTTAGTGAATGTGGACAGTGTTGTAAATCAGCATTTTGAAAATTTGGGTGCCTGTCTCTAGAAAACTGGCGGTTGGAGCTAACCATTGTGATGGATGTATATTTTCCTGTCTCTGTGATGGGGTGTGTCCATAAAGATATGCATTAGAAATCACCCATCCATCACCCAGACAGGCAGTAGTCAGGTAGGGCAGTCCCGATGTCTTGGGTCTTGAATGTTGAAAGCAGAACCCTTTGGGGGAAAATATGCACCAGCTCTGCTTTACAACAGCAAAGAAGTGCGAGGTGGTGGTTAAGAGCTCGGGACTGGGACTCAGCCATTCTGGGTTCTCATCCCTGCTCGGCCATGGAGCCAGCTGGGTGACTTGATTCTCTTCTCCAGCTCAGCAGCGGGCACGCCAGTGGTACTCCGAAATGCTCGTAATGTGGATTTCTTCAGTTACTGCTGAGAAGGGCATCGCATTTAAGGCTCACTCTAGCTGAGTTATCTTGTCTGGTGTGCCTCCTGTAAGTGGTCTTACAAGCGTCTGGAAACACGGTCAGCTCTAGATTAGGGTCACTGTATCAAACTGCAAAGGAAGATGGAGCACAAATGAAAGGGGCTTTTTCCCCTCCATCTGGTGATGTGAGAATCCCAGACAAGTTCTCTCCGAAACCTACATTGGACAAGAATCAGTTGTTCTTTTAGCAAGCTTGCAATAGAAAGGCTCTTTCAGACTCAGAGAATAGACAGAGCATGAGTTGTTCTCAGTAAGTCCTTGCCAAAAACGCTTTCTCTGGGGTTTCGAGTCCAGAAAACAATGCAAGACCTTCATTTTAGCTGGGCCGGCATTTCCAGGCTGGAAGGAGGCGTGGGGTAATTGTAGTTGCAAATCTGCAAGAAGAAAATGCTCGTTTGGGGAAGAAAAAACCCCATTTGATTTGTTGGTATGGCTTCGCCCTCCTTTTCTTACTAGTGCCAGGATGTGTGGAATTCGTATGGACACCCAGTTTCTTGCCAGAAGCTTCCCCAAAACGTTTGCTTTAGCAAAATGGAATTGCCCAACCAAGCTGATATTTTTCAAAAGCAACTGTTCACCAAAGATAAACTTTCATAAGCATAAACATCTGTGCGGATGGCAAGATGATAGCTCTGGAGCTGGGGCAGAGAGGGTTTCATAATCACACGAGAGCAGAGCATGTGGAGTCCGGCGTTTGCCCCACAGGACGGCCAGCCGGCTGCCCACGGGATTCCACAGGCAAGACGAGAGCGGAACGGCACCCCTCCCGCCCATGTTCCATGCCTACTGCCGTGCCCAGGGTGGTAAAGGAGGTAGCCTGTGGCCATCAGGAGTGGGAGCAATTGATAGCCTTCTCCAGGAAGTTGGCTAATATCTGGAAGCCATCCGAATTAGCAGCCACTGGTGCATCTTGGGATGGAAACTGGCATAGTTTAACTGCGCTGTGTGCAAAAGTTCTTTCTTCCTTTTCTCTGCCCTAAATCTCCCGGCAGTCGGCTTCATGGCGTGGCTGCGCTAGATTCTAGTATGTCAAGAGGGAGGAAAAGGGCACCCTGTCTTGTTCTTCCACGTCAGGCATAGCCTTCTATGCCTCTCTGTCGTGACTGCCCTTCCTCACCGGTTTTTCTAAGCAAAGCTGTGCATGCAGAATGAGTCCCTCATGCAGCTCCGAAGACCTTTTGCTGCCCAGATGGGCACACCCAGGGAAGCCCTACGTTGGAAAGCCCGGGGGGGTGGGGGACGGCAGCGCCCAAGTTCTCCACAGCACAGGGTGGGAGCCCAGAGCTTTGGGGCACCGGGAAGACCAACCGGTTCGTTTTTGCCAGCAGCAGAGTGCAGCATCGGGGACACGATTCTGCCTGTGTGTTCAGGCTAATGATTCCTTTCTGGGGGGAAACCAGCATGGGAGGAGAAATGCCACGTGCTAGCAGGCATCCAGCAAGCACTTAAGCATGGTTTTTATCAGACGTGCTTCCATTGCAGCCCCTGGATTAAGTGAGCTTGTTTGAGTCCTGGGTAGGTCAAAGCCTGAAGCTTTCCTTGCCCTGTATATTCAACTCTAGTAGAGAACAAACCACACAGTTTATTAAATCTGGAAGTCTTGGGCTCTCCCCAGCGACTGCTTTTATTCCTTTCTGTATATTAGAAACCTTGCTCTAGTCAGAACTTTCTTATTACAGTTTTGTTAACCTAACATATTGCTAAGCTGCAAACTGCTGCTAAATGCACTGAAATATGTACATTCTGGGCCAGAAAAGCACTGACAGCCATGCCATTTCTGCAGATTGAAAGTTGGCCACTTTGGTGCTCAATGGCCTTTATTTTTAGCATCCAATTCGCAACAGCCGCACGCTCCAGTGTAATAAAACTAAGAAGCAATGCCTTTTTATTTACTGCCTCCAAATCCCTTTGTAGGCATCCCCTTTTTTTCGCTCTTCTCTTTTTCATTTTGCAGCAATATTGTGAACTATTCTGACAGCCTGTCTTTAATGTAATAAAGGAGAAGTATTTTTATTAGGTCTTTGGAATAAACTTACAGCATACATATTTCATTGGGCGACAGTGCTGTGCACCCACCGATAGGTGCAGCCACAAGGTTGTGGTGGGAGAGGGAGACTGCCTTGTCTTGCCCAGGGTGCTGCAGATTTGGCTCATGGGCTTCCCTGCCTCAGACGTCCGCATCATAAGGCACAGCTCTGGGCACGTTTGGACAGAAGACCTGCTTGGAGATTAGGCCTGTTTTCTGCCCAGGCCTGCATCCGATTGCACCCTGAGCCATCCTGCTTCTGGCAACCTGTTACTTTAAAAACC